AATTATATTACAAACTCATATGGATATGGCAGTATGTATATAACAGATGCTTGATTATCCCTGGATTTGAAGTATCTTTGAAAGGATGCCGGGTTAGGATCAATCTGGATTTGTGATATGTACAGAGAGTGTAGGGGTCAACATCCGGAACTGTTAACCAATTTTGCTCCTTTACATTCATAAGCTGGCACTGGAAACTCGCAGAAGATGAGAAAAAATGAATGCAAAATGTTGTGTTATTAAAGAATATTGATTTTTTGAGAAGCCTGCTGTTTGATTTGGAAGCTGGAGTGAGCCGGGGTAAGGGTTAGGTAAACGCAATGTAATTGATGTGAAGTTTTACATGATCATGTTGGCAATAAATTAGTAGAAATGAGCGATTACTTGCAATCAATGACAAGAGTGATGAAAGCAGGAATGATTTCATCTCCTAGGCATTAATTGTTAATGATAGGCACTTTTAGGAATGCAAAATTAATACAAAAGTACATATTCTTGTGTGATGTTGTGGCTGCATTGCTGTTATGTGCATTTCATTTCATTCATTTTGCAGATTATACTCCTGGGGATGGGGAAGGGGGAGGAGGGTATTTAGAAGGGGGGGGGGGGGGGTAGGAAGAAGTGAACCAATGTTGCATTTGACTTGTGTTATGACTAAGTACCTGGTACTTTGAGAATTGTAATTCAAAATGGGTAATGATAATTTGCATCTATTGATCAATTAACATTACACCTCAGAGACTAATTTAACATTATTTGGGAACATCTTTGAATGTTAAACCAAAGCATAGAAAAAATACTGAGAAATATTATCTGTAACATTATTTTCTAGTTGTAAGTAATAGTGCCAGTATTTGTCTTTGCTATCAATTCAGGCTTGAATATTTATTAGAGTCAGAAGAGGGTTTAGAGTCCGAGGAGAATTTAGGGTATAGAGTATGGGGAGGGTATAGAGTATGTGGAGGATATAGAGTATGGGGAGGGTTTAGAGTCATGGAGGGTTTAGAGTATGGGGAGGGTTTAGAGTATGTGGAGGATATAGAGTATGGGGAGGGTTTAGAGTATGGGGAGGGTTTAGAGTATGTGGAGGATATAGAGTATGGGGAGGGTTTAGAGTATGGGGAGGGTTTAGAGTATGTGGAGGATATAGAGTATGGGGAGGGTTTAGAGTCATGGAGGGTTTAGAGTATGTGGAGGATATAGAGTATGGGGAGGGTTTAGAGTATAGGGAGGATATAGAGTATGGGGAGGGTTTAAAGTCAGAGGAGGGTTTAGAGTATGTGGAGGGTTTGAAGTCAGAGGAGGGTTTAGAGTATGTGGAAGATATAGAGTATGGGGAGGGTTTAAAGTCAGAGGAGGGTTTAGAGTATGTGGAGGGTTTGAAGTCAGAAGAGTTTTTAGAGTCAGAGGAGGATTTCTGTAATCATGACACGTACTCAGCAAGTACAGTCAATTATTTCCCTATTTAATACAAAATAGTCTGTAAAAAAAAATTGATCATTAGAAAATAGGAAAAATATGGAGGTAAAAATCATTTTCAATCAATAAATCATGAAGCCTCATTTTAAAAATTTTCAACTCAAGCCCTAGAGGAACTGGAGTTATCTAAAACAATGCTAGGTCATCAGTTAACTTGGTTTAAGCATCAGAAACTGTATTAGTTGGGTAAATAATAACATTTCTGGAAACAAAAATAAAGCTTAAGAATAATGAGTGATGTTCACAATCAGTAGAATCTATACATAGAGTTAAGAGCTAAGTTTTCCCACAACAGTCATGGAAGAATTCATTGGTTACTTCTGAAAAGTAACACAGGTTAACCCTTTGTTAACCATTTTCTCTTGGTTGGATCTTAGTTTAACAACAATTTTGGTTATATTTTAGTACATAATTTTAATAGTAGGGGTGCAATAATATACCAGTATACCGATATATCTTCAAGTTGATGCGTTTTGTTTAAAGTCGGTTACGATTACAGCAATCTAAAGATCTTCTCAATGGCATGAGCAGCAAAACATCCTTGGGTAGATTCGAATTTGTTCAAATCATGAGCCCCAGGGGTAGGGTGGGGGAACAATAGGAGATGACAATTTTACAAAGGAATATAGATGGGGGGGATCTGTTGATGAAGAACATTAGGGTAATAGTGATTCAGGTGAGGGTTGTGGCCCATAGGCCTCGTATATTGTTGGCCTTAAATTGTTTATAAAAACATTTTTTCTTAATTTATGATTTGTAATATTTTCCATACCTATACATAGTTACCGGTAAGTGTACATGAATTATTGGGATACTAGAAATCTCATTTTAAGGAACTAAGCTCAGATGTCCAGAATTCCTTTTAAACAAGTTTTACTGAACTTTTTCTTTGGTAACCAGTTTTAAGAGAATTAAGAGGCTCCTTTGAGATCATCAATCTGGCGTTCTGTCTGTCCAGTTTATTAGAACTCATTTAGTTTCATTTTTGTTTGCAGTTATTTTCCTCCAAAGATCTCTGTGTTTTTATGCAAAAATATACAATTAACACTCCCATGTTTTAAGTAGTATACATATATATGTAGGTCACGAGTGAACAATGTAGTTATAGCTTCTGGCTGTGAACAACACCACCCATCTCTGGTCATTTGTACCAATTTTTAATATAGCTGCTGGACTGGTGCCAATATTTGGACAAGGTCCAGTATACAATGATCATCTGTTAATTTCATCATTATACAATTTCTGTATCGAGTCTGTATAAATAACGAAAAGATGTCTTGTAATAAAAGTGTGTACTCAAGATGATGGAGTCGAGGGAACTGCATTTGTTTATATAGCAGTTTTATAGGAGAAGACAGATAAAAATGATGGTCTATTGATGTCTTTACAATTGACATGAGAAAAGCAGTTTATAATGTAATTAGTGAATGCTTAAAACTTCTTTGTCAGCGGTGAAGAAGGCACTATGCAGCAGAGAATTGATAGGATGCCAAATTATCTCTTAAAGTTACTCGCTGCTTATGTTAGGAGCAAAAGTTGACACATTCTCGGAAAAGTCTAGACATGATTGGAATTATGTGACAGGGTTTGCTTTCAGTTTTAGTTGCTAGTAAGAAACTAGTATAGCATAGTTAAGTCTAGAAAGCATAGATGGTTGTTTTTATTTCCAGTTGGAAGAAATCTGATCATTCTCATCAGAACTCGCTGTGTTTATGAGAAATTCTGAATTCCCGAGTTAACTTGCACGCCCCTACAACAAATATGTAATATTTTGTAATTTAATATTGGCAAGAGATTAATTTTTCATGTTGCCAAGAAATGATGTCTTTTTTCTCCTGCATAACATAATATTGGGGATTCCAAATACAGTGATAAAATTATTAAATTCTCATGTAATAATAAAGCGTCTTTATAAACATAATAATAGTTTATAGATATTTTGTATTAGTATTGCTCTCTTTTACACCAAAGCATAGAAATTCTCATTATTTTATTATAATTGATTATATGATGTAATTTAACTGTCCAGGATGTGTAGAATTGTGACTGTAAATTATGCACTGGATGTGGTAATGTGACTAGTTTAGAAGCAGTGTTGTAATATTTTTATTCAATTAAGTCCTAGAGGGGTGTGAATGACTTGAAACATGCTAGGTCACTAATCTAGTGGGTTTTTAAACTCAAAGTATGATATCTAAAGTAATATTTGTAGACCCCCCCCCCCCCCAAAAAAAATCTTGAACAAGTCTGTTGATCTAATTAATATACATGTAGTGTTAACTAATGATACACATTATTTTTTTTGATAAGTAAAAACAGTCACAAGGTTTGCCATATGAATGCATGTAGCTTAGTTTCCCATGAAAAATAATCAATTGAAACATCACTTGGCCTTTTCGTAAGAGAGTTTAGTATTCAGAGAATGAATTTTGTGCTTTACATGGCAGTTACATTTTAGGACCATGTGTATACTGCTAAAATATTAATGTTAAAATTCTCAATACTGTTGAATTATTGATCTACCAAGATATTTTGTACTGTAAGAGGGGGTGCTTGTTTCAGTGGCTTTCATACTTAATTGAGAGTTTCTTATCTTATTGACTCTATAGTACAAAAATCTTATAAACTTATCTCTGAATCATTATTTCTAGTATTCAGGGGTGGATTCAGATATTTAAGAGGTGCAGGTTCAAAGAACATAACTGCCAACTTGGTTGTGCAGAATATTTCAGAAAATTCTTGGAGGATGTTAAATGGCATTTGCAGTTATTTTATGCATAGCACATATAAATAACTAATGATTTACGGAGTTCTGTTATACATAAAATAAATAACTAATGATTTACGGAGTTCTGTTATACATAAAATAAATAACTAATGATTTACGGAGTTCTGTGATACATAAAAGTAAAATCAGATCATTTTCAAATCTATTTTCAATTTCATGCAAGACGTAAATGGCTTTATGATAAAGTTACACATCCGTTTATTTACTTTTCAGTATTAGGTATTATAAAATGGTAGGTTCTATGACAACGTAGAATCCTAATGAGATACGTTAAACCAATTTACTCGCTACAGCAAAGGTATCTCCAATACTTTGTCAGTATTCACATAGTATTTATACAGTGTGAAGGAGTTTTGCTTTATGGAAGGTCAAGAGAAGGCGTACAAAGTAACTACAAATATTATCAATACCTTAGTGTTAAAAGATCAGATAATGTAGCTTCCATTGAATCATTACAGAGCTGTTTGAATTGTAATTCTGTCACTTAAGAAACCCTGCTTTCAATCAAATGCTGATTTCTTCACTGCGATGCAGCATCCAGTTCATCTCGCTGAAAGAGAACAGAAATGTCATAACCGTGCATCATTTCACGTAATTCATAAATACCAATAATTATGTATTATACCAAAACTCTCTAGCAAGTTGGATTCAGTACATTTTTGTATGCTGAAATCTTATTCATGATGTATAGAATTGATCGATGCATAAAATTTGTGGTGTTTTTTATTTTCAGATTAAAAAGTTTGAGAAATTGGAGACAGATGAAGAAAGAATAAAGCTTGGAAAAGAAATCTATGACCAATTTATAATGAAAGAATTATTGTCCCAGTCCCATGTAAGTCTTAAGGAATTGCCTTAATACTTAAACTGTAAAGAACTTGAGTGCTTTAAGGTATGTTTTTGGCTGGAATCATACACACATGATGCATAAGGGAAGGTAATTACTTGGTATTGTTTTAATGTCCAACCAATCACTAACTTTCTCAAATGGACAATGATCGAGGAGATTCTATGTAGATTCAAACACTATATTACATATACTTCACAGTAAATAGTATCCCCAATAGGTACTCTAACTCTTTGTGTAATGAAACTATCAGATGCAAATGAAATCAGAATGTAATCCCAATGTTATCCTTTTGTATCGAAATAGCTTTTCTTTCTTGTCATTTCTTATGCCTTTGTTTTTACACAGAGTAACATTCTTTCTCAGAGAAAATTGTTCTTGAGGATTAAAACCATAATTTATTCTGAGGTTTAAATGACAGGAGTAAAACCTTGGCCACTACTGGGCACTGATAATTAGTGTTTTTAAAAGATAGTAACTTTAATATACCTAAGGCACCCAGAATCTTCACAGAAAAATTTAAGTATCAAGGCTTAGTTCTCCTTTACAGTCATTATATAAACATGGCATTACCCTGTGTCCATCATTCACACAAAATAGTGAAATACATAAATGCCATTGCATTTGACAATTCTGAAATTCATCTATTTAGCTGCATGATTGCATTCATTTTAAAATTTCAAAACATAATCCCAAAATATTTTGTGTGTACAACAAAATGTCACTCAAGTTGACAGGAATGCAGACATAACTTGCATGTAGTTAGATAAGAGGACTTCATTGAGTTTTTCTGTTCATTCCATTGTATTTGTAATTATTCATGATTGTGTCATATTATACCAAATACCAGGTTTTGTTTAATTTTTTTTAACTTAATGTTCTGTGCAATCAAGTTTATTTGGGTGTAGTTCTTGCAGAGAATTCTGCCAATAAAAAATGCATGTTTAATTCTGTCTGATAGATTAAACATATAAAATATCACTAACATAGAGGTGTTTTCACAGACTGGTTATTCCAGAAAATTTTCTATAAATTTAGAGTCACCTGAGGAAAGGTCATTGTCAAAAGGTCAAGCTTTTGTTATGTTTGTAAACATTTTTATGTGATGCAAGAACAAGTTTCTTATGAAAGACCTATTATTTATCACATTATTACAGGTAGAGAATGAATAAGGAAAGACAACCTGTAGATTTTGAGGTCACTTTATCAAAGGTCAAGGTGAAAATTTCAAAATTGCTGAAATCTTTGTTGACATTTTAAACTACACTTTGAGAGTATAGTCAAAGGAACTACTTTAGATTTGGGGATCGGTCAATCACAGGTCTAGCTCAAAAGTCAATATTATTGATATGCACATGAGGAAGAGGGAGGGGCTGTATTACTATCTTCTTGTCTACATTAATTATAAAACATTGATTTTTGACACTTTGTTGTAAAGTAGTTCATTTTATTTATGAATTTGTTTATAGGATCCCTAGCTTTTACATACTAAATATCTTTGGATCATTTTATAAACATCATGTAGATACTTAGTAACAGGTTGTTGTTTGATTATAATGAACATGAAGTCCTACGGTTTGGGGTTTTAATTTTTGTAGTAAAATTTATTTCTCTATAATGTGGCCTGTAATAACATGAAATTAACCCAGCTTTAGTAAAAGATGCATGAAATTTACTGCCAGATATATAAAATATATGAAATTATGTGAATGTAATCCTGCTTCATGTCCTGTCAGACTAAGCTTATACAAACTAGACCCCACTAATGATTGCCTCCTTTTATATTAGCTGCCATGTTTAGTCATATGTCCTTGCTTGTTGACCTTTGACCTTTGTGTTGGTGTTGTTGTCTGACTCTGTGTTTTGTTTTGACTTGTGTAGACTTTTCTGCAGACATACTCGAAGGCAGCCGTGGAATCCGTTCAGGAGTCTCTCACAGCCGCACAAAGAACCAAAAAATTAGCACCAAATATTTTTGAGGTATTTTACTTAATTTCCTCATACTGTCAAATCCAAAACAGATTTCACAGTGGTAAATAAATTAGCTGATTATATTGGTGTGATAAGGACACATGAGAAGAATTATTATATTATCATTTTTGATTTGTATGCACTTGTGTGCAAATGTTTCACTCTTTTTCAGCCCTACATAGAGGAAATATGTAATTCACTAAGAGGAGATATATTCGACAAATTTTTAGAAAGGTTTGTATAAAAACATATAACTTTAAACTCCAAAATGACATGCATCTATAGCATACATTACATTCAGTCAGTGCTTAGATAAGCAAACTGCTGTCGAGTACTGAGAACTAAGGTATAATTAACATTAATTGTATCCTATATGGCACATTAGGCTATGAAATACACGGAAAATGGGATGGTTTTCAAAGTTTAATTGCTATGAAATTTTTTTGTTGCCCTAAGGGAGATGTATATATATATATATATTAAAGGAATGTCCTTTCCCTGTGGATCTATAGGTATGTGATATTTATTTCAAATATAAAGTATAGATGAAATCTTTCTGATGCATCACAATGCAAGAATGGATCTTTAAACATTTATGCAGCAATAAGATATATTTTATTCTGAAAAAATATCATTGATTGACCAAATACTTGTAATGTATAACAGTGAATTATAATTCAAACATGTATGTATTATATATTATCCCTGATATTTGGATGTCTTCTCAAGAAAATAATAATCTCATAACTTTAACAACCTCAAATGAGATATTCTTTGTGCTTGCTCCAATTCATTTACTGAATATGCGTCTTTTCCTGATTGAGAAGAAAATTTTCTGATAACAGTTTGTTTATTGATGGCAGGTTTAGGAGGGAAAATTAATCAGAAATTAGGGGTAAAGGTGTTTAAATCTGTTTTAGAATAATGTCAGATTTATCACACAAGTCTAATTATCAAGTCATCTATCTTATGAATGATATATCTTCAATACTGATCTGACCATTTTATCATTGGCTTGTAAAAATGTCCGTTCATAACAGTTAAGAGATAAATGTGTATTGATTGGAACCTTCAGGGGATTTTTTGCACACAAGGCTAAGATAGAGGTATAATGTAAAATAAGATGGTTATTAAAAAAGATGAAGATAGAAGTTAATATGACATAGAGAGACTCAAACTTCAGTAATATGATTAGGAGAGGGGTTAGTGGGCAAGAAATTCTTGTAAATGGAAATTAAATGATTCAGAGACCAAGCTTTAAGAATGTAACCCAGTTTTATAAGAATTGAGTATCTTGTACATGATCATCATTTAATTACATTCTTCCTCAAAAATTCATTTTTTTTTTATTTTTCAGTGAAAAATATACTCGATTTTGTCAATGGAAGAACTTAGAGCTGAATATAGAGGTATGTTTTGGATTTCTGTACTTTGCTTAAGCCTAAGACACCCACACAAGTTTCTACTGGCAACATATGCACGTTCAATTTTTCCCACATTGATCACCCTGATGGCCTCCTGTATATTGATGTTTCTTACTAAAAAAGAAATACAATTTCTCTTTTTTTCTATTGTTATGGATTTCCCAAACTGTCATATCATCTTTTTGTTTTAACATTTTCCTTATATATTATTAAGCATGTAAATATTGGAAGCAAAGGAGGGGAAATTAAATAAAAAAATGAAGACATTTGATTTGTTGAAAACTTCTTAGAATCATAACACATAAATAATGCATATAGCTGAGAATATTGTTGGAATAATATGCCTTTTGAAAGAATTAGATATGAAGTTGAATTGTAGTTCAGTAGTAGAAAATTAGTTTTCTACCGGCAACATATGCACATGTCATACAGAAAAGGAAATCCATTTTCTCTTTTTTTTTTATTATTGTTAGGGATTTCCCAAACTGTTTTGTTTTCATATTTTCCTTATATATTATTAACCATGTAATAAAGTGAAAATGGAGGAGAAAAAACAAAAATGAAGACATTTGATTTGCTGAAAGCCAAATAAAATAACAGTACATGAATAATGCATATTTATAGCCAAGAATAATTGTTAGAAGAATATGCCTTTTGAAGCAATTAGATATGAAGTTGCACTTTAATACTGTTGTAGAAAATAATGGAGACGTTATCTTTTTTTTTTTTTTGGTAATGTTGTTGCTTTATTGATAGTTTAAACTATGATACAACATAATATACTATACATCTTTTTACTGGCTATGAGGAAAATAGCAAAGTTTATTGTCCCCAAGACAGCAACTATTTCTCAAGATGCAGCCGAGGGAAATACTTGCTGTGTCAAGTTATTCTTCATATTTTTACATTGAAAAAGTACACAGAGGTATAATGGTATAATATTATTTGTCATTATGTTCAAGTACATTCATATTAGTCCTTTGTGAAGAAATGAAACCAAATGACTTGCTCATTGCTTATAAAAGAAAGTTCAGAAAGATTGTAATATGAAAATGTCAACATTTTCATTAGTGATCATTGGGTACTATGTATTCCTTATTTTATTTTATTATACCTCTACTCTTATTACTCTATATGAAATTAATACCATAAAACTGTCTATTTCCCCGAGAAGATACTATTTCCCCATCTGAAGACTACTCCCTGAAAGATCAGAGCTACTCCCTGGGACTACTCCCTCATGAATATTTATTATTAATTTTAACCAATTAAAATGAACAGTGGGCGGAGCGTTCAAGGAATCTCGAGTCCGTGACGTAATGTTATTAGCAATGTAACTATGACGTCATTGAAACATTTCGACATGCGATGTCAAAATCATACTGGAATTTCTAAGCAAAAAGAGGACAACAATAATCCTTCGAAATGTTAGTGAAATTATTATTGTTTTTTAGATACTTTTATTTTTTCCGTATTGATGCATTATATATTTAACAAAATTGGAATCACATGCATTTTTGATTATTTATATAAATGCCTCTATATTATTTTAAAAATGTCTAAGTCTCTTGTTAATAAATCTCCTTTGTTTGTTTCGGTATAATACAGTTATGGAATGGGTACTCGGGAAATATCAAATTTATGGTTCCCCTTGGCAGGAAACTATTTCCCTCGGGGAACCATAAATTTGCTATTTCCCTCATACCCATTCTATAACTGTATAATACCCCCCTATTCTATATGTAGAATTTTCTCAATGCAGACTTCAAACAAGGTTGTTGAAATCCCTGTAACATCAACTCACATGTCAGTAGCCTGCCTTGATTTAAAAACTGATCATATGTATTGAATAAGTTGCAAGACATAAACACCATATGCAGGTGATAGTGAAATATTACTACTTTAAAAAAATAAGGAAAGTTGACAATGGAAAACCTGAAGTCATCTCATTTGTCATACAGTTGTTAGTTTGCCATTACATATATCATCTACAGTCAGTAAAACATCTACATATGAATAGGTGTAGCAGACTCTCTGGTATCTTATTTTGAGTTCACTGGGATATATCGAGTTGACATATGAGTGGAAGTAACAATTGCTAATTCATAAAATGTTGTCAGTATATCTAAATGTCAAGTTGAAGGCTTTAATATTTCACATACATATAATTATATGTATTTCTTAAAACAAGGCCTGGATATCTTTGATTTGACCCTTTGACCGTGACCTTGGAATTTGACCCACATTTAAAAAATTAAACCTTGGCCATAAATCTCTGATGGTTAGTGCTTGGGCTTTCATATTTCACAGGTATATTCATTGAGAACAAGTCCTTTCTGCGGGTAACTACATTTTTCATCCCTTGACCTTGGAGTTTGATTTGCATTTGAGAAACTTCAACTTTCTTCAAAAGCTGTCATATGGGGGCATCAGTGTTTCACAAACACATCTTGTTTTTCATGAAAAAAAAATCGGTATCGAAGTAGACTACACAAAGACACATTTTTTTTTTTTTTTTGCTATTCCTTCTACAGTTTTGGTATGATTCAATATAGCTTGTTACACAAGTAAACTACACTAAGATATAATTCTACTTAATTGCTTTTTAATTTCAACAGTGTTGCTATGGTTACTAAATGTTGACTTTTTTGAAATTCTTTCAAAATACCATTCTTCCTGCAGTTTTGGTCTAATTTCATAAAATACATATTTAAAAAAAAATAGACTACACCATGAATATATAAATTAAGATTAGAGATTGGTGTTGCCATGGTTACTAAAATGGAGTTTTCTCTGAAATTCCTCCTCCTACAGTTGTATGTTGATTTCCATAATACAAGTTTAGAAAACATAAACATAATTCTGTAAATGTAAACAAAAAAAAGTATTTAAAAACCATATGCAACTTTTCTCTTCCATTATTTTAATCACAAGCCAGTAGAGCTACAGTTTTATCAGAGATTCCTTATTAGTGATTGTTTTACCTAGAAGTTACAAGGTGTAAAATGTTTAAAATTGTAAATATCTATTGTTCATACTTCAGAAGCAGTGATTTGCAGTGTTACATAATACAATCCATGAACACCTCAACCATGAAAGAAAATTACACAATGCAAAAATCTGTCCAAGAATCTTCTAGGTTTTTTTTTGGCTTGTGCAGTCTTTGTTCTGTAAACTGTCATTGCAAATTGAGTTTAGAGTTGTACAGAAAATTTGAAAACCCTAATCCTGCTTTCAATTGAGCTCTTTGTATTGGGTGTCATTTTTCTGTAATGGTTATTAAATTAGAAGGGTAATCTGTGATTTCTCCAATGGAGTTTTCTCAAATCAATATAATTCTGCTTCCGTATTCTATAATAGTCATTATTCTGCATATCTGAGGGACGAAATTACAATGATAGAGAGCTAGTGACAAATGACAGAGATCTGATCATCTCAAAAGTCCCTGAATCAAATGGAAGTTAATGCTTTGAAGTCTGTATCTGAGCTACAGCTAAATGATACTTTAATACAGTAAGTGGAGATATAACAATCCAGAACCCGATAAGAAGCATTGTGTAAGTTCTAAACTAATTAGTAACTAGTGGGCCCACAAAATATGCTAGATCTGCTGCTTCACAGGCCTATCTAAAGCCAGGAGACCCATAAATTTATCTTGTTTAGTTCAAATACGGTTTTATGTTTACATAAAGAAGCAGACCGATATGATCAGCAAAATATGCTGCATTCTCTTGTATTTAGTTCAGCAGTTTAGGTTTGAAGGCATGAGTTTCTTGCTGCTGGAGACTCTAATCTCTATTCTTTAAAAAAATCCATCCATAATGTGATTGTACTGTTTATTAAAATGGCTTTATTTATTTACTTTCAGTTAACAATGAATGACTTCAGTGTACATAGAATAATTGGCAGGGGAGGATTTGGAGAAGTGTATGGATGTCGTAAAGCTGACACTGGTAAAATGTAAGTTGTGGGTCCAAACACATATAAAATGTTTTGCATGATTTCCAAACATTCGTGAAGTTGAATTCACAAATCAAGACATGAGACAAAATTTTGCAAAATTCAAATAGACATTGTAGAGATCTCTAAGTCACAAATCAGAAGGCAGTGAAGTCATAGGATAATGAATGTCATGATGGATAGCTCATGATCATGAGTTTAGTAAAATACTGACCCAAAGCAGTCCCCAGATCTGCTCTATGAGTCCACTCATGAAGGTCTAGTGTAATCCCAGAGGGCGGACTCAGAAAAAAGTCCCCAGATCTGCTCTATGAGTCCGCTCAGGGAGGGTTAGTGCAATCCCAGAGGGCGTACTCAGAAAGCAGTCCCAGTGCAGCTATCCCAGTAGATGGGTGTCAAACAGTCAATAGGTTGGGCTAGATCCCCTCAGAATTATTAGTTAACAAATACTTACACTCATTATTCTAAAATGGAAGTCATCAAGTTAATGTGCAGAACATATACCAATCATCTCATTCATTCTAACATCTCGGAGCAGGGACTACTTTCTTGGTCTGGTTGGGTGATACTATGTGCCGTACCTTTTTTACGCTTACTGAGCAAAAGCCTCTAGTGAACCTTTATCAAATCTTAATAAATGTGAAATTAATATGAGGGCATTCCAAAGTAGTGATGATCAGATATCTTCATTTACTTCCAATCATGACCTCAAGGTGGTTGTACTGACAATGTTGACAGTAGTACAACATAATTTGTTAAAATGATAACTGCTTGACAGCATTTTTTCATTACCATTAATACAGTAAATTTACTTTTTTTTTCCCAGTGGGTCATAATTCCACAGAATCACAATTTCTATTTAATCAGTTAGTAGAAAATGACATTGATTTCTTGGATTGCCTTGATAAACCTTTATTGTACTTTAAATAAGCTGTGACAAATTTCCGCAGAAAATTTGTGACAGAAAAAATGACATCTGCAATATCTGTAAGAGGATAATTGACAATCTTTGTGTAAAATTCATTCCAATTCTTTTTTTTTTTTTTTTGTTGGTTGTGCTTATGAATTTTAAAACATGATATCTCCTTTTAAATAAAGCAATACAGAACAAAAATAATATTTGATTACATTTTTCTTGTGTTTTCATGTACAGTTGAACTTTGTTATCTTGAACATCAATGTCTCAAATACGATGGATATGTCAAAATGATTTCAAAGTCCCAAACACTTTTTCTTAAGTATTTTATCCTTAAATCTCTAGAATCATTGGATATCTCAAAGTTTCATCACATACCCATCAAATTTGAGATAACAAGGTATGACTGTATTTTGTTGACTTCAAACCAAGCCATTCCTCTCAATCTAGCAAATTTAGATGTAGAAGACCTTATGATGACCTTTGACCTCTAAGTCTAAGGACATCAGTTTGGTTGACTAGTAATAGAAACCATGTTGCCCTCAGTCTACTCAACAGATGTGTCTATTAGTTCCTTGTAATATTACAGATTATTTTTTGATGTGTTTTTTTTTTTTTGATTGGTTGATTCCTGGTGCCCTGTTTGTGGTGTGTCACTGGTGTTTTTGTATATTCAGTGTCTTTCCCACAGGAATACAACAGACTTTGCCTTTGGAGCATGAAATGAAAGCATATCATTTCATTACTACCTCCAAGCCTATTAATGATATTGCTATTGCAAGCACTTCTCATTTAGGAGAAAACCAAATGAATATTTTTCCTTTCTTTCTTTGTAATCTAATATTTTCATCAGGCATTCACTCCCAGATCTTACCGATTTATTTCCATGACCACATGGTATCAGGGGCTTGTTGATGAGACACCTTAAAAACCAGTTAAGACCGATTTGTACATGTGGTAATTTAGATGGAGAAGGCACATTTTTGGTTAGAACTGATTTCTACAAGTAAAATAGAAGGGGGGGGTTTTCTTTCGGCATTGTGGAGATGATCAGTGATGTTCCCAAGCTCTTTCGCCCAAGGTTTTGAATGAGAATGAGCTGCTATATACATAGATATTGATTTTCAGTGTGTTTTGTCATCAACAGCTTTCTTCGCTTATTGACAGACATTACGGTCAAATACGCCGAAGAACGAGAATTTCTGTCTTCTTTTGTTGGAGCAGAATTGTATTTTCCACAGTGTTAATCTGTAATTTTACTAGATTGATAAATGAAAAGTCAACATTCTGATTCATTCTCAGTTCTTTTGTAAACTGCTTCATTGACACATCAGGCCAAAACAATTACATCACTTAAGTCCTTATGACAAATATGGCATACTGTAAGACAAAAGTACAATGTAAATGGTTTAACTTTGAAAACTTGTTTTTTTTAGCTCTACTGGTCAGAGACCAGAAGAGCTTATGCGATAGTAAGGTGTCCGTCGTGTTTGATTTGGTTAATTGTAATTTTTTTTGGAAGGGGGGGGGGGGGGCTTTTTTCACTAAGTTTTGTTTTGGGAGATTTTTTTATGCCCCCCTAATCTGGGATTCAGGGGCACATTGTTTTTGGTCTGTTTTGGTTTGAGTGTTTGTCCACATAAACTTTAGCCTTAATTGGCCAGAACTTTTGAATGGTTGGGGTTTAGACTTTCATATTTCACATGTGTATTCCTTGTGACAAGACTTCTTTTGGTACCAACATTTTTTAGCGCTTGACCTTGCAGTTTGACCTTCTTTTGAAAAACTTTAACCTTGGTCATAACTTCTAAAAGGTTTGTGCGGGTGCTGCATCATTGCACACATATATTCCTTCTGACAAGGCCTTTCTTTGTGTACCAACATTTTTGATCTTGACCTTGGAGTTTGACCTTTTTTGAAAAACTTAATTTAAGCTTGGCAATGAGCTTCCATACTTGGGAATCAGTGTTTCATAAAAACTTTTTTTTTTGGTATGTGTTTGTCTCTCTCAATGTTTTATAATTATTTTCTTTGTAATTTTCTTCTACTGTTCACATATATTGCAGGGAAACAGAAATAGGTGCTTTGCTCACAAGAGCTCAAGTGCTCTTGACTACTATGAATTTCCAATATTAATGAGAAATATTGATTTCACTGTTATTACAAAATATTACGAGGATGACAATAAATCAGGTATTTATATCTCTACCATTGCAGCTATAGTTGGTGGGAGACACTAATTAAGGTTTTCTTGATGGCTGTTGCCTTTTGTTAGGGAAAGAATGCAGATATTTAAAAAAAAAAATCTTTGATCAGCCAATGTTTTCTAGCAAAAGTCCATTGTGTTTGTGTAGCTTTTTTTGCATAAAAAAGAGTACATTTAATTCTACCCTTCGAACATTTAGCTTGTAAGATAATTTAGTCTCAGTAGTTATAGGTGTTTAGACAATAACGGAAAGTTACTGGTTTGATCATGCTGTGGGCACTTGATATGCATTGTGTCCTTAGACAAGGCACTTTCTCTGAATTGTCTTGGTCCACCCAGCTGAAATGGGTACAGCTTACGCTGGGAGTTAACCTGCAGTGGGTACGGCTTATGCTGGGAGTTAACCTGTAGTGGGTATGGCTTACGCTGGGAGTTAACCTGCAGTGGACTGATGTCTCATCCAGGGGGGAGCCAATGATTCTCATCCACTAAGCACTACAGAAACAGGGATTTATCTAGCTATTTTATTTGACTACCCTTTTCAAGTAAAGGGGGAAGATGAGAATGGTTATTTAAACAATAAAATGCTTCTTTGGTTGTTAGTATGGGAACTAATGTTGCAGCTGTTGCAGAAAAAATGCATAACTCACTTGCGCAGGTTATGTAATTTTTTCTGCAATACCTGCAACGTTATTTCCCATACTAACAACCAAAGAGGAACATTTTATTGTGTATATTTATATCTGTACAAATATTCATTTAAAGTAGGATTAAGTAGATAAAAATACAGTATTAGTGATATGTACATCATTGTACTTTTCATTGATGGAACAGCCACTGCTCAAGAAATCCGTAGTGATATGCAAAGCGGTGTTTACTGACTGATAAACGGCAATGGTTTTCTTAAGAAATAAAAGAGATAATATTCATTGGATTTAAATATAAGACATTTAGCGATGGAGGTGTGAATCTACTATGGGAGTCCAGGGTCATGCCCCTTTTGAAATTTTCAGGTTAATGTTGCCAAAATCTGCATCCTTAGAGATAAGCTATGGGTTATGTCTTGACCTGTCTTAAATTAATATATTTAAATGTAACGTGTATGTTTAAACAGGAAATTTTTCATAAATAAAAGGGGGATTTTTGACATATTTTCCAAAGCGGAAAGATACTGTTTATTGGGAGTTAAAACAGCTTTGATAGATCCCTGAGAAACCAGATAAAAGTTCTGGCCTGGTATGAGCTTTATAGCTCGGAGAAATATTTGACTTTAACTAGCTATGAGTTACTTTTATTTTTGCATAATTTAAGTTTCACAAAAAGTGTAGAGTTGTATTAATTCCTAAGACATAGTTTTCATATTTGGGACATGTTTTCTATTTTTAATGAAGTATAAAAGTTACTTCTTATTATATTTCCTCAGTAATTTATTTTTGTTCTTAACAACTTTGTGGAATTATGCAAAAATATTCTCACTAATAAAATATGACTTACAAGGTAGGAAAATATGTTTTTTTGTCCAAACAAATAAAACTTACATAATGTCTGATTGAGGAACTATTTAATTCACTCAATTTTTAGACATAATACAGATCTAAATAAGTGACTACCCGGTATTCATTAAGATAACTTTTACTTGTGGATGATTTATAATTTGATAATGTTTTATTTTTAGGTATGCAATGAAGTGTTTAGATAAGAAGAGAATTAAAATGAAGCAAGGAGAGACATTGGCTATTAATGAACGAATCATGCTGTCCTTAGTTAGCACAGGGGTAGGTGTAACCAGGGCAACAGATTCCAGACCCTGGAACTGATTTTAAAATTGTGTGACCTATTGCTGTTAATTCTTTGTCATGCAGTCAGTTGCTGTAGATTTAAACCTGTTCTGGTATTGATAAATCTTTAATGACCATTAAATGCTTTTGAATGTGGAAGAGTGTGGATATGGATGATTTTATTTCTTTAGATGTTCCCTGTGAAAGTCATTGTTGGTCCCACTGATTTACACTTAGATACTTTCAAATAAATGTCAGCTTGCAGATTTAAAGTGTTCAAAACTCATGGGAAACTTTAACATTTAGTCTGAAATGCATATTTGAATAATGTGTTCAAATCCCATTGGGAACTTTTACATTTATAGGCAGTCATGACTCATGAGTGCTTCCACATTTTAAACAATAGGAAATAAATTTTGATATGTTTTCAAAGAAAAAAAAATCATTAATTAAACAAAGTTTTATCATTTTATGATTGGTTACATACAACTTGAAACAAACCAGTATGACACACAATTTTCAAAGTCTACAGAAATTTACAATGTAAATTTGGGTCATTGCTGTCAAGTGTGCAAGGGAACTTTGTTATTATTTCCAGAGATTATCCAAGAGTGACCTATAAATTGGTTTAGAATGTGACCTACATTATTACATTATTGATGGCAAGCGGTGAAAAATCATAAATAATGATGGATCCCTTTCCAAAGTGGTGCCTTTTTGTAGTGCTAAGTCTAAGAATTTACTGCCATGTCAGTGTACTAGTTAAACAAAAGGGTTCTTTTTCAAAGGTATCTACGTATTTTGAGATATGATAAAAAAAAGTGATGATGTTGTAGGTACCATGGGGCAGACTTTAGTCTCAAATGCATAGGTATAAATGATTTTTTTTGGTTTTAAATTATCATACACATCAAACCTCAACATGAAATTATTTCACCAAAACAAATTTTTCTTTTGCTTAATGATGAACAATGCATAATAGTAACTGTTATGTAATCTTTGCATGTTGTATGGGTATACCTGTTTGTAAGGAAGTAAAGAAAGGTCACTATGTAGTGTAATTTTATTACAGGAGGGGAGTCCGTTCATTGTAAACATGACGTACGCCTTCCAGACACCAGAGAAGCTGTGTTTTATTTTGGATCTGATGAATGGTGGGGACCTTCACTATCACTTGTCACAACATGGAGTGTTCAATGAGCGGGAAGTTCGCTTTTATGCCTCGGAAGTTATACTTGGACTAGAGCACATGCACAATCGATTTGTAGTCTACAGAGACTTAAAGGTGAGGGACTATCTAAGTCTTGTTTTCTTCTCAAAGTGAAGTAGAAGATACAAATTTACATTTTAGCATTCATCGGTCTTGAGTTAAGATTGTCCATCCAATCAGCAATTGTCAGGTAAGCAAGTCACCAAAAGAGGTCTCTAAATTTTACATATAAAGTAGGGTTTGTTTGTTTGTTTTTTTTTTTTTTTTTTTTTTTTTTTTGACAAAGTAGATCATAATGAAAATCATTTAACATTGATATAAGCATGAAACTATTAATATTTTTCTCAACATTCAGCGATTTTTTTCTACCCATTGGGAATGGTCTGATACCAATTCAATTGGGAAAAATAGCGTCGAAATAGAACAAATGGAAATTTTATGTCATGTCAACATATGAAATTTATTTCACATTTATTCCAACCTCGTTGCGTATTAATTCACGCTATTAAGAATAACCAACAAGTATTCATTGTTTTACATAATAGTGTCCTTTGTTCTCACGGTGTCATGCTTTCAAGTTGTCAAAAATGTAAGACACTGGCATGACTACGCTGTCAATATTACCACTGATCTCTACTTTTGGTTTAAGAGGACGTTAAACATTTAGTTAACTCATACAACATTTCATATGAAAAGAATTATGATGTCATCGTAGTCTGTTCTTCGGGAGTTGAATTGGGAATTTTTAGTCTCAAAATTGGGAAAAATTAATGTTTTTGGCATTGGGAATGGTACCCTTTACAGGTACCAGTTATATAAGGAAAACAAGATGTGTTTGTGAAACACTATGCCCCCCTATGGTAACACAATTCTGAGTGGGATGTAGACTACAGTGCAATAGTTTTGGCCAATGTTAAAGTTTTTCAAATGTAGGTCAAAGGTCACAGTTGAGGTCACATGATCAAGAATTTCTCTACCAATGGAAAGGTCTTGTCAATATAAACACCCATGTCAAATATTAAAGCCTTACCCTTGACAGCGCAATAGTTATGGGCTAGGTTAAAGTTGACAAAAGACAGACAGATAGACAAACAGACAGACAGGACAAAAACAATATACACCCGAGATGTTTTGATCAGTGGCATAAAAAAGCTGAGTCATTATAAATAAAAACCATTGTTGCAATTTCTATTAAAAAAATGATCAGCAAATATCTTTCAAGAGAAAAAAAAAGATATCCATAAATGAAATAAAGTTAACACTAAATACAGTGTTCTCCAGTGGATTCTCATATGTACAATAGTAGTATCTTTGAGATGGATCAATTATTTATAGATCTGCTTTCATGATGACAGTACATAAAGCTGGGTTTATATGATTTAGATAACATCCAGTTAAATATCTATTCTGTCTCTTGTCTTGTGTGATGGCTGAATGGCTCTCAGTCTTAGTATATCCTGTCATGCTCATGCCCATTCGATTTTTTTTTTTTTTTTGATGATGGATTGTAAAATGTAAATGTTTTCTGAATGATTGTTCTGTCCTTTGGCTTCAGTTGTTGAATTTTGACTTAATGTGTCTCCAGTGTAATGTTGACATTAAGTTTTGTAAGTCAAGTCAATTACAGAAGACAAGCCATCTGAAAACAGACATTTCAAGCGTGGTTCACTAAGTAGAACTTTTAGTGGAGGGATGGGCAAAAAAAAAGCATTTCAGCCATGGTTCACTCATTAGAACTTTAAGTGGAGGGTTGGGTTGAAAACAGGCATTTCAGCCATGGTTCATTCAGTAGCCATTTCAGAATTTGTCAGAAAAGGTTAAAATCATTGCAGGCATTTTGTGTAAAATTTTGAGCACAAATAAAGAAAGACCAATGTACAGAAAAAAAATATCCAAGTTTTATAACATGCCCATAGTCTGAAGTATTAACGTAAATGAGCAGAACTAAGAAAAAGTTTATGTTCTTCAAACATGCAGAATCCTTGGATATCTCAAAGTTTTTTCTCAGTCTCATCAAGTTCAAGATTACAAGGTTTGACTGTCCTTGCTTTTCAAAAAAATTAAACTCTACAGAAACACAGTCATTTTAAAATTTTATATTGTCTAAAGGGTTTGCCCCAAGGATCAGTTAAACCATTTCTTCATTTTTTTGTTAACATATTTCTTAGATGTCATTTTAACAATTTCTCAGAAGTTGTAATCCATTTCTGAATTTTTTTATCCATTTCTCTTGGATTTCCATTAACATCTCATAGGAATTGTATTTCTTGGATGTTATTCATCATGCTCTATGAATAGTCTACCATACATTTCATGTGAACTATAAATTGATATGAAAATTCAAATGAAAGCTTTTACATATTACCGTTCCTTATTGCCTGGAGACATGGAAAGTAAACCTTTGTTTTTGTTTTTTTGTAGCCAGCCAATATTTTATTAGATGAAAATGGCCATGTAAGGATCTCGGATTTAGGTTTGGCCTGTGACTTTTCCAGAAAGAAACCTCATGCTAGTGTGTGAGTATAAAACAACAATGGCACATCATGTGTATTGATGTAATTCCTTTCTAAAAGAAATATACAAGTTACAACATTGAACATAAAATCTGAATTATTCTAGATTGCATCAAAAAATAAATTTTCATGATTTGAGTATCTCATGTTTCCTGTTTTTGGTTTATTTTTTCACACCAGATGTTGCAACTTTTTGTATTTTTTATGTGTAAGAATTTTTTTCTAGGATATGTTTTAGCTCACCTGAGCTGAAAGCTTAATTGAACTTTTCTGATCACCCATTGTCCGGCATCATCATGTGAACTTTTCACATTTTGGAACTTCTCAAGAACCACTGGGCCAATTTTTACCAAGGTTGGCACAAAGCATCCACTGGTAAAGTGGATTCGAAATTGTGTTAATGAAGGGCCAAGCCTGCTTCCAAAGGGGAGATAATCAAGAAAAGGCAAAAATTGGGGTGGGGTCATAATAAAATCTTTTCAAGAACCACTGGACCAGAAGAGATAAAATGTATGGGAAACCTTCCTGTGGTAGTATAAATTCTGAATTGTCTGTATTATTGCCCCAGAGGGTTAAGTGGGGCCATAATAGGAGATGAAATTTTTACATTGACGCATATGGAATTTTTTTAAAAGTCTTCTTATCAAGAACCATAATATAACTATTAATTTGCAAACATTCCCAAATTGTGTACATTCAATTTTATTTTAAATTATGGTTAAAAACCATGTTAGTCATGTTGATATTGGGGCATGTGCTAAAATTTGGATGGGACCATAATATGGGGTGACAATTTCATGGAAATGTAAGGATCTTTTTAAAAATGTTCTGAAGAAGAGCTAGCTACTCAGGTGAATGTTGTGTCATGAGTCTGTTGCTGTTTGAAAAATACATGTATTGATATCTATTGAGGAATAAGCATTTGAAAGAAGGTGTTTATTAGCACACTTTGTCATGAACTTTTTTTTAAACTCTGGTTGTACAAGTCCATGTATTACATGTACCATAGAAAAGAGTTGAGAGGAAAGTATCTTTTTTTTTTTTTACATAGGATCAGATAATTGTAAGATAAACATTATTGCATAAATTCAATATATAAAACATGTTCTTTAATACTTGTAGCTGTGATATGAAACTTCAGTTGTTCTTCTTGATTCAATTTTATAAACTGCAGCTTTTTTCACTGCAATTTAATATTTGTTGTATTCCTGACTGAATAAGTCTGTGAAAATAACAGTTTTACTTAATTAGAATTAAGTAAAATGAATGTCTCTTCAAAAATATTTCTCCAGTTGTGTTATTCATATGTTGTTGGAATAATGTTAAATGAATTCTAATTTTTTATTTTTTTTTTTCTTCTTCAGTGTTTTACTTTATTGAGATATTTTCTGATTTTAGTGGGACACATGGATACATGGCCCCTGAGGTGCTAAACAAACAAATGCAGTACGATTCCAGTGCTGACTGGTTCTCCTTCGGATGTATGCTTTACAAGTTACTGAGGGGGTAAGAAACTAGTTAACGTTAAAGAGATTGAATGGTTAAGAATTCTAAAAATGATTGTACTGAAGGGTTTATTTTTTATGACATTGACTCATGGTACTTTGCAATACAGTTCTGTAAACTAATAAATTGTCAAAAACATACTATTGCCCCATAATCCTGTTTTGAATACAAGCAGGGATAGACAAGTCTCGATATATATCATGAGTTGCTGGACATTGTAAGTTATTTTTAAATATATCTCTAATGCTATGAAACATTTCAGAACAAAACCTTTATTTATCTATCAGAATGTTGTTAGCAATGCTTCTACTCCTAATATAAGTATTTTATGTTTTATTTTTCAAAATGAACACATGCCCCTGTTTGGACGTATTTCCGAGATTTTTCCGAATTTGGTATTTTTTTGCTTTACACATGTATTGAAATTGTTTTAAAAATTCATTCCAATAAACAAAAAGAACATATTACATTTAACAGAAAACAAATTGTTTGCTGGGGATATAGTACATAGTTTGAAAAACTTGTAGTGTTGTGTGTGATGTTTTGGGCAAATAAACATTGTGCTGAAGGAGTGGCCTATCCCGTTAGCTTATACACCCTTGATACAGGACTGTAAACACTGGCAATAAATCAGTATATATAATTCAGTAATGCTATAAAAGAAAGACATTTAGTACGTGGTATTTCACTAGGTAATCATTTATAGCACTATATTAAGGGGATTATGGAAAATGAGTAGGTGTTGCAGTACATGTGTTATCTCAAGGAGAATATTTGTCAATCGGTGAATGTGAGACCATGTCATGTGTAGAGCATTTTCTAAGGAAACTGTATTATTTTTTCTTTTACATAGAAGTGTAAACTTGTGCCAAAAATAACATTGACTCATTATTTACTTTATGCAGTACTGTAAATAGATAATTAGTCTCTCCTTAATGAGAAGAGAAAAGGCGATAATCAATTTGTTTTGTTTGTAAATTTCAGACACAGTCCATTCCGACAGCACCGAACCAAAGATAAGCATGAAATAGATAGAATGACCATGACAATGGTAAGCATAAACTGACAGAATCAAAGATAAGCATGAAAAAGACAATATGTCCTTGACAATGGTAAGCATAAACTGAATGAAGAATTGGGGGGGGGGGGTTAAAATACTGTAAGACTTAACAAATAGGTACTTTAGTTCATATCTTGTATTGTAGGAAAAAAAAAGGGGGGGCAGCTGAAACAAGGCAGTATGGTATTCTAATGGACTGTTTTGTTAGAGCACTCACAATTTTTTGTGAACTACTGTGTAATGTTTGTTTCACTGTTAAAAATTGATGCATTTTGTGTAAATTGAGTGATAGGAGATGTAGCAGATCATATAAGTACTCATATACAGAGTAGGATTCATTACCTTGTTTTCTTCTTCAAATAGCAAAACAAAGTTTGAAGTTTCAAACTTACATATTCAGTTAATTGTATATTTTTTTTAAACCTCTTGATATCAATCTCATTCAAAGGGAAAGGGAAGGAGGTTGCTAATAAAAGAAATGAAAATCTTAAACATACAGGTTAAATTGCCACATGATAGAATTTTCATTGAACATGTTGATATGGTAACAATTTTTAATTTAGAACGTAGAGATTCCAGAATCAATGACACAAGAGATGAAGTCTTTGTTAGAGGGATTATTACAGAGAAATGTGGAGGATCGACTGGGGTGTAAAGGAAGAGGGTAAGGAAAAACAGGCTGAATTAGCCCTTTCACAGTAACTGAATTACTACTCTTTTGCAGGGCAAATTAGTAAGGTTTGGCAAAGTTTTTGATGACAGATAAATAGATGATGTATATTAAACAATTGCTTTTTTGTCATATTTCACCGAAATATATTTTGCCCTGCAAAAGAGCAGTACTGCAGTTATCATGAAACAGTCTATTGGGTTTGTTTATTGTGTCGGAATTCATCTCCTCAAGTTTAATGGTACAAATAAGTGAAAATAAAATGTTTAGGTATTAAACACCTGGAAAAAATAGGGCTGGGACAATATACTTACAACAGCTAGGGTTTGACAATAACTTTTACATTGGTGAGCCACAGGTCCACTGGTCAAAAATTATTGGTGGACTTCATCAAATTCTGAAAGACATTCATAAATGTTTGGGTTATTAGTGAATAAATTCATTACACAAGGCTTGAAAGTAATTTATTATGTAACCAGTCCAGTTGGACTAATGAAGTGTAATTTTAACCAGTCCACAGAAAAACTCAATTACGAGTTTTCCAGCAATATTGTTAAACATATTTACCAATATTTAATTATCAGATACTTCATACTTGTCACAGATTCCTCATGACCAGAGGTGTTAAAACCATCGTTCATTTACATTTCATCATCTGAAAACTCGATACCTTAGTCACTCTACAAGGCAATAAATATAAACGGGACTAAATAAAAATGGTATCAAATTCTTATATTGTGGCATTGTAACATCATTTTGTAAAGAAGTTTGTAGGGGTGATCATGTACTCTGTAAGAAATTATTAGTGAATTAAGATATGAGTGGATACAGCTGATTCTGTTCATGATTGTGGATACAGCTGATTCTGTTAATGATTGTATTTACATGTGGATCAGCTGATTCTGTTAATGACTGTATTTACATGTAGATACAGCTGATTCTGTAAATGATTTACATGTGGATACAGCTGATTCTGTAAATGATTCTATTTACATGTGGATACAGCTGATTGTTCATGATTCTATTTACAGAGCTAATGAGGTGAAGGAACATGCGTTTTTCCGTGGCATTGATTGGACCCAAGTATTCCTACAGAAGTACACCCCACCCCTCATTCCCCCGAGGGGAGAGGTCAATGCAGCTGATGCATTTGACATAGGGTCATTTGATGAAGAAGATACAAAGGGCATTAAGGTAGATTTGTTTTTGTTAGTATACTTTAACATTTTATATGTTCAGCGAAGATGGTAGGAATGTATATTGATGTTCTTTCCTGAACTGTGCAGATCCGTTACTATAATCTATATATATTCTGGGAATTTATACTTCTTTGTTTTTTCGTGCTTTTTCCAGTATTGTCTGAAAAAGTTCTCCAAGTTTAGAAATTTGAGAAATTTAATTTCAACATTTTATTTAAATGAGAACAGGATTAGTACTCTCTAACTCTGTGAAGCCCTCACTTAAATCGAGCTAATTCACATATTTGTATGTATAGCAAAATCAGGGGGCATATTTTAATGTGCATTTATGACAAAAATATGGTATAGCACAGTTTCTTTGTAATTTAACAGTATCTTTAAACTTCTGTCCAGTACTGGTATTGAAGTTTTCTTTCAATCTGTAGAATGACTCTATTTTTACAGCTTGCTGAGCAGGACCAGGACTTGTACCGTAATTTTACAATGACCATCTCGGAGAGGTGGCAACAGGAGGTAGCAGAAACTGTGTTTGATGCCATTAATCAGGATACGGATAAACTGGAACAGAAACGGAAGCAAAAACCTCGCATTGATGATGTAGACCTAGGTATTATTCACACTGTTGGAAGAATGCTTCCCAGTTCTACAAGTTTTTGAGCACACTTGATTATTTGTACAGAGTTTTACATTAATTTTGGTATCTCAAACTTTGATATGTCAGTACCTTGTGAAATTGAGTTGACAATCACATTATTTCTTCTTCATTATTTCAAACCCTCAGAAATCAAGTTTCTCCTCACCCCAATTGTTTGGAGATACCAAGGTTTAATAGTAATATACCTCTGTTACATTATTGTATTTCTAAACATTTTTATAATCCTGAGATCATTTAAATTTGAAAAATGCTTATCAGCAATCTTGATTGCTTATTAAAGATGATGTATGCTGTGGAATCATCATTTTAATTTGTTGGGGGTCAGTGTTCATGGGCAGCTAAAATTTTACTGGTCTGTGGTTAGGGAGACCCACAAAATCCATGAACATTGGTTTACCATAAGCATTAAAGATTCCACAGTATTACTTAATCCTTCAACCACAAACAGTTACTGAGAATGTTTATCTTTTTTTTCAGATCAAACTGACTGTATTGTAGAGGGAGAAGTGTTAAAGTTGGGGGGTCCATTTCTACAAACATGGCAGAAAAAGCATCTGAAGCTGTATCCAAATCGATTAGAATTCTACCATAAAAACCGTGATGGGCAGATAACCAGGGCGAAAGTAGAGGTACTCTTTTTGATTGTCTCATTATAATCATGCATTCTAAAATACAAGTACAATAAGTTCCAATTAAAAAGTGCAACATATTTTGTGTTATATTTTCTATTGAATTTCTCTGTAGGTTGAATTTACATCTTTTCCAGTTTTTAAACCCAAATTGAAAGAATGTATGATTTCTGATTTGATTATGTAATTTCAATGTTATTTTATTTTGTTTTGTCTTTTCTTACAGTGTATTTTGATGCTAGACATAAAAGAAGTTTATCCTGAATTCCAAAAATTACAAAAAACAGACAATTGTATTGTGATAGTTTTAAAAACCGAAAACAAAATTGCCATAACTTCTCCAGTAAGTGTTTAATGAATATTTAATTACAATTATATATTCAAAAGTTGATAATAATTATTTGACTGAAAACTTTGCCAGTTAATAACATTTGTTCTATGCATATTTAATTGTATCAATTTATGAACATTTTCAAAGAGAAGGCAGGAGAATTTGTAATGAACATGTATCCAAATGTCATAATATTCATTTGAAAGCCTTGGATCTGTTTTCCAGGATAAAGTGCTCATTTCTCAGTGGAAGGATGAGATAATTAATGGACACAAATTGTCAGCACAGATAGTGGCTAGGATGACAACAAAAGCAAGCAAAATGTATGGTGCTGCTATTACTAACAGTCCCAGCTCGGAGAATTTCAAACCTCCTCTAGAACATAGAAATAGTAACGGGAGCTAGACACTCCTCCCCGTACATAGCTTTCTTGTGATCAGTGACACGTCCCTCTCCTCGATACTCAAGTGGAACCATATCAGAGGGAGGTTAAATAACACAGGAATGGATCCAACTTCCTCTGGAGTACCTGAAGGGGATCCAGCACATTTTTCAAGCTAGTCATCAAATTTTTATCCAACTTGGCAAGACGTTATTTTCTACTACTACCATATGTTGTCGTTTTTTTTTTAAATTGTTTCAGCCAGGTGAATGGCTCAGTGTTGTCATTGTGTCAGTAGGCACGTGTGATATCAACCAGTGTGAGTGTGTCTGTCCGTCTGTCAGTGTGCTGCATCGTTAGTGAATGGAGAGGATTTCGGACCAGTGTAGCATAAAGGCTGTGTCCATGAGAGGGTGTTCTCTTAAAAACAATACTCAGCTTCCATGATACGCAATCTACTCGTAAACGACCATCAAAGCGCCCAGACTCTTTTGTTTAACTGCAATCTCTCAGATTTTTCTTAAGCTTTAACACCTTTTGTATGCCTGCATCTTAAGAATGTGTTTGTTATTGTGGGATGTCTGTCACCCTAGCCAACATTCTCAGTATTGTAAATTTTCATAGAAGTTGTATACTCAAGCAGTTTTTAACTTCCTAGACACTGGGTTGTTTTCAGATTTTTAACAAATTTTATTGGAACTTTGATTGTGCTGCTTGAATACCAAAGTTAGGCTATACAATCCAAAACGAGTACTTTAAAAAAACTTTTCTGTCTGATCTCTTTAGGCTTTACCTGTATTTTTCATGCAAATGTCTTTTTTATTGATGATCTCTGTGCATGTGATTTATTGCTTTGTATTAAAATGATTTATCTCCCTTTCTGCCCCGCCCCCTTGTATTGGTCCAGTAGATGGCTCTTGTTGTGTCCCACTTGACAGGGTATTGTACAAGGCATTCCTCGTAACACGCTTTTTCTGTGGAGAACACACTTAAGAGCATTTTTATGACACAAATCTAGTTTTTCATCTACCTCTGGTCACATGACACTCCTTAACCAATGACTACACAACAAGGACTGCAGTGCTTGCCAGCGTAAATTGTTCATCGGTTAGGTTTCCTAGGGTTAAGAATGTTAGACATAGTATGTCTTTAATTCAAGAGGTGGTGTGAAAGTTTGAATGCGATGTGAGATTTTTTTTAATGAACCAAAATCATTGCTCCAATTTTTTTTTTATTGTCAAGCACCTTGCTATGTGGAGAAGCTTGACAAATCTGTGTACAGGTGACTTTAGCAGTTTTACCAAAGTTTTATTTGTTACATTATTATTTATTCTGTTTATTAGATCTCTATTACTTTGTGAATCTCATTGTATCTTTGAACTTTGACTCTTATAAGTATGCCTAACTGTCAAGCTAGACATTCTCAGTGCATGGCAGATTTTTGTCCTAGGGTGGGCTATATGTCTTTGGGATGGGCTAAATGTCTTAGGGTGTGCTATATGTCTTAGGGATAGACATTATAAAACAGTACTGAGGTATCGGTATAGCCTCCATTGTCAGCTGGTTTGACTCTTAATTTTCAGTGTGGTATTTTTGTTCCAATACTGACGTAAGTGGATGTAAAATGCTGTGATTTATTTAAGAATTTGTCAGAACATTGTGAACTTTATTTAAATACAACATGTCAGGTATTTTTTTCAGAGAAATTGCTTTGTTTACAATTTGTGGCTAAAAAGAAGAATTCCTGCGATGTTGTGTACTGTCATGAAATTTTGATATTTTTAAATTGATGGAAAAATTCCAGTGTAATTTTATGTATGAATTGTAGTTTTAAGACTGCATGCATACTTATTATTGTCAAGACAGGTGACAATTTTTCAACTTTACATATTTTTCATTTTGGAAACTGTTGTAGGTTTTTATAAAAATGAAATAGCAAAGAATTGCTTTAGATTTGTCAGATGTCCCCTGATGTATTGTAGATGTTGGAATCAGTGATGTGATCTGTTTATATGTGGATAATTAGAATCTCTCTTGGAGCTTCCTGTGTCAGATTAATAAATGAGATTTAGTCTCATTGAATTAAAGCAGGCTGGTCAGAATCTTCAATGTTTATCAGCTGTTCAATCATTGTACGGAAATTTTCTTCAATCATGAAAATATGAGACATTTGCCCATTTTATTTTCTCTGCATACTCAATTTGTGATCATGGGAGCTAGAAATGCCAGATTTATTTGTTCAGTATGTAGTAGGCTTCGTAAGACCAGTAGAACTCTGCTATGTGTACAGGTATCATTATGCATATCTCGGCAGAACTAAAATACACAAGGCCGAGTTCTGCAGTACCAATGTTATCAATGTGCAATAGAGACAACATATCTGGCTGACATTGATGCATTTTCATGAAATCCAGTCATTATTATTAAAGTTATTTGACATTTTCCATGTGATCCATGTGAAAATGTGTATTTATTATTTATTCAAATAAAATCTACAAAAAATATTTTTCTGTTTTCTTGTGATGAGCATTTCAGGGAGGATAACTCTAATATGATAATGAGATATACTTTGCAAGAGAGATAACTCTAATCCCAGTGACGGGGACCACGCCTTCTATCTGCTTTTACTTTCGTGTTACACTAATGTAAATTTAAACAGTTGGGGTCTTGTATTTTCCTAATACAGTAATATGTGTACAGTTGTTTCTACACTTGTTCCTAATATGTTTTCCAATTTTTGTACACTACCGTTGTTTATTGATGCTTGTAATATAGATTTCATATGTATGTAGAACAGAAATATGAAAGATACATATAACTGTCTAAACTGTATATGATTTCTTTTTCAAAATGATCTTGTTCTCTGAGCACTTGAGCAGCGATTTATAAGAAAATCTAATTTATTGATTAAAAAACTAAATGATTCATGCTAAGAATACATTTCATCTCCTTTTAATTTGTATAATTTGATCGTTAATGGAGTTTAAAATGTTGTACGCTTCATATAAATCATGCTGTGCTGTTAACAGTGGGCATTAATTAGCATACTCGTATAGTTTACTGATGATCAACTTAAAAATTGTGAAGTGAATTTTAATCCTATTTTGTAGTTCCCTGCAGATCACTTAACATTTAAATTCGCGCTTAAGCGAAACGTTAAAGGCTCCTGACTTAAGAATTTGTCAATAGCTATAATTTTTAAATACTAGCTCGGTCTGCCGATTCTTTAACCGGAATAAAAACAAACACCCCATGTGTCTGTAGCGCGTCCATAGAAACTCGCAAAACGAGGCTCCGCTATTTCAACCTTTAATCAGTGTATAATCTTGTTTTTTAAAATCATGGATATATAGACAGGCACCGATTTCTCTGGAAAATGATATAGAGGATTTCTACATTGTCTTTTCCTCTTTTTTTTGAAGGTAAATTTTCATATTTTTGTGTATATCGTTAAAAGGTAAACGTTTTGTTAAGTTCTCAATATATATTTGTCTAAACCTGCAGTATGTTTAAATCCCTGGAAGATAAGGGCGATAAAATTTAGTAGTTTCACACTCAAAATGAAAATCGGAACACAATGATTTAAGTGTTTTAAGACTGTCTATCGCCGATTTATTGCATGCATATGCTACTTTGAATTTCGCTAAGACCCTGTATGAACGAGTGCTTCGGCAAAAGAGCAGGCATTATGTTTGTTTTGGAGCATTATTACAGTGGTTATATGACACGTATTGGGAGAATTTATTACAAATCCCTCTCTGAGATTTATGGTTCAAAAGTCTTCCTATTTAATCTAAGAAAAACCTGAGATATTGTATTAGAATGAGACTTTGTATAGTCTCTGGTTCTGGGGATGGTATTATGGGTGTTGAGCAGGATTTCGTTCAGAAAGAAATATTCCGACAGTTCGAAGTCGTCTTGAGTTCTTTTTATCTATTCGCCTTTGTGTAGGGAACTGGATTTGTAGAGAAGTGTGTTACAGTTCAAAGAAAATCGACAATTTAAAAGTTGATATCCTTTCTAGAAATAAGAACGATTAGAGTGTTCAACACAAACATATTTAAATTAAAGATAAACAGGCTTCAGTCAGCACGTGGAATTGACCGTTAAAAATCAACACAAGAACACACAACTAAAATAAAACTTTTGATTTAACGAAAAATTTAGGACTAGGATTTAAGGATTTAGTACAATAATGTTATCCTATAGAAGTGTGTAATCCATTCGGATTATCTTGTCGGTCAACACATTATTTATTTAACCACATGTCAAACTTCATTGTTATAAAATTCATTTTCATTCATAAATGAATTTTGATATTAACAGAGGCATAGAAAATAGTTTCAATCAATGCCTTTAAAGAAGATAAGTCGTGAGTTTGAATTTTGAAGTTCATTAATTTTCACAATTGGGTTGTCAGTTAGTCATGTCGGTGAAATCTGTGAGGTAATGTATTTTAGTTAAGTCATTTCCTAATTTTATTTATCTTCTAATAACAGATATTTGCTTGATCATTTAAGAAATCTTTGACGGAAATCTTGGTATGTATGTAATGCATATAGGCCTAGTTTGAGTCTAATTATTAGATCAAATTGTCATTTAGTTTTGATTTCAATTCGAAGAAACTCTGAAGATTTCGAAATTTATATATATAGTAGTATAGAGAGTTAATTAGTCGTTGGCTCACATTGATTATTTCTTGGAAGTTGTCATTTTTTCTGCAAAGACCGTAGCATTTAGCCAAATAGTCCTAAAACTCTCAGATTTTCGTCCAACGGTTATCATCCAAAACTCAAGAGAGAACACGCTAGTGTACACAATCATCTCAAATGTTATTCCAAACTCGGTCCAGATAAGCCAATTGACTGGAGTGGTTTAGCGGCTCCTGCAGATAAAACAGAGGTCCGCTCTTGGACCGACCCAAATTAGGTTAGACGATCTCTAGTGACGTAGTCTGTTTTCTCATGTGAAAGGTAAAGGATTGAAGTAATACGTGTAGTAGATTGGTTTTATAGATTTAAATGTTATTATGATTAAAAATAAAGAGAGAGGGAGGGGGAGCTTATTTTGACCTGTCGCTATTTTCCTGTCAACGAGATTGTACCAGGAAGGGGACTGGATGACCCGGATTACAACAGAGTCAATGACTTATTAATACGCAGGTGTTAGGTTCTTTGAGTTTTAAATATTATATTTCATCCAATATTAGCAAAAGGAAAAGAAAACCATACATATTAGTATATTGGTGGATGTTCAATGGTCAAAATCGGTAAATAATGCTCATGTTTATCTTGTCCCTATTGACAACTCGTTTTATCGATAGAATACGAAGAAACTCAGAATGAATATTGCTAATTAATTGAATTTCAATAAATAATAATCGCGTAAAATATGGAAAATATCGACATTTCTTTACGTATTTCGGATACAGAGGACGCCCGGGAATTGTCAGTGACAGGAATTATAACAGATCAATATAACATGCACGTACATTTAAGTGTTGCTAAGTTCACAGGGTTACCGAGGTTGTGTGGGACATTTCATAAACAGATTCCTTCTTCCATAGATAAATAAAATGAAAATGTATACTCGAGGTAAAATTTCATCAAACTATAGACAAAAAATACAATGTGATTTAAAAATCGGTAAACAAATGGATTATTTGTTGCTTATGGGATTCATTGTCATAAAAAAAAGAAAGAAACCTATAACAAATTCAAAATTCAGTTCTGAAGCTTCTATATATATATATGTCATCAAAAGTATTCAAAGATTCTGACTACAATTTAATCCCCCAACCTCCCCTTTTATGTCTAGACTTTTAAAACTCGATTGTTGGATAAAATTTCCCAAAAAGACCTTGTATATAAAAAAAACTTTATTTTCACAAGAAGACTTGAATTTAAATAACTGTAATTAAATAAATTGTTTAAGAAATAATTTTCAGTCCATTGAAAGTTCAAAACGTCGAGTCACAGAATTTTATGTCGCCGGGATGGTTTTTACAAATGTATATATATATTTATCCCCTAGTTTGATTTATATTCATGACGCCTTCTGCAGTCTTTTAATGCCTGTATCAAGGCCTTTTTCTGCTCATAAATACAACACACATTCAACACTGGATAAATCGTGAATAACAGTCCGATTCAAAACCGTACAGTAATGCACTAAACATGTTCGGTTTCATTTCAGTGTAATGAAAGTTTTCCCAAAGAAATCATTACAGAGAAAAGACCCGAGAACGGTATAGGTTTCATGTGGACTTCAATCGATCAGAAGTTTTAAGGGTGTTTGATTAGCAAAGAAACTTATTAATACTTGCTCGGGTTCTCTCTTTTTTCTCCATCTGTTGAGGAGATATTGATCATTTTGTTAATATTCTCAGAATGTGGACAGATATTCCTGACTCTGTACTTAATTAGAAAGGGATAACATTACATGCACAGTCTCAAAGAAATTTATGTCTACAGTTTAAAGAATTTTTGGATAAAAGGTCCAAGGAAAACAGGCTTAAGTATGAATATAATTAATCACGGTATAGCGCTGTTTAGTATAGATAGTTAGAGACAGGGGGCAAACAAAATAATGAATTGATTTATCGATATCTCTTTCGGCCCGATACTGTATGAATTGTTTCTGATCTGTGTTTTGACGATTCCCCGCCATTCTATCCTATCGTTTGGCTTTTCCCGCCCATTGTCTACTCTCTATCACTTGCTCATTGTTGATGCAACAAATGTCGATATTATTGCTGGCGTTGCCATCAACACTGATTTTTAAGAGATTAACGGTTGATTTTATGAACGAGATTGGTTTTCAGGTTGTAGATGATCTCACAGGTAAGGCGTACTGCACTAAAGTACTAGTAGATCATTTAATTATTTATTATCGACGGTAGAAAACAAATGGCTGTATCAATGGATAGTTAGAGCATTGTTTTTTTTTTATTTGTATGATATTTATTAATAATCCGTGAACGGACTAGTTTCAATTTTCAAAATGCAATAAATCTTTCAAGTTAAACATGTCATGATTTCTGTTGGATACATTATCCAGGAATACGTACGTATACTTATAATTAATTCGAGATAATCAAATAATTATGGTCATCTCTACTTTATATGGAAAATCTATATCTTATATAATTGCTAGGTGCCTAATGATGTAGAAAATTATTAAGTTGGCAAGATAAAAAGACAAACAAAAAATCAAAGAACAATTTGTTATCGGAAATCCGTACGTTGTAAACCGTTAAACGGCCTAATTTAGATCGATATATTCGCCTTTTGTTTCACGTGTTCACTTTGTACTCTGGTTACACAAATATTATAGAGTTGTGAAACAGTTTCATTTTTAACAAAATAAAACGCTTATAATGCCTTACCAACTCTTCGTGCTATCTCAAAGCATGGATTTTATCGACAACCTTCTGTCTTTATGGTTTTGAAATTGGACAATTCGTTTGACAATTGATCTGATATCCAATTACCCACCGAATGTTCATTAAAAGATTGCTGATAAGCTAATCAAAGAACGACAAAGAGGAATTCTCCTATTGGAATTTATATCGGATTCAGATTGCAAACGGTGCCAAATTAGTTCACGTTAGGAGCAGATATTACGAGATCTATTGTTTTTTTATGGTGCTGACATGAGCGATATCTATGGTTAAAGTTGTGTATTGAAAATACCCAGGTATCATAACACAGGTTTCACGAATATCGAATGTTGTGCCTGGAATTAAATCCCTGTCCCGGTCTTTGGAATAGTATACGAATATGTTGTATGTTTGTTTGTGTGTAACGTCCTTCTGAACATTTTTGTATTACTATTTGCTCAAAAAATTTAACATTTGGGGAGAAAAAAAGGATTTAAGACTTACACGGCTAATAGATTAGTGTTTTGTTTTTCATTAGATTTTCCCTCCCAGCCGTCATGAAGGAGCAGACCTATGGCTGGTATCCTTCTCAGAAGGACGTTTACAAGGATCGCAGAATGGGCGCTCCAAATGCCTACCGTAAGTATTGTTATCATTTTTATGCTTCCCTTCGAAGAAGGGAGGGCATATTGCTTTGTTGCTGTCTGTCGGTCGGTTTGTCTGTCTGTCTTTCGGTCCACCAACAGTTTCCGTTCATTTTCTTCGCATAGGTTGCACATACTGAAATGAAATTTGGTATACAGATTTACATGTATCATGAAAATATCTAGACCAAGTTCTGTTTTGGGTACGATCGAGCAATTTTTGTTTTTGACAGAGTTATGTCCCTTGGACTTTGAAAAATTCCAATTATTTGCAGTTCCGTTCATTTTCTTGCAGAGGTTGCACATACTGAAATGAAATTTGGTATACAGATTTATCATAAAAAAAAATCAAAGTCAAGTTCTGTTTTGGGTACGATCGAGCAATTTTTGACTGATTTATGCCCGTTTGGACTTAGGAAAATTCCAATTATTTTTATTGGGGGGGGGGGTTGGCATGAGCGTTTCACAAACATCTCTTGTTTGTTACGATTTGCATGTGGGTAAAAATATCTCATTGCCCAGTACAGTGGTCTGGTTGATTTCAATTAAGGTGCAACTTTGGGGCACTTCCGACGCACTCTATGAAAACGTTATATTTTGTTGAGATTTAAAAAAAAGCAAAATATTTGGAACATTGTAACCGATAAATCATTTTTAAAAAAAAACAGGATTTTTTAAAAATTTGGAATTTTTGTGGCCGAGGATATCATGGAACATCCAATACATTTTTCTGCTGTCTCTTTTTTTTATATTGAGATGATTCTAGACTGTCGAAAATATAGTTGCTGAATCATCAAAATGGATAATACAAAGGCCCGTAGGAAGCAATTTCAGTCGGAAAAATTTTCAGTTGAAGGGACACTTCCACATGGCCGTAGGAACCGGGCACGCCCCCCCCCCCAATAATTTTGCCGATATATAGATTACTATAATAAACATAGATATTATATGCTTGTGCCCCCTCAATAAAAACGTCTGATGACCTTTTTTTTTTTTTTTTTTTTGCTTGTCAGGAAATTTTTGGTAGTGCCCCCTCAGCTGTCAACTGAAAAATGATTGGCTGTGCCCCCCCCCCCCCCCAACTGAAATTGCTTCCTACGGGCCTGTTCCAAACAAAACTTCCTTGACAAGCAAAAAACAAAAATAGTCATTACCTGTATTTACTAAGGGGACATCCATAAAGTACCCTTATTTTCTAAGTATATTACATATCGGCAAGTCGCCCGCGTGGCGCAGTGGTTAGAGCGTCTGCTCTAGAGCCGCGAAGTAAGGAGTTGATCCTTACGTCGCGGGTTCGAATCCCACTGTGGAACGTGGAGACCGATCCTTCGGATGAGACCGTATAAACCGAGGTCCCGTGTCGCAGTAGGTGCTGGCACGAAAAAGATCCCTCACTGCTCAATGGCCGTAAGTGCCGAGCATAGGACAAAATTTGCAGCTCTCCACCGGCAAGTGGTGGCGTCTCCATATGAGTGAAAAATTCTCGAGAGGGACGTTAAAACAACATACAAACAAACATATCGGCAATTAACGGGGGGGGGGGGTTCCTACATGTACAAGCCAAGATAAAATGTCAAAGAACTTTTTTCCTTATCATAATATGAGATAATAAATTAATTGCAAATCATATGAACCAATGGCTGCAGATCAAAAGTTGTACATGAAATGGTTACTGAAATATAGTTCTAATTTCAACTTACGAATCATGTTTCTAGACAGCAGTGCAACTGCATTAATATAGAAAGAAAACTTGATTGAATTATTTCAAAAAGCTTAAATATGCAAGGAAATCAAGAACTATTCCAGCAAAGTGTAATTTTCTTTTTAATTATACATCTTTATCATTTTCTGGAAGAATATTTCTATTTTTTGAACGGAATATTACACCGTGACACGCAATTGTTGTCTTTTATCCATTGGTTCTATACTGGTAATGGGTTTATAATTAATTTTATGTTCTTGTATAATTTATAAACCCATACACAATAGTATAGATCGATATTGTGATATTTCCCGTAACGAAGACAATAAATACATATCATTAATAATACTTATTGTGTATTATGTGATATTAACCATGTAAACGTGACTGCTAAGTTTTTTTTTCTTATTACAGAATTAGAGGCTATGTACAAATACAGAGACAGTCAATATTACACGGCACCGAGACCACCTAGTCCTCGCACTCCCGGGGCTTTCCGACCCTCACCATCCCCTGCAAAGCGCCCCATGTCAACCGTATCGTCACAGTCAAGGGCTACAAAGAAATCCACCCATTCTCTGCAAGTTCGGGCCAAGAGCGCCCCAATTTACGATTTCAAACCTGTGCCACGCCTTCAGATTCCTACTCCCCACCAGTGCTGGGCCATGGCTACTGAAGAAACAAACTACACAAACTTCACTCCCCAGCCACCTGCCTCTCCCGTACCCTACTCCTGGCCCACTCCACAGCCAGCCTCTCCCTCGCCATCCTTCAAGTCTGAGGATCTAAGCAAGTACAGCTCTCGTAGCGACAGAATCAAAAGTGCTGTGATACGGCGTGACAAACCTACCGCACCACAACGTCCGGTCAAATCCGCGGGACCCTCCCGGGACGCAACATATAGGACCCCATCACCCAGTAAGATCCTTAGACCAAAGACCCCGTCCCCTGTAGACTTGTATGATCTAGTGCCGGAGGAGGAAGAGGAGATCAAACCTACAGAAGAGGTTTATGACGAAAACTTGAAAAAGTTTGGTTGGAGAATGGAAGTCCACGGGGATCCTTATAACATAAAGTAAGGGTGCTGCAATACATCATGATTTCTTTTAAATTTCTAACAAGCAACTGTGGGGTGAGAGTGGAAGAGGAGCAAAAGTCGGTAAACTTGGTTTACCTTGTTAAGTTGATAAAGTACTTACCTCCCTCATTCTCCCCAGTCCCCCATGGTCCCACTGTTTCAGCATCAAATATTTCTACCATTTCATAGATCTCACAATTCTACTTAGAGAAGTCTCAATTTAAGGTATATACATGTATATATAAATATATTTCAACAGTTTTAGGGACTATGTTCAGTATATTCTATATATTTCATTGCAGACCGACCACCAAGAGGTTGCCGTATTACGTTCGTTGTGAAGAGCCAGAAATAGAACCCGAGGGTCCCAAGGTACACATGGAAAATCTGGAGACCTTCTTCCTTAACACGATTCCTCGCAGACCGGCGACATTTGCCATACACAAAGAGTGGGTATCCGAAACCATCCACGCCAAGCGCATGGAACTACAGAAGAGGGAGGGGATCAAACATAGGTGGAAAAATTTCGCTTTCGTTTATTAACAACTTTTTCCGCTTTAATTTTTATATACCTCAGCGACTAAGATGACATTTTATCAATCTACAGAAATAAATAAATAAATCTTCCAATTTCGGAAAGCGAGGATTTCTGAACAGGGGAGGAAAGAAGGGCGGATCAAGGTGTCCTCTTGTCTTGGCCATTTTTTGGTCCGTAGGATACTAATTTTCGAGTTTTACTATTTTGTTGTGGACAGTTAGAAATAGATAGGATGAACAGGAGAAGATTTATGCACAGGGTTTCGAGCTCGAATCACTGCCTGGCATTGTTCTTCATTAAGACTGTGATCAGCTACACTATGTGTAGTTACCTCTAAAGCATTGACGTCTTTCATAGATATATTTAACCATTTGAAATGATTTCTTTACAGAAAAAATTAATTATATTTGTTATAGTTTTATTATTTTAATTTTCATCTTTGTGTGTATATGTGCGTATATTTTCTATTCATGACATAGTTTTTTTTTCTCTATTCAAATACATCTCTATAGTAATAAAATTATATTGTTGATAGAATTGTTGTGTTTAATAAGGCGTTACTATTATATAAATACTGCATGTAATTGAGGGTAACATTGAAAATTTTCACCCAAAGAAAACTATTGTCAAACAAGGCGCCTCAACTACATACAGTATATTTATTATATTATACTAAATGTTTTAAACAAATAAAATGAAAGGCGAAGCGCGCGCGCATAGATTCCGCGCAGTCACTTTTTTTTTTTTGGGGGGGGGGGGATATCACTCGTCGTCAAGCAATGTTGACCGTTGCTAAGTTCTATTGCGCTGGAGGGCGTGGTTTCATCATTCAGAGGGTAACAGTGTTTTTAAAAAAAATGTTTCTCGACGAATCAAATTCAAGTTATTTACATGAAGTAAAATATAAGAAAGGAAAATATTATCTTTTAACGATGACAAGATAAAGAAATTACCCTTTAAAGACTATGAAGTGCCAAATTGATATAAAGTCAACTGAAGATGCCTTTCGTTATTTGAGGATATCGTCATTTGAGTCGCGCAATAATTAAATTAAAGATCTCTTTAAATAATCAATGATATCGTCCATCTTGAATAATTGTTGATATCATCAATTTATTTGCTGAATTGTTTCACGCAATAAATGAATTGTTGCCATCTTCAAATGAATTACTAGTAATGATCTCAACAATTGGTGCGCGCAATAATTTAATTGAAGAGAGCAATAATTCATTAAATAAATTGAAATATTGATCTCATCGATTGATTTATTGCGTGCAGTAATTGCACTCTTCATAAATGAAACCAGTCATTCAGTTCATGCGCGGAAATTCTTTTGCAGAGACTCAGAGAGAGAGAGAGTGAACAGCTCTTTAATTAGTGATATCTTCAATTCAAAACTCTGCAAATTCCATGCCCTCTCCCCTCACCACCCCCTAGCTAGGTCCGCGCATGAATCCTATAAGGATCAATCTTTGGGTAAAAAAATCAAAAGGCATAATAACGCCTTTTCAAAAGGCGTAACATCGCGTAATAACGCCTTTTCAAAAGGCGCAATAACCCTTTTTCGCGTCATTGCGCCTTTATTAGCGTTATGACGCCTTTTCACTTCGCGTTATTATAACGCCTTTTATTTTTTATTTTTTACCCACACACAAATGATACTAAACTCATGTTATAGGAATTGTCTCTACTCTGTAGTTTTCTTATACATGAGAATTAATGTGTCATTGCCCACTTAGACTGCACAGTCAGACAGACGATTTACCGGTTATGTGTATCCGATTGAGCGCTGAAAATCAAAATAGTATTTCTGACTGGGCGTTAAAGAATAAAGATCTTAGAAGCGTCATATTAGAACATGTACATGTATTACTGATTGAGCACCAAGCACTTATTTTTGCTTAGCTTCGATAGAACTGTATTTCTGATTGATATCCTTGTTTCGTCAACTTGTTTGTCAATAGCTTGCCTCGTTTTAGAAATTGTTCAGACGTAGAGCATGCTCTTGCGTATCGAATCAACTGAGAGACATAAACTCCATATGCAGGTGATAAGAGTATTTTGCTACATAAGTAAGGGAAGGTGACGATTGAAACGTTGAAGTCATCACGTTTATCATAAAGCTTTGTTGTTAGGTTACCATTAATTAAACGTCTTTTTCTAGTAAAATATCTAAATATGAAACAGATGTGTCAGAATCTGTGGTATCTTTTATTTCAAGCTAACTGGGGTATATCGAGTCGACATATGAATGAAAGTAACTAATGTTAATTGATAATACGTCGTCGATATATCGGAATGTCGAGTTGAAGGCCGCAGCAAGTGTTTTCTTCTTCTCATGTAGAAGTTTTTGAATAAATTCTGCTTCATATGAATACAAAAATAGGTCTGCTAATAAGGGGCGCAATTGGTACCCATGGGAATTCCAACAGATTGTTGGAAGACCTGATCTCCAAAAACTACATAGATATTGTCAATCAGAAACTCAAGCATCTTTTTAATATCAACTTTAGAGTACTCATGTGTACAATCAGAGTGCTTTTTAACAAAATAATTTTGTAAATGACCAGTGACAAGGTGAGTATATTTACGAGTTTCATTTTTTATTGAAAAAGCAGCTGTCTATGATGTCAAAAAGCCTGGATTTCAATCTATCGTGGAGAATGGTTGTATAAAGTGTTGAAAAGTCGTACGTCCAAGTGTCATTAGCAATTTCTGATTGAGCACCAAGTCATAAGAACCTTTCTTTTCTGATGGAGGATGAGTCACCTAAGTGTCATTAGAACTGTTTTTCTGACTGAGCATTAAAGGTGTACATAAAGCGTCATTAGCACTATATTTCTGATTGAACACCAAACATCTAAATAAGAACCAAACATCTAAGTGTCGATAGTACTGCAGTTCTGATAGTGCACCTACCATCCTAGCGTCAAAGGTGCCGTATTTATCACAGAGAACCTAACATACACATGTATGCGTCATAAGTACTAAATTTCTCATAGAATATCAAAAATCTATATGTCATTTGTACAGTGTTTCTAATAGGTAGAGAACCAAACATCTTTATGTTATAAGTACTGAATTTCTGAATGTTTATAAATGTGTCATAAATCTAACAGAATTCCAAATACATGTACTAGTATAGCAGTATAACTGTATTTCAGAAAGAGCAACATATAAACAGCTTCAGTAGAACTGTATTATGAATCAGACTAACCGTCATTAATATTATCGTTTTACTAACAGCATGACAGATTGCTTGATGGGGCGTGCTAAAATTTTGTAACAGTATGCTGATTATCATATTACTCATCGACTGGATGTTTGATTTCTGAGTATTTCTACTGTATTTCTGATAGAAGGCCATACAGCTTAGCGTCTTTACATGTAGTTCAAACATCTTAAAGATATCTGGTCATAAGCCAGGAAGGATAACTCTTAAAATCATTATTTATTTATTTCAAAAGTCTCAAAAAGAAGCTTGAAATTGAAATTTTTTCGTGCAACAATTTTCATTTTATGCATCTCAATATGATTCAAGGTTCTTTGGAGCCTTAGAAACAATATTGTAAAAAGTTGACATTTTTACCCCCACAAAAGAACAAAGATACATGTAACTATTTTTGGAGAAATCGAATTTCCTCTAATTTAGCCTTAGATAATAGAACAAGCTTTTTACACTATGTATTATATGTTAATTAAAGTAATAGAAGAACTAAAATACATCAAAATGACATTAAAGTATAATTGCTAGTGTATTTCAGGTCGCTTTCCAAACATTTAAATGTCATTGGTAGTGTATTTCTGGTGATGTACCAAACATTTAAGTGTCATTGGTAGTGTATTTCAGGTGGTGTTCCAAAAATTAAGTGTCATTGGTAGTGTATTTCTGGTGATGTACCAAACATTTCAGTGTCATTGCTAGTGTATTTTTGGTGATGTACCAAACATTTAAGTGTCATTGCTAGTGTATTTCTGGTGATGTACCAAACATTTAAGTGTCATTGGTAGTGTGTTTCTGGTGGCGTTCCAAACATTGAAGTGTCATTGGTTGTGTATTTCTGGTGATGTACCAAACATTTAAGTGTCATTGGTAGTGTGTTTCTGGTGGTGTTCCAAACATTTAAGTGTCATTGGTAGTGTATTTCTGGTGGTGTACCAAACATTTAAGTGTCATTGGTAGTGTATTTCTGGTGATGTACCAAACATTAAGTGTCATTGCTAGTTTATTTCTGGTGATGTACCAAACATTTAAGTGTCATTGGTAGTGTGTTTCTGGTGGTGTTCCAAACATTTAAGTGTCATTGGTAGTGTAATTCTGGTGGTGTACCAAACATTTAAGTGTCATTGGTAGTGTGTTTCTGATGGCATTCCAAACATTTAAGTGTCATTGGTAGTGTATTTCTGGTGGTGTATTTACCCCCCCCCCCCATGAATAAGCAATAATTCCAACAATTTCCCAAAATATTTTATATTTATTCTTCAATATGAAATATCATTAATGTTTATAATTCAATTTATATGAACAGTATAGTCAAGTAGTTGAAAAGAGTTATTAGGGTTTCTACACAGAATTCAAATTTTCTAATTTCCAAGTGTAGGGAAATTGCACATCAGTTGTACTTTGGTAGTCAGAGCTTAACATGCGACACATTGGGCGTGCATTTTAAAATGAAGAATTGGATATTATTCATCAAATGGCGATATTTTATCAGATTTTACATTTAATTTTTTTAAAAAGAAAAGTTTCATTTTTCATGTTTACATGGAAGTTAAAAATAATCCCAGAATTTTAATTTTTTGTTCAAATTCTTGAAAATTTGGGTAGGTAGGTCTTGAAAAACTAGAAAAAAAAGTGTCCAATCACTAACTAATTCAATCTAAAATGCTGGAAAATGCACCATTTGGAGCCATTTCTCAAGAAAAATTCCCGAACCCCCAGCTATGGGAGGGGGACACCCCCTCCCATACCCTCCCCTTTCGGCCCTATGGGCCTCAACCCCCCCCCCCCCCATGAACTTCTGGATCTGCCACTGGTGTACCAAACATTTAAGTGTCATTGGTAGTGTATTTCTAGTGGTGTACCAAACATTTAAGTGTCATTGGAAGTGTATTTCTGGTGGTGTACCAAACATTTAAGTGTCATTGGTAGTGTATTTCTGGTGGCATTCCAAACATTTAAGTGTCATTGCTAGTGCATTTCTGGTGGTGTCCGAAAAATTTAAATGTAATTGGTAGTGTATTTCTGGTGGTATCCGAAAAATTTAAATGTCATTACTAGTGTATTTCTGGTGGTGTACCAAACATTTAAGTGTCTTTGTAAGTGTATTTCTGATGGCATACCAAAATTTAAGTGCCATTGCTAGTGTATTTCTGGTGGCTTACCAAACATTCAAGTCTCATTGCTAGTGTATTTCTGATAAAGTATCAAACATATATCCATTATAGTTACTGAATTTATGATAGAAAACATATCATTTAAGTTCCATTAGCACAGAATTTCTATTAGAATTCAAAATCTCACCCTAGGTAGTACTGTACTCTGATGAAGTACCAAACTAAGTGTCATTAGTACTGTATTCTGATGAAGTACCAAACTAAGTGTCATTAGTACTGTATTTTTGATAGAGTACCGAACAAATAATCATCATAAGTATTGGATTCTGATAAAGAACCAAACATTAAAGTGCCACAGATACTGTATTTCTGATTAAGTACCAAACATCTAAGCATCATTAATGATGCGTTTCTGATAGAATTTCAAATATCAAAGCACTATTAGCAACATAATTCTGATGAGTCCTAACATTTCTTCTGTATTTCTTATGAGTACTTAACATCTAAACATCTTAGGAACTGTATTTCCGATGGAGCACAAAGAAACTAAATGTCCTTAGTACTTACTAATATATATTTCTATACAAAGCACCAAAAAATTCAGTATTTATAGTATGATAATTCTATAAGAATTCAAAATTAATATTACGCATCCTTGATACTAAATAATCTTAGCATATACAGAACCATGTGCTACTCGAGCTATGCATTCCTGAGCAAAATATGACCAGCATACATGCATCATTTTTGCACCCTATTAGATTGCCTTGATGTAAAGAAAAAAAAGGTGACAAATTCTGGTTGTTTCTGGTATTTATTACATTAAATTTTCAATCATCAACAATAACACAGTCAATAAATAATAACAATTTATACAAAATCACAAATCTAACACAGATGGCTTGTACAACAACAAACAATAGTTTTATTAATTAATCCACAAAATAGTGAATGGGAGAAACCCATAATGGATTGTTCATAATGATTATCTTGATGTGTTGGCAAATGGACTTTTTTTTTATCTAAATAACTTCAAAATCAAGGGAAGATTAAGTACACGAACTTTGAGGTATATATATATCCAAATTTAGTGGGAAAAATTATTTCGATTTGGAAAGTTGGGTAATCTGTTATATAAATGGGAAGCTTATCAACCAAGAAATAAATATATCAATATTTTGCTTGCCATGAACTAATGAAGAACCCACAAGTACAGTTATCTATGTTTACATGTACATTGACATTTACACTGACTTCAATAAATGTGAACACCTTTATTCATGATGTGAAGTGACAAACCAAACAAGTAAAAAGTGTCATATATCTCTCAACAGATTACTTGTCATGGGGATAATTAACTGAATATCTGTAAAAACAACCTATGTTCACAACCACATTGGTTTAAATTGAATATTGACCAGACAGCATACAATATGAAGTATTGAGGTCATTGTTGTGATGGTAATCAATGTTACTGACCATAGATAATGTATCATTTATTGAAAATAATAACATTCATCTATAGATGGTTTTCCTACGACGTATTTTGCCCTGGAGTTATTCCCCTTGGCCGCCATCTTGTAGGTCGAAGTTGTGAATTTTCCTCTTTGAGCAACCAATTTTAAACATGCATGCCAGAAATATATGGTAAAAAATATTTACAATATTTAAATTATGAATTAAAAGAAGCTTTAACAAACGTATTTTCATAAGCAAAAACAGTGTTATCTTCACCTCAGTGCCCAGTATAACAAATTGAACTTGGTTGAATAATGAAGGGATCTGGGGATGTTGACCTACAATATGGCGGCCATGGGAAATAACTCTTGCTTAAATCACCTCGATGGAAAACCATCTATAGAGTCACTCAATTTTGGCATCTAAAATGTGTTAAATCAAAGAGTGTGCTTTGAATGCTGAAGTTGTTACACACTTCTTTGTCTGAGATACATCATGCCTTTAGGGAGGGATTTCTGGGTGAAAGCTGAATATTTCTTTAAATAACTACATAAATTATACTAAAACGTGTATTTTTTTTTGTGAACACTATCTGTCATTCTTTAAATATATAACATTTGTATTTTTTTCAAAATTTTGAATTAATCAGCTTTTATCTTTTTGTTTCATTATTACTAACAGCAGATACAATGGGATAAAGATTTTCAATACATGTGTAGTTATAATAACTCAACTACTCCTACATCCTGTGAATCAATTACAGGCAAACCTTGTTATCTCAAACTCGATGGGACCAAGAAAAAAAATCAAAATATCTGAGGATTCCAGATATCAAGGGTAAAATACTTAAAGAAATAAGATTTGGGACTTCCAAATCACTTCGACATAGCCATGGTATTCGAGATATCAGTGTTCGAGATATCAAAGTTTAACTGTATTAAGTCGGCAACATTTGTTCTCACTCACAAATGTCTTATTACAGAAATTTTGCTTTTTCACTTTTCTCATATAGCATGTCATTCTCTTAAACACTTTCAAATTCCATTCTAACTTGATAAGAACAATATTAACATATTAAAAACTGAACTTTGTTACAGATTCTTTTGAGAAACAAATGAAAAGGTCAGTGATAAATAATGTGATTGTGTCATGATATTTTAAAAAAGTAAACATGCCATTTTTTTTCAACTCTTTGTAAAAAATAATGCAGTTTCTTACAGTCTTAAAATTCACTGTAATCCATAATTAATGACTCTACATTGTATGCAAACTCTGTGTTAAAAACTTGCAAAGCCACAGTACAAGACAAAAATAACTACTTTGTAATACAGATTTCTGCCAGATTTATACCAAGGGTAAATATCCATTAGAAACTGAACCATGTTGAACAATCTTATACTTTTGTTGTCCAGATTTTAACATTTCAGGGAATTTCCTAAGCAATAATGGGGATTTACTTCCGAACACCTTATTTATTTTCTATAAGTGTCTGGAGCCTGTGAATTAAGTCTCTAGCAATCTTCAGAACTTGTTTGGCTTTATGTCTCTCTGCCATTTCTGCAACAAGACCACAGTATACGTGTATCACAACTGAATACATGTGCATAAGTTAAATAAGCCAAAATATAGATTTTAAGCATTCATTTGTAATACATGAACTGTATGCAAATAGATGTCATATTAGACATACAAACAAAATAAGAAAAAAATAAATAATAAAAATGGAATACTCACTTCTAATAAATCTTCCTTATTTTACTTATTTATAATAAAATTAATCAATAATCAGATGAAAAACAAACCATTAAAAAACTTGATGATATCTGTGAAGTCCATATTGTTGTCTAGGATAATGTCCCGATAAAATTCCACTAATGCCAGGGCTATAAATAGTACAAAATGGGGGGAGCTGATGTACTTAGCCGCCCAGATTGTCTCCCATACTGAGAATACGTCATCATATATCAGCTCTGAAAACAGTAATGCAATATCATCAATGCATTCTCCAAAACACAGTATAAATAACGTACTAGACTGAGGTACACAATGACTTACTGCCTCATACATAACACAAACATGCCAGGAAAAAAATAAGAAAATGAAAATTCTTGTATACTTTTGGGATATGATTCAACAGTTGGATACAAAATATAAAATACTTCCCATTAACCACTGTTTTCCCGTTTATTGTGAAATTTTTAGGTAAATAAAAACTTTAAAAATTATATTATATTAAAGTATTAACAGACATAAAGATATCCTTGACCTTTTGATCTTTAATCAAATCACACTAATATAAATCAAGTAAACTGAATCCTACATGTAATGAATATAGATACCTTTGAATAAAAATCAGCTGAGTAAAATCAGCTTAATTAAATTAAAAACATCATACAATCTTGACCTTTTGACCTTAACATTTTAATGAGTAAGGTCCAAAACTACAACTACTTATGCATCTTCGCTAGCCAAGGGTTTCTGATACGCTACTCTCCTCATAAACCCTTGGCATACGGTGCTGACAAAAGACGGGATTGTTTTTATCACGTGATCATGATTCTTACCAGGTTACTGGTATGCACAGATTGCGTCATCGACAGAAATAAAAAGCGTATTTAAAAAAAAATGTTTTTAAAGAATAATTAACAAGAAGGTATTGAGTTATGTTAATTTGTTATTCAAACATGTAAAAATGCAAATCTACATCTTCAGTATGGATTCTTAATTACATATTTTCCACGTTGCAGAAGAAATTGGATGACACCATATTGCTATTCATAGAATGGCATGTTATCTTACGGATCATTGTTTACTTGCGTTTTACATTACCGATATTAAAGAGTCAAGATATATCCCGAACGCAAATATCGTCATTTACAAAAAACAACTGCTGATTGGTCGAACGATGTCGATCAACTCCAATCACAACTTGAGAAAAAAATCCCAACTTTTTTTAACACCGTATGCCAAGGGCTTATGAGGAGAGTAGCGTATCAGAAGCCCTTGGCTAGCAAAGATGCTACTTATGTAGTTGGTATAAATTCTTTTGGTTAAAATGAACAATTAGATTCAGTGATGGATTTAGGGCAAACACATTAGACATATATGCATGAAGCTCTAAATATAAACCAAACGTAAAATCCTCCTGACCTCGTTTAAAGTCTAACAGGAACCATCTGTAACAGAAGTAGAAGTGTGTGTAGTCACCATGGTGATGCATGTGTTCAAACAGCTCCGAATCCAAAATCTGAAATACAAATCCAGTAAAATCAAAATATAAGTGCACTAGGCAATAATGATCAATTTCTATTCAATAGTCTGGGAAAACATTATCTGTAATTGACTTGAGATCCAGGTCGGAGGTAGTACTTTGACAGAATATTACCTGTATTAGAGACCTCATGTTGGCAAAGTGAGTGTCCATGGCCCCTCCGTGGGGGAAGTTAGCAGACATTCTCTTCATTAACTCACAGAAACAGCTGTATGTTAGTGACTCTGTCAATGGTATCAAAATGTTAGAACCTTAAATACTGTATAAGTGGAATTTTTAGCGAGACGCAAATTTAGTGATTTGTCCTAAAAAATCAGTATTTAAGCATGAAGTAATTTTAGCGATTTTATGGTGCATAAAAGATAACTCTAATGTGGAATAAATTGTTAGCGATATTTAATTTCAGCGATCTCGACATCCTTGCTAAAAATGCCAAAATTGAATCCTCGCTATAATTTCTGCTTATACGGTATATGATAGAGCTGTAGTCATCATATCTTACCATCATCAAATATGACTAGAAGTGGTGCTACGAGATCACACATTCCCTGCACATAACCAACATCAAGATGTTCCCACACATATCTGTAAAACAGCAAGCATTAGGAGAAAAAAATGTCAGAAAAAATTAACCTTTACATTTGAAACTCTACGCAACATTTGTCCATTTGTTAAGCTAGCTTTAATAAGACTTACGTGCACATGATATTGCGGAGTTTGTCCAGATTAGCTGGCGTGAAGTACCAGTAGTTCCGGTCACACCGCTGTACGTCTTTATCTATTCTGTGGAGATTTAGCCCGACAGTGTCCAATATTTCTGCCTAGAACAGAGGAATAACATTTAATGATCAACTGTCTTCATGTCTCAAAATCCGTACTGTAAAATTCTGTTATCTGTTGATAAATCAAATATTTTCCGTCATACTGTGATATTTATAACAGAAGAGGTTTTATTCAATGAATATCCTTTTAAAAATATACATCGAAGTAATTTTTTCTTCTTTTTGTGGCAAAGCCAGGGTTATAAGTATCTGTTGTTGGCTGAGTAAATAGTGTTATGTGCCTCTGAAGAAAAAAACCCACAACAACGGCATTTGGAGGTTGTTGTCTCTCCTTGTATCTTTTCAATAAAATTTCAAGATACACTGTGTGTAAACTGAGACTAAAAATTGGGAAAAAAATATATTTACAAGGTTCTTCCTTATATAGTCTTCTTTCAAACCTTACAAATTGTCCCTCATGCCAGACCAAATTTGATTTGTCCTTGAAAAATTGTTGACAAGTGATATACTCACCGAGTACACCCCGCCTTGAGAGGCCGGAGAGGCAGGGGAAATCAAACTCTCCTTAGAAGCAGACAATCTTCTGTTTTGTTCTACAGAAAAAAATATACTCAAAACATTAACTAATGCCCTGTTACATGGAGAGTTTAATTCTAATTATACTTAAGTTACTGCAAATTAAATCTGAACCAAGTTCACACAGAGAATTTAATGCAAATTACTTTGCTGCGCATCAAATTACTTTGCATTAGCTCCCTGTAAACGCTTAGCAAAGCTAATTTGAATTAAATTTTGACGCATGCATAATGGCAAAATAAAGTCACATGCCACATGTCGGTGGTCAGATATAGGTACTTTTGCTATTTTTGAGTGAAAAACAAAGAAAAAACATGTTAATCTCCAAAAATGTGTGCAGACACTATGAAATTATGTCAAATGGATCTGCTCTGCATAAGATGACATGATTTGAGAATGACGTCATGATAGCCTTACTAAATAGCCTTACTGTAGAAATAAAATTTTATTGTGCATTAGTTTACTTCACATTAACTGTTGTGTGAATGCAATTTAATTCACACTAGTTTAATTTGCATTTTTTTTACTTCGCATTAATTTACTGCAAATCTGCACATCCGTGTAAACAGGGCATGAATAAGCAAAAAGGTAGTACACATGTTTCTATTCTCTTTATAGTAATAGTCATTGATAATAAGTTCTTCATATTTTTTAAATAAAAACATGGCTATATAGCTTACCTGTTGATATTGGTCCTAGTGTAGATTTAGCTGTGCCCTCTGTCATCTCCTGATCAGAAGACACATCACTATCCTCCTCATCACTACTATCATCGCTCACTTCCTCTACATCTGCCTCAGCACTGTCTAAAGAACAGGAGAGTTTTGTTAGGTGACTCCCATCCCTGTCACTCTTAAAGAAGTCTGTTCCTTCTGAATCTTCTGCTGAGTCCAGTTTGGACCTCTCCTGAGAACTGTGAGGGGCTATAGAGTCCCCTAATCCATCATCAGGGCTCTCTGAGAAAGACTTACACACATAGTCTCTTTTATTTAGCTTGATATTGTGTGAGATTTGTTCCTCCACTGTAATTATTTCCCCTTGTAGATGCAGCTCCAGGCTCTGCTTCCTGTCTGTGGTTGGGGTACATGTGGTCCCAGTCGTGGAGCTCTCCTCTATGACAGTTTCCTGGGTCATGATGTTGTCCCACTCATCCAGGGACTCAAACACATCGTTACTCAGACTAGAGTCTCCTCGTGTAAAAGGCCCAGGAGGCAGTGTCATGTCTGTGCTCTCAGATGACATGTTCTTGAGGATGTTGGCAGCCATTGTTTCCTTCTCCCTCTGTCTTACAATGGCCTCCACAGCCAGCCACTCGGACATTGTCTTCTCATAAATTGTTTTCACATGGCCATCTATTCTCTGGCGCTCCTCCTCTGTACTCTTGAAGGAATAATGACCCAAGAGATATGGCCAAACCTGAAAAATAAAATAAATACGGCATATACCAGTCTCATGTTTGCTTAAATGCATAAGTAGTAGACAGAGTTTAAAAAAAAGACATGAGCAATTTTCAAAACTGAAAGCAGCACTTTTCTACTGATTTTATTTTTAGCTGACCTCTTTCCTGATGCAGTTTTCTATTCCACCATAATAAACAAGTCTGTAGACTTCTTCTGGATTAGACACCTGTCAATAACAGACATGACATGTAGTCTACCATGTAACTTATGTATCAAAGGAGGAAAACATTTCAGTCAAGAATATGAAAAGTACATTAAGGCTGTCCAATCCCTCAAGTTCTGAAAATCAGCAGCTGAAAATGCTCAGAAATTTCACCGAATTCACAATTAATGTGTGTCTTATCAGAGAATTTTCTTTGCAGTTAATCATTATAGCTAATCTGACATACAAGTATCATAAAAGGAAAATAGCAGAACTTGAAATATTTTGTAGGAAACGTGAATATAAACATCAACAATGACTCTTTTTAGTTGAAAATTGATCAACATTTGAGAAAAAAATCTTACATTTCTGACACCACATAGAGCAATTAGGCAGATCTGCTTGAAAATTCTCAAAAGTTTGCATTGTTCAGATAACAAAACAGAAATGAATACTTATTTTTCCTTGTTGACTTGGCAAATTTTCACAGTAAAAGCTAAATCTGACCCAGTTCTTTCCTACAAGTATCATACAAAGAATCAACATGGCTTTATGTTTGTACCGATCCATTCTGATTGAGTTCCCGCCATGTCCTTTGTGTTAGACCACAGGAAGCATCATACGGAATGTTGGCTGGGACAATCCTGTGTAAAACTAACTCAGACAGGTGTGTTCTTACGGTCTTCAAGTGTCTGCAGTGGGCAAGCCCTAAATATAATAAAATAATATGATATGTATGTAAGAAACAATTATATTAATACAATCCACAATATACAACCAAGAAAATTCACTTATGGAATGGCTTTCATGAAGCTTTATAAAATGTTTGTTTTTTTTGTCTTTACAGATTGCAAATGTGACTTCCCAATTTCAAACTCTTTGAGTGCAAAGATAACAAAAATAACTATTATAATAAAAGTAATAAATCATCATGCATGTAATTTATTCTGTATGCATACATATGGATAAAAGCTATGGTCCGATTTTAATTTGGTCGATTAAGTTATTCTGCAATAACATTAATATATACATGTATTTTGAAATATATTAACAAAGTATTGTATTATCAAACATTATAAAATTTTACTTACATCCATAGAAGGCTCTGGAGATAATCTGTGTCTTCATTGTGTCACATAAATGTTTAATTGTTGTCCTGCAACATAATCATATTAAATGTTCATCTTTTTTAAAATATGTTCTTGAAAGCAGATGTGAATTTGAACAGTTATGTGCACATGTAAATTATACTAAAGCACTGACAAAGTCAAGCTGGGCCCACATCCAATAATCTTAGACCAGTTGACCTTGAATTTAGCACCACTGGCTTTAGAATGTACAGGGTTCTTTTATAATTGTGTACTGAATACGAAGCCTGCATGTTGAAATAAGGACATTTTTTTGTCCCATATGTGAGTTCATGTGAAAATAAATCATTTTAAGCTTGACCTTTGAATGACCTTTAGATGTGTGGATGTCTTTCTCTTCCAATTGTTTACATATGCAGTAAAAATGTTCTTTTTTAGTTTTAAGGAATTTCAGTTACTTAACTGCATCACTTAAACATGTAACAGAATATTCACTAGTCCTGACCTTTTATTCAAGAGAAGGCTTCATTTAATAAATCTGATTTATTTACAAAAACAAATTTAAGTCTTGACCTTTGACCAAAAGTTAAAAAAAAAAATGTATATGCCAAGGGAAAAAAAACATGAGGGAAATGCATCACAGATTTGAAATCATGCAACAAATATACTGTATGTAGAGGAAAAAGAGAAAAATTTTAATAACATACCGGGTACACTAATTTCAATTGATTCCCCATAACAGAATATTATTACTGTTACAGAAATTAATCTGATATGGCAAATCACAAATATACTGTATGTAGAGGAAAAAGAGAAAAATTTTAATAACATACCGGGTACACTAATTTCAATTGATTCCCCATAACAGAATATTATTACTGTTACAGAAATTAATCTGATATGGCAAATCATTCATCAACTCCAGCTGACCAATAGATATTTTGACAACTTTTTAGAAAAGCTTTAAAAACTATGTAATTTAATTGGAAACTACATGTATATATAGACTGGTCACAACATGAAAAATAGCAAGAAGTATACAATAATGTAAGAATGACACCAGACAAGCTGCCTTATTTTAAGATAAACAATTCTTACTAGATACAGAAAGAACAATTAAGAAAAGTATTACAATAGGAAAGCTAATGACCAGTGACACATGGCAACAACAATGTGACTCGACACCGTAGGAAAAACTTGGGCCTGAGTTACGCACATTTGATACCTGTGATCTGTGGCTGACTTATTCAGACAAGAACTGTTTTGCTGTTCTTGGATTTTGGCGTAACTCTGTACAGATGAAGAGTCCACCAGAGCAGGTGCTCGGGGGATCTTGTTAGCCCAGGAGTAGTCTCCCTTCACATTCACTTTAGGGTCCATCATTTCAGGAGCTGTGGAAACATAAAGGATCTTGGTAAATATTTCATAAAATGGTAATTTATAAGCATTTCCTTATCAAATAAATAAGTTGGTAAAACTCTATCCCCCTCAATCTGAGAAAGTCCTGAATGTACATGTACTTCATAATAAGAATTATTGCTATGTTTTTAAAATGACCTTCAATATGGCCTAGCATGAATTGTCTGTTATATTTAGTTTCAAATTTATTACCGGGTATATAACACTGCCTTGTGACAGATGATAGTAGATAAATAGATGATATAAAAATTTCAGTAGAAATATCAGTGAAAATTACTGATGGAGGCAAATACTGTCAATATTAATTTATTGTACAGATGATTCAGTGCATAAGTCCTTACGAATGCTGTCTGGTCGGCATGTGGAGATAATGCGGAACACGTAATCTGTGGCCTCCTCCTCGTCTGCACTGGAACTAGTGCTACTTCCTGTGGAACTTGTGCTGCCTGAAAGCAGAGAGAGTCGACTCCCCTTCTTTCTCAGTTTTGGGAAGACTTTTCCTGAACAAAGACCTAGAGCTATTACTTAAAGTACAAACATTGTCTGTATGTTTGTAGAACACACAACTGTTATTCTTTGCAACATCTTTTAATACCAAAGTAAAAGAAATTGGGTTGTGCAGTGACAAGAGAGTCTGAGATACCTCAGAAGGCTAGCAAGCATCTAACCATAATTCAGTAAGGTAGACAATCAGCTAAAAATTGAAAAGCTTTTGAATGAAATTCATAAAAAAAAAAAAAGGATTGCAAACTTATTTCTCCAGTAGTGCCTCTGTACAGAATATTTATTGAAATAAAACTTGGTTCAGAAAATTTAAGAATAAGCAAAGGACTGCTGATTAATTTCATGCTTCACTGAATATTATAACTAGGTAGACAGCTATATTTTTGTGTTCAGTATAAGGTTATGAATTGATAATCAGATGCACCAAAACTTTGGATAAGCAGAAGATAATTTTTTTTTCAAAGCAAAGTGCTTTTCTGTATGGAAACACAAGCAATCCCCCCCCCCTCCCCCATACAATATCTTTAAGTAATTTAAAATAATTTTTTTGGGATTGAATGAATCAAAACTTGTAGAGATGTAGAGAAAAACCAACTTCAGTGAGCTACCATAAAGCTAGAATAATACATCTGTTTATTTTGGTTAATGCATGGAAAATGTCAATAGATGGAAATCACACCAGTGCCAGAATAAGCAGAAAGTCAGTGATGCCTATTGCTTTGAAAGCCTAGACAAGCAAGTAGCTATATGTATAAATACCGGTAAGCATATTCTGGGTTGGCACTATTATCAGAAATATGTTTGTGTACCTTTACCCCTTTGTGACCAGAGAGGGGGGTCCAGCTGCCCATGGGGGAGGATACCATTCTCCAGACAGGACAAGAATGCCAGCAGGTGCCCTCCTTTAGGGAAATGGATTGGGGGCCTCTGTACACCATCCTGACCCACCAATACAATGGTACCGCCACAGTCAGCTGTAGAAAAACAAGGGAAAGTTACTTACTAGTGAGGAAGCAAACACAGAAGATTAGATCAAAATTCCAACAGGAGCTAAACTGTACTTACGAAATAAAGAATCTGAAAAAATGCAACAAAATAAGAACATAAAAAAACAAACACAACACCAACCAAAGGAGGGAAATCAAATTGAGTGAAAAGAAAACAAAAACAAAAATAAAATCATGCAAGAACATAAACAAAAACCCAGCTCTAACAGAAAAAAAAGTACTGGTATTTTTCAAATAGAGAATGCTGACTTACGCTGCTGGTGACAGTGGATATACACTATTTCATCTAGGTACACAGTTAAAGCATAGTCCCAATACAGGCTGAAACAAAACAACATCATAACATCAGCATTAGGTCTATTTAATAATAGATTCTTTTTTAAAATTAATCTTTCTTATTGATTATAGGATTATGTCCTTTTATGCTCCAAACTACTAGAGTACATTTTCAGAAGATAGTCTAAATGATCCAAAAAAAAAAAATGAAATTCATAGGGATGCAATATTTTATTTTTTAACAGATATTTCATGTCAAAGTTTATCTTTTTCATCTCACATCATGCAGACTCCCATCTCCAATATCATACCTCACATGCTTCCAACAGAAACATAATAGCAGTATACGCCCTTCTTACATACAACAATAAACATTGCACAAGAGGGTTTTCAGCAAGTTAGACAAAATTAAATACAGGAGGCCCATGGGCCACAACACTCACCTGAGTCACTATGGCCCTGCTATTCTTCAGCAGCAATTTTTTCTGTATGTAAAGCTTTGATGGCCTATTTTGGCTCCATCCTACCATCAGGGGTCACAATTTAAACAAATTGAATCTACACTACTTTGACTGCTTCCATATCAATATGACAAATCATGCCTGTGGCATTCTTGAAAAGAAGACTTAAATTTATTTCTATATATTCCTGTGTAAAAATTTGATCACCTACTGTGACCCCACCCTACATCAATGGGTCATAATTTGAAAAATACTTGAATTTACATTACTTGAAGATGTTTCCAAATCAATTTGACTAATCATGCCTCTGCTGTTCTTCAAAAAAAAAAAAAGATTTTTAAAGAATTTTCCTATTCAGTCCTGTGTAAAAGTTTGATCATGATTTGAACTTGAATGTACACTAAATAATAAAGCTTTCACAAAAGTTTCAACACTTCTGGTCCAGTGGTTCTTAAGAGGAAGATTTTTCAAGATTTTTCCCTATATATACTCCAACATAAAACTTTGCCTGGTATTATGGCCCCCACCCTATCCTGGAGGTTCTAGATTTGAGCCCTTTAATATACACTAAGTAAAGAAGCTTTCATGTGTTACAACTCTTCTACCTCAGTGGTTCTTGAGAAGAAGATTTTTGAAAATCACATAAAATTTTCATTAATTCTTAGTTAACTACCCTTGAAAGACAGTGTTGACACTTCATTTGAAAAAAAAACCTGAATCCTTCTTACCCAAGGATGCTTTGTGTCAAGTTTGGTTGAAATTCACCACGTGGTTCTTGAGTAAAAGTTAAAAAAAATGTGAAAAGGATGCCAGAAAATTGTGATCAGAAAAGCTCATTTGAGCTTTCAGCTCAGGTGAGCTAAAAAGCATTCAAGGAAATTTATTTTATTTCACTGGTACTCTAAAAAGCTGTCTGGTCAAACTGCATTGAAAACTGTGTCAACAGGAAATGGACAACAAACACATAATTTCTCTGCTTTAGTTAGTTTTTCTTAGCCATCTGTGTAGCACACTTAACAAGTGATTCTAAGATGGAGAATGAAGAAGACTATTTTCAGACTATTGTATTATACATGTGTGAATGCTTTTGTTAGTTTGTGATGAATAGTGCTAAAACTGATATCTATGTACATACAAACCCTTGTACCAGATCTACAATAGACCCAAATACACAAAATTCTACCTGTATATCAGACACTGAGCAAAAAAGTTACCTTTATCAAGCCCCAGATGACTTAAAACTGTAAAAACCACATTTACATAGTATAAAAAAGTCTGTGACATACATCAACACATAAAAACATCAATCATGGGAATAAGATCACAACATGGAAGATAGGACATCAACAAGGAAATGGTCGGTTATTATTTCCCGTTACCTGCGATCAATTTCATCATCTGTGTCCTCACAACACCCATTCATCAGCTGATTAGGTGTCCACATGATGGTCAGACCCTCGGCCGATTGATGGAGGGACAAATAACCGGCTAACGGCTCTGTGTCCTCTCTCTGAAACATCATATACAGATGATACATTGGAAACAGGATTTTGATTTTTTATAAAAAATATAGATGAAAAAAATGTAGCTATTTTAAAATTCTTTATTACAGAATTTTCCAGAAATGAATACAATAAAGATGCATTTTTTCTGAAAAATTTAAGAAAAACTTAAATTTTCCTGATAAAATAAATGGTTTGATATATGCATTTTGACTTCAACCTTTGAACCTTTGAACTTTAAATATGAAAAAGCTCAGTTGAACAAGAAGTTTCTAAAGAGACTTTAGCTCTACTGGTTTGTACTACGGAAGTGAAATGTACATGTAGTACTTGGGTTGGAAACAGTGGAAATAGCAATAAATAGAATAATGATCCTTGTTTAAGTCTCTGTAAGTGCCAAACATTATTGCAATCGGTATAAAACTGTAGGAATAGCCTACTTAAAGAATTTCACAGAAATTTCTATTTAAAAAACCATTGCAAAATCTGTCATCAAAATCAATAGTCAGAATTATATATCTTAGTATAATATATTTGTGTAACAAGTTTTATTGAAAATCAGACTAAAACTGTAGGAGGAGTAGCATTTTGAAAGAATTTTGATTTGTAGTAACCATGGCAAAATTATTCCCCAAAATTAAAAATCAATGATCAGATCTACATGTATGTATCTTATGTACAAGTTTTATTGAAATCCGACTAACACTGTAGGAAGAGTAACATTTTTGAAAAAAAAAATTCACAGAAAATTTTTATTTTTAATAATCTTGGCAACCATGTTCAATAAAATCAAAAACTGATAATTAAATTTACCTGACTTAGTCAAGTCTCTTTGTAAGGCAAGTTTTATTGAAATCAGACCATAACTGTAGAAGGAGCAACATTTTGAAACAATTTCACAGAAATTTCTGTTTTTAGTAACCATGGCAACATTATTGATTTTTGAAAGAATTTTACAGAAATTTCTCTTTAGTAACCATGGCAACATCACTATTCAAAATCAAAAACTGAAACATAAAATTATGTATTTTATGTAATCTACAGTACTTGTGCACTAAGTTTTATAGAGATCAGACCAAAACTGTAAAAGGAGTAGCATTTTTGAAAAATTGTTTACAGACAAAAAGACAAACAAACAGCTAGACATATGGACAACAGACACCTTACTATTGCATAAGCTCTTCTGGTCTCTGACCAGTAGAGGTAAGAATTAGGCAGATTAGGAAATTTATCTGTTGTGCTTACCGGTTGAACCAAAACATTGTTTTTTCCATACAGTAGAGTTGTCTTTGAGTTTTGGTGGAGTGATTCCACATAATCACGAGCCGAGTGATGGAAACTCTTAGAACTCTCCTCACTGCTAGAGCTTGTGTTCCTCATCTGAAAATTTGTCATCGGCTAAAATATAAAACATGGTACAGGGTTGCAGGTAACAGGATATTTTATAGATATGATTACATGTGAAATACTTTATGAACAGTAATGGCTAGATATACATGTAATGATGTACTATGACAATAGTATAACACTGATTTGGCTATTCTATGTTTACCTGCAGACCCGGTCGTTTAGGTGAGCCTGGACCAGTCAGGTGGTTGGTGCTGGAGTGTATCCTGTGGCGCTGCACCAATTCATCTGCTGGGGGATCTGTCCAAAAGTGATCTGTGGTCTTCATTTTAGTGTAGTCCAGGGCACAAGGACCAACTTCAATTTGATAAAAACATACATTGAAGTTAATTCAAAAAGATTTGTGGTCTTTACAAAACAGGTATCTTTTTTGTCTTCATTTTTCATACAAATAAAGCTTTTTCTCATATTAAATTCTCTTTTTTTCAATTTGTGTATGTTCCCAAGTTATTTTTATCTTCCTTATTGCAATCCAATTAATTCTTTCCTACAAATTTAGACAGAAAAATAACAAGAGGCCCATGGGCCACATCGCTCACCTGAGTAACTTTGGCCATGCTGTTCTTCACCAGATTTCCCCCCCCCCCCTTGTAATACCTATTGTGGCCCCACCCTACCCCTGGGGGTCATGATTTGAAGAATTTAGAATTTACACTACCCCAGGATACTTCCACATAAGTTTCAGCTTGTCTGGTTCACTGGTTCTTGAGTAGAAGATTTTTAAAGATTTTTCCTATATATTTCAATGTAAAACTTGGATTCCCTATTGTGGCCCCGCCCTACCCCCGGGGTCCTGATTTGAACAATATACAATCTACACTACCCCAGGATGCTTCCACATAAGTTTCAGCTTTTCTGGCCCAGTGGTGTTGAGAAGAAGATTTTTCCTATATATTTCAATGTAAAACTTGGATTCCCTATTGTGGCTCCACCCTACCCCCGGGGGTCATTATTTGAACAATTTAGAATCTACACTACTTGAGGATGCTTCCACATAAGTTTCAGCTTTTCTGGCCCAGTGGTTCTTGAGAAGAAGATTTTTAAAGATTTTTCCTATATACAGTGTATTTCAATGTAAAACTTGGATTCCCTATTGTGGCCCCGCCCTACCCCCGGGGGTCATGATTTGAACAATTTAGAATCTACACTATCCCAGGATGCTTCCACATAAGTTTCAGCTTTTCTGGCCCAGTGGTTCTTGAAAAGATTTTTTAATGATCCCACCCTATTTTTGTCTTTTCTTGATTATCTCCCACATAAGTTTCAGCTTTTCTGGCCCGTGGTTCTTGAGAAGATTTTTTAGTGATCCCACCCTATTTTTGTTTTTTCTTGATTATCTCCCCTCGTAAGGGGACTTGGCCCTTTATTTTAAGAATTTAAACTCCCCTTCACCCAAGGGTACTTTGTATTAAGTATGGTTAAAATTGGCCAAGTGGTTCTTGAGAAGAAGTTGAAAATGTGAAAAGTTTACAAACAGACGGACGGACGGACGGACAGACGTACGACGGACAATGGATGATTAGAAAAGCTTACTTGAGCTTTCAGCTCAGGTGAGCTAAAAAGTAGGCATGAAGAGCTGATGTGATACACACCCAGAAGAGAGGCAAATATTGGTCCATCTACTGGATCAGCTATCAGAGCCTCACTGTCATAATACCGACTGAAATCATAACCAAATCTTACAGAGTTTAACATTTCAATCAATGCATTCAAAATGAGATCTTAATAAAAATACATACATGGAAAACAAAAGGTCATGTGACCACAGTGTTAAAATGCTTTACATTGAAATATCTGCTGGTAGATCAACTTGTTTACAAAATGTGTTTTATTAAATAATCAAATGCTTTCTTAATTTGTTTGTTCAATATGTGAATTAATGGTTGTGAAATTGCAGAAAAAGTAAGAAAGCAGGTTATGTTAATTTTTTCTAGAATGTTGCAAATGTTAATCCCCATATTTATACGGATCTGGATCTATATAAATGGATGAAAATGTGTAAAATATTGCATTTATTATTAATTTGTATGTTACATTGATGGAAAAGCCCACTTCTTGAGAAATCTTTCATACAGATAGCTTTAAAAACTGGATCTTAATTGACTCATTAACAGAAATCCATTATAATATTCAGTAGATGTAAATATACAGTTGAACTTTGGTATCTCCAACACGGATATCTCGAATACCATGGATATGTTGAAGTCATTTTGAAGTCCTTACTACTTATTCCTTAAGTATTTTACCCTGGATATTTCAAATCCTTGGTTATCTTGAAGAATTTTCTCGATCCCTTCGAGTTCCAGATAAGAAGGTTTGACTGTATGTCATTTAGGCTTAAGTTGAGCCAGGCAGAAGCAAATACTGATGGAAGAAATACCTATGCCAGCTGTCATTTTTTTCAAGGAGAAGAAACAAAAATACAGACAGATGGGAGGACAGACTTTGATTTTTATTTTTGTTAGACTCATGTTAACCATTGTTAAGATGAAAAGTGTTAGAGCCATGCAGTTCTAGGCTTTCAGCTTTTCATTAGACTTGATGTATAATTTTCATTTAGCAGTGTTTTTCTATGCCAGCAATACACAGTGGAAATCATGGACTTTTCCCCCCTCATTATGCTCTGATGAATTTTCATTATTGATTCCTTGCATATAGTTTCAGTGAAATTCATTTGGCTCAGTATTATTTTCACATGAGGCCCTCTACATGGACAACTGCTGAGATGATTCACGATAATCAGACACATTTCATCAGGCAGAGGAAACAGAATTATTTCTCATTTCTTGGATTCTGATCAATTGATGTAAATTAATCCCATGTTAACACAAAGCCTTGAACTTCTTTTCCCAAATTTGATGAATCTGTTCAATTCTATTTGAGAAAGCTTAGGAAACACACTTTAGTCAATATATCATCAATATGCTAACTCTCATTTAATCGCCTTATTTCTATGGTCCTATTGATGCTGTGCAAATTATTCCAGAACAGACCCATAAGGCATTTACACAGGAAATTGACGACATCTCGGGAGGCTGCTGACAACGGTATAATTATGTCAGAGCAATAGATGTTGATGGTTTGTCAGCAGACTAATTGAAACAAACAGATTCTAGAATGTCAACAGCTGATCTCCGCCCTAAGAAACAGTCTCATAATACCAACCTCAAAAACAAAGGAACGAACAGCTGCCCTGGTCATAACAACCCAATGGCTTGGAATCTAGAGAACTTTCAGTCATGATAATGCATTTATCATTAAAATGAACAAGCCTTGAAATGTGGAAGAGAGAGATTGCAAAGTAATAAATGACCATAAAGAAAATGTTGATATGATCCTTTACGTTCAAATCTTTCAGAAAATTAGTTTGCAGCATTTACTCTGTTTCCATTTATGTCCATATAGACTGGATCTTCTCCACTGACCAAACTAATATCAAACTGCTACCAATAAGTGCATTAATTACAATCTGATTAATAATTCTTAACACCTAAAGAGACAAACACTGTGTGATACAGAGTCAATTCAGCAACGTTTCGACACTATCTGAGAATGGCACCAGAACCTATTGATTTGGCTACAATCTCTACAAAATAATTATAAAACTGTTTACTCTGCAGCGGAAATCTCTCCTTAATATTTCTGTTATTAACAAACACTACAATGTTCAATATATGCATGCCATATTTCTCTCTATCCAGTTCACATGTCAATCGTGATAGAAGCTGACTGTGAGTCGAACATATGATTAGGAAAATTCAGACCCCAACATTATACACTAATGATCAGTACAGATTCAAAATTTGATGAAGACAAATGAATTTTAATTTACTGAACTTCAGTAACATGTATTTAATATACACAGAAGAAATACGCAATTAACAAGGCATTGTCTACCATTGCCATGTATTGCATTTAAAGACTCTATATATCACCCCAATTTCCAGATATACGTCTGATCTCTATTGATTTATGCTATTATTTCTTGTACCTATCCCCTGAATTCTATCGGACAATAGTAAGTATTGTTGATGACCTACTTATCAGGCATTCTCTGTTATAGTCAGATGGGGAATTGATGTGCAATCAACCAATCAAATGCAGACATTTGGATGGCAAACTGTCAACATGGTGGCTAATGAAACAGGAAGTGGGGAGGTAATCCTAATCTCCCTAGATAACTGGCTGTTCTATTAACTGAACTCAAACCATAAAACTGATAATAAATCTCTAAAGCCTCAAAGATTCAACTAGGTTACATTTCTTACATAATTCAACTGTGATGAACGAATTCTTCAAAATGAAATATGTGCACTAAGGTCTTTTCAATACAGAAAACCTGGATTTGAACTTTTCTTTCACCATAATTTCCTTTTTAGTCCTAAAAAAGACTTATTTTGTAATAAGGCCTTTAAATGTATTAGAAACTGTTCTTTATTACCGGTAGTTTTGGGATAAGTTCTGCAATAAATTTCAGACATTTCAATATTTTTTTTTCATTCAGAAGTAGTAATGTCTTAATACTTACTATTATCTGAATCTCTGAATGTCAACCACACAATATCATACATGGTATAGGCAGTATATGTTTGTCTAAATCTTTTACTTTCAAATTGATTTCAAGACATTTTTTCTAACTAGGCATAATGAAATTGTCTTGAAACCAACTGCCAGCAACTTCTTACCTGTAATTCTGAACAAGGTAGTCAAGTATTTTGTGGAGCTGTTTTTCGAATATGGCTAGTCGTATCCAGAGATATCGCGGTAGGCAAGTCTTACAGGTCTGCTTAGTCTGGTTTTTATTGCTGTCCACACTCTTTCTACAAATACAGCAATATCTCCAAATTAACTAGACATAAAATTTTCTGTTCAAATAATTCTATGAATATATGTACTGTTTTATATAATTTCCTAAACTACAATTCATCTAGGTTAGCAATATGAAGTTATTAATAATATTTATACAATGACCTTGTGTTAGTCATGATACAGTCTTTGTGTCCTTATGAGCTATCAATGTTTTTATGTTATAAAGAAAATACTTTTTCACTGACCCAAATCCAAATAACCTTGCATACACATGACCACAGGTCATAAACACCTTCTGCATCAAGTATGAACTTTTAATCTTTCTTCATTACAATCAGCATCCAGTAAAAATTAGTACGTTACAAAAGTACATGTATTAATTATAATCTATCAATGTTTCTTTTCTTATAGTCTGAATATCTCTGCACTGACAGACAGACAGGTAGATGGACAGACAGACAGCCAGAGTAATTCCCATTTATTATTAATCTTTGCAATTGAAATAAAACATTGGATGAAAAAAAAATTATTTAGGATTTCCAATAGATAGAAAGTTTCATTTGTAATGGATATCATGATTATTTATCTTATTCTGTGAAAAACCAATAGAAACTTTCAGCAAAGAGGAGATAAAATCAACACTTTCAGACACAGCTGATCACGTCAACAAACTGTAAAATAAAAAAGCTTTATATAATGGGAAAAAGTTGCGTAAATGATTGACAAGTCACCCACGCATAATTAATCCATTTCCTCTTTGCACTTGATTACTGTAGCTTTGTCACAATTTTATACTAGGAGTCTGTTTAATATAGAAATGTATGAAAGGTTTCCCTGTTCTCTCCTAGGGTAGTGCTTGGGCGCTCTGAGAATACTTAATTTAAAATAATGGAGTTGTTTACCATATCATCCAAAGAATTTATACTTAATTCTTTTCTCAAAACATTGGGTCCTTGGAGTAAAATGATTTTCATTTACAACATTTCAAACAGAAAAAAAAACCCTAGAATTTCTATATTTTAAAATTTCAAGGTTAGTGATCCGCAGTGTTTTTCTCAGAGAAAAATAAAGTTTCACTTCTATTATTTATCTGAGCAGTTTTAATCAACAAGATGTCACATGAACCATAGTGGAATTAGAATGTTTACAACAGAAAGCAGCCACTGTAAATACGCATTCTTATTTTATTGATTATCTTATCTTAGCACTGAATCTTCCACACTCAATATACCAAAATTATTTTACTTTTATATTTCTGTTACTACATGTATTTGTACATACACATTTTCTAATTTATGATTTCACCACCTGCTCAAATGGAAATAAAAAGAACATCTATATACAGACTGTTATCCTACTGCCAAATTCAATTTCATCTTAAATTAAAATATCTATTAAATTAAAATGGGCTAAAATTTGGTCATGCCATTTACTTGTACACTACTGTTACCTGTATATTACTGTTTACCTGTACACTACAGTTTACCTGTATATTACTGTTTACTTGTATATTACCGTTTATATGTATTTTACCATTTACCTGATTATTACTGTTTACCTGTATAGTACTGTTTACCTGTATATTACTATTTAATAGTACTGTTTTCCTGTATACTGCTGTTTACCTGTATAGTACTGTTTACCTGTATTGTACCGTTTACCTGTATATTACTGTTTACCTGTATTTTACCGTTTACCTGAATATTACTGTTTACCTGTATATTACCGTTTACTTGTATATTACCGTTTACCTGTATTTTACCATTTACCTGATTATTACTGTTTACCTGTATAGTACTGTTTACCTGTATATTACTATTTAATAGTACTGTTTACCTGTATTCTGCTGTTTACTTGTATAGTACTGTTTACCTGTATTTTACCGTTTACCTGTATATTACTGTTTACCTGTATTTTACCGTTTACGTGAATATTACTGTTTACCTGTATATTACCGTTTACCTGTATATTATTGTTTATCTGTATACTACTGTTTACCTGTATACTACTCTTTACCTGTATACTACTGTTTACCTGTATAGTACTGTTTACCTGTATAGTACTGTTTACCTGTATATTACCATTTACCTGTATATTACTGTTTACCTGTATATTACTGTTTAGTTGTATATTACCGTTTACCTGCATATTACTGTTTATCTGTATACATGTATTACTGTTTACCTGTATAGTACTGTTTACCTGTATAGTACTGTTTACCTGTATATAACTGTTCACTTGTATATTACTGTTTACCTGTATATTACTGTTTACCTGTTTATTACTGTTTACCTGTATATTACTGTTTACCTGTATACTACTGTTTACCTGTTTGCCTCGTAATTATTTTCCACATTATTCAGAGATTTGAGTACAACAGCGGCTGGTTCACAACTTTTGGACAGTTTTTGCAGTAGTGCAGTAGTAGAACTCAGTTTGAACAGTCCTAATGCTCGCTTTCTGAGGCCATGAAGGAGACAGGCCTCAACAGCTCCTAAAACAAAGGGAGAGATTTCTGACACAGCAATCCATATTGAAAGGTTAAAAACATTTATACCTCAATATTAAATCTAATAACCTTATTGTAGGTCTATAATTTCTATTAAAGGAGTTCAGTATTTTGTTTAACTGACCATGGTAGTAATACTTTAAGGATATAATATAATTTATCTTCAAAGAATAGGGGATAAATTATGAAAGATCTTACTTAAATAATATACTTTGAACCAATTTGGCATGATCCAACGTTCAAGGTTTAGCATAAGTCAGAATACCCAGAACCATTTCTTTAAAATCAAACTTTCATTAAAGACTAACTCAATCTGATTCATAATTCAAAAAAATAATCCATTGTATCTTAATTCTTTGAGAAATATGTGAGATTGATGATTTTTGCATATTCTCCACATAATAAGCAATGAGAGATTCTTTATAACAGTATCCATCATAATACTTTTCACTAAGAGACAATCCTATCAAACTATAGTATAAGGAAGTTCTCTGGTTAAATATGATTTTCATGAAAAAGGCCTCCAGCATGTTTAGTTCACATAAGGAATACCATATTTTAACATGCATTTTTAGAATTAAAGTGAAACTGTCAAAAATACAATACTTGTTTCCCATATACTAACCACAAAGTTCAGAACACCATCAGACTAATATGCATAAATAAGACATTTTCATAAATGCCAAACCATCATTAACTGTGACAGAACTTGTGAAAATAAAAGTCACAGTCTGCCTTTTATTGCAGACTATTGCTTTAGAAGGCAGAAGTTGGGCATTACTAACAACTAATTTTTATTGTAAAAGGAAGGGTAAATAGCTTCCCAGGTCTGAATTTAAGCCTTGATAACAAAATAAGACAAAGATAGAGTGCACAAAACCTTATGAGTAATCTCTACACTCCCAAATGTATATAGTGGGATCTAAACAAACATGTTTAATGACTAAAACTAACAAAGGAATAATTGCAGTTTCAACATGCCCAATATTTCAATCAAAAGGATTAAATAATGGATACCCAACACACTTTTGAAAAACCACAGAAGGAATAAAAAGAACTCAACTAAAACTGTCCCTATTGTGATGTCACACAAACTTAACAAAATAAGGCATAAAAAGTTGTCACAAAGTGAGCACAAACAAACCTACCATAAAGACACTCCATACAAATTCACTGTACATGACATATCAATTAAAGGGGATACTGATTTATAACAAAATGGGGAGGGGGGAGGTGTAAACAACTAATCACAAATAAATAAACTTACAACAAAGAGAAGCAAAACAAACTTACCACAAAAAGAAAAAAAACTTACCACAAAAAGAAAAAAAACTTACCACAAAAGAAAAAAAAACTTACTACAAAGAGAAGCAAAACAAACTTACCACTTAGGGAAGTAAGACAAACTTTCCTCAAAGGGAAATAATAAAAACTTACCATAAAAGGAAGTAAGATAAACTTACCACAAACAAAGGTAAGATAAACTTACCAGTTACCACAAACAGAAGTAAAACAAACTTACCAAAAAGAGAAGCAAAACAAACTTACCACAAAGAAAAAAGTAAAACAAACTTACCACAAAGGGACATAAGACAGACTTTCCACAAATGGAAGTAAAAACAAACTTACCACAAAAGGGAGAAAAACAAACTTACCACAAAGGGAAGTTAAACTAACCATAAAAGAGAAGTAAAACAAGCTTATCACAAAGTGAAATAAACAAAGTTACCATAAAGAAAAGACAACCTTTCCACAACTGCCACACTAGGAAGTAAAACAATCTCATCACAAAGGGATAAACTTTTGAAAATATCACAAAGAAAAATAAAACGAGCCAACTATGAAGGGGGATAATGCAAACCAACCACAAAGGTATAAAGGGAAAACATTTTTCCACAAAAGAAAGTAAAACAAATATGAATCAAACTGGAAGATAATATACACTTTCCTTGAAGAAGGTATTACAAAATTACAACAAAGGAAGAAAAAAAAACCCACAAAAGAATTTGAAACAAACTTACCACAAAGGGAGGTGATGCTGCTACTTTCCTCATGGACAAACTTCCTGGTGACAGCTTCTTCCATTATCTGCTTCACCTAATACAAAAGAAAAAACAACCATGACGAATGAACATTAAGGTTCATCGATACTCTGATAAGAGAGATAACTCTTAATGACTTTAAATGACTTTTATTCCTTCATAGATTTGTGAAGTTGAAATGTCTTTTTTGTTTAATTTTGTCTTGCAAGCTATGGTATAATTGATTTACTTATAAAATGTATTTCTTTCGGAAAATCATAAAAGTTAAAATCAACATTTTATATGAGTGAGCAGAGGGTTAATGAACCTTAAATGTATTCTTACCTTAATTTCAATATTTCATATAAAAACTATACACATATTTAAATTTTAAAAATGATGTACCATTACCAAACACCTCATTCCAAAGTTTCAGTTTAGTATTCATTTAAGTACTAGATTGGCTACATGCTAATACTTGTAATGGTCAACAAACAAGTTGAAACATAAACATTACAATTATTGTATTCTATTAATAATATATCAGTTCTTCATCTTCATGTCACAACATTATTGCCTATATTTCACATCCGAAAGCATAAACATAATACTTCTGTTTGCCACGACATGTTCTATCTAAATGCAAATCAGTTGTTTAGCAATTTTCAGTTTGAGAAATGGGCTGTTGGGTAGTTGTGAGTAATGAGAATACGCTTTAAGAATTATTTATCAATACAAGTTTTTGTCAGTGTCTTAATCCAAAACACAAACTAAAAAATCTCACGGAATAGATTTCTAAAAGTCCATTTTTAATTAAAGATCCTATGATCATGCCTTTAGACATCCCATCTTACACAAAAATACACAAAGCTCATATAGCTTTGGTAGATTCCTACAATCTTCCTGCAAGGAATAAATAGAAAAATAAAGAGGGAGGCATGTTTGGCTCATTAAATAATAGAATATCATAGATTCATGAATTGAACAGACAAGGAAAATGTCATGTATGTGGACTTCTATAGACTCATTACTGCCATCAGGAATTAGAGACCTCTAATCACCTCTTCTCTGACCTTCCTTTTCTATCTAATAATTACTTAATGCAATAAGATGTCAGTAGTCATCATGCCTAATAATACAATAGTCATCATGTCTAATAATAGTCATCATGTCTAATAATACAAAAGTCATTGAGTTTAATAATTGTCTATTTTAAAGAAGACAAGCAGCCCTGTCTCAAAAAAAATGCTTACTTTCTAATACATGAACATGTATTGTGAGAAGATTTTATAGTATACATTGTGATCTTATTTTATAGTATTGAGTATACATTGTGATAAGATTTTATAGTATTGAGTATACACTGTGATCTTATTTTATAGTATTGTGTATACATTGTGATCCTATTTTATAGTATTGAGTATACATCATAAAGACCTGATAATATTCAGAAAATCAGTTATTAAAGTGGGTGTAGGTAAATTTTGCACAACTCAGTTCTCATCTTAATAGGCACATTTTGGGAATACAAAACATCCGGATTAGACTAGTTCTATTGTATATTATTCAGTGAACAAGGGAATTGGTCTCTCCTGAAATACATGGATGTTGAACCATGACTAAGCTGTACTCCTGTTTTATAATTAATAAAAACCTCTGCGTACCCAAGTATACTGTTATAAACTGTCAATAATTGCCTCCTGAATTATTGTTTTCAGCAAGTTGAAGTCATTCATCTAGCTTATCTACACATCAGCAAGGTTTGTCAAAGAGAAAAAAACAAGGCAATATCCAACAAATCAATGACTCTACATAGGCCATGGCTTCCTCTCTCGGAGTCTCAGTTGATATGTAATAATATCAGTTTATATGGGACCAAAACCAAAAAAAATTCTTTGATATCATATGAACATAAAAGCAGGCAATTATGTTTTACACTTGGTGATCCAATATAGGGCATTCATAAAGCAGCACCTTTTAATACATAAAACAATTTCAAATGCTGAGATAGTAGGTTAGTGGGTTGCACTTACTTAGTTATATATAGCATTTTGGAGACAGAAAAAAATTTACTCTATAGTATATTCCATTTTACCAACAGTTATTTTATTGAGTTGTAATTTCAATTTGTCTGGTCATCATAATAAACTGCATTTAATAATACTTGCTTATTATAATACATGCTTCATGTCATATTTATAATAATAGTTCATGGAATTATATGTGTATTAATAAAGCCCCTCCCCCTCCACCCAATTAAGATAGATATGTGTAAGAGGAACACAAATGCCCTCACAGGCATTCAAGTACATCACATTAAATACTATAGATTCCTTATTTTATTGCGAGTACTTTATATGGCCCTTAGAAGTCAAATAGCAAAAACAATAATTTGCGAGTAGACGCTTGATCTAAAGACTTTAAATGCATTTCAGCACCATAAAAATAAAAGCAAGTAATTTGATTTCGGAATTGGTGCTTCTCACAAAATTAAGTGATAATTAATTCCTCGCGTATATTTGGGAATCTACAGTATATGAAAGTCAAAAAAAAAAAAAAAAAAAAGAAGGTGAAAATAATGGATGAAAATGAAACAAAAATAGAACATCATATGGCTGCTTCTGTTTTCTTAAATCAGTTGTCAATACCACAACTTTTCATCTGTAATAACAACAGAAAACAGCCAGGGAAAACAGTAATTATAAGAAATTTTCAGTCTAAGGTCAGAATTCTGGTGAGATTGGGTCAAATTTGTCCTGCAAGAATTAGCACAGCAAAGAAAAAAAGTCTGGAAAACAGTGAATAATCAAAGTCTTGTGAGAAAATGGGTCAATTAACATGAAACTCAAAACTGATTTGTGAGTTGTCAATATTAGGAGACATACCAAAAAATATCTACAAGTATACCAGAAAACTAATTATGATGAAATGACAGAATGAAAGAAAGGAGAAATACTTTTCACCCTGACTGTTTCATAGTTGGGGGTATAAAAACTACAAAAAGATTTTCTCTTCAAAGCAAACCCACAAAACCACAAAAACCAAGTTTAACTTTGCGGTTATATTGGTACAATCAATACGAGCTCCTCATAAGAGAATCAATTTGTGGCAGATTCAGACCAAATCTATCTGTAAATAGTCAGATTTTCTTCATCAATATCAATTATGAGCACTACCAGAAACCTCAAGAAATTTTTTTACATATGTTGGCAGAGTACATTTCTGCGGACTCTGTGCTCTATTTGATGTATAGCAATCAATAAGCGTGGGAGGAGGTGGCTGTGTTTTATCACTCGTTTTATTGATCTCCCTCTATTAACTCTGGAACACGACTTAGAGATCAAAATAATTTAAATTGAAAAACAATTCACGTCGAACTTCACATTTAGGAAATATTGTCAGCCACAGACCAGTCTTTGCCCTGATGGTTATGGCCTGTCTAAGACAGTAAGGTGCCATACACAGACAGCAGGGTAACCTCCTGTGATTCAGTGCACCCTGCTTTCACTGTAAAGATCACCAGTAACAACACCATAGAGAAATAATCATTATTGAACCAACAGTAACACAAGAAATCAAAAGTACACAGTATGACATAAACACAATACATGTATACTGACACTGAGAAGGCAAAATGAATGAAAAGTATCTAATTCTTAACATGAATATCTTTCATGCTGTCTTTCTCTGCAGCATTTAATTTCTGGGGTAGACTTTACTTTACCTATCCCCAGATCCACAAGATCCGCATGCTCATTGGACTATGACGTAAGATTTATGTCACTCAACTAATAAGGGTTAGTCTTGCACACTATTCGACTGATTAGGGTTAGTCTTGCACCCACCTGAAAGATTTGGGTTAATCATTGCACAAGTATTTGACTGATTAGGGTTATAGTCTTGCATCCATCTGAGAGGCTAGGATTAGTCTTAATTAGGATTACTTGGCTGATTAGGGTTAGTATAGCATCCACCTGGATATTTGTGTTAGTCCTCGCATACGAACCAAGAGATTAGGGTTAGTGTCTTGTTCTTTTAGATTAATCTATATTTTTTGCAAGATCTTTCAGCTTTAATAACATTATGTTGGTTTGTTTACATGAAAAAATGGTTAAGTACAAAAGAAAGGGCACTAAGCATGCACCGCACACTTCCCTAACAATTATTTTTGTCAGTTTTTCACTGAATAAATAACAATATTTATTGAATGTTTTTAGAGAACAAGGTTTCAATGTTTAAAAACAAGTGAACCTCATGACTGTTAATTCCACAACACGTACTTGAACTGAATAGTTTTAGTGTGTATACCAGATAATTAGATAGAATATCTCATTTTTAGTGTAAGTAGAGGCCAGTTGACACTGCAGTGGGATATGGACTTTGCAGTGGGATATGTAAGTGGACTCTGTAGTAGAATACGTAAGCAGACTCTGTAGTAGAATGTAAAAGGTAAAGATAATGAACAGTGTTCGATCTTAAAAAATCTATGAGCAATACAATTCTGTGAAGAGGGCATAAAACATGGACCCCTAAAAATTCCAGAGGTGGAATCAGGTGCCTAGGAGGAGTAAGCATCCCCTGTTGACTGGTCACACCCTCCGTGAGCCTTCTGTATTGATCAGGTAGATGGAACATTACATGACATAAATAGTATATAATATATAGAATATGTAAGCAGACTGCAGTGGGATATGTAAGTGGACTTTGTAGTGGACAATGCAAGTGAACTTTCTAGTAGAATATGTACGCAGACTCTGTAGTGGGACATGTAAATAGACTCTTTAGTAATATATGCATGTATAAACAGATTATATAGTGAGATATGTGGGTAATCTGTAGTGGGTTAACATGTTGGAACTGACTTCAGCAGCTAAGTGCGTTCTCACATCATTAATGTAAGCAAAGTCCATAATGGGACATGTAAACAGAGTCAATAGTGGAATGAGTAAATAAACTCTTTAGTGAGATACATAAACAGACTCTGCAGTGGGATATATGATAAGATTATGTTGTGAAATATATGAGGACTTTGTAGTGGGATATGTTAGTGGGCTCTGTATTGGGATATGTAAGTGGAATCTGTACTGTGATATGTTAGGTGGACTCTATAGTGGGATATGAAAATTGATTCTGTAGTGGGATATGTAAGTGGACTTTGTAGTGGGTTATGTTAGCAGACTCTGTAGTGGGTTATGTAAGTGGACTCTGTAGTGAAATATGTTAGTGGACTCTGCATTGGGATATGTTAGTGGACTCTGTAGTGAGTTATGCAAGTGGACTCTGCAGTGGGATATGTTAGTGGACTCTGTAGAGTGGTATGTAAGTGGACTCTGTAGTGAGTTATGTAAGTGGACTCTGCAGTGGGATTTGTAAATGGACACTGTAGTAGGATATGTAAGTGGACACTGTAGTGGGATATGTTAGTGGACTCTGTAGTGGGTTATGTAAATGGACTATATAGTGAGTTATGTAAGTGGACTCTGTAGTGAGTTATGTAAGTGGACTCTGTATTGGTATATGTTAGTGGACTATGTAGTGGGATATGTAAGTGGACTCTGTAGTGGGATATGTAAGTGAACTCTGTAGTGGGATATGTTAGTGGACTCTGTAGTGGGTTATGTAAGTGGACTATAAAGTGAGTTATGTAAGTGGACTCTGAAGTGAGTTATGTAAGTGGACTCTGTAGTGGGATATGCTAGGGGACTCTGTAGTGGGTTATGTAAGTTGACTCTGTAGTGAGTTATGTAAGTGGACTCTGTAGTAGGATTTGTTAGTGGGCTCTGTAGTGGGATATGCTAGGGGACTCTGTAGTGGGTTATGTAAGTTGACTCTTAATGGGTTATGTAAGTGGACTCTGTAGTGAGTTATGTAAGTGGACTCTGTAGTGGGATATGTAAGTGGACTTTGTAGTGGGATATGTTAGTGGACTCTGTAGTGGGTTATGTAATTTGACTCTATAGTGAGTTATGTAAGTGGACTCTGTAGTGAGATATTGTTAGTGGACTCTGTATAGTGTTGTGTAAGTGGACTCTGTATTGGGATATGTTAGTGGACTTTGTAGTGGGTTATGTAAGTGGACTCTGTAGTGGGTTATGTAAGTTGACTCTGTAGTGAGTTATGTAAGTGGACTCTGTAGTGGGATATGTTAGTGGACTCTGTAGTGGGATATGTAAGTGGACTCTATAGTGGGATATGTTAGTGGACTCTTTATGGGTTATGTAAGTGGACTCTGTAGTGAGTTATGTAAGTGAACTCTGTATTGGGATATGTTAGTGGACTCTGTAGTGGGATATGTAAGTGGACTCTGTAGTGGGATATGTTAGTGGACTTTGTAGCGGGTTATGTAAGTGGACTCTGTAGTGGGGTATGTAGTTAACCCTGTAATTGGATATACAAATGGAATTTAAATATACAAAACTGAGAATGAAAAGATAAGCTTTTCTGTGGCATATCAGCATTTTCCAACATGGAGTGCATGCATGTAATACATACAAGAATTTTTTTAAAGCTTATTAGCGTTATTAGATCACAGACTTTGATAGGGCTATAAATGTGTGAGAAAAAGTGAAAAGTCATGAATGTAGGTCTAACATGATGCTATGTGACCACATCTCTGTGATATTTTCAAATTTCACATGAACTGCTTCTCTATATAAATAAAAATAAAACACTTATTTAAATCATTAGACCAACTTTATAATGTAAAATAAAATGAAATACTTTCAGCGTATTTTTTTAATTGCTCTATTTTTAATACCGGTAATAGTGTGGAATTTCATTCCGGACCTATATAAAATTTTTAATCAGCTTGTAAAATATCATAGCCAATATTCATTCTCTGATATTTGATACATATTGTTAAATATCACCATATTTGAAACCTTTTTCCCTACATTTGAATGAGTGGTATAAACACCATACAAAGTATAAAGTGATAAAATATTCATAATAAAGGTTTTTATATAAACAGTAGTGTTTTCATTAATGCCAACTTAATGAAACCCATATCTCACTCCCATCCCACTAACTGGCATTGAATATGAACTCATGTTTATTAATGGATTAAATCACACATAAAGTTTTCACTATTTTGAAAATTTTTCTCATTTTCATATGGATTCCTTGGAATAAAAAACAAACTCAACATTTTCACAGTGCTCAGCCTGTATGGCCTAAATCATTGTTATTCTTCAATTATCAATCATTGAAAACATGCCTGAACCTTGCTCTTAATTTAATTTATCAAATCCCTAAGTACAGGGAGTGAAAAAAATGCCCATTCATCATAGATGAGTGATACAGTGGTATAGGTTGAAATACTCCTGTATGCTAGAACATCCACATCATATGTTACAAAAACTAGGAGACAGTGAAAGTAAAAGAAAATCAAAAGCCTGAAAGGCTTCAGTGGCATCTAACATGAAAAACAATTTCAAAAGATCTTTCTGAATTTGATATAAAATCTAAGCTTTAAACAAAATGTCACAATTGCAGTTTGGGGCCTTATGCCATGGTCCGAATAGAGCAGGGTTCGAATTGAGCAGATACCATCAAACATGTTCATCAATATGCTAAAAATTTAACTCATCACTTTTCAGTCAGTTGAAAAACTATAAAGGATTTCATGAATTTATATAATATAATTTTTATTGTCAATGTCTAAGCATTGTTATATAAGTAATTCATCTAAACTACAACCATATCTCTACACAAGAGTCGACAGTTTTATCAATAAACAAGAAATAAAGTCAAAATAAGTAAAGCTAGGTTTTTTACTCATTTTAACTTTATTTCTTGCTTACTGATAAAACTGCCGACTCCTGTGGTCTCTGATATGACTATGAGTTATTCGGGTAAAACTGTCCAGGACTTTTATTCAATCTATTTTTTTTTTTCAGACTATAAGTATTGCTTTTAAGGCATAAGGTTATTTGAACACGTAATTATATAGGCCAGCAATGTTTACCTTAATTATTATACAATAAAAGTGATGATAACGACAAAAGAACATAATAAGATAATGTGTAAAATTAAAATGGTTTCAAGTCATGTTTCTTACAATGTCTATTAAACAGTGACCTTTCAGCAAAAATATCTGCTATACCCACAGATTAATAAACCGATCAATAGTTTATTGGTAAATAAGTTTCTCATTTCCATCATAATATTGATTTGCAGAGAAATGCTTACCTCTTTTTTTACTGCGCGAAGCAGTTTCTGGCGATTTTCTGCCTCTGAAAATACAAGTTTGAAACATTAGTCTCTGCAGCACATTGTGCAACAGTATACAGGCATTAAAACTTTGCGTAAATTTCTTTGGATTGAAGAGGAAATTAAAGAATCGAAACGGTGCTTACCCGGTGCCGTCATTTTTACCAATATTCCTCTTCATCTGTGGCTTTATCGATTGATTCTGCTCTCAGCGTCATGCGCAAGCGATAATCATGTTGACAAAATGAAATTATCGGTGTGGCAGTGGCTTGTGAGCTCTACCATGGTCCTTTCGATTCCAACTACTTTGACAATTTTTTTGAATTACACAAAATTTTATTTAACAACATACAAATCTTTAGCATCAAATTGATATTTCCTGTTTTAAAAAGTGATCACAAAAAGCATGTATTTGCGGCATCCTTTGCTTGTCCATGGAACCCGAATTTGTTACAGAACAAGTTACTGCATAAACAATGGGGAGCACGGGACACTTGTCAAATGGGAAATTAAATTTGAATTTATTACGTGATTATTATCGCCGCGAACTTTTAGAATGTTTAGACAAATGCTTGGGATCAAAGGTATAATGCATGCTCATTTTGCATTATCATTTTTCCATTTATGTACAAAAAGGGCGTTTGTTAAAGTCCGAGTTTTCTCATCAGTTTCTCTTTTGTATTCTAGGCACTCGTTTGGGATGATGCACTCACTGGACCCTTTGGCTTAATAGCCGAGTACTCACTTTTAAAGGTGAACAGTGTTATTGCAATGTTTTTCCTAATCTAATTGGTATTTTGAATCCATAAATACCATGGACTATATCTATTAATATAGTGTATAGGTCCCTGCTATTACTGGAAAAATTAGTTCTGGGTTCAAATCATAACTTCCTTGTGTTTCACAAGAAGGATTAACTGCCATCTCTTTGTTTCCAGTTTCTTTTCTGTTTGATTATTGTACAGAACTTAAATTTTGTCTAATATGTTGACAGTGCAACCTTTGGGTATAATAGAAACTTTGAAACTTTTATTTTCACTAAAGCTCCCACATGGAGTATGTTAGTACAATAAGAGTTTAACAATTGAACAAATCAACATGTGAACAGTTAACATAATGAACCACAAAAAGAACTTTGATTTGGACAGTACTGACGGTTGTATAAAAAAAAAATCGTTTAACGTTTACATATTTTTCGATTGACATGATTTTAGCAAGAGTTATTTCCCGTTGGTCGCCATATTGGAGGTATACAAGCCTGAATTCCTTCATTATTCAACCATTTCAAACTTGTCATACTGGGCAATTGGGTGAAGATAACACAATTTTTCTTACGAATTTATGTTAACACAATCTTCCTTTAATTTGAAATTTTAGTATTTTAAAGACTTTTCCCCTTATATCTCTGCCATACAAGTTTAAAATTGGTTGCTTAAAGAGGTAAAATCACTCTTTGGACCTCCAATATAGGCGGCCAATTGGAAATAACTCTTGCTAAATTCAGGCATATCGAAAACTATTTAACATTACTGGAAACCTGTTCACTTATAATTAAGTAGACCCACCTCAGTCTTCAAACCGCACCTCTAGTCTGTAATGTCGTGTTAGTTGCATTTCCATAGAAGTCTGAAAAAAGCAAATTTTTAGCAAAGAACATTTAATCTACTATCTATTTGCAATATTCATAAGCAAGGTTTATTTATTCATTTTGTGGTGAACTTTGTTGTCATTGGGAGGATGACAAACATAGTTTTGTAGCAAAATGCAATTTGCAAAGGAGTGTGGGTTTAGAGGTTACTGCGGAAAAAATTCATTCGGATCAATATGCGCAGTCTGAAGTTTCTCGTTGCCCAGGCATTGCTTTAAGAGCTCACAGTGCAAGCTGCACTTTGTGCTGCTTCCTACGCTTCCTATAAAATCCCAATAAAAACTATTAAGATATTTAGTTACCTTGGAGTCACAAATATAATCTTTCAGTCTAGGTATACAAATGATATAAAAGATACATTGAACAGTAAATTTTATTCATGTGACACTTACAGTGATATAACTATACAGGGATAGAGAATAATTGCCTTATTAATCTTCTCTTGTTTAATTTAGGAGCATGAGGTTGAGAAGATGTTTCCGTTGTCGGACAAGGGCCTCCCTCCCAGTAATGTGCAAAATATCATATTTGTCACCAGGCCTAAGCTCCAACTGATGGAACAGATTGCTCAGAATTTACTGCAGTAAAGTTCATTTTCATACTGTGATACTTTTGGTTCTGTCAAAGATATACTAATTTGTGGAAAACTAGTAAAAATACATGTATAATCTGACCAACTTTGATATCGTGGATGACCATATAAGTACTAAACATAAAAAACACCAAAATTAGTACTAGGTAATGCTTATTTTTCAGAGCCATTAGATGAAATTTACATTTATGTTGATACTTTCATTTCTTTAATTAACATTTTTTTTTAATTTTCACAATGACTTTTTTGTAGAGAAGAACATAAAGGAGGATTTAGAAAAGAATATCACATCATATTTGTACCAAGGAAGAGCTTGCTTTGTGAGAAAAAACTTAAGGTACATTTATAATTCAAAGATAATATAATGTATAAAACAAGAATGTTTTAAGAGGAACACCTTTTTTTATGGGTATTAACCCATTCTTAAGAATGGAATATGGAAATCAGTATTATCTTTAATATGAAAGGTTGTCAAAGAATTCAAAATTGAAACAGTGGAGCCTCATTTAATCAGATGCTTTGGTTCCCAGTCAAAATCATCTGGATAGGTGAAGCATCCGGATACCTGAATTGCCTTGATTTTAGTTATATGGTGTCTCATACCATTGACAATACTGAAGAATGATGCTTTTATAGCAGTATTATGTTTTACTGTTTAAATACTTTAATGTACATAAGCACTAATAAGTAATACTTGTATAAATAAAATAAAAAGTAAATTAGATGTAACGTTTTTTTTCTGGCCATATTAATTATTTCTGCTACCCAGTTTCTAATGACTTAACTTACCCTATCCAACTGTCTGTAGAGGTGGTAGATAAAAGAAAGGACCCAAACAAACTGTCGGTAGGGCCTTATTTAGACATAAACTGCACATGTATATGTACGCTAATTATCCCTTACAAGATCGCATCAGCAATTATGTCGTTTTGAATGTGATTTTATAAATATCTTCAAATTACAGAATTCAATATATATATAAAATGCTGTTCTAAAAAAGTGCAGTTATGTCTATAAATAGCAAAACATAAAACTAATGTTACATCTGTATTCTAACAATAAATGATATATATTTGCCAACTAATTTATTTCCCTTAACTAATACGGATCAGGTTCATGTCAGAGAAGTGAGAGTTTTGTGCATACCTATCAACTTATAATTAACTTTGCAGTGAGTCATTGATAACATGTCACAGGAGATCATTTTTTAAAATGAACAGTCAGGCCAATGTTTTTACAACAATTAACACCCAGCTCAAGAAATTTGAGCAGATTAGACAGACCAATAAAAAATTACTGTCTGGATAAATGAACTAAAATATGTAAAAATGCAATTTGTGGTGAAAAAAAAATCCAGATCTGGAAGACAGAATTCCAGATAAATGAGACAAAATAGCATTGACAAATTCTGTTCCCATGAAAAATCACTCAAAAGCTAAAGCATCCGGATATCTTGTGTTTGGGTATATGAAGGTCCACTGTACATGTATAATAAAAATTTAAAATCCTTCATTATGATTTTTATATATGTATATTCTATGAGAATCAATACAATATAGATAATTTTAATTTAACTGAGAAGTGAAGAATGACAGTTGATTAAGAATGCTTAAGCTGTGCAGTCTTTAAGATTTTAAATCTGGTTTATATCCATATATTGTTTAATCATAAACCACAATAACTTTCTTTTTGCATAGTATTTTGCATAAATTAATTTTGCTTTCTTAGAAGGACTGTTTAAAACATATTTTGTACTACATGTTTTAGTTATGCTTCTTTGTCTGATTGTCTGTCCACGTCTCATGCCAAGATTAAATGTCATGTTCAATGTCCTCTGAGTAAAAAACTTTTTAGGGTTTAATGAATTTTTCTGATCAAAATTTGTCTATTGCCTGTTGTTGGCATTGGCATTGTCTTAAACTTTTCAAATTTTCATCTTCTTCTCCAGAACCACTGGGCCAATTTCAACTAAACTTATCACAGAGTATCCTAGGGTAAAGTTGATTCAAGTATCTTCAAATGAAGGGCCATACCCTCTTCCAAGGGGAGATAATGAAGAAATAGTGAAAATTGGGTGGGGTCAATTAAAAATCTTCTTCTCGAGAACTGCTTATGAAAGTGTAGATTCAGATTTATTCAAATCATGCCTCAAGGGGTAGGGTAGGGCCAGAATGGAAAATTAAAGTTTTACACAGAATATATAGGAGAAATCTTTTGAAATCTTCTTCTCAAGAACAGCAGAGCCAGGATCAGTCATATTTATAAGGAAGCACCCCTGGGTAGTGTAAATTCAAGTTTGTTCAAATCATGATACTTGGGGGTAGGGTGGGTCCACAATATGTGATCTTAATTTTACATAAGAATATAAAAAAATCTGCTGATAATGAAAAGAAGGGCCATAGTGACTCAGGTGAGCATTGTGGCCCATGGGCCTTTGTAACTTATCATTTGGATCATACATGTAAGCAGAGTAGTTTACCAACAATATTATGATAATGATGACAACTTCAATTCTTTTTTCTTTGAATTGTCCTTCATTTCACACATATCATAAAATTATCAATTATTATTGGCTAGTATGAAATATGGTATGAAAATTGCCATAACTCAAAACTGATTCAATAACATGTTCTCTAAACTAGAAATCATGGAAATACCTGAACTAAGATGGGTGATCAAAAAGTTCGTGAACTATCTCTATATTTACAAAACCACAATAGAGATTAGAATGAAATTTGGCACAAAAATAATCATAAACATGTTCTATTAATAGTAGATGTTATGTAATGTTCTGGTCCATCTTTATGACGTCACAATGTGAAAATGATGTCAATATGTAGATGACATGTGACAAAAAAAAAATGATTGACTCAGTAGTACTCTAGCAAGGACCGGCTGTAAAGTTTAACGTAAATTTTGAAAATTCCTTTGCAGTAGCATATAATAATTTGTACAAAGTTTATGAAGACAAAGGACCTGCCAGAGGTTTACTCATGAATTGGATTGATTGTTTTAGTGAAGGAAGGGAGATGGTTAAAAATGATGTTTGTTCTGGTGCCCAGTGAAAGTAAGCTGGGAAATAGATTGTCCTTAGTTGAGCAATTTGTTATGAAAGATGGCCTAGTTACAGTTAAAAAAAAAGTTGAATATCTTATCAGTAAAATAACTTGATCCTTATTGGATAAACATAACGCATTCCAGACAGAGGAGTCAGTTTGTGATGGTCACCATGCTCATTCTGGGAAAAAATATCATTATCCCCTCATTCTATTGCCGAGATTTGGTCACTTGTGACAAATGGATTATTCTTGTTGTAAAAAATAACCTGCATGGTAAGAAATATAAGATTCAGAAAAATCCTTGAGCTGCTGTAAACAGAACAAAATGGAGCATGTCACGTGACTGCCGGAACCATGTGATTCAGGCATGGGCAGAACGAGGGCAAATGTGCATTTAAAACTGGAGGGGACTACTTTAAAAAATAATAAACACTGAAACCTAATTTATTTCTTTTATGGAAGTAATTCAATTAGTTTGCAAACTTTTTGATCACCCCTCATATATGTAATACCGGTATCCCTCAGAAATTTTCTGTTGGAATTATTATGCTTTTTGTTTTCAGGAAATGGGTGTTTATGGGACTCTGAATAACATAGAAGAATTTAATTTGTCATTGATTCCATTTGATTCTGACCTCATGTCTATGGAAATGGAGGGGGCTTTCAAGGTAAACCTTTAAGGGTCATGAGGTTATGTTAATGTTGGCTACTTTTAATCAGCAGCATAAAGAATTAATACTAATATGTCAAGAAATAAGCCAGAAATGTTTCAGAGCCATAATGGCTATTCTTTGATGGTATGATGCACCTAATTTCTAGATTTATAAATATGACTGAGCAACTTAAATAATGCAAAGTTAAGAGATTTTATGTTTGATATATGCTTTAAAAGGATAATTCATTGTTTCAAATTTCAGGAATGTTACTTGGAGAATGACTATACCACAATGTTTTACGTTGCCCAGTCTTTGATGACACTACAGTTCCTGTATGGAATTATTCCTAACATTAACGGCAAGGGTGACTGTGCAAAGGTAGAGTATAACCTGTTTTCTCAATCGTCATTCCTTGTCACTCACATACACCTCTCTTTTTGTCTAGATTGCAAGAATCTTGTAAAATTGTAAATGGAAAGCTTCACTTTGAATTTCATTTCCTTAGTATACAAATAGGAATAGAATTCCTATACTATCTAGTATATGCTTTTCCTTTTGTACACCAAAACTAAAACAGACCTGTATCTACCCTTTGGTAGAGTTTTTTTTTTAATGAAAAATATTTTTTGAGAAAATACTGACAGCAATACAGTATTCTGATTCCCTTTATACCATCATCTTGTACTGCCAATATGATCTGAGGCTCAGGGCAAAGATTACACTATCTATACCAGTTTTAATTTCATAATATAGTTTTGTCTCATAATTATCCATGGCATTCATTTCCAAAATACTTGTCCACTTAAAATACTATATTGTTGAACAGATTCAGTGATTAACAAATTTCTGCTGCTGATCCTTGTTTGAAGGGCTTGAGTTTTCAAAATACAGTTAAACTCTAATATCTCAAACACTGATATCTCGAATACCATGGATATGTTAAAGTGATTTTGGAAGTCCCAACCACTTATTCATAAAGTATTTAACCCTTGATATCTCAGATACTCAGATATCTCTCAGTTTTTCACCAGTCCCATCAAGTTTGAGATAGTGAGGTTTGACTGTATATGTTTTATTAAAGTGAACTTTCACCCTCCATTTACTACAGTATTAGATGTCAGAACTAAAAAATATTCCAAAGAACAATGTATCACAAAAATCTCATTCTGTAATGCTGGCCCAATCTTGTGATCCTCACAAGTACATGTACTTTGGACACTCAGCTGATGTGTAACAGATCACGTTTTTATTAATGTACACGGTTTTTAAGACTATTTGTTTCTGCAAAAGGTTTAATGCACCTTTATTCTCATTACATGAGAATAAGTTTAATTTTTGTGTGTTACCAGTATATAAAAATTAACACAAGTGTTGATTGAAATGACGTTTGTTGACATGGTGATTTTGCAAAGCAAGTACACGATAATTATAATGAGGCCACTTTTTATCTATCATAAATTATTTTTCAAGTCGATTGTTTTTAGATTGTCTGAGTTCCTCAGGTAACCTTTTGATATCCATCTCTGTCATTCTGCATAATCTTTTCCTATTTTCTACTTTTTACTTGAACTCCTGAGCCAACAACGCTTACATGTACACCAATGGCAGTTGGATGTTCATTTATTTTCAAGTGAAGAATGATGCCCCTCCAAACAGAGATAATTGAGAAATAGCTAAAATAGTGCTGGGTCATACAATAATCTTCTCAAGAACCACAGATTCAGAAATAACAAAACTTACATGAAAGCTTCATTATATAGTGGCAATTCAAATTATTCAAACCAAGAGTGAGGCAAACCAAGGCTGGTGAAAATACTCCCAAATTCATTAAGCAAAGGAATAGATTGAAGATGTGGGAGTATTTACCACAGTTGTATTATAATTGAACAAATGTGCAAACATACCACTGAGGATGCATACTATTAAACATGCATTTTATGTTGCATGTGTCTTACATTCTGTAAAAGTGGAAACTTATGACTTGGAAACATTGACAAACTTGACAAATTTTCTTATACATGTAATCGTCAAAGTTGCCAATCATCAATTTCACCTTCCTGTTAAAGTGGACTATGAAATTACTAGTAGATCATCAAAGTTTCAACACACCATTTTTCTAAAGTACCAAAATCATTGAACTTTCAACCCTTCAATAAAACCACTTTTTCAGTATACAAGATCAGAGGTGAAGTTGTTAGATCAAGTCAGTTATGGATGGCAGTCTTAGTTACAATGACCTTACTTGAGTGATAATCTTATTAATGGTGAATAGCTTTGGGTGCTGCATTATCTGGGAGATGTTAATTGATCAGTAAGTCCATTAATGTTACACCTGAGGATGACCTCACAAGAGAGTTTACTAGCAGAGTGTGGGCAGTTTCTATTTTAAGTTATTTTCACCATTATGGTTGACCTTATCTATTTATGAACTTGAAATTTCATGAAGAGATTCTTTTCATTACCACCTTTGAATTTCATATGGATTGTGGTTTATGTTTTGCTATTTGCAGATGATCTATACTTATCCTTTTATTTTAAGAACTGGTGTTCCCTTTTGACTTTGAGATTATAGTAATTACTGCTCAGTACACATTTTAAAGGTCTTATGTTTGACCAGAATTACTGTGGAATCATCATTGTTTGTGGGGGACCAATGTTTGTGGATATCGTGGGTCACCCTAACCCACGAATTTACATCTCTACGAACATTTATTTTGTACACATATTGATACATAGAATTTACCATATAGACGAGTAACCCACAAAATTACGTCCCCACAAACAAGTAAAACTTTGCTTGCCCATGAACATTGACCTACTCAAATTAAAATGATTCCATAGTACTCATCATTCACCAAATTGTCATCTCATTTGAGCAACTGCATGAAAAAATGATACCTTGGGTGGGGATTGGGGGATAGGGTTAGAGCACAATAAGTTTTACATGGGAACATAGAAGAAAAAGTCTTTGTTCCATAAAATTACAAACATTACTTATCTGTTCAATTAACCAGTTACTTGGTCATATAAATTTACAACTAACTGTTTCATAATTTTATTTATTATACCTCTACTGATTTTTTCCCTATATAACATTAGATTGTTAGATATGACTAATTCCCTAGAAATCATAATGAATGGACTAATCCCCGTGCGGTAGTTAAGTGAGCTAATTCCTGCTTCGAAAGCTAATTCTTAGTAATCCATAATCCTCTAGATTTTACTTTTACATATGATATGTTAATGGACTACCGGGTAATCCCCGTGTGTTAGTTCAGTTAGCTAATCCCTGCTTTGAAATCACGCTATCTGAATCCTCTAAATTTTACGTTTGTATCGGTATAATAAAACAGTTAAAAGTATATCATTGTGGGAGTTAGCAAGATTCCAGTTCCCCTCGATCAGTATATTTCCTGAGGCAAGATATACTTTAACTGTATACTAATTGCCCCTATACTTAAAACACAATTAAAAGAGACACCTATAGATTTCAAAGACACATGCTTCAAGTTCAAGTCTCTGGATGGCTGTTTATTTTCTAGTTCTGTAAGGAAATTAAATCTCAAGTTGTTTCATACCCTCCTTGAAATTGACTGTTGCCTTTGATCTTGAAATTGATAGATAGAGGGGCTAGCTTATGTCTGATTTCATTTCAATATAGATAATTATCGAATACCTTTTTCTGCTAATGGCTAAGTGTTCAGCTATATCACAGTGTGTTTGTATGCCCCGTCATAAAATGGCCGGGGCATATAGTGTTACCCTGTTCCATCATTTTGTCATTCCATCATCATTCACTTTCCATTCGTTATCTCTGCAACAGTTGCACAAATTCAACTCAAATTTGACATATGGATACATCATAGGAATACAGAGGTTAAGTTTGAATTTGGTCTTGGTCCTTGGATTTTTGACAGTTATCCCACTTTAACTTAGATTGATTGATTGATTGTATGTTGTTTAACATCCCATTCAAGAATAATTCACTCATATAGAGACGTCACCATATACCAGTGAAGGGCTTCAAATTTTGATCTTTACTCAGCACTCAGGGCCACTGAGCAGTGAGGGATCATTATCGTGCCAACGCCTGCCGTGACACTGGGCCTCAGTTTTTAAGGTCTCATCCAAAGGACCCGCAACTTTCACTTCAAAGTTCCGAGCGCATGGCGAAGGAACAGTTGCTATCCATTTTTTATCGACTTAGGTCAGTCGCAGCCGAGATTCGAACTCACGACCTCCCGATCACAGAGCAAGCGCTCTACTGACTGAGCTACTGTGAACGGTCTTTAACTTAGAAAAAAAAAAAGAAATTTTCAGTTTCCATTTCCACTCTCTAACTTTTGTAGGGATGTATGTATAAGGTTGATATTGCATGTGCAGGTATTTTACCAGAAAGTACAGGTCAAGTTTGAATTTGGTCGTGGTTCGATGATTTTTGACAGAGTTATCCCTCTTGAACTTACAAAATGATTAGAAATTTTCAGTTTCCGCTGTCAAACTTTTGAAGGGATGTATGTATAAGGTTGAAATTGCATGTGCAGGTATTTTACCAGAAAATACAGGTCAAATGTGTATTTAGTAATGGTCCGATGATTTTTGACAGAGTTATCCCTCTTGAACTTAGAAAAAAAAGAAGAAATTTTCAGTTTCCGCTCTCTAACTTTTGTAGGGTTGTATGTATAAGGTTGAAATTGTATATGCAGGCATTTTACCAGAAAATACAGGTCAAGTTTGAATAGAAATTCAAAGCTAAATATGGCATTTGAAATTTGGGCTGCCTGCTGGGGCATTCCAGCATTACAATACATCTAGTTTTTAGCTCTACTGGTCAGAGACCAGAAGAGCTTATGCGATAGTAAGGTGTCCGTCATCTGTCCGTCTGTCTGTCTGTCTGTCCGTCCGTCTGTAAACAATTTTTCAAAATGCTACTCCTCCTACAGTTTTGGTCTGATTTCAGTATAACTTGGCACACAAGTAGACTACACTAAGATACATAATTCTGTGTATCGGTTTTTGATTTCGATGAACGGTGTTGCCATGGTTACTAAAAATAGAAATTTCTGTGAAATACTTTCAAAATGCTACTTCTCCTACAGTTTTGGTCTGATTTCAGTATAACTTGGCACACAAGTAGACTACACTAAGATACATAATTCTGTATATCGGTTTTTGATTTCGATGAACGGTGTTGCCATGGTTACTAAAAATAGAAATTTCTGTGAAAAACATTCAAAATGCTACTTCTCCTACAGTTTTGATCTGATTTCAATATAACTTGGTGCGCAAGTAGACTATACTAAGATGCATAATTCTGTATATCGGTTTTTGATTTCGATGAACGGTGTTGCCATGGTTACTAAAAATAGAAATTTCTGTGAAATACTTTCAAAATGCTACTCCTCCTACAGTTTTTATCTGATTTCAATATAACTTGGCACACAAGTAGACTATACTAAGATGCGTAATTCTGTCTATCGGTTTTTGATTTTGATGAACAATGTTGCCATGGTTACTAAAAATAGAAATTTCTGTGAAATACTTTCAAAATGCTACTCCTCCTACAGTTTTTATCTGATTTCAATATAACTTGACACACAAGTAGACTATACTAAGATGCGTAATTCTGTCTATCGGTTTTTGATTTTGATGAACAATGTTGCCATGGTTACTAAAAATAGAAATTTCTGTGAAATACTTTCAAAATGCTACTCCTCCTATAGTTTTTATCTGATTTCAATATTACTTGGCACACAAGTAGACTATAATAAGATACATAATTCTGTGTATCAGTTTTTGATTTCAATGAACGGTGTTGCCATGGTTACTAAAAATAGAAATTTCTGTGAAATACTTTCAAAATGCTACTCCTCTTACAGTTTTGGTCTGATTTCAGTATAACTTGGCAAACAAGTAGACTACACTAAGATACATAATTCTTTATATTGATTTTTTGATTTTGATGAACATTGTTGCCATGGTTACTAAAAATAGAAATTTCCTTGAAATACCTTCAAAATGCCACCCCTACAGTTTTGGTCTGATTTTAGTATTACTTAGCTCACAAGTAAACTACACTAAGATACATTACTCTCTGTACCAGTTTCAGATTTCGATGAACAGTGTTGCCATGGTTACTAAAAATAGAAATTTCCTTGAAATACCTTCAAAATGCTACTCCTCCTACAGTTTTGGTCTAATTTTAGTATAACTTAGCACACAATTAGACTACACTAAGATACATAATTCTCTTTACCAGTTTTGGATTTCAATGAATGGTGTTGCCATGGTTACTAAAAGTAGAAAATTTCTTGAAATACTTTCAAAACGCTACTCCTCCTACACTTTTTGTCTGATTTCAGTATAATGTGGCATACAAGTAGACTACAGAGATACATAATTGGTGTTATTGTTTTTTGATTTTGTTGAATGATGTTGCCATGGTTACTTAAATCAAAATTTCTGTAAAATTGTTTTAAAAGGCTTCTCCTCCTACAGTTTTAGTCTGATATAATAATAAATTTTGCCACAAAAGAGACTAAACCAAGGATCATTATTCTGTTTATTGCTGTTGCAAAGTTTCAAGTCAAAGTGCTACTTTTATCTTCCATTATAAATACAACCAGTAGAGCTACAGTCTCGTCAGAGACTTCTGGTTTCAGGGTGTAGTGGATATGTTACAGTGTGTTTTTTCTCAGAGTGTCATGTGTGGTGGATATGTTATGTATATTTTTTTCAGAGTGTGATGGATATATTACAGTGGGTTTATCAACTTTATTTCCAGAGTGTGGTGGATATGTTACAATGGGTTTTTTAGAGTGTGATGGATATGTTACAGTGTGGGTTTTTTTCAGAGTGTGGTGGATATGTTACAGTATGGGGTTTTTTTCAGAGTGTGGTGGATATGTTACAGTGTGGGTTTTTTTTTCAGATTGTGATGGATATGTTACAGTGTGGGGGGTTTTCAGGTGGTGTGGTGGATATGTTAAAGTGTGTTTTTTTAACTCACCTCAACGTAGATTGGGGAAGCTTATGTGATATCCTCAACGCCGGTGTCGGCGTAATCATAGATGCATGGAAGATGCTTCTATTGTTTTCACAGTACTGATCAAGGTTTCAGATGCTGCAATTTCAGCTAAGGAATGACCAGGCTAATGTTTTTAGAGCAGGTTAAGGTTCATGTTGGGGGTAGGATAAAACCAGAGACTTCCGAGTATTCCATTCCGAGGTTTCTGGTTTTATCCTTCATTTATACCCCCAACCGGAAATTTGTATCCCATCTAAAGTCTTAAATGTATCGAGGTACTTTTCGAGGAATAAATGAGTGGTTTACAATAAAGAGGCTTGACCAGAGACGTCTGATATGATTTAATTGACAAGAAAAAAGTCTCTCAAAGTGAACGATGTCATTTTAAAGTAGGTTAATGATTGATATATTAACAAAATACGTGCTTGAAGTGGGGGTGCCTAAAATTGAGTTAGGTACCTTATGGTAAAAATAAGTAGGGGTGACCTATATACGAAACAAATGCCTGTGATAAGCCCTATGTTGACCAAACCTGCATGGATGATACATCTAAGGATCAAAAATTGCATAAATGTTGCATCTTGGGATGTACACTACTAGATTATTAGTTTAATGTGGGATTTGCCTTACTTAAAGACAAGAGTCGTAGAGGTGAGCTATGTAATCTCTGATTACCTATTTTTTCAGAGTTTGGTGGATATGTTGCAGTGTGATGTTTTTAGAGTGTGGTGGACATGTTATAGTGTAGTTTTTTCAGAGTATGGTGGATATGTTACAGTGAATTTTTTTCAGAGTGTGATGAATATGTTCCAGTGTGGGGTTTTTTTCCAGAGTGTTGTGGATATGTTACAGTGAAATTTTTCAGAGTGTGGTGGGTATGTTACAATATATTTTTTTTTACAGAGTGTGGTGGATATGGTGCTGAGGATGAGACGAGAGCTTGGAGGGAGGGAACCTCAAATAACCCCCCAAATAGACAACCTCCTTATACTGGACAGAAATGTTGACCTCTTGACCCCACTCCTATCACAGCTGACATATGATGGATTGATTGATGAAATATTTGGAATCAATAATAGTGAGTATTACAGCTAAGAATTTATGAAGGGTTATTTTTCATTTATCATATCCATTTTTGCTGCTTTTGGAATTCACTGTTTTCTTTCCTTTTATATACAGAGTATATATCAAATATGTTTCAGTATACTGGGGTAATGCTGTACTTAAGTTAATATCATGAATCTTCAGTAACCTTTCAAAACCATTAGTTTCTCTTTCCTGTGTTTATTGAGACCTTTGAAGACAACCTTTAGTTAACATTTGATATGTTGTTTTGTTTTCTTTTAAATTTTAAAGCAAGCACTTTATCTGTGTTAGCTGAATATGATCTTGAACATGATTACTACATTGTTCAGAATGGTATAACATCATTAACAATAGCCTACACTTAAACTGGTATGCACATATAAGGAGATAAATGGTATCACAGTAGTTCTGTATATGGAGAAGTAATGACAGATCATTTTAGGGGGGAATTATCCAGAGCTCAGAATCTGGTACAAGTAGTTGAGGGATGCCTACATGTCTGAAAATTTTACATTTCCATAAAAGGACAAAAATCAAAAGTTTAAAATGACTTCAAATGTCAAGAAATCAAGATTTTTACATGGATTTAATTTATATATATTTTTATTTGATTTTATTGAAATATGATTGAAGGTTATGTGCATTACAAGCTTTTTCTTCAAAGTACATGTAATAACTAGGGCCCATTGGCCAGTATCTCTGATGCAGGTGTACCTTGAAAATCACAGTACTTACTTATCTCTCTGACTGTCAGTACTTTTATGCGACACAATAACTTTGTACTTTTGTTAAATTTTTTACTTTTTTTAATTTTTCGACTCCACATTTACTTCATATGTAGAAGATATGTAATTGGTCGGAACGTCTTGCAGTTAACCGATTAGCAATTCTGTATACGATTGCCATCCCTAGTAATAAGTATATTTCCTTCACTAATAGAATAATGTTTACTAAAGGAAGGCCTCTACTTGTTTGCAGGTTAAAAGGTAAAGATTAATATTGATATGTACGTCAATAATTGTTCTTACATGTGATGCAATTACTCAGTTATATTTTAAATCTAATGATGTCAAGTTTTCTAACAGATGGTTTAAGCAATTTTTTGTAAAAAAAAAATCATAATTTCAATATTGTAAATATTTTTTCCCATATTTCTCTGGAATGCATGTTTAAAATTGGTTGCTCAAAAAGGAAAATTCACTACTTTGACCTATAGTACTGTACAGGATGGCCGCCAAGGGAAATAACTCCAAGGCAAAATACGTCATATCTATACTTCTAAGTTTGATAAGACATATTTATGAGGTGGTTAAATAAGTTTTGTTTTGTACATTGACAGATTTTTAATGGAAGTTAATTTGTAAGAAATCATTGAAATATATATTTAATTCTTTATTGTTTATTATTTTTCCTCGGTAAAATAATCAAAAAAGTTATGAAAATGACACAGACTTGCTTTAGAGTTGACGTAAATTTTATGATTTGGGGGCATTTTTTGTAAATTTGAGCCTTACAAAGGTTGATTCCTTAAACAGGGTGACCCCAATGATTCTGAGGAAAAAAGTATCGACCTATCATCCAAAATTTACGGTAATATTTATAGCTCATTAGAAATTACACTTCACTGCATCGAAAAATGTTATGATTACATTGCGTTACAAAACTAGTTAAAGTACGCATTGTTTTTGCCCTAGACCAGATATGCAAGCACTACAGAATCCTTTTAGTTTTGGGGAACCAATTTTCAGACATTTCTAAACATTAATTGGTTCACGTGGACATACTGGTTTGAAAGATATAGATATTGGATAATAAAATTTGTTGACATTGTAAGGAGTACCATCAAAAGTCACAACATAAAATGGTTCCACAATAAATTTATTTTTCTATGATGCATGTAATAATGTCATTAATTAGAATATTTTTATACTGCCTAGACTTTGTTTTTATTGTTTCTGCTTTTTTTGTAGCTAGCGTTAAGTTACCTCCTGAGAAGTTTGCGTCCAGCAGTCAGTCTCCTGAGGAAGCCCCTACTGAGAAGAAAAAGATCATTCTGAACTCCTCGGACGAGTTGTATGGAGAACTCCGAGATAAAAACTTCAATGCCGTAGGAAGTTTAGTCAGCAAGAAAGCCAAAACCATCACAGCAGAGTTTGATGTAGGATTTCTTTTACTTATGTGTTGCATGTTTTGATTAAGGTACATAGACCCTCTGATATGAAAGATAACTCTTCCTGGGATAAATGACTATTAGTCCTTTGGAAAATTGTCAAGTAAAAAGGCAATTTCTGTCAATTTTTTCCTACAAGTTATGCTGAAATTGTATGAAATTTAATTACAATTGGATGTCTCAGAAAATCCTTAGCATTTAAGCAAAATTATATATGAGAGATCAGAGAGATGATTATCCTTTTAATGTGTAAAAAAACCCACAGATTCTCATTCACTACACGTTATTATATACATTTCATACAGGAGAGACATGCTGCCAAAACAGTCAGTGAGATGAAGCACTTTGTTTCCAAACTTCCCCACCTTCAACAGATCAGACAGTCACTCTCCATACGTAAGTAGTCAATAAAGTCAATAGAATAAAGAATTGTAATCAATATAAAATAAAGAATTTCATCAATATAAAATAAAGAATTGTAATTAATATAAAATAAAGAATTGTAATCAATGTAAAATAAAGAATTGTAATCATCTGAATTGTAAATATTTACTGTAATGAAGGGTTGTTACATTGACTGTTACATATTCTTTGTAAGATCGGATTTTGATCACTTACATTGACTGTAAAAATTCAATGTAATAAAGCATTGTAATCACTTAACATTGACTGAAAGTTTTTATTTTAATGTTTACATTGACTTAAAGTTTACATTGTAATAAAGTATTGCAAGTATCCCATGTATAGAAGAGTTGTGATCACTTTGACTTGGACCATGAGTATGTTTATAGTAAATGCTACTATATGTACTAACAGTTTATTACCAAGATAAAAAAAAAAACACAGCTATTATTCTCCAATAATCACAAACGTCATCATCAAATTAACAGTAAATTTAAATCATGTTTCCTTGAATTTTCACTGTTCTCACAATAAAAAGGGTCAAGGCATCTTTTGATTGTGTCAAATTGATTGGAAAAAGGTTACTTGGGATTTGGATATCATCATACTTTTTTTTACAGCATTAAGTGCAAATGAACGAGGAGAGGCATTCAATTGTGACACTTCTGTTGAAGTAAAATCTAGCTTCTCTATTTCTCTATGTAGGACTTTAAAATTTTGCCGTAGCGGAATAGAAATAATTAATTCCCTTGTCGATGGAATTGTTGGAGAATATACTTCACCTTTCAAGCTCAGTTTTGACTATCGGGATATATTCTCCAACAATTCCTCCAACGCAAGAATTACTTCTTTAATACACTCTGGTTATATTAGCATACTGACTTATCTCTCTCTTCAGATACATCTATAGCTGAGCTGATTAAAGAACATACAGACACAGAAGAGTTTATGGATTCTCTCAGATGTCAACAAGGTTAGAAATTAAGCTATTTATCAAATATTTTGGTTTTTTGTGAAGCCTTTACACATTATACTTTTTCATCAATACATGTAAAAGTTTACAGTAAAATAGAACCTTTTAAGAATTTAAAAGGTACAGTCAAAGCAGTTTTCTGTTAATCAATATATCCTGTCGATATTTCATTAATTTTGTCATGATGTAAGGAGCAGATATATAAAATAATCCTAGTACCAGTCATTCTATTTTTAATAAATCCTAAGTTTTAACTTCTAATAAATAAAAATTTTGCAACCCCTATAGTTTATCATCCATATAGAGATATAATGTAAGTAAACTTGCCTTTCATTCCAAGCAACAAATGTAAACAGTGGACAATAATTTTTTTTTCTGAGGACAAGTGTTTTAATAGAAATTGTATTAGCACTTGGTCAGTTAATCAAGTGGTGATTGGCAGACAACTTATTTGTTCAAAAATTATTATTCTGAATATTAGTAAAATAAAAATTTTATGAGTTCTTTTTGTTTTCTGTCCTCCCTTTGTTAATTTTGTATTGTTGTAATGCAAGCATCCTGCTCTATTTTGGGGTAATTATTGTTCTCCACTAACTCCAACTGGACTTTCTGGAAATTAAAACTTTATATTGGCACACTATAAGCTGATATTTGTAATAACATGGTCGTCATGAACATTTTTTTCTGTATTTTGGCTATTTGTTTCTTTGAACTGGTGTAAGATCAGTGTAAGAAATTGGCTAAGTCCATCCTTGATATTTGTAATAATCATATAACCTGAGGTACCTCCATTGATTACAGAGTTTATAAATGGACTGGAGACAGACAAGGTACACCCATATGTGGAGGATTGTATTGGGAAAATGGAACCTTTAGATAAGGTGGGATTTTATTGAATATGAATAGTGTCAAATTTGACTTGGGTTGACATTCAAGTGACTGTATAAGCTTTATTTTTAGTGCAGGTTTATTTTTGCTGTTTTCATGACAGAATAAATCAATGACACTGTAGTGAAATTACTGAAAATAATGAAAATTCAATTAAGGGACAGAAAACTGCGACAGAAAAGTGGATTCTCCTTTGAAAAAAATAACTTCAGTCTCAAAGGTGCATATTGTGCTGTCAAAAACATAACTATGATTTATTATTTTAGGTTTTGAGGTTGATATGCATCCAATCCTACTGCAATAATGGTTTCAAACCTAAAGTACTGGATTACTACAAACGAGAAATTATACAGGTTGGTTCTGTCTTATTTTATATGGACCTAATTCAGAAACTAGTTATATATGCATATATTTTAAATCAAGGTATTCCCTGGAAATATCAAAAAGAGAAGATGCTTTATCTTGTAGATGCATTATGTATGGGTTAATATCCCAGTACCTCTCCATACCATATAAGTAATGGAGCTGAGGCCTCAAAGTAGGCCTTTCAACTGCCGCTAGGGTTCAATGTAAAGAACAATAACTCATTACCAGAACTTGTTTACAGCAGGTCCTAGGTATCTAATTGTTTTTTAACAGGTCAATTTTCAGCATTTCCCAAGTGTTTCTTTGCTGTCAGCAGAATCCAATGGTTTTAAAATTTAGCACAAATGTTAAAATTATTTACAATGTAGTTACAGACACTGTGAAATTATATATAAGTGAAATTTTTAATGAAAATAGAAAGTGAAATCTACCCCCCTTCTTAATTTTAACCTGATTAAATTGTTATACTTGGTCGTTCTTCTTCATGCCTAGTAAAATAAGCAAGATAATTAACTGTTGCATTTATTTGTAGAAATGTATATTTTAATACAAGAGGCACAACAATGCACACACAAAAAACATGACATTATATTTTCTTCCTTGTAACAACTGTCAGAGAGAGTTAAAAATCTTGAATATAGTCCGTTCCCCATTCATTTGATCCCGTTATTTCAGGTAGACTGAAGACATTCTCCTTGTATTGGTCAACCCTTTTGTGTACAAAACAATGTAAGGAACCCTTACATTGTACATAACAATACCAACTGAAGCAGCCTATATGTCATTCCTATAAACGATAACTCATAAATTGGCACTTTGTTGGTCGTTTTTCACACTTGAGTTACCTTTCCTTAAAACACAACATCATAAAAATCAACTATTAATAATTAAATTTTAAAACGAGTTCAATAAAGGTATGTATATGTTATAATCTTTTTTGAGAATTTCACATAACTGTAAATCTATCTATCAAATGTTTTTTACCATATGTGCAACTTGAAAAATTAGTTGAAAGGCCTACCCAAAGGTCCACAACCCATTGCTTTTAAGAGTGCAGAGGTAGGAGAATGTTGACCCACTTCAGATCCTCTTGTTTTCAGTGCTCATACAGTAATTATTGTAGTCTGCATATGATTTTGACATGTTTTCATTAGTGTTAAATACACATGTAAGTAATTTTTAATTTTATATATGTATATGTTTTCACACTGCAAAGAAATTGCTAAATACAATTTTTGACAGTGGTAGCTTAGTATAATAGGTAGAAAGGGTGCATATTTTCCACAATTTTCTTTTTTTTTAATGTAATAAACCTTAACAATCTGAGGTACAAGTGGAAAAAAAACAACTTGTACATAATATTAAAATGAATATCTTAAAAAAAATTGCATCTTTTGTAAATATTTTTCTGTAGCTTAATGGATTATTTGTATATACATTTTTGGAATATTTTTCTTTTCACTTCTGCATTTTATGTAATTTTCTAAAGTACCGGTGTCATATAATATATTGAACCCCGCGATATTTTGAACCTGGGTTAAAAATATCGCTGCGAAATATTGAACCCCCCTATAAGATATTGATCTTGATAAAATATTGATATTGATATATATTTTAGTCTTAGGGCCATAATATTTTGAACCCGGGGTTCAATATATTATAGCCTTAGGGCCATAATATTTTGAACCCCGGGTTCATTATATTATAGCATTATGGCCATAATATTTTGAACCCCATTAAATTCTCTGTTTCAAGCATAGGGGTTTCTGAGATTATGGCATTGAAGTGTTGTACCTCCTAATTTTATTTTTTTTTTTTTGGTACTTTGGGTGGAGGTTTAAGCTAGGATTTATGGATGTAAAATGTTGTACCCCCTATTAGACATATATGGGTATAGGAGGGTGTTTAAAAATTATTGACCTAAAATAATTTTTGAATGGTAAGAGGGGGTTCAAGATATTATGGTAGTGAAATGTTCCAACACCCACAACATTTTATAAGGGGTTGAAAATATTGTGGCTGTGAAGTATTGAACCTCCATTTAAATACTACTATGGAAAAGGAAGTGAAAGTATTTAACACCCGTCTCCCACACATTTGTTAGATCTCAAGGGTTGGGTATCTCTGTATTAATTTTTTTTTTTTTAATAAATGTGCAATACCTAAAGAAGTGAGAGTAAAATAATATAACTAAAATATTGAAGTCTGAAATTGTCACCAGGAAATTAAAAATAATTGTCTTTTACCATCAAACCTCAAATATTCTACATCAAATAACTAAAATAACTTGATATGTCTGATGGAAAAACAATTATGAGATATTTATTTCTTTGTCTTTTATTCCATCCCATAAGGTATTTATTTATTTTCTTTAATTTAATTTTTTTTGTATAATTTACAATTTGAAAAAAGAAAATTCAAGGAGCATTGTAGTATCTCTCCATTGAGGAGGTAACAGGGATATAGTACCTGTGTATTATGTGTACACAAGGAGGTGTCATTGGAGGTCAACAATACCCACTGTCTATTGTTTCCCCTTGATGGTTTCTGTATTATCACTATACAGTGTTCAGAGAGTGTAAAAATTGAGTAGTCCATTTTGAGGGGTGTTTAGCTTACATACATCATTCTGATGTTAAAATCGAACTAATCAAAGCAACTGCAGTCATTTCCATTTAAATTAAAAGGGTAAGGCGACTCGATATTTTATGGTCATAATATCTTGAACCCCCTCCCTCTTAAATTAAAAGGGTAGGGGGACTCAATATTTTATGGTCATAATATCTTGAACCCCCTCCCTCTTAAATTAAAAGGGTAGGGGACTCAATATTTTATGGTCATAATATCTTGAACCCCCCTCCCTCTTAAATTAAAAGGGTAGGGGGACTCAATATTTTATGGTCATAATATCTTGAACCCCCCCTCCCTCTTAAATTAAAAGGGTAGGGGACTCAATATTTTATGGTCATAATATCTTGAACCCACCGGGTTCAATATTTTATAAGGGGGTTCATTATATCGCAGTGAAAATATGAACCCAGGTTCAAAATATTATGCGATATATTGAACCCGGGTTCAATATATCGCGGTATCAAAATATTATGCTACACCGGTACCATGTCTTCTGAAGTCTTTAGTAACCCTCTAACATAGGCATTATTAGCAATGGTCTTGCCAACATGAAAATAATTATCAATAGTAATCTGGTCACAAACATTGTCTGACAAAATAGAGTTATCCCAAAAATTGCTCAAAATTGATTATGTTTATAATAAATGCCCATCTGTAGGATAAATAGCTAAATTTGCTTGCCACTTAAATAACCCTCTGTATGGTATATTTTTGAGGGGTTTTTTTCTGCAGACTTGGATTATTTTTTCAGTCAAGTAAAGCTTGTGGTTTATTTTTCTGTAGACGTATGGATTTGAGCACTTTGTTACTCTTATGAACCTAGAGAAAGTTGGGCTTCTGCGACCACATGGACAAAGAAATTATCCTACTATCCGTAAATCTCTGAGACTGATTGTAGATGAGGTCAATGAACAGGTAAACTTATATTTGATGTTTTTGTAATCTGGAATACCAGGTGCTTGGTAGAGAAGTATTTAAACAGTTTTAAAAAGTAGTCCTATGTGATAAAAATTGAAAGATTCATTATGATGTAAACACTGTAGTATAATTGTTTCTGTTGATATTAAGGATACCTGTAAAGTGTGAAACGAAATAGAAACGAAATGAAACGGAACGAAATCTACCAAAACGAAACGAAACCTACCGAAACAAAACGGGAACCTGTAAAATGCGAAACGAAATCTACCGAAAAAAAACAAAACAAAACGAACTCAAAATGAAACCTAACGAAACGGAATGTTTTTCAAATCAAGGTATATCATTATATATAATGTGTAACTGTATATGGACTATTTTTACTTCATGTAAAATTTATATAGTTCAAGCACTTGTTAATATAATATTTAAACACCGATAAATGCTTCTTTCTCTAGGGATGTATTTACTTATACATGCTTATAAATACTGTAAATCAACTGCCAGCTACAAATATGCACGAGCATACTATATAATTTCAAAATACTCATTTCAAAATAAGCATAGTATTCTCTAATTTTTATGTCTTACTTTTATTTTTAGCCTTTAACCATCGAAATACAATAAATTTCTCATAATTGATGTGCTACATGTAAAAGCTTTTCTATTTACGTATCGAAATAAAGTTGTTGTATTGCGAATGTCTTTAAACATAACTTAAAAAAAAAAAAAAAACTGTACACATTGAGTTAAATGAAAAAAAGTTCTTTACTGTTATTTATACATATGTGATCAATTATACAAAGCCTAATTATTATTATACTTTTGATTATTTTTATTATTTGAGAGTTAGTTCGGAGAAGTACACCCCCCCCCCCCCCCCTCCTCCTCTGGTGGTTTCAAGGCTTGTTCAAATGATTTGATAGAAATTAAATTTTAATTTCGATAAATGTATGCTTTGAATTTAATTTAAATTTGATGTTGCAATTTTACTGTATGATTTTTTTTTTTTAAAAAAATGCTTATCCTCGGCTTTTAAATTACTGTTTATAAAAGTGTGTGATCTGATATAGTTTGGTGTTGGACAAAAGCAGACCAAGAATCGCCAGGTCTTAAAATCTGATTTTGAGTATACAAGTATACATACAAATGGATTGTATTAACAAGAACCCGAAGTGATAACTTGGGTTATATATATAGGCTCAGTCTAATGTGTTTGTTTTGCACTAAAATGAGCAATATCTATTTAAAAGTGTAATCCATACTTACAAATGTTCACGTTTAGAAACGCACAAAATCTTTTTTGTCTTTCACTGCGTATCAAAAGAGACTCGTTACTTATAAAATATACACTATTATATATAATATATTTTAAATCATAATGTTTATATATATATATTTCATTTTTCCTCGATTTTATTTCGTTTTTTGTTTCTGTAGTTTTCGTTTCGGTAGGTTTCGTTTTGATTTCATTTCGTTTTTGTTTCGTTTTGGTAAGTTTCGTTTTGTTTCGTTTCGGTATGTTTCATTTCGTTTCGTAAGATTTCGTTTTGTTTCGGTAGATTTCGTTTCGTTTCATTTCGTTCTGTTTCGTTTCGTTTCTATTTCGTTTCGCATTTTACAGGTACCCTGATATTAAAGCTGTTTTTGTTTATTGTAGAACCCTAATGATATTTCCTATGTGTACAGTGGCTATGCCCCCTTGTCTATCAGGCTGGCTCAACACAATGCCCGTCCAGGTTGGAGGAGCATCACTGAGGTCCTCAATCTACTACCTGGCCCCACCATTGAGGAAATTCAGCAAATCCCTGTAGCTCTCAGAAAGAGACGTTAGTTCATTACATATACCTACTATTGGCATACATGTTAACATCATAAATAGATATAGATCAAGAGTGTGTTAATTAATGTGTAATCTGACAGAGAATCTCTTAATTTTAGGTTCTTCCATTACTTCATCACATTCCAGTATGATGGATCAGAAGGTGACACTTGTCGTCTTTCTCGGAGGGGTAACTTTTGCAGAAATTGCTGCACTCAGGTTTCTAGCTCAGCAGGATGATGGTAAGTTACAATAAGATGTCTGAACTGCTAAGCTTGTTGGTAATTTCCAAGTACATGTAGCAGTTTGGGGCTTGACTTTGTAGAAAGACATTCTTACGTTTATTTCCTGTCAGTACATGTAAATCATAACTTTGTTACTGAGAAACTCATACTTGACACAAAGTTTACATAAAACTTTAATGTTTGTCATCAACCTAATTTAAACATCATGACAGAAAAAATTTAAAATCAAGTACAGTAAAACATGGTTATAACTAATCATCAGGGAAAAAGTAAAGTAAAACCTGATTTTATCAAATCGACAAGGACGACTGAAATTGTTTTGTTATATAAATTCATTAAATCCAATTAATTATTCAATATTTCATAGTTCAAGGTAAAACATATTGAGCATGATGTTATTTGCAATAAACTTGTTTTTAATAATCTATGTTTACATACTAAGACACACAACTCACCTTGTGGGGTTTGATTCTGACCAAAAGTCATTGACAGAAAGTTACGAAACTCAGAAAAGCTTTGTGTTATATCATTACATTGGTCTCAAAAACATATCACCAATATCTAAGGAATATGGTAAAGTTTTGCTGTATCATTATTCATAGGTCAGCTTTCAGTACCTCTGATTCAGATTTGATATTTTATCCTTCTCAAAAAAAGAAGTATTTTGCTGTATCAAGACTACTCTTGATGATTGACTACTGTAAACCATTTTGATGCAAGAAATATCTGTGAATTCCACATACTTATTTAATTCACAAATATTCATTGTTATGAACCATGTTCTTTAATTATGAAAGTATGTAGAATATTTCCTCCAGTTGCAAATATTGAAAGTCACAGATAGATTTCAAACTGACCAATCATGAATAAAAGTTGGCATGAATAGTAGATGGTTGACAGTAAATCCAATAAATGTTAACCAAGCATTATTAGTTAGATGATTTCTAAGTGAAGATCCACTTTGAATTGTAGCAGGATGTGAATATCTTGTTTACACCACAAAAATTATCACTGGAACATCATTAGTAAACTCATTGATGGAGGCTTTTCCTTAGCTGTAACTCTTAATAATAATAACAAACTGCATGTCTGGTAAAACATTTTCTTTCCCCTGGACACCATTATGTGACACTTCTACATTACACATAGTTCTCATGATATTAACTGAATTCTGGCATTACCTGCACCATGTTACAAGGGATGGAACAATATCCTGCAATATGATCTTCAATGTATATCAGAATTGTGATCCATATGTATTTTTATTTAGGTTTTATGACAATAGAACTCATATTTTTATATTTAGTAATTTCAGGAAAATAATTTTCAAGAAAATCTTAATTCTTAGGTTATACGAATTAATATCCAGATTTGGATGTACTTTCAAATATATGAATTTTAAAGCTTTAGAAATTACAAACACTAAATGTTTTGCCTAAATTATAGTCATTTATATGAAATAGATTCATTACTGCATGGCTTCAGAACCATGAAATGTTCAAATTATGTATATGGTGCTAAAAAATATATAATGGAATATTGTACCAGCCCTAGCATAAAGCATGACCCTTGTTATTATGTGTAATATTCCAAATCTCGCTTTTGCCCCCCCCCCCCTTTTCCCCTTTCTCCAACAAGAAAATCAGTAATTTCAAGAAAAGTAACGTGTATTATTGTCTGCTCAGCTGTCTGGATGTCTAAGTGCAGGTATCACTTTGGACATACTGTGAAATTATTTTGATATCTGGGTTCAATGTTCATGGGTAACCAAAATTTTACTGGTTCAAGGTTTGTGGGGACATGATTTTGTGGTTGATTGATATATACAAAAAAATTCAATGAATTGATACTTTGTTTCATGGAATTTGTTCATGATGTTAACTGAGATTAAGGATGACCCACAAAATCCAATAACATTGGTCCCCCATGAACCATGATGATTCCAGAGTAATTTTGAAAATGTATATCAATTGGAATGTCCAGATTTTTTGTGCAATTTCAAAATGTTGATAAGTGTACTGATTATAACAAGGTCTTCTCCAGCTATATACTATAACAGTATTTTTGTAAACTAAAAACTTGAATTATTGCCTTTTTTAACTTAAAGCAATATGATTTTGATTTTCTTTTTATTTATTTCAGGAGGCACGGATTATGTGATAGCCACTACTAAAATAATAACTGGTTCTTCACTACTAGATTCTGTGATGGAGAAATATTCTCCTGTACATTTCAATCCATTCTAACAGTAGTTGTTTGAAATGGGGCCAAAAGTGCAATATTCTAGACTGTTTTGACAAGATTCAGAATACAGACTGCAGCAAGATTACAAATAGTAAATTTTTAATAAAAGTACACAAATTATATGTATATTGAAATTCATTGTTTGATTTATTGTACTGCTTTATAATGGGCCCCAGGAGATGGGGCTTTTAACTACTGGACAAAATAAAATAGGGGTCATGGACTGTTTCATTGATTAAAACTAAACCTTTGTAAGTACATCTCAAAATATATAAAACACAAACGCTGACATAATTTTTCATTAATATTTAATCAGAAATCTCAATTTCATTTATTGATGTTTTTGGTTTTTAATGCAAAAAACAACACATCACTGAATAACTTGAAGAAAATCTGGCATGAAAGATAACTTGAACTTTACAGAACATGTCCAAAATTACTCAGAGTTTCAGCAATACTCCGTTTGACCTCCGTTTGCTCTCAGAACAGCGTTCGGACAGACAAAGCAGAGAGCTACAGATCCAAGCGTTGTAAAAACCTTCGATTTTTGTCGCTCGCTTCGGGTATTATTTCTTGTATTTTATGCTTTCCCCCGCTTTAAAAATAGTATCCGATAATTAACCATATATTTTACTCCTATTCTTGATACCTTATTTAGCAAGCGACAAAAAAGCGGCGGCGTAAATCGAAGGTTTTTACAACGCTTGGATCTGTAGCTCTCTGCTTTGTCTGTCCGAATTTTCTCAAGCAGAGAGCTACAGTTCTGCAGCTAATGTAAACAGAAAGGAATCAGTTGACACCTAAACTGCTAAAATGCCCGTGTTACACATTGTTTATTCATTGTTTATTATCAAAGGTTGAGAGATAAGAAAAACAATCAAGATTTGTAATTTTTCCTAAATGACCTGCTGCAGTCAGCCCATTAGATATTGAATGAAATTCGTCGGGGTCCCACGGTTGACACAGGACCCCTGACATTGTGAGGATGGTAGCAAATGTCCTTAAACAGTTCTAAATTCTTGTGGAGCTTTTTTTTATTATTATTAATTTTTGATGACACTGACTTTTGATTTTTAAAACAACGTTAATTTGCAATTCATATTAATATAAGATGAATTATGAAAATTTGTGCAAAAAAATTGTAATGAGAATTTTTTGAGGAATGTCTTTCAAAAAATTAATATATTTCAAATGTGAAGGTCTGGATGAACCATGGGAGTTTGGGGAGTCCCTAAAGCCCATTTAGGGTATGGGGAAAGGGGAGGGGGTGGGGCACCAACAGCTGGTGAATTTTAAAATCTTGAGGATATATTTTTTTATCATCTGAAACGTTTTAATTTTTCATCCACTTTAGTTCAGAACACTAAGAAAGCCCATTGAGCTCATTTTTGAAGGTTAAAAAATTATTTTTTTTAGCGTTATAACGCGAAACTTTTGCGAATGAACGCGTAACTTTCACATTATAACATGAAACATTTGTGTTATAACGCATAACTTTCACGTCATATTGCGAAATTATACATATTTTTTTATCATCTGAAACATTTTAATTTTTCATCCACTTTAGTACAGAACACTACAAAAGCCCATTGAGCTCATTTTCATGGGTTAAAAAAATTTTGTTCACATTATAACACGAAACTTTTACGAATGAATGCATAACTTTTGCATTATAACGCGAAACATTTGCATTATAACACATATCTTTCGCGTTATAATGCGAAATTATACATATACGTAGTCTTGTTCCTCAGGAGCCTGTGAGCTTGACTAACAGATAAGAAACATGAAGGCAGACGGGGGCTTCTTTGAATTTATAAATGACATTTCTTCATCAGATGTTAAAGAATTACTGCGAGAAATTGATAGATTAGTGTTGAGAAAGTTGCATTTAATCTTTAACTTTAATAATTAATAAAATGAATATTCCTTTAAAGATTTTTTTTCACTTGCTGAATGCAAGAAATTCTTTAGACTTTTTTTCTAGCAAGATCTCCACTCGTCACTTCCTTTTTCAAGGCTGTTTTTATGCCTTCGTATCAAAGATTCAGGGGTACTAGTATATATTTTTGCCCTGTCCATCTGTCTGTCCTTCTGTCTGTTTGTCCGCAAAAACTTTAACCTTGCCCATAACTTTTGATATTAGGTTTTCATACTTCACATGTGTAATCTTTATGACAGACCTTTTTTTGGATACCATCATATTTGACCTTGACCTAGGATTTTGACCTACTTTTGGAAAACTTAAACCTAGGCCATAACTTTTGAATGGTTGGTGCTAGGGCGTTCATACTTCACATGTGTAATTCTTGTGACAAGACCTTCCTTTGGATACCAACAACTTTGACCCTTTGTCCTTGGAGTTTGACCTACTTTTGAAAAACTTTAATCTTAGCCATAACTTTTGAACTGTTGGTGCTAAGGCTTTTTCAAACTTCACATATGTAATCCCTGTGAAGACCTTCCTTTGGATACCATCAACTTTGACCCTTTGACCTTGACCTTGGAGTGACCTACTTTTCGAAAACTTTAACTTGGCCATAACTTCTGGACGGTTGGTGCTAGGGCTTTCATATTTAACATGTCTATTCCTTGTGACAAGACCTTCTTTGGATACCAGCAATGGTAATCCATTGACCTTGACCTTGGGTTTTGACCTACTTTTGAAAAACTTTAACCTTGGTTATAACTTTTGAACGATTTGTGCTTCGGCTTTCATATTTCACCTGTGTATTGTTGGGAGAAGGCCTTTCCTTGGGCACCATTAATTTTGACCTTGACCTTGATGTTTGACATACTTTTGAAAAAACTTTAACCTTTTCCATATCTATTCAATGGTTGCTGCTAGGACTTTCATATTTCACAGGTATATTCTTCGAGACAACACTTTACTTTGGGAACCAACAAATTTGATTTGCATTTGAAAAATTTTAACCTTTGCTATAAGTTGCCATATGGGGGCATCAGTGTTTCACAAACACATCTTGTTTATCATTAAAGTTCACTACAACTTTACGACCAATAAAGAAATCCATCATTTTGGACTATAGATTATACTCTATAGAAATCTGGCTTAAAAGTGAGGGAACAAGGTATTATATCATGAGCTTAACGTGCCACATGATGCTTTTTAAAGAATACTTTTAATAGGATACTGTTAATCACAAATTTATCGGGGAGGAGGGGTCTACTTGATTTTCCTCCATGATTTATATATATGAGGGGTTATTAAAAAGTTCGTGGACCTTTAAAAGGTATACAGCAAAGAGTTTTTACACATTTATCAAACATTATCTTTTCCGTCTAAAGAAAAAAATAAGACGTATTTTATATATATATATATATATATATATATATATATATATATATATATATATATATATATATATATATATATATATATATATATATATATGTGTGTGTGTGTGTGTGTGTGTGTGTGTGTGTGTGTGTGTGTGTGAGGGTGTGTGTGTGTGTGTGAATAAATTGTCAATGTTTTCGTAAGTAATGGTATGACCACGTGGCGCAACCTTAAAATACGATGTTGTATTTCTACAGTGAGTCTATCGGAGACAAATCATTTGATACGAATATTTGTCATCCAATTTTCACATTAGGTTACTCATGTGATGTGACACAATTGTCCCGTAAAATATACAAATTTACCTCATTGTTGTCAATTTTCGGAGATCTTAATTTTATTTCAAATTCTATAGAGAGTGTTAAAAATGACGCCGGAAAGGGGGATCATTTTCCCAATATTCATAGTTATAAAGATTCACTTTGGAAAAACATAGACTGAGAAAGACAAAATGTGACGGCCTAAAAGATTTAGAAAGAGGAAAGACACATTCAATGGCGAGAAAACATAAAATTTAAGCTTGTGGTAATCCAAGTTCAAAATAGTCTTTCTTTTTTCATTGTTATGAATAAACTAGATCATTAAATTAAAAGAAAATGGAGACTTATGCAAATGTCTCTGTTTTACAGGGAAAGTTTTGCGTTATAACGGGAAAGTTACGCGTTTATTAGCGAAAGTTTCGCGTTATAACGCGAAAAAATATATTTTTTTTTTTACCTACGAAAATGATCTCAATGGGCTTTGGTAGAACACAATGTAAGCGAAGCAGGAGAAATAGATTTCAAGATTTCCAGCACTTAATAGTTCAGAAAGTCAATAGACTTGAATTTAACTCTCATCGTGTAAAATCCAGTTTGGTTAATAATTGTAATTTAGGCACTTTTGTCTTTTGATTTGTTTTCTGCTCTTTTTTGGGGGTGGGGGTTAATGACGTGGATTAACTGTGGTATAGCCAGTTTGGCTGAAATAGGTAAAGTTGTTCTGAAGGAAGGATCAAAAATGTGTAAACTAACAGACAGACGAACAATTTAAAGCAGGAAAGCACTATCAGCTTAGATGAGCTGTGGACTTTTCAGATAAACACTCTTTTGGAAATGGGGGGGGGGGGTCGTTAAGTTCATGTACACAGTCTTAAACAAATTTAAACATCCAGGAAATTGTCCAAGATAAAAACATACCCAACACTTTAAACTCTCGCTAAATTATCGCTTGATTAGATTGTGACTTTGAAGTGGAAGAACTAATAAAAGTTTGATAATTAAACGGAAAGAAACGGGGGATTTTTGGTTGGTTTCGACCAATCGGAAGTGAGTACTTCCATAATTGGTGGAGGTTGTCTTGTAAACAAAGTAAATATAATTATTGTTTTTTGATTATCATTGGACGATATTATTAACAGTGATTAAACTGTTTAACTGATAATGAACAAAAATCACGTGTACGCATGCAACCTATACCCACACACAACGTTCCTTACCACGTGATAAGATTTATTCATTTTGATATGCATCTAGATGTGTTCCCCATTCATACTGTTTTATATCAAAATATAATTACATGTACCAGTCCATCTCCATACATGTACATGTATACACTTCACTGATGTTCCTTAAATAACGGCTTATTTGAATTCAATATAATAGGTAGTTTTCAATATACGTGAATTTAGCAAGAGCTATTTCGTTTTGGCCACCATATTGGAGGTCAACACGCTCGATCAGATTCCTTCATAATTTTGAAAAATGATGACGATGTAGTTTAAGGTGTATTACATCTATCACGTGTAACAATTGTTTACCATGCATCCACTTTCCTTCCCTTCACATTTTCAGATTAGCATTTGTGATATGTTCTATTATTATAACTCTACTGATTTTTTCCCTATATAACATTAGATCGTTAGATGTGACTAATTCCCTAGAAATCGTTATAAATGGACTAACCCCCGTGCGTTAGTCAAGTGAGCTAATCCCTGCATCAAAAGCTAATTCCCGGTCATCCGTAATCCTCTAGATTTTAGGTATGATAAGTGAATGGACTAATCCCCGTGTGTTAGTTCAGTGAGCTAATCCCTGCTATGAAATCACGCCATCTGAATCCTCTAAATTTTACGTTTGTATCGGTATAATAAAACAGTTAAAAGTATATCATTGCCGGAGTTAGCAAGATTCCAATTCCCCTCGACCAGGACTATTTCCCTCGGCTTCGCCTCGGGAAATAGTCTTGGCCTTGGGGAACTGGAATCTTGTTAACTCCCTCAATGATATACTTTAACTGTATAATATTTATATTTTGTAGTTTAATAAAAATGATAGGTTTTCTTTTATAAATTATATTTTCCGTAACTAAAGTTCAAGTAAAATCCAAAAAATTGTTTCAACATTCAATGTGAGCATTATTAAAACATAGAAGACTTCGCCTCTTATTTATCCCAATTAATAAATGTAGTCTTTTCATTCAGTCATTCCATTGATATATCGACTGCGTGCTTGATATGCTTTCTTTGAAGTCGATAAATCTACGGAACTGGCTTACAATGGGCTTTTATTTGTATTATAATAGTTACATGTATAATTTAACTCTCTAAGACACGTTAGGGGGCATGGAGAGGTTGTAGACCCCTAGTTCTCATAATTTCTACGGCCCTATTTCACCGTTAATTTATTGATTATGGTAAAATACTAGTCTTATAGTCAACATAATAATATTTTTACACTTTATTTTCAGTCGACATATAAAGTCAACTATATGTGGATTATGCGTATATGTACAACGTAACAAACATGAAAACTGTTTACAATTTTGAATTTTTATTTGAAAAACATCCTCACAATGTCAAGGTTTTGTGATTTCGGAACTCCACACAAACTGTTTTGTTTGTGTGGAGTTCCGAAATCACAAAACCTTGACATTGTGAGGATGTTTGAAAAATAGCTTCAGTTTGATGATTTCAAATAACTTGCTTGAAAATTCTTATTACTTAATGACAACGACATTCTTCATTACCTTACACCAAAAACCTGTGTTTGTTTGTTTGCACGAGCTTTTTTATTGTTCATGTTTACTTTTTATACGGTTTTGCTTTCTTGCAATTCTTTTTTGACTTTTCTTCATTATAGTTTTAATAAGTTTTATTAAAACACCTCAGATTTCCCACCTTCCTTGAAATTAGGAAAAATCTTAGTTCATGAAAGTGCCAGGATGTATGACAATCAAACACGCCCGAAATTCAATTTTTCTACTACTCAGGTTTTCATAATACAGAAAACGCTCTCCTGAAATTCTACGGAAAATTTTGAAGTTTATAAACTTCAAATTGTGTCTATGCCCCTAGATAAATAAAGCAATATTAAAACCTGGAGCAAACAAATTCAAACTATATATACACATATTTGTAAATAATTTAATTTTGTTTGTATTCTAGCCTCTGATTGGTTAATATCCAAAAAGGAACACAAATTATTTCTGTATAACCTGGTTTGGTATGGGGACACACCCCCTTGACAACCAGCTGAATCGTCTGTTTCCATACAATCCTCTCATTTCCAGTCCTCGGGATTCATGGAAAATTCCAGATTTAATAAATGTACCTTTAATTTCAAACAATAATTCGATCTTACCACATGTAACCAAACAACATGGCTGCTAGGCCTATGTATCAGTTCTTACCTCCCCTCGATTCCCATCACTTCCGTTACTTCCGTTACTACGGTTGTATTATTGAGCGGCAAATTTGAACTAATAAAAAGTAACGAAATTTTACACCCATAGTTATTTAATGATTTTAAAATTAAATTATAAGGAATGACTCTAATCCTTGGCCAAATTATTCGAGTATAACCTGGTTTGGGTCAGTTTACGCTGTTTTATAATCCGCTTCGCGGATTATAAAGCGTAAACTGACCCAAACCAGGTTATACTCGAATAATTTGGCCAAGAATTAGAGTCATTCCTAAAATAATCTTTGGTTCTCTTTTTCTGATTTAAAGGATTAGGATTTCCACTCATTAATGTATACAGTAAAAAGATTGCTAACATGTGCAATAATATACACAACGTTGAGGATAGCGTGCATGAATTCAGTTAATGACAATAAATTTATTGTAACCCAGTAATGCTTCAAATTCTCGAATTTCTCTAAATGCAGCAATTTGATAAAATTTGTGACCCGTGCCTTATTTACAAGCATTCATTCTGTAGACCGTTATAAATAGTGGTATTTGGTGTACGATACTTTTAGCCTGTAGGCTAGACAAATTTACATGTAAGCCATGCAGAATATATTTATAATTTTACAAAATCCTTTGAAAACCAGTTATACGTACAACGAAACTCCGATTTGACCACTTCATGATGAACAGTGAGCTACTATACAAACCAGGAAACAGACTGAGACTCCTGTACGCCACGGGGGTGAGTTTAACCTTTTTCATATTACTAGTATTACATTCTTTCATATTATATATATATATATATATATATATATATATATATATATATATATATATATATATATATATATATATATATATATATATATATATATATATATATATGTATGTATATATATATATATATATGTATGTATGTATGTATGTATGGAAACGGTTTTGTTAACTGAGACGATTGCGCAAACTTTCAGTTTTAATCATCGCGTGTTTTCGCAATACCTTAATTATTGCACATGTTGTGTCACCAAGCATACATGCATGTCCATGTACCCGTGCTATATTTTTACCTTTAAAGGAGAGAAATGATTTTAAAGGTTTACGTTATCCTGGTGTATTTAATTGAAGACGTATTTAAGTATTTTGAATTTACACTAGGAAAACCAAAATGATGTTTAAAATTCCTATTGATATTAAAGTAACTGAATCCACAACAATAATTTTACAATGTAATAAAGTGAGGATGGGTGTTATACTTACACATTACTTAATCGACCAATGATTTTATTTTCTTCAGTATAATATATAACTAATATACATACATAATATACAGGAAGAGAACTAGCATATTCTTCTTTGGGGAAAAAAAGTTTACATAGATATTCTCAAAAGCAAGCTGTATGAGGTGGAGCTTGCTGTGTGTCATTACTTATAATCCTTCTGTCAATCCCAACACCCCACCCCAATGCTCGTCAGTTTCTCAAAAATATTTCTGATGCCGAGTTTTAAAAAGGGGTGATAAATCTTTACATCAGCACAGTCAGTATCTAACCCTTCCTCTATTTATCTGGGATATTACCAATTTCTGTCAACACCTTTTCATCAATAAAAGTTGTTTCTAATTTTTTTAATTTTCATTTATTGTTGACCTTTTTATTTTATTTTCCATTTATCCAATTATACCCCCGCTCCGAAGGAGAGGGGTATACTGTTTTACCCTTGTCTGTCTAGCTGTGTGTGTGTGTCTGTCTGTCTCTCCGTAACAAATTTTCCGTCGCAGTTTCTAGGTAACTACTCATCGCGGATGCTTGAAATTTTAGCACACTCTTTGTTTAGGCATACCATACGGTGGGATTCATTTTTGTACGAATCTGATGTCAACTTCCTGTTTTTCCCTGTGTCTTTTCGTAACTGAACTTGTGTATATTCACATCAGATGTATATTCACGTCAGAGCGGGGGTATTACCAGTGAGCATTGGCTCACAGACTTCTTGTTTTATTTATTTATCAGTCTCCTCATACAGAATCGTCTACATGAAAAGTACAGCAGTAGTATCAAAACAGATTGGTTGCAGAATTATATCAGTAGTCCCGATCTCTTTCAAATTGAAATTAACTTGTTTTGTGTGTACTTTAACGAATAATAATTTGGATGTTTTTGCTTAATGTATAAACAATTTTTATGGCTAAAATAGGCAATATTAAAGAATCTGGGTAAAAAATGACGCAGTAGGTAATATATTGACCTTTTTAGAGTGAAAATGATAATATCTCTACATGAATACATCTAATATTTAAAAATACAAGTATGCAGTATTTGAACTTTCATTCAATTAATATACTTGCTTGGTATAAAGTTTTTTAAATGATATTAAGGCATACGTGCAGTTGTTTCATTCATACGAAGAACATGTGATCTCTATCTAGTAACGTCATTGTCACTTATTGTGTAATAAATAGCAAATTCTAACACTTAAAAAGTTTACAATTATATGTAACGAAGAAAAGGCAGTTAAAAGCACCGATTCAAAATTTTATGTTTCAACGTTCTATTGAACCAAAAAGGATTTCATTGTTATTTAAAGTACGTTTTCCGAGGCATAAAGAACTTATATAAAAGCTAAAAGAAGTGAATTGGCAATTTATTATGAGAAATAGCAAGTATCGAAGTGGTATGTGTATGAGGACCCGACTTCTAAGTGTTCCTTGGAAATTTACGGCTTCAAAGACGGACGATGAAAGAGAGTGGGATTCGAACTTGGAACGCATAAGAGGATCACGTAGCGCCGACGTACGGACTGAGTTGTACCGTGGTGCTGATGAAGATGGTGTTCCTTTTGTGTCCGAGACCCCCAAAGCAACGGCACTAAAAAGCGTCAGTTTGGATTCTAGTTCCTTTCTGGGAGTGCCTTCTACAGAACATGACATGAAGTTACGCAGTCAAAGCGATGGTGACGTCATAGACGGTGGGTCGCAGACGTCAAGTGGCCGCAACAAAAGGAGAAAAATTGCCACACTTATTAATCGAGTAAGACATACTGGTCGACGTTCAACAGTCTCCTGCATGAACAGTCAATCTATGAAATGTGAGGATTTCAAAATCCACGTACCGACAACCGGCAGACAACACTCAGAGGACGTCTTCTATCCCCAAAATCCAGTGGTAATAGATCTCATTTCTGGATAATTTATCTGTTAAATCATAATATTATTAGTTCCCTAGTGTACTATTCTCTATAGAGAAGTGGACAGACTTAGTCTTTGGATGTAGTCTTAGATTACGCCTGTCCACTTCTCTAAAAATAATAACTGTCGTTCATGTATATATATTTTGTCTGTGTATCAGTGGTATCGTTCTTTTCAGGATTTTTTATACTTCTTTGTAAAGAAAAAAATGTACAGAATTTATCAGTCATTTTCCGATATAAAAACAATAAGGTTAATGAATTCTATGTAAGAGGCAACACATGGCTTTTCCTGTTCTGTTGGTTGCTTATAAAATATTGACCTAAGGACTATAGGTCATCTGAATATGGGGATTTGATACTTACTTAAAAGTTAAATGTAAGATTCAATTATTTTGTTGAAAGATTTTAACAAAATACACATCTACGCAAAAACTGTTGCGTTACGAGGTTGTGCGATAGAACGCTGGCCTAACGCAAAACTAATGTCTATCAAATGTTGCACCATTTTATCAATTTTGGCACACACCCCTCCCCCCTCCTCCCTGTCTGAAAAACTCCTGGAATGATATATATATATATATATATATATATATATATATATATATATATATATATATATATATATATATATATATATATATATATATATATATATACACATATATATTTGTTCTTTCTGATCTAATGAAACCAAACTTTTTGTTGTATTTATGTCACAATTTGTGTGTGTGTGCATGTGTTGTTGTTGTTTTTTTTTGGGGGGGGGGGGGGTTAGCTCGAAATTGATGTTTTATTGCAGTGCTAGTATACAATATCTGCAATATCGGGTATACAACTTTTTCCCCTTTGATATGATTTTTACAAAGGCTACACTAAATGAGGAAGAATCAAACTGTTTCAGTGCTGTATACGGGTGGAGAGAGTAAATTTTATCTCTTTAACTTTCATACAAAGCATTGCTGTTGTTCTTTGAAGAGAGATGAACATAAATATTTTTCACAGGGGTATATAACCATAGTGGAGGACTAGGTGTAGAGTTTTACCTATATTCTCAGGCCCATAGGAAGCATTTCATTTTTTTTTTTTTTTTGTTTTGTTTTCTGTTTGTTTGTTTGTTTTTTGTTTTTTTTGGGGGGGGGGGGGGTGTTGCTACCAAACATATTCAATTTGGGTGGACACTAACCCCACCCCACCCCCTGCCTACCCTGGTTCCTTCGGCCATGATCCCTTAGTTATAGTATAATACATTTTGTACATGTATTTCAAATCTTCAATTAAATTATATAACCTTCATAGGAATGTGTTGGCAGAAAATTAATTTATATTATCAGAAATAGTGTGTGGGATAATTTCCTAAGTTTTAATTATTTATATTTAATAGAGATACAATATTATGTAAGCTGTTTTCTTATTAATTAAAACACTGTTATTGTTGTCAGAAAAATGTCTAGACAGCATCTGCAGCTGGATGAAAATAGATATCTGTTGTATAACATTTTTTGGTTAAAAAATGATAACCTTATCATTTATTTAACTTAAGATTTTCTCACCCCAATGAATAAAGTACCAGTATTGTTACAAAGCAGAAAAGGGCAATCTCTTACAGCAACGCATCCCATCCCCTAACATCTACCTCACCCCCACCCCCATCCCGCTCCCTTCCATGTGTTGTTACAACATTAAGAATGGATGCAGAAGTCATAATCTTTTAATGTACAGGATGGTTTTATCGTCATTTGAATTAAATCACAGCCCTTGTTCAGTAGAGGTATCACTGAGTTCAATCCTCATATAATCTAGCTGCAGAACTGTAGTGTTATGGTTTTATATTTTAGTCTTTGTCCATAATGTCATTTTTTGACCATATGATCAAAGACTAAAATATAAAACCATAACATATAATCAGGATTTTCTTTTCTTTTTATACCATGTTGTGACAACCATTCATTATGCAAGAAAGTATTCATATGTCCTAAACACTGTGGTTTTTAAAATTATTATCCATCCTATATAAATAATTAAATATATATAATTATATATATATATGTAAAGTTTATAAAAACTCGGAATAGAGTCTCTCAATCTTCACAAGCTTCCATACTTCATGTAGCAGAGGCGAGTTCAAGTGTGTGTGTTACTATTTAGCTTACCCATACCTAAGGTTTAAATGAGTTTTGTAGTCGTTCTTGACATAACTATTCACATCTCCCCCCCTTTCTCTAAATGCGGGAATATAGATTTGAGTCTGACCATCCTTCTGTCATTCTGGCTTGGCATAACATTTTAGTTAAGAATGATATCTCAAAAAGTCTTTCAGCTTTTGCAAGGAAGATTAATGTCCCAACTTCCTATGATTTAAGGAAGCCCCCTATTGATTTTGAGGTCCAAAGGTCAAGGTCAGAAATTCAGTTATTGCAAAAAATGGTTTCCATATGATATCTTTAGTTCTTTTTGAGCTTTTGCTTTTTTAGGTCAAAGTTAGAAATTCATATATTGCATAAACTACTTTTCAGGGGATAGCTTAAGTTCTATGAGCTTTTGCAATGAAGCTTCAGGTGATGAATCCTTCTAACAAAAGAAAGACCCCTGCTGATTTTGTCAATGAGGCTAAAAGATAAAAAAAATCAAGTTCATTCCTTTTCTCTCTTCATCTGCATCTCCATTCTCTTTAGGTCTTCCTCCACTTATTTTATCTTTGAGCAGGGGACATAAATTCCTGAATTAGCTTAATTTCCTCTCCAGAACCAACAGAACAAAACTTTGCACAAAGCTTTATAGGGTGGAAAAAATTCAAGATTGATCAAATGAAGGACCATGTTTTCTACAAGGAGAGAATCAAGAAAAAGTCAAAATAGAATGGATCTTTTTTTAAAAAAAAAAATTTCGTCAAGAACCACTGGGTCAGAAAAAAAAACCCAGCAAAGCCAAGGTTATTCGGGCAAGCATTGTGCGACATGGGACTCTTGTTTACAAAGTTCATGAAATTTGTGATTTTTTTTCTGTGAAATAGCATGTATTGCCTTCTATTTTTTTGATAATTCAAAACCATGTAAGTTTTGTATTTGTGTTCAATCATCAACATCGCATACGTAGAACCTATTTAAATTCAGTATTAAATTCATGCGTTACTGGGTACAAAACACTAAAATGATTCAAGTACGCAAATGTTAATAGGAATACATTCATAGGCACCTATCATCAATCATCAAACAGTAAATAAAGTAAATAACACACATCTTCTTTAATATTCAGAAAGAAAATCAACTAGAGAAGATATATATTTTTATTCATCAACCATGATGGGACTTTCCAAAGAGATATTACCATTTTTTTCTCATTATGCGTAAAAAGAAAATAAGACCATTTCTTTAAAATCAGTTCCGGTTTTACATCTTTGAAGTTGAGGAAGGAAGTGCTCAACCATAACATAATATTTGGTTAACAGTACATGTCCACCCATTGAAAAGAGAAACAACAAAAAACAATGTTACAAAAAGGATAGAGTTTCATGTTTAATGTGTAAACTTTTTCATTTATAAATGTTATACACCTAAATGAAAATGACTCACTTGTAAGTCCCTGATTACCCAATCATACATCCTTCTGTTATTTACATGAAAGGGTGATGTTCTATTATGGTACTTCTAATAACAACAAAAAGATGGGATCCTCCGAGTTTTCTGTGATAATGTACACAGTCCCATAACTAGAGCTAGAAGAACATTGTGTTTATGCTTCTGATTTCATATTTCTGATGTCCAAAAATAAAAAATACACATTTATATGCTTAAATTTCAAAACTGTGTTTTATATTATAAATGTAAATTGTCATTGAAACATTTTCTTTAAAAGATTAATTCTTATCTCTTATTGTAAATAGGTAAAATGTGTACAGATAAAAAAAAAATATTTTAATCAAGGTAGGAAAACCAAAGTACCAAAGTATGTCCCCTTTATTAAACAGAAGAAGAGTTTAGAAAGTGCCTAAAAAGAAACTCTTTACAAACATATCTTTTTCAAATGCCACATCTATTAATTTGATTTTAATGTGCTATATCTGAAAAGATCTATCAATCTGAATGGTTGCTCAGGTAAATTTGTTTAAATATCGGTGAAACAGAGGTATGATCTCTCACATTCAGGAAATCTAGCAGATCCTTAGACAAACACTTCTTAATCAAAAAGGAATGCCGTGTAGATTTATAACACTGATTTATTGTTAGACGTAGGAGCACCTGTTTACAAATGACAGAGATCCCCACCCTTAATGGTAGTCTTAAAACAAGGGTACGAGTAAAAATAGCACGTACACAGAAACTGCAGATAGTGGGAGAAACCTGCAGTTATGAAAAAGTCTAATAGTTTGCCAACTGATTCCTTGGAGTATTTAGGGGGCAATTTCCCCACTCCTCACCATTCTTATAGTTTACCCCCTTCCCCAGGGAGTTCTTTAAGCTCTACTACTGGAATACTGTCAAGACTAAGGAGGAAATTTTCCCGAAGGATTCGGAGGAAATCGTACCACAGCCATCGTCGACCCTCAGACGAGTCGAGTGTGGACTTTGACTTTGAGAGGGACAGAAGTTCCTCAGCAGGAAGTCTAACAGCAGGGGAGATAGAGGTTCTGATAAACTGACACCTTTAGACAAAGTACTATCGATAAATTCAATTTAGATCTTGGAATACTGGAATCAATAAGTTGGAAGTGCTTCATTTTATCATCATGCATTAAAAAAGACTTTCGTCATAATTTTTGTGGATATATATTTTTAAATGTGTTTTTCATTGCTTACAGAATGAAAATGTTTACTGTGGAATACTCCGTTGCCTGCTGCATCCACTGGGCAATCCAGATGTCACAACTGGACTCAGGCCAGGTGACCTAATACACAGATTAAAAGAGGTAAGTTAAAACAGCCTCAGATAGCGAATTTCAAGTCAGTTTCAACCAGTTTTAAGTCAGTCACAAGAAAAGATTAAATAGAAGCAGAGAACACTCTAAATGTTTGAGTGTGGCTGATATGTATCTATTCCTAAAAAGAAATGACAGAAAAAAAAAGATTGAAGACACATAGTTACTAGTTCCATTTTCATCTAAGTGGCTTGTTGACTTGCTAATATTGATTGATACATTTTCATATATCTTTTAACAAACATGGCATCAGATAAGAAATATACTGTGACTTTTTATGTAATTACGGCAATATAATTCAGGAAATGAATTTTTTAGAAGAGCATAAAATCTTATTTTCTCAAGCATTACAGGCAATAGATATATACATGATATAGGCAGGATACTTTGATTGGATAGAAAAGCATTACCAAAGTATTAGGCTTTTATCTGTAAATGCTGTAATAAAACTTTGCACCAACCACTGGTTAACATGAAATGATTTTATAATTTTCAAACTGGTACAATAGAAAAGTTGAAACTTTTTTTTATGTTTTTCATACTTCATAATCAATATCATTCAAAGTACATTTAAACTTTCTTAAGTTATAATGTGCTTTGCTGCATGATATTTTTAAAAACATTATCCAGAGTGTAATATATCAATTTCATATTTTTTATTTACATGGAAATCCTTGTTATAGGCTAATTATTGATATTTTTTATATATAAATAGATGTATATAACCCCCCAATGACATTTAGCTCTGACATTTGAGTCTATAACTATGTTAGGCAGTAAAGATCTGCCCTTTTATAGCCAATATTGCAAAGGTTACTATATTTTGTTAAATAAAAACTTGCTAAAAATGGTTCACACAGATAAAAATATTCACAAAATGTCACACAATATCCTGTAGGATTACATTACATACAGTATTTTTTTTTTTTTTTTTTTTTGCAAAGTTTCTATATATATATATATACTCACTGCAACAGTGTTTTTTAAGATGGTAAAAGCTACCTTTTGTAAAATATTAAAAATCCAAGATCTCTTTGATAATTTTTGGTACCAGTGCCCAGGTTTATCCCATGAAGTAGGCCACTGTTACATTATGTTAATAGGTTTCCTTTTATGGATAATACCCACAAAGATAGGAAATTCTAAGTGTTTTTACGTGCACTGTAGGTGTTTGAGGTGAATCAAGAAGAACAGGAATTCTACATTCGACAAGAAATGTTCCACCGACCTCACTCAATCCAGGCCAATATCTGCATCATAGAAGCCAAAGGGCTTCATACAGACACTCTAGGTACCATTTTCAAATTTAATTTATTTTCTTTAACATAGAATGCAATAAAATGTCTAATATTCTACATCCCTTCCACAAAACTAGTACTTGCCCTGAAAAAAGAAATGTTTGATTGAATTTTAGATTAGTCTTAATTGTTTAAACTTGTCTTCAATATACATGTATACAGATTTGCCTTGATTAAATGTTGAACATCACATGCCTACTCTGACAACAGAACTTGTTCCCTTAAATTCTGGATATCCAAACTGAAAACTGATTAAGATAGCTTGAATTTGGAAGTTCACATTAGCACTCTGAGTCAATAAGAAAAAAATCAATGCACCACACTTTTCACTTAAAATTTTTTGTTACTAAATCTCCTTTCTTTTCTTTCTGAAATGGTGAAGTAGACATACTTTCAAATACTGTAAAGCAGGAATTTTTAGCAGAGTGCTAACTTTGGCCTATTTTAGTGGTTAGGTAGTAGGCTACTAAAATTTAATTTCTAAATTTGCAACCTAAATGCTTTTAGGTAATGAACACAAGAAAACCTATTGTTAAACTTTATACCTTTCTATAGTTTTTACTTGAACTCTTGCATAAATCGGTGTACAAACATACTGAAAACTCATCTGGAAGATGAACTTCCTCTCTCTGCACTGAGGGATATTTGATTCCACATTAACCCACTAAATGGGGATTCATGGTTTCACCTTTTTCAATACTCAATTATTCTTTCTTGTTTTCTTTATATGTTTAAGGTGACTGTATAGCTCTTCAGATAAGCGGTACAAAATTATGCTACAAGTTTGCAACATCATGAAACTCTTTTTCTGCCAAAAAAGAACCTCAGCCAAAATTATTGCCATACATATAAGCAAGCAAATGCCAAATTTTACACCCACTTAAGACACCAAGTATAGAGTAGTTTGGAAAAAAAATCAATTTAGCCAATGAGATAATCTTAAAAATACTAATTTTGAACTGACATAATACTTAATAATAAAATTGTGTTTTATTAAAGAAAACTGCAATCCTTACTGTCTCGTCAACATCTATCATCCGCTACACAGAAATTCTTCATTTTCACCAAAAACATCACCTAAACCATCACCCAAATCATCGCCCCAGCTTAAGAAGCACTCCACCACACTCCCTACTGAAGTGGAGGAGATGCTGAAGACAAACACTGCCAAACACACTGTGGACCCTCAGTGGAACGAGGAATTCCAACTGTAAGAATATCAGCTAACTGACAGATTCTATTTACAGTAAAACTTGTCTAATCCGGACACCACTGGTTCCAAAGACATTAGCCAGATAAGACAACATTCCAGATTAGACAACATTTAGAACAATTGAATTTACTGCAAGGGACTTTATGTTTACTCTGTATTAGACAAGATTTTGGATTATACAACATCCGGATTAGACAAGTTTAACTGTATATATACATGTAGATTTATATATGAGAATTCTGTCCTGAATGCAATTCAATAATGAGCATCTATATAAGTTTGAATAATAAAAAATAGTATCCCATTCAAACATAATGCGATACACACTAAACTGGAATAATTTGTAATGGATTAGTATGAAGAAAATGTTTATCCAAGTTTATTATTATAGAAAAAAAATTCTGCATTGTAGACCAATGGAAGATTTGCTAACAGACGAAATTCATTTATTTATTTGTAACCAAGATCAAGAAAGTGGAGCAGAAAAACCCCACCATGACAAACTTCATCTTTTGTCGAGGTGAGACAACTTACAAATCCTACACCGTTTCTATAGTACTGTAAATCACTTAATACCTGAGAACTTTATTAATTAAATTAACAGTCGCCCACTACTTTATTAATTAAATTAACAGCCCCCCACCCCCTTGCCATTTTCAACTTTATGTGTGGGTGACTTAAGTCCAATAAGAAGCCATTTACTTCCTAAAGTAATTATAATGGCTTTTCATCAAAGAAATCATGAAACCAAAATTTCTTGAGAGTTTGCCAGAAAGACCTAGCTGAGAAAAACAAAATACTGTTTTTCCATAAAAGACAAAATAAGTGTGGCAATTTGTGGGCAACTAAATTTTAATGTGGGCCCTTGGAATTACAAGGTTCTGTAGCCAACATAATATAAGAAAAGATTCTGTTAGTTTAAATCCCTAATTATTTGTATACCATACTGGCAACTCATCAAAATAAATTTCTTGTGAATTGTTTTTTAAATTAGGAAATTTACTCAATTTCATTTTATTGAAGAAGAGGTAAAGGGCACTCAGTTTCACTTGATACTTTTTGTTAGTATTTATTTTACACTAAACTGCACATGCTGGAGGCAGTTTATACATGTAAAAGTGAAAAACCAGGGAAATTTCCTGATCATTGATTTGTGAAAAGTTATCTGTCATGAATACAAACACAACTGTACCGGTATTTATGCAAAAATAAAACCTTTCAAAATAAAAGTAGATTTTGATACACTTTTAAACATGGGAAATAACATGTTTGATTCATTACGGTCAAGTTAATACCCAGACATGATTTCAATATTTCATAGCCCAGAAATCTTTACTTTTAAGATTTGACCTTGTATCAAGATTTTACACACTTCTAGGTCATAAACTTATTTAGACTAATGACCTTGGATCTAATTCTAAGATGGACAACCATGCTTTAACTCAATTAAGTCCAGTGTGACTTTTCTCTTGACTTCTGGTTAATGTGCTTTTAGAATTAAAAAATATTACCGGTAATCAATGTTTTACAGCTTGTTGAAGAATGTCCTTCATGTCAGTGACCATGACAGACTGGACCAGCATTTGTTTGGCAAGGTCATCATTCCAGTCCGGGTAAGGTCATTATAGATAACCTTGAAAGAACCCCACCCCCACCCCACTAAACCACTTTATCTAGATACATACAAAAACTGAACTGAAGTAGCTTAAACAATAAACAGCTATTTGGCTGACATTTTAAATCCCTCACTGTAATAATTGTATAATGAGTATGTGTAATGGTGGTTATTTTTATAGGAGATTCCTGCTCAGGGTTGTGATTGGTGGTGGGATATTACAAGCCCTAGCTCTAAGGGGAGCAAACTCTCTTGGGGAAAATGCCACATCAAAGTGCATCTATCTCATCAGCAGGTAAAATAAATCTGTAGTTCTACATTTAATTAATAGTTTTGATAAACCTCTACTCTGGACCTTACATTTTTTTAAGATGAATTAATCATACTTTTTTTTATAACAGAGTTCTGTGACCGGCAGTCAGCCATTCTCAGTAGAAGATTACTACCAGGCAGCAGAACAGTTCTACAAACACGCCATTAAAGGCCTAGAGGTCAGATATCCCACCATGCTCTGAGGGGGATAACTCATTTTGTAATGTATCAAAATAAGCTTGACACAATATCATGTTGATTAATGTACAAATCTATAACTGATTCAAAACTTACCACATTTGCCCTTTTGAACCAAGAAAAGAATTCTCATAGAATATATAAATACACATTACAGTACTGAATCCACAGGGTTAACCATTTTTAGCTCACCTCGACGAAGTCGAGATGAGCTTATGCTATACCCCCGGCGTCGGCATCGGCGTCGGCGTTAGCGTCGGCGTCCCAGGTTAAAGTTTTAGGAGCAAGTCCCATTCCCAAGTAACTATAAGCCCTACCTGGACCAAACTTGCATGGATGATGCATCTAGGGATGGACACTATCACACTTGCTTCGGATGCTGGATCTGACCTAGATTTTCCGGATGAGTGACCAGGTTAAAGTTTTAGGAGCAGGTCCATTCCCAAGTAACTATAAGCCCTACCTGGACCAAACTTGCATGGATGATGCATCTAGGGATGGACACTACCACACTTGCTTCGGATGCTGGATCTGACCTAGATTTTCCAGATGAGTGACCAGGTTAAAGTTTTAGGAGCAGGTCCATTCCCAAGTAACTATAAGCCCTACCTGGACCAAACTTGCATGGATGATGCATCTAGGGATGGACATGGCCACACTTACTTCGGATGCTGGATCTGAACTAGATTTTCCGGATGAGTGACCAGGTTAAAGTTTAAGGAGCAGGTCCATTCCCAAGTAACTATAAGCCCTACCTGGACCAAACTTGCATGGATGATGCATCTAGGGATGGACACTACCACACTTGCTTCGGATGCTGGATCTGAACTAGATTTTCCGGATGAGTGACCAGGTTAAAGTTTAAGGAGCAGGTCCATTCCCAAGTAACTATAAGCCCTACCCGGACCAAACTTGCATGGATGATGCATCTAGGGATGGACACTACCACACTTGCTTCGGATGCTGGATCTGACCTAGATTTTCCAGATGAGTGACCAGGTTAAAGTTTTAGGAGCAGGTCCATTCCCAAGTAACTATAAGCCCTACCCGGACCAAACTTGCATGGATGATGCATCCAGGGATGGACACTACCACACTTGCTTCGGATGCTGGATCTGACCTAGATTTTCCACATGTAAGACCAGGTTTAGATTTAGGAGTAGTCTCGTTTCCAAGTAACTATAAGCCCTACCTGGACCAAACTTTCATGGATGATGCATCTAGGGATGTACACTAACCAACCTGCTTCGAATGCTGGATCTGACCTAGATTTTCCACATGAGTGAATTTTAGCCATATTTTAACCAAATTAGCATGGATGATGTATCTAGGGATGGACACTTCCAGACTTGCCTTGGATTCTGAATCTGATGTACATTTTCCAGATGAGTGACCAGGGTAATTTTTTGGAGTAGCTATATAATATTATGGCCTGTTATGATTAAACTTGCATAGATGGTGCATCTAAGGATGAAAACTTCCAGACTTGCTTTGGATGTTGGAAGTGACCAAAATTTTCTTGATTACTAAACAGGTCAAAAGTTTTTTGAGCAGGTCTATAATTAAATCAAACTTGCATGGACATTGATCTTGGGATGTACCCTAACTAGAAAAAAAATATGATGTGAAATTTGCCTTAGATGTAGATAACATTCGTCGAGGTGAGCTTCGTAATCTTTGATTACCTATGTTTAAATGTTTTTAATACTTGACAGGTGAATGCTCCTCTGGATCCATACCTCAACAAACAGGACAGTAGGATCCTAGATTTGTTTGCTCAGTCATATGGAATCTCAAAGTTATCTCAAATTTTGATGTAAGTTTTGATTTAAGTCCAGAGCTCCAGATAAGGTGCGTATTTGCAGAAATATGCATTGAATTTTTCAAAATACGCATTAAAAATTAAAACAGGGCGTACAATTATGCATTAGCAATCATAAATAAGCATTACACTACTAAAGTACTGCGTACAACGGATTGAATGATACAAGTATTATTTAACTAATTATGTGAATTGAGGTCAGCTCAGTGTTTGAATTTTTATCAAAAGGAATTTTGATTTATAAGCGTATTCGAAATAACTTAGGCCGATTTCCAGTTCGGAAGAAAGATTTGAATATTAAATACTCGTACTTTGTCTGAAAATATCACAGATTTCCACTGTTCATATAACATCCAAATTTTGTTCTTGACGCGTACACGTCGATCAATATTGTCAAAATTGCGCAAAACACGCATGGTGTCTAATTTATCCTTTATCACTATTTTATTAAACAGTTCCTGTATATTTACCATTTTCTGTAGCAGTAATATCATCTAAAGTGCGCTGACAACCTTTATTAATTGTATAAAAATTATTGCTTTTTGCTTTCAATGTGTTCCTGTGGTATAATAGCGCCAAGCGACTTTAAATGCAAACGGGGAGTAACTCTAAAAATTTTATCTCGATTGATGCCAACAATTTATATAGCAAAACCTAATTATATATTTTTCATTGAAAGCAAACAAACAAGCAAACAAAATAGAAAACAATGGGGCAGGATATTTTGAGAGGGGCAGGTTGGGATGAGAATTTAAAGATTAATTTTATCTGGCCAAAGGAAGGATATTTTTCTCGGTAACTCTTGCTACGGTTGATATAGGCCTAATCTTGAATGGAGTTCTGTGTGCCCGTGGTAACTTTGCCTACCGTATGGTCTTTCTGGTGAAAATGACATGTTTCTCAATTATAGCTAAAAGCTGACAATTTTTTTTTTTTACTAAATTTCATTAACCTAATTGATAAATGCAGAATCTGTCTCTTTTTTTTTTACATTCCTCTTTCAAAAACACCTTTTGATAACAAGCTAAATATCATATTAGATGTCAAAAGAACAATAAAATAACAAAATACTCTGTGATTATTTTGCTGAAAAGCAAAATCTGCATTGATTTGAAAATCAGGGAGTAAATACACTTTAAAGTAAAAAATTATCTGGAGCTCTGTAAGTCCTGTCTTCTCAAAATGAAACCAGTGTAAATCAAACTTCTATCATCATTATCAACTAGATGTTTTCCAATTAGTTACGTTACAGTGTATGTAGTCTGTACATGTATCATGTTCTATTTTTAGACACATTGTTGTACTACTGGAGTGGTCCTCTAGTCATGATGACATCACCACAGTGGACCAAGCACTCCAGGTGACCTTACAGGAACTCCAGATGATCTGGGCCTCCAAACAGTTTGACATATCTGCTTGTTCCCAAAAAATGCCCATTACAGATGCAGAGGTGAGGATTTGATCATCTGAATTATAAAAAAAATATTTCACTAAACTTTACCTTATGCATGATTAACTCTTGTCACAGATAATGATGTATAGACGAGCTGCAAAAAACTATATCTCCACACTATCTGACCAACTGGACAACAACATAGAGTTATTCCCCCCTTACCTGGACAACATCAACACTCTCAGACAAAAGTTTGGGTAAGTCCATCAGAGAATAATTTTCCATGAATAGACTACAAGGTAATTGACATTAAGCAGGTTTTTGCTGTTACTATATACTGATTTTAACATGTCTGTATTCCTTTTGTTCCAGTGTCTGTATTCTGCTGTTGGAGCTGGACCTCTGGGATTCCAAATCATCTCCTCACAGCCCACTTACCCAGAAAATCCTCAGAAAGCTACAGGTAATGTATATTTACCTGTCTACAGGAACAAATGGGAAATTGTTAACTATCTAAAGGGAGTAACCAGTTAAACTTTTACAATTACAGAATGATAGAATAAAATTGCTTTTAAGGGAAATAACTCCTGTAACAATTTTACATTTAGGATGACACCGATCATTGGACCAGTGAGAAGGTGGAACAGATCTACAGTCATGACACAGTTCAGGATCCGGTCATTCCCCGGATGAATGCTTTGGTGGAACTGACCAATCTTCTATCCTCCCACTGCCTTCCTATGGGTGTGGTCAATAACTTGTACAACACACTGGGGATTGGCTACTTCCGGATTGTCTCCTTCTGTGTAGAAAGAAAGGTGAGAGACACTATCAGAAAGGTGATTCTGTTATCAGATTCAATGAATGCAGCAGATTATACTTGAAACTGTGTGCATTTAATGTTTTATCAAGAATTGAATGTCTCTTATCACCCCTTGAAAGGAAAAGAAACTATATATTTTTATGAAAAAAAATTGTTTTAACAGATCAGTTTACTGATTAAAGAACTGTGTCATGAGTTGGATGTTTACCAGCGTAAATACCACCAGTTCAGTGTTAACATCACCTACAGTAGTCGACTAGCCCTGAGAATGTTCTTTGCAGCTAAAAAGTTCTACAGTGTTGTTAGGGATAATGTCAGTAGAAGGTAACATTCGTGTTAACATTTTTCTTCAAATTTCTGATAATTCATTCGATAAGCTTGTGTATCTTATCAGTGATTCCTCTGTTTATAATGACAGGGATGTGTTCAGACTGACCATTCATCAGTACCAGGACTGGTTTCTGGATGCTCTGGTGTTCTGGTTACAGACATTTAGAACTGAATGCTTGAACCGTATAGAAAGAGCTCTTGAGATTGACAAGGATGTAAGTATTAAATCATTAATATATGCTATTTTTTCTGGTTTTATATCTATATAACCTGCATTTCTTACTGACCACTTATTTTTCCTGGTTTTTTTTTTTTAATCAAGGTGGTAGTCACCCACAGCTTGGTCAAATTCTCCAACTCCTCAGTGGATGTTAAGGCTTGTTTTGCACAGGTAAGCTCAAGGAAGATAATTGATATAATTCTATCAGTAAAAAGAACCAGCACAATTCCAGTTACTGGTCTCTGTAGAATATTTGTTGAGGTGTCCTTACTGATATTTTAGATAACAGAAGAATGGAGACAGATTGACTACCACGACCCTGATGCCAGTGTAATGGGAATCATCAAGATTACTGATGTATGTTCAAGTCCACTGATGATGTTTTACTGGTAAATTCTAGTCTTTTAGAGATGTTCCTCTGTTTTATTTTGTTGTTTATTTTTTAGCTTATTTGTGATGGAGCCAGGATATACACAGACAAGATTCATGTAATGATGGAAAAGAGTAACTTTTATGATGATGGAGATGAACAATTTGACATTACAGAAAGGGTATGTACTGGTACTTACTTCCCAGCTAGCACAAAAACATTTTAAAAATGTTTTTAAAACATTTTCAAAATGTTACAAAAACATTTTAAAAAATGTTTTAATCACGTGATTTTGTATGGTTTTTTAAACGTTTTTAAAACATTTCAGCAAAATATTTCAGCAAATGTTATCAGAACATTTAATTAAAATGTTACGAAAACATTTTCCAAAAATGTTTTAATCACGCGATTTTGTATGGTTTTTTTAAACGTTTTTAAAACATTTTACCCAAATGTTTCAGCAAATGTTATCAGAACATTTTCCTAAAATGTTACAAGAACATTTTTGCAAATGTTTTATTCACGTGAATTTGTATGGTTTTTAAAATGTTTTTAAAACATTTTACCCAAATGTCGCAATGGCATCTCCTTCCTAAAATGTCAATAGACGTTTTCAATAATGACATGAGAACATCATTTTGTATGATTTTAAGAGCGCTTTAAATACATAACTCTCAAAGAATAAATCACAACTGAATGAATTCATTTTTTTAAACAAATTTTAATACAAACCCGTATGCAATATGCAAAACACATTTTAGTTCCATTTCCAGTACAAGTTCTGAGTTATATTGTTTTAACCCAACAGGTATTTTTAAAGAAAAAAATCCATTCACTGCATTTAAAAACAACAGAATCACACAAATCCTTCCCATAAAAAGAATAACCAGGCCTAGATCACTGTTATCAATTACGATCCCACAAAAGCATGTGTCTACATGTACATGTGTAGGTTCCACAGAGCGGCGGATCTAGCTATTATGTAAATGGAATCGCACACATAAACTTCACAAGAAGTCTGTCCTCGGAAAGAATTGAACAAGTCGCTCGATCTTTTCAGTAAAGCAGAACCTGTAAACATGGAGACAACAGTGTTTAAGTCATCCGTCTACTTCAGATCTTTAAATAATGAAAATATACAAGAACATTTTTTAAATCATAAGATCACAAGAACTTTTCCCATTTGCATTATGAAAGGAATTAGAGTTGTTGCTTGTTCATAACTATAACACGATAATATTATTGAAGAGCAACGATATTTACGTACAAAAAAATTGCCTTTGTCTTTGTCAGTTAGAGGCGGTTCTTTCAAATGTGGCAATTTGAATGGAATTCAAGTCTGTGCTGGAACTGTCATCTAACTGCAATATGATTTCATGTTTCAATAATAAGATATTTTGAATTATGATCAACATAAGACAAGGAGGTATATTTGTTGTTGCCTAAAGTATTTAATTCAAATACATAATAGCTTTGTCTTTGCTACACATATGCATACAAGAATACAATGATGTACTGGTAACATAAAGGTTATTTTTAAAAATTATCTTTTGAAATCTCTGATTAAAGTATACTCACAATGCAGATGTTATAATCCGGCGCTCATTCTCCAGGCTTATATGATGAAAAAATCTTGTTTGAAAATCAGCATCAAGAAAACGCGCACATCCTGTTTACCAGAATTCAAATTTTGGCCTAGATAAGCTGCAAACCACTATACTCTATAACGCGCTGCCCAGCAGGAGAGTTGCATAACAAGGTTATCTTGACACTGAAACTGACCAGTGAAGCCACTCCTAATCTGCTGCCTCGGAGTTTAAGAAATATGATGCAAACAGGCGAGACCGTCATAAATCAGGCTGTGTTAATTATTGTAAACAGTTTGTTTATTATTTTGTTTTCTTTTTAAAATTAAAGTATCTTAAATTTATTCAATGAACTTTGTATTGATTACATGTCTGTGAAATCAATAAGACTTTTTTAAAAAAAATGCATTATTGAAAAAAGAAAGAAAATACCGGGATACGCAAGTGATCGAGTTGCAGTAATATCAATGTCTTCGGAAAATTTTTAAAAGCAATTTTTCATTTAACCCCAATCTTCTCTGGATATTCTATGCATTTTATTTTCTCAGACAATTGGGTTAGTCGTGAATATTTTCAAAACATTTTGAAAATTACATTACAAAATGTTGCATTAATGCTAGATAAAATGTTATAGTCTTTAGAAGAATAAACGTTAAAGTCAATGTTCTAAAAACATTTTTACAACATACTTTGAAAATAAATAAATGCATTAATATTGAAAATGATATAAATGTTTAAAAACATTTTGAAAATGTTTCTATAAAATGTTGCATAAATCATAAATAAAATGTTTCAGTTGTAGGAGGAGAAAACGTTTTGTGAAATGTTTTAAAAACATTTTCACGACCAACACTTGAAAACATTTAAATATTATACTATAAGCAGTATGTAGAATGTTTTAAAAACATTTTGACGACGTTCCTTCAAAATGTTTTAGAAAAGTAACATTACAATGTTACAGATTTATAGAAGAGGAATGTTTTATATTATGTTTTAAAAACATTTTTATAACGTAATATGAAACTGTTTAATATATGCAAACAAAACATACCTTTCGAATCATTTTTAAAACGTTTCAAAAACATTTTATTGAAAAGTTCCTTAAAGATTCTACCTTAACCATTTTGAAAACATTTTAAAAATGTTTTTAAAATGTTACAATGGGAAAGAAAAATGTTTTTAAAACATTTTGAAAATGTTTACTCTGAAATGTTTTGAAAAAACCTTTTTATAACTGCAGTAAAATGTTTTGAAAATGTTTTGTGCTACCTGGGTTGTATATGTTACATATATATAAATCAAAATGTTCATATAAAGACATTGAAAAGAGTGTTTATGACTGTTAACTTGTTTTGTTTTTAGTTATGAGGTATCCATCTTTGTGAGCCAAGTGCCCGATTCAGAAGAGGAGTGGATCGTCACCCTTGGCTAGCGAAGATGGCCAATATCTTGTTCAAATGTTTAGAATTCTTCTTTGCTTTTATAGCTTTGCATTACTTTGAACAACATTGAGCATGTGCGACAGTACCTTAAGGAACTTCCTGTTCTACTGGACTGGGAATCTGTTTGTATGCTTCTGTCCACAAAGCATGAGAACGATGACATTGGTAACAAATCCAGCTCCACACTCTCTCGTCTCATCACGTCTGCTGGACAGGAAATACTGCTCAAATGTTCTCTCCTCATAGCACAGATCGTGGAGAAAATGAAAGTAGACATGGCCAGATTTATGGGGATATTTACTCAGAAGACTCCTGAAAAAGCTTCAGTATGTACAAAAAAATTAATTATCGGAAAGAGATGCTGATACATGTAGTTATAAAATACAATTACAGTTGAACCATGTTATCTTAAGCACTGAAAATACCAGAGATAAATCAAAGTAGGTTATAGGTCAAAATTAACAGTGTCATTGAATTTGACCATACATGCTGATTTTATACCAATCATAACTAAAAAAAGAATCTTTTGTATCAATTTGGGTAAAAAATATTCCAAAATATTAAAGAGCATGAATATTCAGATTCATAACTGTAACCAAGTACATATTGATGAAAATATCGCTTACACATGTAAAGTTTCTTTTTAGTCCATTGATCAGCTGTTCCAATACTTGTCCACAAACTTGCGTACCCTGAAGGAGAGACTGTTTGACAGCATGTACCCCCACATTACAGAAGAACTCTGGAAGACCATAACGGAACTCATGGAAGAACAAGTGTTCATAGGGGTGAGGAACTAGATGAAGCCAGTAATTTATAATTATTTGATTAATAAGTAGCTCGTTTCATTTTATTCTTATCAAGGATTTTTTTTGTTTCAGTCTGTAGTTATTCAATGCTTTACTTTATATTTTAGGAGAGACCGGAATATTACTCTCAAATGAAGCAGGTTAGTTCAGGTTAATGAAACATAGCCTAGATTTCTGTAGCATGTGTTTTCAATTCATATTGATCATTACAGGTACAATGGTTTGGGCAATATACAAGTTTACATTTTTTATGCAGTTTTTGCGAGCCTTGACATCTTACTTTGCCAAAGATGGCCTGGAAGAGAGCAAAATTCAGACAGAGCAGTATAATTCATTAAAAGCCCGATTGGAATTGAGTTCTCTTAGTACAGAAGAACTTATGCTAGAGTATTTCAACAATCTTGCTGATGACATTGTAAATGTAAGAGTGATATTTTGTATATAAAAGTTTGAGAATTACAATAAACAAAAGATAAGATGAAATATTCTGCATATTGTTTTGTTTTGCTTTGTTTTGTTTTGTTTTGTTTTTTTGTATATGTAATTTACTTGTCACTTCTGTCTTCAAAGCAGGAGGCAACATCTGATTTTCTGGGGAATCTTGCTGTGAAGGTGTCATATATAGAGGAAACAAGAGGAAATGTTACCATTTTTATTAAAGGTAAAACCAGAACAGGTCCTTATTGCAAAATTCAGCTGAAAAGAAATTTAAATTTGTTTATGATTCAGAAATGACCTTTGATTAAAAAATGATTTTTTTTTAAATATAATACTATTTAATTTTAATGTTTCTGATGTGTTAGTGATTCGAGCTTCTGACCTTCCTGGATTGGACCACTCTGGTCTAAGTGACCCATATGTTGTTGTCTCCCTTTATCCAAAAACAATGTTTGGCCACAACAAACCTCAAAAGACCAAAGTTGTAGAGCAGACCCTGAATCCTGTGTTCAACACAACTTTTCAGTTGTAAGTGGTTCTTTTTACATAAGATTTAGAAAAAGGACTTATATGAGACTGAACATACAAGGTTCATACACTTAAGTATTGTTAAAGTATTATCATAAGTACCTAAAAGTTCCCAGTTGATAACTATCACAGGCAATGACAAAATTATTTTTGTTGTATTTTACAGCCCTAATGTTCCCCGTGAATATATGTCTGTGAGGGGAGCAGTCCTCTTGCTGAGTATTTTGGATCATGATAAAATAGGGTCTGATGATTTTGCTGGAGAAGTGGCCATTCACCTCTCCTCCATTTCACCAATGGAGATGTCAACTACGGTGGATTCTAAACATGCCATCATGCTGCCCATCAAACGACCAACACGACAAACACAGGGACCTTACAAGGTAAAAAGATTGCCTTCTCTCTTCTCCACTAGCCCTTGTACTGCTGCCTAAATTGGGAAAAATTTGACCTTTTTTTTTTTTGTCTATTTTATCCTCCTCCTAAAAAATGCAATATCAGGCTAATTTATTTAGAGCATATATAATAAAGAAACAAAGGCCTAGGGTCATTTTAAAATTAGGAAAAATCTTTTCCTGTGCATTTTACAATGGGTCTAAGCTATCCCTTGATATGATTACCTGGTACATAACTCGGTCTGGTTCAATATCTTTTCTTCTATTACTCTGCTCTTCTTTTCTCATAAGAAATGAAAATATCTATTTCAATGACAATCAAAGAAAATATCTTCACTTTTCTCTGTGTTATAGGTGCTTGTGGAAAGAAGTAACTGGGATAAAACAGCCAAATTATTCATTACTGACCGGCGACGCTTCATTGAAAAACAGCGACAACGCACAGATCTCAATTCTAGAATGTCTGGCTTCCTCTCATTTTTCAGAGGAAAGAAATCCTAAATTTCTGAGGAATTTTGACTGTTAATGGTTTGATACGCCATGTCAATGTGCCAAAACATTGCTTTTTGATGTTATTTGTTGTTTTCAGACAATTGAATATTTATTCATGATAATAATCCTGTTATGTTTTAAATAAATTATGAAATTTTAGCTTCTGTTAATGAATTTAGATGTAAACTTCAAAGCATGCTCATGCATTTACTCATTCATTTAAATACATGTACATCCAAATAATGGTGTATGTTTGAAATATAAATCAAGAATGACAGCATTACCATTTAAGTCAACCGAGTTACATGGGTAACCTACCACTAAGGTCATCAATTGTGCTTGGTCCTTAACTTTTTACATATTTTACTCCTCCAGAATTACCAGGCCAGTTTCAACCCAGCTTGATACAGCTTATCATTGTTGATGGTTATTCAATTTAACCAAATAATGGGGGAAAAATCGAGAGATATTGAGTGTCTGCCAAGTCACAAAGTAAAATTTTTTTAAAGCATAGAGGACAGATTTGCAATGGTTAAATCAGGGCTCTGAACTGTCAAATTCATAGGCAAATAGCATTGTGAACACTGATCCTGTACATTATGTAATGTAAAATCAAGATGGGGGGGGGGGGTATTTTATTTTTTGATATGAAGAAATTTTTTAATAATTATTATTCTTTTGTACAAGAACAAGACTACAGATTGACATAATATTGTGAAATTCTTTATAGCATTGATCCAAATGTGTTGAATTTACCTGTCCTTGGCAATATGTTAGGTTTATCAAGTTTTACATAAAAAATCTAAAATAGCCAATCATGTTGCTCTGAAAATCTTTTCCTTGTGGCAATCAAATAAGCATTAAGGCCATTTTTTATCTTTGTTGCTGAAGAAATTTATAATAGAACATCACTTAGCTCAACAAAAATTGAAAAATATCTTTAAAACTGCTCGAAAATAAACTAGAGCATTGAGCTCACAAAATGATACCCCCCCCTCCCCCCACAAGAGTATAAAGGTAAAGTCCATTTTTTGCAATGGAAAACTCTAAATATCTGTTTGATCGAAAAAAGTAATAAGAGGTGCACAATGGCACTATGTAATAAATTTTCTGTGAAAGTCTTAAATTTTATTCAGTGGTTTTGGAGGAGTTGCAGATAAGAAATGGATACCTTCCAATATAGAAATAATGGCAGTGTCAATGTTTTGCTATGGGAAACCCAAAATATCTGATTAAAATGAAAAAGAGGTGCACAATGGCACTATGTAATAAAGATTCTGTGAATGTCTCATTAAATTTTATTCAGTGGTACAGGATGAGTTGTGGATAAGAGATGGGTACCCCAAGTGTTATGGATGGAAGGATGTACAAATATATGGACAGACACCCCCATCACTATATACTCCCCACTTTTTCAGGCAGGGGGTATAATGAAGTCCTGAACTAAGACTCTCTGCATTTAACTAAACAATATCAAGTATTTCATCACATTTCACTAAATTTATGTGTTTATAGTAAATTGAACATTGAATAAAAAGTAACTGTAAACTTTCTTGTAACATTTTTATTAACACAAATTGATTAATATAATAATTTCAAATTTAATTGAATTGTCCAATCATTTTTTCTCCCCTGACTCAACCTGAGGGACAGGGGTTTCTGATTCTTCCTCCTTTGGGCGAAAATTTGGAAAACTCTCCCAAGGTGTACTGTACTCGAATTTGCGGAACTCCTGGGCCATTTCTACAGGTTCTATCACCACACGTTGAACCTCATCATCATAACGGAGCTAAAAAAGACAAGAGTGTTCTAATAAACTGAAAAAACAGTAAATTATTTCTTTTTTTTGGCATTTTTAGCTCACCTGAGCGGAAAAGCTCAAGTGAGCTTTTTTCATCACATTTTGTCACACCTCTGTCCATCCATCTGTCTGTCCATCTGTAAACCTTTCACATTTTCAACTTCTTCTCAAGAACCACTGGGCCAATTTCAACCAAACTTGCCATAATATACCCTTGGCTAAAGGGGATCCAAGTTTGTTCAAATAAAGGGTCGTCAAGTCTTCTTCCAAGGGAAGATAATTACAGTGAAAATTAATGGCATCTTTTTAAAAATTTTCTTCTCAACAACCACTGGGCCAAAATATATGAAACTTAGTATTTCGAAGCATCTTCAAATAGTGTAGATTCAAGTTTTTTCAAATCATGACCCCCAGGGGTAGGGAGGATCCACAATGGGCGATCAAAGTTTTACATAGGAATGCATACATTAGGAAAAATAATTAAAAACTTCTTATCAAGAACAGCAAAGCCTTGATTGGTCATATTTATATGGAAGCATTCTCAGGTAGTTTAGATTTGAGTTTGTTCAAATCATGACCCCCCCCCCCCTGGGTAGGGAGGGGCCACAATGGGCAATCAAAGTTTTACATAGGAATTAGTAGAAAAAAAATCTTTTCAAGCAAAGTCATGATTAGTTAATATATACAGGGAAACATCCTCAGGTAGTGCAGATTTTGTTCAAATAATGACCCTCAGGGTAGGCAGGAGATACTATGGGCACTCAAAGTTAAACATAGGAATATGTAGGAAAAATAATTAAAAATCCTTTCAAGAACAGCAAAGCCATATTATTAATCAAATTAATTCAAAAGCATCCTCAGACAGTGTAGATTCCAGTTTGTTCAAATCATGCCCCTTCCCCCACTTTTATAAACTTTCTAATACCGAACTGATTTCCTAGCCAATGTGCTCAGGTGAGGGATGTGGCCCATGGGTCTCTTAATTGGAATTTATTGAGTTCTGGTGAAGATTTTTCAGAAATAATCAAACTGTCCAACATTGTTCAATGTAACATATTCTTGCTGACCTACTTTTGGCTAAATAATTATACAATGTAGGTTGGAGAGTGCAAATGGACAGCTTTTATATTATGTAACCTGTCATTAAACATAATTTGTAGATTCCCATATGACCAAGTAACAGCCATGAGACAACCTTTATAAATACAACATATATATTGGTTTAATAGAACTATTAGGTATTACCCAGTTTGATTATTTATCCTGAAAAGTTGAAGTCATTCTTGATACTGACCTCAGTGTAGCCAGTGAGAGGGAAATCCCTCCTGAATGGATGACCCTCAAACCCGTAATCAGTCAGGATTCTCCGCAAGTCTGGGTGATTGTGGAAATAAACTCCAAACATATCCCAGATCTGAAAAAGTCATAGAGAGGTGGAGATCAGATACAGACTGCCAAGTAACAAATCAAATCTTACATTTTCTTTCAGAGTTGGAAGATGAGGTAGGGAGTACCCAAAAGCGTATTTAAAAAAATAATGTTTTTAAAGAATAATTAACAAGAAGGTATTGAGTTATGTTTATTTGTTCTTTAAACATGTTCAAATGCAAATCTACATCTTCAGTATAGATTCTTAATCACATATTTTGCACGTAGCTTAAGATATTGGATGACACCATATAGCTATTCATAGAATGGCATGTTATCTTATACGAATCGTTGTTTACTTGTGTTTTTCATTCCCGATGTTAAAGAGTCAAGATATATCCCTGAACGCAAATATCGTCATTTACAAAAAACAATTGCTGATTGGTCGAACGATGTCGATCAACTCCAATCACAACTTGAGAAAAAAATCCCAACTTTTTTTAACATCGTATGCCAAGGGCTTATGAGGAGAGTAGCGTATCAAAAACCCTTGGCTAGCGAAGATGGGGAATACCCCTCCCCCCCTTCATAATATGATCACTCACCTCTCTCTCGTACCAGTTTGCTCCTTTGAAAACACTGCAGGCACTGTCTATTCCTGTCAGCTCATCAGTGTAAGTGAGGACTCGAATACGTGAATTATATTTTATTGACAGCAAGTTGTATACTATCTGAAATTACAAATGCCATAAAGAAAAATATTACAAACAAGTTATCTTTTAAGGACTAGAATGTCTAAAGCCTTTAAGGGCACATAATAACCTGTCACTGCAACATTATAGAAGTAAATATACAGAGAGGTTATCTGGAGGTGATTTGATTTGTTTTTAACTTCAGTCAATGAACAAAACAGCCTAAGGTATACAGGTATGTTTCAGGATGAGAGGTTTACAATCATAAATGAAACTTACAATGCTTGACTACTAGTATAGCTAGTGCACTATTTTCTTATATGGGAGAATCTACAAAAATTTTCATTTGTAGTCAAAAACGAAGCCTGCTCAAAGAATGCAGATTAGTAAAATGCTTCATAGAACATAAAGCCTGAGGCCCTATATAATTACCTCAAACCTATTTGCCCTAGTTGGTACATCGACACAGGCTATATCTACAATGTTAGTGAACTGCGAGTTGTGGTGATCCTTTAGGAAAGTTAATGTGGGAACAATCCCATCAGGGTGTATCAGAATCTCCAGCTCATCCCCTGACATCAGACGGACTGTCTGTACGTACTTAGATAAACACTGGCCCACATACTGACCAAAATCCTCCAGCTGCTTCTTACGCTCTGGAGATACAGGGGCTCTCACAGTGGCTGAAGCATTAAAACACTCTTGGTGAATACAGACAAATAGAACAAAATATATACATAATTATATGAGTAAAATATATATTGGAGCTAAAAATCATTTGAATCAGCTCTTTCACTTGATGGATATACAAATAAAATCATAGCAAATAGATCTACACACTGTATATTGAAATGTGTAAAGGGAAAATATTCATCATTGATGAAGAAAAATTATCAGATTTTGACAGAGCAGAAGGCATAGGTCTTATAGGGACCATGTTTTTTTTTTCTTCTTCTATAATCAATATAGTTGATGAATTGGGTTTCATCTTGTTTAAATCATTATCAAAGCCAAATGATAAATACTGTGGTTATTCATGTAAAGATGTGGTAAGAGCTAGAGTAGTCTTAAGGAAACTTGGCATCAAAGTGATAGCATATCAGAACTGCTAATTTTAGGGGGACAACCATTTTGATTCTGAGGATGGGGAGGGGGCAGATTTTGGAAATAAATAATGTCCTTGAAAACATTGAAGAAAAATAATGCATCCTCACCTGGCAAGAAAATAAATAATCTGTCCTTCAGACCTTGACCTTGTCTGCAGCCCCCCCCCCCTTTCCATGAAATGGTATTAGTGTTTTGACTATTAAATTTTATTTATTTTTTTTTTGCTTGACAAATTTTTTTGGGACAAAAATACCGGTAATCTTTCCCTCACTGACTCCACATGCCCCCCCCCCCCCCCCCCAGTTCTAAGAATGTTTTCTTAATCAGTTGGGTTTGATTTATGAAATGCTTAATAAGAAAGTAGTTGGTGAGACAATTTGAAGATCAGCTCCAGCATGGACTTGTCACGCCTTACCATAAAATGCAGTCTAATACTGCTGCAACTTTGTCAGATCTCTAACCAAACATCTATCATCTTCAAACTCATTTACAATTCAAAATATCTTTTACACAGATAGCTTATCAAAATGATGAAATGTGAAAATCTTACGTTTTTTCTCAGTGCTTGTTGATTCAAATCTCCAACACTGTGTGGCTATAGCAGGCACTGGCTTAGCTTGGTTTAGTACTGATACAGTAATGTAATAAAATTATGCAACATTTTAACATCAGAACATGTATATCAAATTATTAATACGATGAAAATTATTACTCATAATGAAAGGTTTAGTAAAAAATGATTTTCATTAGAAAAAAAATGTGTAGAACTCATGTATGCTTTCATAGATAAGCAAATTTGTCAATCAATGTTGATAATTTTACGACCGAATTTTCTCTATTGTATACTGATCTACAACTTCATCACGAGGCGACAATGATTACTAACAAAAAGTTAAATGCAATTTTTTTAAAATAAGATTCATATGAATTACTTACCCACACTCTTTGCGACATGTGAAATTGGACGAATAAATCGGCTCAATCGAAGAGCCATTTTTCTGTTCAATGTCAGATACTTGCTAAGTCGTTCTCAGAGTTGTTTTTAAAATCTGAAAAAAATCTGTTTAACGGACTAACAATACCTGTTTAAATGTATAATATGCACTTGTATATAGAGGAAAAAGGGATAAAATATATAGTAATTTTCGTATTTTTAAATCAGGGGTTTGATTTCATCGTTGTTAAAATAAGAAGTGTCTAGTCCACGAAAGCTACAAGAAACAAACGTACAATCTAATTATTTTAGAAGAGAGTCAGTTGACTGTTTGATTAGTTCTTTTTCTGCTACGGATCCCAATGTTTCAACAAAACTTAGATCATACTTATTATTAGGATTTTATAATTTCCAACTGTTTCAGTGTTTGTGATTGTTACTCATTTCTATCATCAGGCGCTGGTATATTTGTATATGATTTGAAAGCTTTTTAAAACAGAGTTCGCTGCAGCCCAGTTATGGCAGGTTATCCCAAAAACTCGAACCCATTTTTGACAGAAGATGATGAAGATGATTGGAGTTCCCACAAAGGAGGAAAGATTCAAGAACAGATATCTGCTTCAGAGGAAAGACAGATCGATTCTACTAGGAGAATAATGCAAAGTATTCAAGATTCCGAACGGATGGGGGTCGCAACAGCAGAAGTAAGTGAAATCGAACAAAAGATTTACTGATAGGTCGGACCATAACAATGTCGGACTATAACAATGTCGGACTATAACAAACTAGGACTACCCAAAGTCGGACTATAACAAACTCGGACCATAGGATTATTTTTACTAATTAATTAAGTTATATTTATTTCGAAGACTTTTTTATGATTTCCAAAGAGTATGAAGGTATACTGACGTTAAAAATGTTGAATTGTAGTATGACGTACGTTAGTAAGTGGACTGCATATGATAAATGATAAAAGGTTATGTTGCCCTATAGTATATTTCTTATGCGTTATACTGTTATATAGGCCTTATATTACTTAAACAATGTTGTTCTCAGTTTATTTTGTTAGGCCAGAGTTGCAGGTTTGTGTACCTGGTTATTATTCTCATTAACCAGAATTGCCTCTGTATATTTCGTAGTGAAGCTGCAGCATAGTTTGTTGACTTGAACTATAGACCGTTTCACAATAACTGCGGTACTACTCTTTTGCAGGCCAAAAAATATATTTTTTGGTGAAATATGACCTAAAAATTAATTGTTAAATATACTTCCAAACGTAATTAATTTGCCATGCAAAAGAGTCCCAGATAGCATGACTACGTTGGGCCAACATTGGTAAATCGTATTCACCAATTACAAATCAATAGACTAAATATTTTCCAATAAATTTAAGTCGTTTGAATGAATATTTTGTTTTTGACGACGTTTCAACCATATTAACCATAATTGTATGATTGGACGCTGTCCCGTTCGGATGGCCGATGTCGCTTTTTCTGTCAATTTTTGAAACATACTTCTTGCGGTTTTCACTTAATATTTTCATTGTCTATTTAGTAAGCGATACTAAAGGTATCAGAAAATGGCGATAACCGCTTTATTTGTGATATATTAAATTTTTATTCAGCTTTAACTCGTTTTAAAGAGAAAATAATCATTTCAATCAGATCACTCTATTTAAAAGTTCATGGCATTTTAACCCTGGTCCGTGCGCACTATCGGCGACCTTTAATGACCGAGATTTTTACAAAAATATTAAGTTCAAACAATAAAAACCAAAATATTCAGACTTGGATTTTCATAACTAATATTTTGGTATACAATAATCATATCTTGAACCATTCATTTTGACAAAAACGCCATTGTCCACGAACTTTTTGGACAACCATCCTTTGATAAGTGTGTTTGGGAATTCCTCGCGGATGGCTTTCCAGGCACCTAAAAAAAATTCAATATAATTAATGAAAACAATCTTCTTCATAATTAAAAAAAATCCGTTGCTATTTTAAGATATAAATTAAAATGTATTTAATATTAATAATTATTCTCTATATTTCAATATTTTAAAATTCATAAGCTAAAAATTCTGATACCTTTCTCAAAGTCGACCACAAAGGTCCTGTGGTACACCAGTATACCAGGGATGATTTCCTTGAGCTTCTTGAATATCTGAAATTAAGATAAAAGTAGATTAATTCAAGTTAAAAACTACATTAGACAGTAATTATTTTAAACAAAATAAATTATTTATTTATGTTTAATCTAGAACGTTTTCTTTAAATATACAAACAATTTAGGAAAACTTACTGCAGCATAATCCCTGCTTTTCCTCCTAGACATGAGACAGAAGACAAGTGGAACTTGTTTGTAACTGTCTCCTCTGCACACAAATGCATGGATGGACCACAGCTGCTGGAATGGTCTGGCGAGGATCTTAAATGTACCATCACAGAACCACCTTCTAGCCTGCTTAATTTCCAAACACTGGATTTCTTATAATACTTTTTATTGTATACCAAAATTATTTCAAAGGAGATATTTCTATAAAAAAAAAATCTATTTCATATTTAATGACTTATCACATAATTTTTTAATTCAGAAACAAAGCAAAATAATACTTTTAAGGCCAATTTGAAGAAATAGTTAATAGTCATAAATACACATTTTCAGGAATTCTAATCAATCCGATAATTAACAATTTATATTTATCGGTATTTTTTTTCAGTTTTTCAATTTTAATAATATATTACATAATATAACATATCTTCACTTACCTGTATCACAGATTCTGTGCTGCCAGCGATTGCAACCATCACACAGCAGTGCATGTTGTCTTGCAGATACTTTTCTCGTACACGCAACACACCGGTCGCTGATGGAATCCATGGTCGAAATGATTGCATTTTAGTTGAAAACCGAAATTCCACGGAAGAACTTTTTTGATAATATTAATATGCTCGTCATTAAAGTTGTTAAGTATCCGCCAGTCGGATGCATGCGGTAATTGTTTATCTAAGAGTTATCCATGTTTTGACAATGACCCAATTTATTACGCTTATAACCTGTTTGAAGAAATATACCTATCATTATATTCATTCATTTATTTATTCCGTTTATTTAATAAATATATATACGGTAGTCCGACTTTGTTATAGTCCGACTTCGTTATGGTCCGACTCTGTTATAGTCCGACATTGTTATGGTCCGTCTTACCTTATCGTCGAACAAAACAATTACAATGATTGTATCTTCAAATCTTGATTGGGAGGGGGTGGGGTTGTCAACCCCCCATCCCTCACCCCCACCCACCCACCCACCCACCCACCCCCCCCCCCCCCAAAAAAAATACAAAAAGTTGAAATACCAAAATTTCTATTTTTGTATTGAACTGTATTGATTGTTTTTTTTATTTAATAAAAAAAACACCCTTTTCCTGGTTGCAACAGAAACACATAAATAAATTGTTTTAATATGTCTCAGGTTCAAGATACTACTGTGACCCTATTTACTTTGCTACATTCTAGATACACATTACAAATTCTGTATTTTAATAATGAGTTCATAGATTTTCAACTTGCATGCTTATACAAATACAAATACAAATATTTATTGGCACAAACACAATTACAATAATTGGCAAAGGCCCATTGAACATCATTAGATAATGTTTTCAAAATTTATGCAGTATTAAGAAATTGGCTTCTATGTTCAAAACAGTCTCTTATAAATTTCACAGTAACTTTTAAGATTTTATGTATACAGGGATTTTTTTACCCCTTGATTCCAGGGGCCGGGGCCGTCAAGATTGGGAAAAATAGCGATATTTGGTTGAAATTGGGAAAAATATCTTCATACAAATAAATAGGAAAAAACAAAAGTCAAATATTTAATCATTCTTCTTATTTTTTATAGTATGAAGCTGGCTTAAACCAGCTTTAGTGATATGAAATAATAGCGGCTGTTGAAGTTCAGAAGCTAAAAAATGGCAAAGCCCCAGGGTATGATAACATTGTAAATGAACATATTTATACGTTGTCATCTTTTTTACCTTTATGTAAGAAGTTCTTTAAAATAACATTTGATAGTGGGTTTGTTCCAAATGAGTGGTTAATCGGTATTGTTTGACCAATTTATAAGAATAAGAGCGATTCAACCCAGCCTGAAAATAACCGTCCTAGGCAAACTGGAGAGACTGACATGATGAACGTTTATTTTTTAGATAACGATCCTGACTTTAATTTTTAAACATCGATCCCGCTTTAAAAAGTACGCATGCAAACATCCATAGTATTCCGAATAACTTCTTGGAAGTCCTCGGATGGCTCGTAGATCGCACATAGAGAACATAAACACCTTTTTGTCATTGTTTTATTTAATATTTTACAACTTAAGGTATGTCACTCATCAGCCTTTTAGATAATTTCAGTCAGAACCTCTTACTTAAAAACTATTTATTACAATTCAATCTTTATAACATATTTAAATTAAACAATGTAAAATGTTCAACATCCAATTAAAAAACTGCTCAAAAATTCACAAAGAAGCAAGATTTATAAGGGACTATTTCTTGTGGCGGAAGGATATTTAGCAGAAAATTCGGCAAATCTACACATTTATTAAATTTAATATCTTGGAACTTTAGCCTCACATACTTTTACTCAGAGAATATTTTCCATTATGGTATGCCTGGAATATTAAATATAGGTCTCAATTTATATTTTTATAACAAAATTTACACCTTCGCTCAACAAACATTGCCAAGAAATGAAAATATATCAAGGAAGTCGAGATAAAATTTACACAGTTTTTTGCCTGAAAATCGCATATTTTGACCAATATTTCAAAATTTACATCACTGACCCCAACTTTTTCTTTCATTATTTTAAACTACTCGATACTTTTGATCGATCAGCACTTAAGTCGTAAAAAGTTTGATACAAGAAAATATTCTATTGCCTGTTTAGATTTTTAATACCCCAAATATGAGACTTTTTTAGTGCAAAAAGGTCACACAATAATTTACGCGCATTAATTTGCATGATTTGTTCAATGATAAATATTATTCAAACTATTTCACGTAAAATAAGATTATGTTTATTGCCATGGTTACATCTTATTAGATATGATAACGGTTAAAGTGATACACCAAAGAGTTACAATTTAAGTGCAAAAAGGTCAACTTAATTGTACCGTAGCTCAGTTAGATGAACACTGACCCCCATTTTCTCTGCGATTTTGAGTCATACTATATGAGTACTTATCCAAAATATACTTCTCAAAAAATCCTTGATATAAGAAATTTCACGAGTGACATACCTTAATACTTTTTTTTCATACTGGGAATTTTTAGGTATGATTTTGGGAAAAACATGCACTTTTCAGCATTGGGAATGGGGCCGAATTTCGGCCCCGGAGAGACCCTAAAAAAATCCCTGGTATATCACTGTTTACAAATACAAATACAAATATTTATTGGCACAAACACAATAACAATAATTGGCAAAGGCCCATTGAACATCATTAGATAATGTTTACAAAATTTATGCAGTATTAAGTAATTGACTTCTATGTTCAAAACAGTCTCTTATAAATTTCACAGTAACTTTTAAGATTTTATGTATATCACTGTTTACATATAATTGTAACATTTATCTTTCATTGTCTAGATTAATATTTTTCTTTGTAATATTATAAACATTTCTAAGGTATGTGTTTCTTAGCTCAGAATAAGATTTACAGTGAAAAAGAAAATGAATTTCATCCTCAATCACACCAGTATTGCAAGCATTACAACATCTTTCCTTTCTTGATGTGGAGATATATCTACCACTTTCTATTGCAAGTTTATGTGCACTTAATCTAATTCTACTAAGAGAGGATCTCTCAGATCTTTTTCTGAGTAAATCAACATATGAACTTCTTTTTCTTGTGTATAATTTTTTATAGAATTCAAGTTTTTCTGAACCAAAGATTTTTGATGTTTGCTCTTGAGTGCACTGGTCAATGATTCTTTGTTTTATGTTGGGTAAAAGATGTTGAATGGAACCTTTATATTTTGTAATGTTTGAAAATCCCAGATTATCTAGAGTAGAAAATAATTTCTTAGTCCAAGAATTGCAGTTACTTGTGGATTGGTAAAGTTTAAAAGCCAAAGAATCAGAAGTTTTCAGGTGATTCCAATATTAAATACTCGAGAATGAAATTTTAGACCAAAGTGGTAGTCTCTTAAGTTCTGCTAGACAACCAGCATTGGATGTTTTGCAGTGCACTCCAAGGATATCTTTAATAAATTTTAAGTGAAATTTTTCTATATTTGAAATATCTTTGAATGAAAGATCCACTCCCCATATTTCACTACAATAAAGAAGAACTGGAAGTACAATTGCATCAAAAAGTTTTTCTAGAAGCTTACATGGGTTATCAAAACCAATAATTCTTTTCATTTTAAAACATGCTTTTCTAGCCTTTTCAATAAGCACAGCTGTTGCTAAATTAAACCTCCTATTACATTTCATCATAATATCTAAATAGCAGTATTTTGGTACAATTTGTATTGCATTACCATTAAAATTAAATTCATTCCCTTGGGGTTTGCCATTCGAGTTAAATATCATAACTTTAGATTTATCTACATTGACTTGCAGTTTCCAGTTTGAACAATAGTTACTAAGAATATCAAGGCTAGTTTGTAAACCACTTCTGCTTTCAGAAAAGATTACAATGTCATCAGCATATAACAGACAATTTACATGAATATTGTTTACTTGCACAGGATCACATTTTCCATGTTTCAAGTCACTGACAATACCATCAATAAATACATTAAAGAGTGTGGGGCTTGAGACATCTCCTTGTTTGACACCACACTCAGAATTGAATACATCACTTAATCCATCAGAAAATTTGATTCTACTCATTGTGTTACTATACATAGAAAATAAAATATTGAACATTTTTTGGGAAATATTAGATTCAAGGAGTTTATAGAATAAACCTAATCTCCATACAGTGTCAAATGCTTAAAAATGCTTATACATAAAAACTTACAATAAATAGTACATGTACTCATACAGACTTCTTGATATTTCTAGGAACTTTTAAGACAGGGAGAACAACTGGACAACATTGAAAGAAAAACAGATGAAATTAATGAAACAATGACTGTCACACAGAAACACTTAAATTCCATTAAAAGTGTATTTGGTGGAGTTAAAAACTGGTGGACTTCCAAAAAGAAACCAGCTGAGTCCAGTGTTCCAGAGAAAAAGGCTAGTCGTTTACAGGAAACCGTAGAAAAGCACAAGGCTCAGGACTGTCGGGGGTTTTATGAGGAGGATAATGATTTGGATGATGATTTTATGAAAGGGGCAAGGACACAGTACCTCAAACCTGTTACTCGCAGTGCTAGAGAGGAACAAGTTAATGAGAACTTGGGTACAGGATTATGATTTTTTAGATAAAATATTTAACATGATAAACAAGGAGTATAATTCATTTTTATAGTGATGTAATTATACCTGCTTAATTAAAACTCATATTTGCAAGATAATGCTAAGAAGTAGTGAATTTTTACCGTATAAATAAGAACATTTTTTCCCATTATTGATGGGAAAAATTGTTTTTATTTTCTTGATTCAATGTCAAGGACACTGACCACTGAAATGTTGAAATGATGTCACAATTTTTATTAAGTCATCTGTTGATCACATTTTTTATTGATCTCTAGTGCATTGTAAAACATTACAATGGATTCAGGATATGCCTTTATCTTGATTCAAGCACATGTCATCAAGGTCATAGAATGCCAGCCAGATGTATGATAAAGGAAGAAAAAGGTTTTGCTATGAATTTCTCAGAAAAAAGATGGAATATCTGTATAATTATCCAATTAACCCTTTTTATAACCCGCACACATGAAGTTTGGGGGTGTAAATAAAGGAATCATCTTGTCCATCTGTTTGTGCAATCTTGTCCAGGCTATAACTTTATAATGGGGAATCATTGAAAGCTCATACTTGGTACAAAAATTGTTTATGATCTGAGGGTGTGTCATGACCTTGACCCAAGGTCATTCTTGCCAAGTCCAGTTTCTGGCAGAAAATGTATAAAATTGTTGTCTGGGTATGACTATGTAATGAACTGAAGAACAAATAGAAACCCATACTTGGTACAAAGATTGTTTATGACCTGAGAGAGTGTCAAGTTCTTGATTTGAGGTCATTCTGGCATGTTTAAGATAGCTGGCAGAAAAAGTATAAAATTGTTGTCTGATCTACAACTTCTTTATTGTTTATGGAGAAGCATTGTAAGTTCATACTTCATACAAAGATTGCTTATGACCTGAAGGTATGTCAGGATCTTGAACCGAGGTCATTTGATCAAGTTCAAGGTTACTTACAGAAAAATGTTTAAATTCTGTCCTGACCTGATCTTGTAATGGAAAGCATTAGAGAATTATTCTTTTCACAAATATTTGCAGATGATCTGAGGGTATGTATTGAACATGATCCAAGGTCATTCCAGCCAGTAAGTTCATGGTTACTGGCAAAATAAGTGTTTTATTTGTGTCCTTTCTATAACTCTCAAATGGAGGCTAATTGGAAGTTGATACTTGACACAAAGATTTCTTATGCATCATGATCTAACCCAAAGGTTATTTTTGGCAAGTTCAAGGTCAATGGCAGAAAAAGTGTTAAATTTGTGTCCTGTCCTTAACTTTCTAATGGATAAACACTGGAAGTGGATATTTAATGCAACTACATGTATTACTTATGTCTTGAAAGTGTTTCAAGATCTTGACCTGAGGTCATATTTGCTATTTCAAGGTCACTGGCAATAAAAATATAAAATATTTGTTACATTGAAACTTCAAACAAAAGTTTTTTGTGAGCTTAAAGTATGTCATAACCTTGACCCAAAGAAGTTGAAGGTCACTGGCAGAAAAGTGTTAAATTCATGTCAGGTCTATGATTTTCTAATAGAGAAACACTGGATGTCCATATTTCACTCAAACATTACTTATGACCAGAGAATGTGTCATTTGTTTTTCAAGCTATGGTCATTTTGGCATGTTCAAGGTCACATTGACAAAATTGCAAACCAGAACTTAATTAAAAAGAATTGTAGTTTGGAGAGGGGGGAGGGGGTGTTTTTGTGAGCTTTCTCTAGCTTGATCTAAATTGAGAGTTGAGCTCAACAATTTAAAGTTTCTGACAGGCACCAGTATATGTCAATTTCTCTCTCATCAGTTAGTGACTTATTCTTACTGAGAATTACTTGCAGATCTGTAGCTCTCTGATCTGAAAAAATTGGGATGGATGACCAGAGAGCTACAGTGCCACCCATTGAAAAAAGTGTATATTTATTGCACACAAAAAACTGTAAATATCATCTGGTTGATTATCATTTTGATCTTGATAAATGCTACATATACTCTTTCAAGTAATCTTGAATTTTCTCTTTGATTTTAATAGGTCAGATCTCAGATGGTTTGACAGCATTAAAAGGTCTGGCACTCGGACTTGGTGATGAAATAGAACGTCAGAATACCCAGTTAGATCGTATGGGTCCCAAAGTGGACAAAGCCAATACCCTCTTGGAGAACCAGAATAAACAGATGAGGAACATTCTCAGAAAGTGACCTTTGACCTCTGTTGATCAGAATATTCGATACTTGTTAAACACAACCAGTAATTTCTGTGCCAATTCATACCTTATATTTTATAAGGAGACAAAAAGTGCAATGAAATGTCCATCATACCTTTACTGGTTTGAGCTTTTAATCATAAATATTGAAAATATTTTTTTTTACAGAATTCAACTGGAGTGTGCTATTTTTACATCTGTTTAACTTCACATTTTCATGAAATTCATAAACCTCATGTTTCAAATGTGTCCCAAATTTACCTATGTTTAAAGGGAATTCAGATATATGCTGCAGACTGAATCTCAAGCATCATTTTTTGTTAAGTAACATAAACATGTACTGTTTTTACCCAGTGTAGTGTATTAGAACATGTTCCTTTTAGCAGATTGCTGCTTAGTTGCAGTAATAAATGGTTTTTAAACAATTCAACATTTAGGCTAATGAGATATGTTACAAACATGCAGATGTGTAAAAAAAAAAAATTACACCAATTGCAGGACACTTTATTACTGTATGCTAGTTATGGACTACATGTGTTATTTGTTGTGTTATTTTACAGTGTGTAGTACTGTTATAATTGTCACGTCTGTTTATGGGTAGGGACACAAAAGGGCACTGTGTCTTTTAAGTTTATCACTCCCAGTGAGTATAAAGATTTTATATGAACAGGAAATCATTTATAGCTTATTTTTACACAAAAGTTTGTAAAATAACCTGATAGGAAAAAAGACTAGGATATAAATTTGTGTTCTGACAGTATTTTACAGAGAAGGTTCATCTGTATGTATATGTATTTATACATATAATATCTGAAAACTTGCTTGCATTATATATAAACCAGTTATCAGCTCTCTCTGTATAGATGTATGATTACAGCTTTGACCTATGAATATATCCCACCATGCACAGATAGTAATATATGTGCACTACATAATGAAATAGGCTCTGAATTCGTAATTTATTTAATTAATTGGAGGGATTCTTTAAAGGGGAGTGGGCTTTATTGAATAACCAAATGGGAGTATCTTCAGTATTTCATTTTCTTTTATGTTTTATTAATTTATGTACAAATCTTAACATCATTCCAAATTAAATACATTTGTCATTAAATTATTTACATTAAAGTGTTTTTTGTTGAACAAAGTTGACGTACATAACTCAATGAGATCTTGTGTCTTGAAAATAGGCAGGAAGTGAATTTCAGAATAGCTTTGTCCCATGATCATCATGGGCCTTGCACTTTGTATAGGGTCCCTAATATGAAGTGCAAGGAATTGTGGGACTCATACCAGAATATAGGGGCGGATCCAGATTTTTTCTCGGGGGGGGGGGGGTGTTCCAGGTCAGACTCGGAAAGTTTGACAATCGAAAAAAAAAACAACTTGCCCAAACCTGAAAACTTATTTCTTGTTTCACTTTCCTAAGTCAATTTTCTTCAACTACATGATTCTCCTTAAGTCCATGTCTCCTAGCGGTCCAGTCCAAGGTCATTTTTTTCGTTACTTTTTACATAGGAACTTCATAACTCCGGAAATTACGGGGGGGGGGGGGAGGGTCCGGACCCCGGCTCCCTTTAGATCTGCCACTGGAATAGCGGTGGTGGGGAGGCAGGTGGGAGTACATGTATATTTTGTAATTCATGTGGCCAATTGTGTGCTATTTATAACATCTCAAAGTTAGGAATTAAAATTAAACCACATTTTCTGTGAAATTAAAACCACAGAGTAATGCCCACGTTTTAGAGAACGATTGATCAGTGTTGACATTTGCACGTGTATTAGCGTCACAGCTACCACCAACATGTTGTTTAATCAAGGCTATCCGATGTCAATTATTAAAAACATGCCCGTGTTATGTGTATTGAATGAAGCAAATGAAATATTGCGATAACCGCGAATAACAAGTTAATCCTTGGTTTTAGTTTGTGGGTATGCAGACATACGTCATATTACACTGTGACCGTCCCCCACGGGCACCTGTTGACTGACTCACGGGTAAAAGTCCTCCGTTAACATTAGCACACAGATCCGTCATTTAATCGACATTGTGCGCTTAGTGAGAGGAAGTTAGGTGTACAAAATTAATGTGAGGAATTTGTGTCAAAAAATGGAGATTTTTTTTATTTATTATGTAAGTATTACCGTGGTTTAACTTTTTGTTCTGTAAGAATCGAGTCTCCAAACATTATTCCAGCCTTTTACGGTATTGGAAATGAAAAGAAATTTAAATATGTTTAGAACTTTCTTCATTATCGGTCATTGGCACACCCTTCTTTCAAGTACCGTGTGCCTGCAACAGTGTATGTCATTGTGGATAGACATATTCTAATTGTAAAATAGGTCTAGGAAATGATGGGGAAAACATAAACTGTGTGTGTTTTCGATCCTTTTAATGGGACTGTACATTCTCCTAGCCAATTGTTGCTTGAGTTATAAAACCTCAAAAGCACGTTTTGATGATTAGTTTGTAATTTATTTTATTTACTTAACGCACCTAAAAATTCATGCTATTGAGGTATTCACTTTCAACTTAAAAGGAATTAAAAATTTGACTGCCTTGCATGAACAAACTCGTCTTCCTGAGATTTTATCTTTAAAATCAACATTTTAATTCGAGACGCGGTAGCAACTAAGTTCACTTATATATAAACACAAATAAGCAAGGCTCTAAAGTTTCTCCTTCAAGGAATTGATATGTAAACATCAATGTATTCCAAGTATAAATGATAATTATTTATTTCAAAAGGGTTGTCCACAGAATTTGAGGTGTGAAGTTCCCCTCTTGCACACTTGATATTATTAAGAAGTACATGTTTTGTGTACATGTAAATGGAATGAATTTAGAAACGTCAAACCGGGACCCGATCATGTGCCATTGCAAGGAAAATTTTAATTTTTTTAATATGAACAGAAGTATACAATTACAAGGAAAATTTTAAATCGATGGATAGACAGTATAAAGGTTTTTCTTTGTAGCGTTTAAAGAAAAAAAATATTTGATTATTTATGGACGTAAATAGACCGTGGATGAAAAAGCAAAGTGTTTGGTATGTACGTTTTATAAAATTTGTCAATTTTAATTTTTGTATAATCAAAACCATCTAAACTAGTTTCAGTTTTAAATGTATCTAAACATGCTAAGGACAGGTGATTAGAGTACAGTATTTCATGACCTTTTTTTTTTAATGATTGCCATTAAATCAAGCAAACCCGTTTTGTTCACAAAGCACTGAAACACTTCTTGGACTCTTAATTAGACTTGTTCTAACCTCCAGATCAGCACACATTGGAATAAAGTTTGGGAGTACCTGCTTTCTCATGGAACATACCACGGTCCCGAGGGTCAGGCGGTGAATTTATAAGGGGCACTCGTCACTGTAACTCATTGACCCCAATCACTCTCTTTATAAACTATTTGAGAATATTTACCTTGTATATAAGGAGGCAATAAATCTTAAGCATAATTAACGGAAACCAAGATTGGAATAGGTATAAAGCCACTTGAAAAGGCCAAAATATTTAAGATCCAGCATAAGATTCGGTGCTTGATCCGGTTTCACACTTGAATTCATCGACTCTGCTCTTAAAGTCAAACATACAGGAAATTGTTCAATTTTTTATTTCAAGAGTTAAAACTTCTATATTTGTACAGAATTTTGCTTCGAACTCTAATGAGAAGGACGTGGAAATGGATGGCAGGATAAATTGATACGTACTGTGTTTTCATTACAGGTAATTCTTTTTTCTTATAAGAACCAATCTCTGAAATATTATCATAATTGTATAAAGAAATTTTTAATAGTCCATAGTAAAATTTTGAATACTTCTATGGTATGTAAAATATAATATGAAAACTTTGACGAAGTTCAAATTTTTATACAGAGTCAGGTAAATTCAAAAAAACACTGATCACTTCGGACATTTACTATAACATATAGGCTCTATGTTTACATGTGAATAAATTTTACAAGAAAGTTTAAAAAAAAAAACGATTTCTTTTCATTCAGAAAAATCATAGTTTGCATTCTATCAACACACATCAGTGCATTTTAAAGCCCTTCGTAGTTTAGAAAAATGGTTTCTCCATTTTATAGGCTTTTAATGTACATGTATATAACTGCTGAAAATCTAATGAAGAAATAAGATATATAATTTCACTATAAAATTACAACGAAGAAGTGAAAGATATGATTTTCTGATAAGCATTGGAACAGCTAGGAACATATCACTCTTAGGAACATTTAAAAAGATCTTTTTTTGTAGTAAAAAAGTAAACGTTAAGGCCTGACTATTCATAATCGAAATCATTTAATGTTAAAAGTCGGCAGAAAAAGTCACGCATATTGATAATTGAGGAAATTAAAATGTTTCAATGGTTTCAATACAGTAGGCACCATACAAAAATTAAATCACCGGGCTAATTTTTGTGTTAAATTGAAATTTGTGTTGTGAATCCCCAAGGACAGCGAAATGACTGTGAACGTCAACGCGATAAAAAAGATTAGAGAAATCTCTTTTCTCATTTTAACAGTATCTTAACACTATTTAGTTACACTGTATAAAAGAGATAAAAGGATAGAGTAATTTAATTACTTAGTTGCTACTGTATAATGGTTTGTTTTATTTAAACTTGTTCGAATTTGGTTGTACATGTTACGCCAGACTCGTGCACTCTCCACTTGCTAGAGTGAAAAAGACTCAGGGTAAGACATGGCTTTTAACACTTGAAGTTAAAGAGACAATTTATTAAGGAAAAAAAATTTGGATTAACCATGACTTTTGACATGGATCAGCGAAATGCCGCTCTGTAAATTTCTCAATGCCGTCCTCTGACTGTCAAGGAGACACAGAAATTGTGGCTCTCTCCTGCAACCTGTCCTTATCTTTTCTTTTTCTTCTTCTTCGATAAGTATGGACGGATTTTATTGTTAATGCATAACATAAAATCATTGATATAGATATAATACAAAACAGAGACGAACATAATAATATGTAGTATATGTATCTCAAGTCAAGTTACGGTTTACTCTGTGTAGGTGTTTATAAAATATGTTACAATTTGTATATTCGTTAAAGCTTATTTCAAATCTTAACTTATCCAAATGTATGCCTTTTTTCAAGACTAATGAAGAACATGGCAAATATCACGGACGAGTTCTCAAATCAAACCACAGTCACCATGGATACAACAACCATGGGGATGGAGGAGATAGAGGCCCGGATGTTGCTCCACAAGATGAATGACGAGTTAGCGATGCGTTACTTGCCAGTTATTGTGTACATGTTAATTCTGATGTTGATGGGAATTTTTGGAAACATTTTGGTGTGCTGTGTGTATTGCAGTAAACCCACAAAAACTTCCTCTCATTACTTTATTTTGAATCTCGCCGTCCTTGACCTTTTGACTTGTATCATTGGCATGCCCACTGAAGTGACGGACCTCCGATACCCGTATATGTTTTATGCGCCCGCAGCATGCAAATTGCTACGATTTGTGGAATCTGTATCGATAATCGGTTCATCAATCACTCTTATCGCAGTGGCGTTTGATCGATATTACAGAATTTGTAAACTTGGAAGACAAATATCGGTGAAAAAATCCAAAATTATTTGTGTAGTGGCTGTAGTTATCGGTCTCTTAACATCGTGGCCAGCCTGTATTCTGTTTGGTGAGAAGACAATCGAGCTCGGAATACCAGGGATCAAAGGTGTCGACTGCTCCACTGATGATTCAGTCAGACACACAATTTACCCTACTCTTTATTACGGATTTCTCTTTCTCTTGTTTATTCTCTGTTTAGTATTTTTTACTGTTATATACGCAAAAATTGGTGCAGTGATCTGGAAGCGCAAGAAAGCCAGGATAGGTGAGCCTATTTCAGCAACGCCAAATGGCCGCGCTCTAAACGATTCGAACACTCCATCAGATCAAATTTCCTCTGATCCTATCAGTACAGAAATGTCCTCTGACCATGAGGGTTATCACGACAAACGTGCATCAAGTGGCTCAAAACATGCATTTGGTAAAAGACACTCCCGAAACAATGTGCGCGTTACTCGGACAACGGTGGTACTGTTTGCTGTGACGGTTGCCTACGTCATCAGCTTTCTGCCGTTTCTCATAGTCATGGTTGTCAGAAGTGTAGCGAAGAATTTTGAGGAAAGTCTCAGTCCCGAGGCAGAGGTCGCCTACAAATTCAGCACCAAATCGTACTTCATAAACAATGCAATTAATCCCTTGATTTATAGTTTTCTTAACATCAACTTCCGGAAGGACATCAAAACAATTTTTAAAAAATGTTGTACTGCTTGCTGCGGATGTCGCAATAGATAATCAATATAAGTTTTCCCTATTCCATGTGTATATTCATAATCACAATGTGTTACTTGTTGTTTCTTTATGCTGCTTTGAAAATACATATTTCCCCATGAAGTGAATAAAATAAAAACGTGAATATATACCCATGTAATTTCTTCAAAGTTCATCATTAAACCTGTAGTTATATCCCCCCCCCCCCGCTTGAAAAGTGGGAGGGTATATAGTGATCGGGGTGTCCGTCCGTCTAGCTGTACGTCCGTCCGTTTCTTACGCTTTGGGGTACCTATCTCTTATCTGCAACTCCTCTTATACCACTGAATGAAATTTAATGAGACTTTCACAGAATCTTTGTTACATAGTGCCATTGTGCACCTCCTATTTTACTTTTTGATCTGACACTTATTTCGGGTCTCCCAGGGCAAAACATGGACTTTGCCATTATAATCATATGGGAGGGGGGGGGGTATCATTTAGTGAGCTCAGTGCTCACAGTACCTCTAGTTATATATGCATTGTATATACATGTAACATACAGTGTAAAAATCGTGTGATATCATTGCAAGATATCACAGATTACTTATAATTTCATTTTATGCAATAGACATTGGTATTTTAGGAACGATTAATATTCAATTTCTCTAAAAATGTAAACAATATTGTTCTCTATGATGTGCAAATGTCTACGGTGTACTTTTTAAAATACCATTTCTTAAACATTAAAATGAAATGAAAGCTGTTTTCTTCCGTCGGTCGTAAAGTTTTTATCATTTTCAGCTTCTTCTCTGGAACCACTGGAGTAATTTCAATAAATTTTGGTATAGAGCCTATATGGTCAAAGGGGGGCAAAACGTGAATTTCATTATCCCTGCCCCTCCCCCGGGGCCTGAGGGGTGGGACCAAAACCATAAAAATTAATGCAATTTTCAAAACTCTTCTCCTCTACTTGTAGACATCAAGCAGTCAAACTGTTGTCATGATTATAATATACAATGAGTCCTTTACATAAATTATGGAATTCATGGCCCCAGGGTCAGGGGTTTAGGAGTTGGGGTGGTGCTCTATTGATCACATAGTGAAAATGCATATATTCTTTAAACGCTTCTTCTTCCCCCTGTATATTAAACAAAGAAACTATTTTGCATGGTTATGATGAGCAAAGGCGCCTCTTCTAAAATTATGAATATCATGGCCCCTGGGTTAGGGGTTCTGGTGTAGGGGGGGGGGGCTATATTGATTATATAGTAAAAATGCATTATTTCTTTTCAGGATAAATAACACAAACAAACTTTTTTTCAGAAATCAGCAAGATTTTTATAGATTTATATTCAAATGGGTGATCTGAATAATGTTTGCCATTTAAACTGGGTGAATTTAGTAAGACTTTGTCACAATGTTAAAAATACGTGCAAAATTTTGTAAAGAATTATATATAAACCAAAACAAAGTCGCATATTTTAGCACCAAAGAAAACTTACGATTTCTTTATATTTTAGTGAATTATTAATCATGTCATTTCTATTCGAAATCAGTCAAAAAATATACATCAATCCAGGCATCAAATTTCTGTTTGTGTTATGTATCCTTAAAATCTTCTTTGCTCCTGGTAGAAGTACTACATGCATGGTTATGATGAGCAAGACTGCCTTTTCCAAAAATTTGAATATCATGGCCCCTGGGTCAGGGGTTCTGGTGTTAGGGTGGGGCTCTGTTGATTATATAGTGATTGCATTATTTCTTTCAAAATCTTTTTTTTGTTTTTGTTTTTGTTTTTTTTTTTTGGCTTCTGTGTATTTGGAAGACATACTAAGTGCATAGTTGTGATGAGCAGGGGAGCCATTTTCAAAATTTTTGAATTTTATGTTCCCTTCGGTCAAGGTTCTGGTGTTGTGGGAGGGGACTCTATTGATTATATAGTGAAAATGCATTATTTCTTTTAAAATCTTCTTTTCTGCTCCTGGGTATGAAGCAAATAAACTAAATGCATAGTTATGATGAGCAAGGGTGCCTCTTCTAAAATTGAGAATTCATGGCCCCTGGGTCAGGGTTTCTGGTGACAGGGCAGGGCTCTTTTGATTATTTAGTAAAAATGTTTTTTTTTTTTCCTCTCTGCTCCTGGGCATCAAATAAACTATGTACATAGTTATGATGTACATAGTTATGATACCTCTTCCCAAATTGTGAATTTCATGGCCCCTGGATCAGAGGTTCTGGTGTTAGGATGGGGCTCTATTGATTATATATTAAAAATGCATTAATTCTTTGAAAATTTCTCTCTCCTGGGCATTATTTAAACAAACTAATTATGTGCATGGTTACGATAAGCAAGGATGTCTCTTCCAAAATTGTGAAATTCATGGTCCCATGGTCGGGGGTTCTGGTGAAAGGGGGGCTCTATAGATTATATAGTGAAAAAGTATAATTTCTTTGAAAATATTCTTTTTTTGGTCCATGGTTATAAAGCAAAGAAACTAAGTGTATAGCTATGATGAGCAAGAGTGCTTCTTCCAGAATTGAGTTTCATGGCCCCTGGGTCAGATGTTCTAGTGTAAGGGTAGCGCTCTATTGATAATATGGTTAAAATGCATTAATTCTGTCAAATAATCCTGTCAGCTCCTTATTGTTGAGCAGATACACAAAGTGCATAGTTATAGTTTTAAAACTTTTCTGTGATCCCAGGGACAGGGGTTCTGATGTTTCTCGGAGGATGGGGGACTCTATTGATAATATAGTGAAAATGTGTTAAATCTTCAACTAAGTGCATAGTTATGATGATGAGGGTACCTTTTCCAACTCTGTGAATTTCATGACCCTGGGTCAAGGGTTCTGGTGTTAGGGTAGGACTGTTTTGAATGTGTAGTGAAAATGCATTACGGTATTTCATTGAAAATCTTCTATGCTCCCGAGCGGTATCGGAGGAAAATAGAGTAAAAGTTTTAATAAGCAAGGGTATTTTTACCAGATTTTTTAACATCTCTACCATTTTGTCAGGTGCTCTGGTCCTGGACAGGGCTCTGTTAATTTGTATTCTGTTGAGCAAATTTATTACGCTTTGCCGTTCACTTTTGATAATTAATCATAAGATCGTAAGTAATGTAATTGAAAGGTTAAAAGAATAAGAAAATTATACAAGAATTTTATTATATAATACAAAAAGTATTTCCATAGTTTTCATGATCAGGTAGACTTGTAAATAATAGATAAATAAAATGAGACAAAAGTAACTTATTTTATTAAATGTTCTACAAAGACCAAGAGAGGCCAGTGTGAGAGTCTATAATATGGGGTTAAAAACCGTACGGAACACTTATAGTTTGTTTATTGTCTGCATGGTGATAGTGATATAGAACTTAATCTATGAGTTGTTACTGAATGCTAGACTAGTTATTTCATTGATCCTGGTCATCCTTTTCTCTTGCTTTTGGGCAACAAATCTTCATCTATCATTTTATTTAAACTTGATGGATCCTCTAATTTGTTGTATTATACTCAGGTGATCGTTAAGGCCCTTGGGCCTCTTGTTCAATCAAATAATGATTTTAAGAGTTGACTTTCCTCGCTGGGGAGCTGATATCTTAGGTAATGAAGAACAAAGTATGTTTAGCACCAAAATCGACTCTCTCAAAATATTATTTTTACTTTCTTAAAGATACGATATTTTTTTTCTTTTGCCCTTTCTTAATATTTTTCTTATCGAAATACATGTAAATATATCCAATATAAATCGGAAATTTTTTTTTCAGCAAAGCTCTCTAGCAACAGAATTGTATTAAATATAACAAAATTGACTTCATGATGTCAGCGCGTTGAATTTTAGGAACTGAAAAAAAAATTCACCCAACTGTCAATTAAATGTGAACAAGTCTTTTTAAATAAGAAAAATTCAATAATCATACCTTTTGATTAAGGATATATTGTAGATCATGAGTCTTGAAAATTTTCTGTAAAACGATTTCATTCAACCAGCTTTTATAAAATGATTTATTGCATAGATTCATATTAACCCCCCACCCCACCCCTTCTTTTCGCAAACGCAAAATTAGAACATACTTGTATACATTCAAACATTTCCACTTTTTTACTGAGCGGTCGTAAAAAAAAAATATCGATGTTTGACCACAGAGTGAGATATTGGACCTGTCGATGAGATATTGGACCGCTTACGTCTCACTGTGGGCGGGATCGGCTAAATCTTATTTGTATTCGTTGGCGTTCGACAGTGACAGAATTGACCGAGTTTTAACGCAATGCAAGTAAGGAAATTTGAATCATCGAAGTCAGCACAAGATACATGTATGTCCCAATAAATAAAGAACCCAGTCAATAAATGTATAATATACTAGAACAATAATAAAAGTATTTTCATAGTTTTTAATGGTCAGGTAGATTTGTAATTAATAGAAGAAATATATGAAGATAACGAACAGTATTAAAGCTCAAAAGTCCATTCAAACAATACAAACCAGGAGCAAACACACACCTCTAAAACATCAGAGGTGGGATCAGGTGCCATTGAGGAGTGAGCATCCCCTGCCGACCGGTCACACCCGCCGTGTGCTCCTTCTCATGATCGAGAAATAACGGAAAAAATCCGTCGACAATTCGCTTTGTGTAAATAATGGTCTAACAATTAGTATGAAAAAAGGTCAGTCAGCATTTGATTGTATTTGCTAACAAGGTCATTGTGTCGACTATAGAACTTACGAAATTATGACTTTAACTGATGATATTCTCGTTTCATCAACTTATTGTCAGTAACGTACATCTTTTTAGAAATTGGTTATACGTAGAGCACGCTCTTGCATGTCGAATCAACTGAGAGATATAAATGTATGCATTTATCATAAAGCTTTGTTGTTAGGTTACCATTAACGTCTTTTTTTAGTAAAATATCCAAGTATGAAACAAAGAGACAAAAATACCTTATCCTTGTACAATAAATGTTCTCCAATGAACAAAGAGAGGCTATTTTGAGAGTGAATGAAAATGGTTTTCCAACTGTGCTCTAGCACTATTGTTTTGTTTAGTCAGAATGGTGATGGTGACAAACTGGGGCAAGTAAATATATCTGAGTACTAGACTTTTGTATTGATCCCTGATCACCCCATTTTTCTTGCCTTTGGCAACAAGATTCATATTTCAGTTTCGTTCCTTCTTTCTTTTTTTTGTGTGTTTATACTGGATCCTATACAATGCTGTATTATACTAAGGTGACCGTTGAGGCCCTTGGGCCTCTTGTTTAAATTCAAATATTGCACCGACTTGTGGACCCGTGTATCTTAACAACTTTCAAAAAATATGTTTTCTTTATTTTCAAAATTCTAGATACTGCCCCTCTTCTTTAAAAGGATAATTTAACTTTTAAATATGCAAGATATTAAATCAACCATGTTTTCAAACAGTATGACAAAATTTATACATTTCCAAGTCCATAAAATAACTACACTTAGTCACTTTGATTTTATATGGCAAAATCGGAACATTTTCAGACTTTTCGAAGAAATATATAAAAGTAAATGACACTTGACATAAATTGAATTGGCAACAAATATTGTTATGTGTATAATATGAGTATATATCTGGATAAAAATGTACGAAACGGAAGTAATTTTTGTATCAGAATTCTTCTTTAAAATATACATGTAAACCCCTTTACACAACCGGATATAAATAGTTTATACTTACAGTGAAAATAATACATGCATCAAATATCATTTTCTTGTTCTTTCACTGAAAGTGGGGGATATCAATTTGGGTCCGTCCGTGCATCTGTCATTCTGTCTGTGTAACACTTAAGTTTCCAGACGATATCTCAAAAGCCTTTGAGCTTTTGCAATGAAATTTAGATTTGATTTAGCCTAAATAAGACCCGATTTTAAGATTCAAAGGTCAAGGTCAGAAATTCATATATTCTGTGTGCAACACTTTTGTTTTCGGACGATAACTTAAAAAGCCTTTGAGATTTTACAATGAAATTATCATCACAACTCCCTTTGGCCTTAAATAAAAAACATTTGATTTCGAGGTCAATAAGTCAAATGTCAAGGGCAGAAATGGTTTCCATATGATAATTTCAATTCTTTGAACTTTTTAATGAAGTTATATATTATATTTCCTAGTTATTTAAAAAACTTCTTTATTTTTAGGTCATAACGTCAGGTCTAACATAAGGTCAGAAATTCATACGAAGAAAAAAAAATACTAGTTTTCCTCGAGCTTTTTCTATGAAATTTTATATCATATCGCCTAGTGACTTAAAGAAGATTCCTTCTGATTTTTTTTTAGGTCAAAAGATCAAGATGAAAAATTCATATTTTGCATGAAATGGTTTTCTGGTGATAACTCTTGTTCTCTTTGAGGTTTTGAAATGAAATCTTTTACCTTTTTAGTCGATATGACAAAAATAAAGACTCCTACAGATTTTGAGGTCAAAAGGCAAAGACCATGATCAGAAATTTATATATTGCACACAAAAATGACAGATGATAACTTTAGTTCTCTGTAAGCTTTTGCAATGAAGCTTAAGGTCATGGACTTCTTAAACCTAAAGAAGATCCCTATTGACTTTAAGGTCAAAAACTAAAAGGTCAAGGTTGACTTTTTCCTTCTTTGTCATCTGAATATTTTTTTCACTTCTTCCAACCTCTTCTTTTTTCTTGATGCGAGAGACACAAATTCTCTGAATTAGCTTGTTTACTTTACAACAGCAACAGATTACATGGCCTTCCTCAAATACATAGGCATTAAGGACCATCTATACAGCAATGAAAAATACTTTTCAGACATTGAGAAAACCATACTGCATGAAGACAAATAACTTAAAGCTGCATAGTTTGCCAGTAGGAACTAGTAGACAAGAAACCCCACCCCCTACACACACACACCACTAGAACCCGTCTCATAAAGTCATACATGAGTATATGGTATTTCATCTAAGAATAATTTACTCATTTAATGCCACAATTCTTTTGCATGGAAATACGTGATATATTTTTGCTACATTTTTCTTCATCACTTTTGGCATTTCAGATAATGATTTATGAATATCAAAATGTATCAGGTATAATAAACTAATTACACAGAAGAGGCTTGTAAAGGACAAAAATAACGACACCTATTTTAATTTAAGTATACAATTCTTATAAAATACAGTGTTGTCACAATGTATAATAAAAATTGCATTACAAATGTGACAAAACATTGAACATTGATCAATACTGTCAAACATCAATTGTTCCATACAATAACAAAATGCTGCAAAGTCTGCCTCACTTTATAATTTCACCATTTATTTACTTTAAAATTTTCATTACAAAAATTTCATTTTTTTTTGTAAATCTAGTAAAAATTTAAAGGCAAGCTACAAAATAACTTTTCTGCAGAACACATTATGATCCAAATTTTACAAAGATATAGATTTTTTATAAATTATACAAAATTCATTTATTTATAATAAGTCTTCTTTAATTAATTACACATGTTCATGGAAACAACCTCTCTTATTCTGAACTATGACCTCTGACACACTGACCTCTGACCCACTCAGTGTGTCAGCTGCTCTTCTTTGGATTTGAACTTTCACCCGATGTATCCTCTGTCTCTGTGACTTTGTCAATAGATTTTAACACTTGAGACATGATTCGTAAATTCTCCACTCCTGACAACATTTGCCTGCAAATGTAAGAATTTGTGAATTAAAATAAGTCATGCTTTTAGTAAGTTACTGCAGTATTTATTTTCATGTGAGTTCTTTGAACTCTTTATTCACTTTTTCAGACTCCGAATGATAATTTTGTTTATCAATTATCATCTTTGTCTAAAATGGGTGTACTGGTATTTTTTCATGTTTACTCCTCTCCTAGAACCTGTATACAGGCCACATTGGTCCTATTAAAATGAAATGAATAATTTCCTGCCTAGCCCCAATATCTACATGTATATTACTAACATTTTTCTTCAGTTCTTAACAAATGTATTTAAGAACAGGGTTAATCACTATGAATTAAAAGATGATTAATTTCTAAACTGTACTGATATTATGAGAAAAACACAGATTTTGTAAAATATACGGTGAACAAACTTGGAATTACCATTAATTAGCAATATTCAGCTATAGCAAAAATATTTTTTTGAAATCTTATTATTACTTTGTTTTTGACTGGGGTTAGATAAGGCAAGCTAAAAGATTTATAACAAACTCACTTGAGATTTTGTTCTGCAGTTGATACAACAGAAACTAACTGCTGAGAAACATAAGTTGTCCGTTCCTTTAGATCTACCAATCCTTTGTCTCCAGACTTAAGTAACTCATTCTCATTCTCCAGGAATGTGACACGTTTCTGCAATAAACAAACTTACTTGTACAGTGACTACAACATCCACAAGTATAAAAAGCATGTTCTTTAAAAAACAAGATGTGTTTGTGCCCCCGTTTGGCTGTTTATGGCGAAGGTTACAGATTCTCAAATGCAAGTCAAAATCTCAGGTCAAGGTCAAGGGATGAAAAATGTTGTTACCCAAAGAAAGGACTTGTGTCAAATGTCAATGGATATACCTGGTAAATATGAAATCCCAAGCATTAACTGCAGTTGAACTTCGGTATCTCGAACATGGATATCTCAAATACCATGGATATGTCGAAGTGATTGGGAAGTCCTAACCACATATTTTTTAAGTATTTTACCCTCAATATCTCGAACTCTTGGATATCTCGAAGTTTTTTCTCGGTCCCATCAAGTTCGAGATAACAAAGTTTGACTGTATATTTAAAAGCTATCGTCAAGGTTAATGTTTTCCAAAAGTGGTTCAAACTCCAAGGTCAAAAGGCCAAAATTAATGGTACAAAATATAAAAGCCCTAGCACCAACTGTTCAAAAGTTATGGCCAAGGTTACAGTTTTTCAAAAGTAGGCTTAACTCTAAGGTCAAGGTCAAAAGGTAAAAAAATATTTACACCCATGGAAAGGTCTTCTCATGATGAATAAACATTTGAAATATGAAAGCCCTAGTACCAACTGTTCAAACGTTATGGCCAGGGTTAAAGTTTTTCAAAAGAAGGCCAAATTCTAAGGTCAAGGTCAAAGGTCAAAAATATTTACACCCATGGAAAGGTCTTCTTACCATGAATACACATGTGAAATATGAAAGCTCTAGCACCAACTGTTCAAATATTTTAGTCAAGGTTAAAGTTAGGTAAAATTTTGCAAAAGTGGGTCAAACTCCAAGGTCAAGAGGTCAAATATGTTGGCACCCAAAAGAAGGTATTGTCACAAGGAATACATGTGAAATATGAAAGCCATAGCTCCTACCAATCAAAAGTTATGGGCAAAGGTTAAAGTTTTTGCAGACAAACAGATAAACAGACAGACAGACGGACAGGGCAAAAACATCTTCGATTACGGGGGCATAAAAATGCCTGTCAACCAATTTAAGTCTGAAATATCATTGAAAACTAGGATGAAATAATTGATTTGTTCTTATATTGTTTTTAACTTCTCTATGCATTGTATGAAGATAAAAACTGGTACCTGTAAAACAGCAACCTGGTTCTCTGCTGCAACTGCCCTTTTCTGAAATAAGAAATAAACATAATTTCAAATCTAGACACTAGTATCTTAGATATATTTTAAACAAACTGTTGAGAAAAAAGAATTGACTTGAGGTACTGTGAGTAAACTCACAAAATAATACCCCTACTGCAATTTTTTTAAAGTGCCCTTTCACAATTTTGTAAATGTACATTTATTACTTGCCAAAATGATCTTGGTTAAAAAAATGACTCATCCTCTGGACACAAGTAATCTTTGAGTGAAATATGGATATCCAATGTTTCTCCATGAGAAAATTATGGACCTGACATAAATTTACACTTTTTCTGCCTGTGACCTTGCACTTGCAAATGAAGGTGTTGTCACAAGGAACACATGTGAAATATGAAAGCCATAGCTCCTACCAATCAAAAGTTATGGGCAAGGTTAAAGTTTTTGTGGACAAACAGATAAACAGACAGACAAGGTTCAAGGTTATGACCTGAAGCTCATAACTAACCTTTGTTTGAAGTTTCAACTCCAATAAAAATTTATACTTTTTCTGCCATTGACTTTGAACTTGCCAAAATGACCTTGGGTCAGGGTCATGACATACCATTAAGACAAAAGTAATATTTGTCTGAAATATGAACTTCCAATGTTTAACCATTAGAAAAATCTATAAGGGACATGAATTTAACACTTTTTTTTGCCAGTGATTTCGAACTTACCAAAATGACCTCTGGTTAGAACATGACACACCCACATGTCATTAACAATCCCTGTACCAAGTATCAACTTCCAATTACCTCCATTTGAGAATTACCGGTAAAGACAGAACACAATTTAAACATCTTTTCCAGTGACCTTGAACTTGCTGGAATGACCTTAGGTCTTAATCAATGCATACCTCAGATTATATGCAACATTTGTGATAAGTATGCTCTAATGTTCTCCATCACAAGATATGGTCAGGACTGGAATTAACGTTTTTCTATAAATGATGTTGAACTTGATCAAATGACCTAGGGTGAAGGTCAAGACACATCTCTAAGTCATAAGCAATCTTTGTATGAAGTTTTTCCATAAAATAGTTGTAGATAGGACAAAAAATATACTTTTTCAGCCAGTGAACTATAACATGATGGATTGGCCTCAAATCAAAGCCAGGACAAACCCTCATCTTTGTACGGGGGATGAGCTTCCAATGATTCTCCATCATAAAGTTATAACCTGTACAAGATTGCACGGACAGACGAACAAGGTGATTCCAATATAACCCCAAAACTTTGTTTGCAATGTATAAATATGGGAGGATTTGAGATGTGAACTTAAGGGGATGAAGGACACATGGTCACATGACTTTGTTAAACTACGTCATAGTCTCCATTTATATAAGTGCAAAACGTGCAAAGCCTCAGTTTTTGTATAAATTTTTGACATTTTTTTCTTTAATTACCATCTTATATTAAAAAAAATAAAAAGTTTAACATTCTTGTAAACATTAACAAATTATGAAAAAAGATTGATCCACTCCTCTGTTTCTTTAAACTGCGCATCCAACAAGTTGGTGACGTCATACACGATCTGCTAGTACAGCAATATCATACTCGGTGAATACAAGGGCGGTATTATTATGTAAAAACAGGTCATAATCAGTATATGATGAAGTATTTTGAGAAACGGGGAACACAAAATTATTTTTGCATGGCTTATGACGGAAATCTTATGTAGGTACATCTTAATTTCACTTATTTAGCTTACGTGTGACGTCATAGTTGGTTTTTCCTGTACTCGAGAAATGTAAACATGAAAAGTTTTTGTCCTGCTTATGTCGTCTTTAACGATGTCCTGTGAAATACTGAGGTCAGCTTCACCATTCGAAATTTTTACAGTTAATTAATAATTTGAAGGACTTGCATTTCAACGTAAATTTAAAAATATTGAATGATAGGATTTTTTGTAAATTACGTTTTTTGTTGTTTAGGCCATTCTAAGTTTTTTCTATGTTTAGCGTCCGCATGCGCCTTGGTTTTTGACACCCCATATCAGAAAAAACAAACAAAATTAGGACTCCTGAAATTGAATATTCTGGTCGAAATCCATGAATTCTGTCAATTTCTCTAAATATTTGTCTACAGTATGCCATATTAGGAATATTGTAAGCATTAATACCTTGATTTTGCTGAAGAATAGATATTTCTACGAGTAAAGATAGATTAACCATATTAACAAAACCAAATCTTTTGAATGACGTCATTTTTGTGACTATAAAGTCTTGTGTTTTATTTTTTGGTTTGTGTGTTTTTTGCGAATAGGTAGGTAGGTTTTTGAAAGAAGGGTGGACCTAAACATAGAAAAAACTTGGAATGGCCTTACGTTGTCTTAAAAAGTTCATAATTTTCCCTATCCAGGTGCAGTGTGATAGATGAAACTTGCCTTTTCGAATTTTAAACCCAATTCATACTCTGAAATATTTTAAAAGATACATGTTCACTTACATATTTTTTATATATGCTTTAAAAATCCAATTATGGACAGAGTAATGAGCCCGGAAACATGGAGAATTAAAACTCCACTTAGATACTGTAGGGCATAATATTTGTCAATCAATATCTCTAAAATAAGGTAAGAAACCTAATGATATAACTGCTTTAAGATATGTGGGACATACTTAATAAGAAATATACAAAATATAAAAAAAATTGAATGACAAGAATTTTTTCAGCTAAAGGTCCTCCTTCCCCTTAAATTCACAATAGCTCACAGGCCTTTACATCATTGAATCAATTTCAGCATTTCTTGGGAAGTATACAAAATTCTGGAATGAACTTTGGTAGTAATATAGATTGTTTATAAAATATACATAAAAGGATATGAATAGAAAATATAATTTTAAATCATATGATTTATTAGTATTTCATTGGTGAAAGTGTGTATCCTATCTGAGAAATTCTACACCTTTGTTTTTTTATACTCCCCAATTTGTCAGTCAGACTGAAGTGACCTAAAGGCCTGTGCAATAGCTGAGGAATCTTAAAATAGTGGTTAATTCTGAACTAATGAAGGCTGGAACTACTTACTGTTGAAGTGAGTAAATTGGCTTCCACCTCTTCCAGCATTTTCTCCATGGCTGCTGTGTCCTCAGCTTCCTTCTTCTGAGCTGCTTCCATTTCTTTTTTCAACTTATTGCACCTGCAGTTTAGCATTTTTTCTTTAAAACCTTATTTTTTGATACAGTAAAAGATCTTAGAAGCAAATATATGTACATGTATACTTAGTGAATACCTGTTTATATTAAAATAAAACTAGAGGCACTGTGAGCACGGAACTCTCAAAATGATAATGTAAAATCACAAATTTTCGTGGGGTCAAATTTTTTAGGTTTGAGGAAAAAAATTTTGGTTTGTGGGGATTTGATTTCGTGGTTGGAGAATGTTTAGTTAGTAATGCATATGAAATTTTACATTTCATGGTAATCATAAATTCGTGGGTCTCTCCATACATCGAAAACAATAAAAATTAAATCCCCACGAAATTAAGTGATTTCACAGTAACTCCCGATCCCATGTACCGGTAAATAATGGCAAAGTCTATTTTTTGCTATGAAAAACCCCAAATATCTGTCCAATAGGAATTTAAAATAGGAGGTGCACATGGCTCTGTGTAATAAAGATTCTGTGAAAGTCTCATTACATTCTATTTTATGGTATAGGAGGAGTTGCAAATAAGAGATGGGTACCCCCAATATTAAAGGGGGAATGACAGTTCCAGGTTTTGCTACTGGAAACCCCAAATATCTGTCCACTTGTCAAACATGTTTGTACACTTGGACTCTGAATGTACCTCTTAAAATCCTTATCTAGTAAATCATTACCAAAATTTCATTCCTTAATGGATGGCTTTACCTTTTTGTTTCCATAAGCGTTCTATTTCTGGCCTCCTCCAATTGTCGCCGCAATGATTCATTCTCTACTTTCAACTGTGAAAAAAGATGAAAGTATGCAAAATATTTCCATATCTTTCACATTAAGAAAATAAATAAAATCATCAATTTTTTTCATAACTTACTCTTTCATTTTCCTCCTCTCCATTTGATGCTGTTCTCAGAGAGTGTGAGCCATTCAGCTGAGAGTGACTGTGTAGAGGCCTTGGTAAAGAAATCTCATTACTTTGGGCATTGTCTGTATTTTTGAATATGCCATCTGTAATAAAGTCGGGAAGACTCGTGGGAACTTGAGGACGATTAGGCATGAAATCTTCATCATCAGTATTATCACGATTCACTTCACCAATTCCAGAAACTAGGTCACTTGCACTATTGTTGGGAGTGAACACACCCCTGGCCCTTAAGCTGTCTGATGATAAATTTCTGGAGTCACTATTTCTCACCTCAAATTGTTCATTAAATGAATTTGAATGCCCTCTCTGAGTCGATTCATTTGGAAATCCTAAATCTGGGAGAGGGAAATCTAAATTAGGAGGGAACTTGGATGCCGCAGGGCTGTCCTGAAAATGATCTTGGACAAAATCTGGGAGATCAGTGGCAAAGTCTGGAGTATTCTGACTGGTCCGCTGGGAATGACGAACTCTGTCATTTCTGTCCTTTGGTTTGATTCCTGATCCAGAAGATTCCAAAAACTTTTTAAAGGAAAAAGGATTTTCATCTTGTTTCTTCTTCTTCTTTGAATCCTTTGAAGTTTCTTTGAAAGATAGGAAATGCTTTTATTTACACTAAATAGACAATTAAAAAAATATAAGAGTAGAATCTTGATTGTCTCATGCAGAACAGTCAGAAAGCTGAAAATAATACCGGTAATATATTTTCAAATACTGTAAATCAACTTTTATTAGCCTGCAAGAAATATCCACAAGTTTTGCAGCCTTCTTTTATTTGCAGTTTTGCACACATCACTAACCACAAACCATATTGTAATTGTGTATTTATGTAGAATATTTCCTACATCACAAATAATTATCATCGCTGATGCATTTTAAAGTGACGAATTCCGAATAAAAGTTGTTGTAAATGATATTTGGTTTACAGTATATACACGAGGTAGAATTAATCAAAATCCACTGCTTTATCTGTCATGTCTGTTGTTGACCTGAGGCAAATCTTAATGAAATTCAATTAAATTGATACATTAAACTTTGATACCTAATAACCAAATATCACAATCAACAAGAGTCACACTAAGATAATCAAAAAAAAAAGGACTAAATGTAATGTTATAATTTGGAAAAGTCTGAAAATCACACATCCAATCAACTCCAATATGAATCCATTATATTTCAAAACTAATATTTATATGTATCACTTTTTCAATAAAGTGCCCTGCCATAGCATGATATGCCCGACAAATATTGTTCAATAATCATGAACAGTTTAGAGTGCAAGAAAATCATGTCAACCTTGATTCAAAGTTTTCAATGATTTTTCCATTCCTTATAATATTTGATGTTTATATATCTCCTGTAGTGTAGGCAACAATTATAACAAATATTACATTATAGATCCTCAACTGGTCATGTTAGAGATTAGTCTTAACAGTTTAATCTATAATCTATACCAAATTAATTTTGAAAATAAAAGACCAGCCATCAAATGACATATGCTATTAACTGACAAGCAGTTCTGTCTAATTCCCTGAGAGCTGCTTGATCAGAGATGCTCTAACAGAAATTTTTAAGACAGCTAGCCTTCCTACATTAAACTCATTAATTAATTAATATCTTTAACTGGATGCATGTCCACTCATTACTCCCAAGGGATGTATGGATCCTGCACTACTTTCTTTGTAGTCTATATTGAAGGCCTTTCAACTAATTTTTCAAGTTACATGTATACATATGGTAAAAAACAATTGATAGATATATTTGTAGGTACATGAAATTCTTTAAAAAAAAGATTATAATCTATACATACCTTTGATTAAATCATAAAAAAAATAATTATTGATATTTGATTTGTACGATGTGATGTTTTAAGGACAGGTAACTCAAATGTAAAACATGACCAACAAAGTGCCGATTTTTGAGTTATCGTTTATAGGAATGACATATAGGATGCTTCATTTGGTATTGTTATGTACACAAAAGGGTTCCTTATATTCTTTGGTACACAAAAGGGTTGACCAAAACAAGGAGAATGCCTTCACTCTATGCGTGGAATAACGGGATCAATGAATGGGGAACGGACTATATTCAAGATTTTTAACTCTCCCTAACAGTTGTTACGAAGAAGAAAATATAATGCTATGTTTTTTGTTTGTGCATTGTTGTGCTTCATCTATAAAGATAAATATTTCTACAATTAAATGCAACAATAAATTATCTTATTCTTTTCATTAAGCACGAAGAAGAACGATCAAGTATAAAAATTTAATCAGATCAAAATTAAGAAGGGGGATGGATTTCACTTTAAATTTTTATTAAAAATTTCACTTATATATTATTGTACAGTGTCTATAACTACATGATAATTGAGTTGAACATTCGAACTAAATTTTAAAACCACTGGATTTCCCTGTCAGTGAAGGAACACTTGGGAAATGCTAAAACTTGACATCCTTAAAAACAATTAGCTTCCTCGGACCCGCTCTAAACAAGTTCCGGTAATGGGTTATCGTTCTTTTCATCTAACCCTAGCGGCAGTTGGAAGGCCTATATATTGCAATAAAAATACATATTATTCCATTCTGTTAAAAACAGAGATTTTTTAAAAAATTGTTTCAAAGAATTCTTAGATTTGTAGGTACTATCTACCATAAAACATTTTTTTTGAATACTTGATGATTTTTTTTGAAATTTAATGTCAAACTGCTTTTAAGATGCAGTTAATTCATACAGACAAATGGATATGATGATTCCATTACCCCCCCCCCCCCCCCCCCCCCCCCCGGGTATAATTAGTTTTAATAATTATATAATAATACAATATCAAATTAGTTAATTACGCAAAATCAAATTAGTTATAATTACGTTTCACCAAATTCATTTTAAAAGTTGGGCTAGCCAACAAGATCTATTTAATCCAACATGGCTGATTTATTTGCCCAATTCCCTAAGAGATATAGATAACATGCTTGATCACACTAAACTCATTAATTTCTCTCTAATTTGATATGCAATTTTCTGTTAATATCAAAATTCTCCTTGACCAGTGCTTGATAATTGCACCCATGGGACAGGTGGAATTTCTCTTATAACATCACATTTGTTATAGATTGCTGTAAAGTATATAATGAAAAAAAAAGAAGTATTTTCTTGATTTAACATTTTTTTAATAAGGATACTGCAACACTCTTACATTTTGGGGGGTTGTGTAATTTAATAGTATAGAGACAAAGTTTTTTTTTTAAATTTCACTTCAATCAAAGGTCAAAGTTACCTTGAAATAGGTCGCGACACACCTTCTACCTAAGATGCATAAATTGGCCAAGTTTGAAGATTCTAAGTCTAATAGTTTTCTAGTTAAGAGCCGGACAGGATTTTTCCATATTTGGCCAAAGCATCTTAATTAAAGGTCAGAGTGACCTAGATTTAATGCGCGACACACCTTCTACCCAAGATGCATCAGCTGACAAAGTTTGATAATTCTAGGCCTAATAGTATTAAAGTTATGAGCCGGACATGAAAAAGCTAACAGACGGAAGGACAGACATGAACGCTATAACATAAAACGTCCCGTCTTTAGATGGGCATATAATAATATAGCACATAAAATATTCCGCAAGAAGAATTATTCAAATATATTTAAAACTCAAATACTAAATAAATTCTTTTCATTGGGTAATATGTTCAATAAAATATTTTTTAAGTGCTTTTTATATCCCCCCTTTTTTTTTTTTAGAAAAAAGGGGGGGGGGGTAACACATCAAGCTTTAATGCTGTCAGGGATTTTTTTACCCTTTGATTCCAGGGGCCAAGGCCATCAAGTTGGGAAAAATAGCGATATTTGGTTTAAATAGCGATATTTGGTTGAAATTGGGAAAAATATCTTCATACAAATAAATGGGAAAAAACAAGCAAAAGTCAAATATTTAATCATTTTTTTAAATTATTTATAGTATGAAGCTGGCTTAAACCAGCTTTAGTGAATAGCGGCTGTTGAAGTTCAGAACCTGAAAAATGGTAAAGCCACAGGATATGATAACATTGTAAATTAATGAACATATTTATACAACTTTAACGTTGTCATCTTTTTTAGCTTTATGTAAGAAGTTCTTTAAAAATATTTTTGACAGAGGGTTTGTTCCAGATGAGTAGATAATTGGTATTGTTAGACCAATTTAATAAGAATAAGGCGACCCAACCCAGCCTGAAAATTAATGTCCTAGGCAAACTGGAGAAACTGACATGATGCACGTTTATTAAATAACAATTCCGACTTAAATTTTAAACATCGATCCCGCTCTAAAAAGTATGCAGGCAAACATCTCAAGTATTCCGAATAACTTCTCGGAACTCCTTGGATGGATCATTCATCAACAAAGAGAACATAAGCACCTTTTTGTCATTCTTGAATTTTTTTTTATTTTAATAATTTACAACTTACTTTTTTCATATTGGGAATTTGGTAAAATTTTGGGAAAAACATGCACTTTTCGGCATTGGGAATGGGGCCGAATTTCAGCCCCAAAGAGACCCTAAAAATCCCTGGCTGTTATATGTATTTTAAAATTGTGTGAAGCATTTTCAGTCCCTTTGAGTGCAGCTACCAGATATGGATTAATGAAGACCATTAATTTTTTTTAATAGCATATACAAAAAAGTGCAAGTTCAAAACAAATTGGCATCCTTTATTTTACTGTGACTTCCAACATGAAGACTTAAACTGGCACAATCTTTTAAATGATATATGGCTTAAATTAGTTATATAGCTTTATTAAGCTATTCAGTTTATCACAACTTTTCTTAAATGTGTTATTTTTTCAGCATGTACAAAATGTTGCATCTTGGTTTTTTTGAAAAATGCATGCAAAAATCGCTAATCAAATAAGCATCTCCTTGAGAGACTTTGTACTCACAGTTCTAAAAGTTTTTAGGCTAAATAAAGCAATTGATTTGTGACCACACAGTAACTTCTGAATGAAATTATAAAGGAGGTTAATTACTGACTGGTAATAATTAAGCACAATGTGAAGCAATCATACTTATCCATGCCTCAATGCACACAAGGTGGTGCACAGTTATCCAAACAATGGAAATTAATCTTTTACTTAAAAGTAACCAAAAGCTGCAATGATAGAACTATCTTTGACTTGGGTTGCGTTTTTGAAAGTCTAAATGTGAACAGGTCTGGTACAATCACTAGATTTAGCTATGTAGCTTGAATTACTGTACGTGTACATAAATTGGCGTATTCAAAATTTAGCGCAATCAAGGGGTATGTAGTTGTTGGCGTAATCATGAATTAGTGCTACACATGTCCGTGTCGTGTATTGTATTAGTAAATGATTTCTTAGCGGTATTCATGAATTAGTGCATCGTTGTCCTCCCCAAAGCCGCTAAAATATGAAGCCCGCTTTTTTAAGTACACATACAGTATCTACATAGCTTTATTTACCTACCTGAAGTAGCATTATTTACCTACCAAATCAAACTTTTTTCTTAAATTAGCATTTTTCTTGGGATAAGCAGAAAATTGCACTTTGATGCAGTGATAATTTTCAACTTTAAATTCATCATGAAAAAATCACTCTTGAAGATGTGTCTTTTTCTGGGCAATTGCACTCAAAGTTCTAAAAGTTTTTGGGCCATATACAACAGTAGGGATGCGCGATTTTATCGGTATACCGGTATATCGTGATTTTTTATTGCATGATACGTATCGTGATACGGAGACTGAAATACCGGTTTTTGGTACATGATTATAAATTCCAGAAATTATTCATGTATTTGTTCAAACTATTAAATAACAATTACAGGAAGTGTAAAGAATGTTGAAAAAAGTTAAACAATGGCATCCAAACAAGCTTTATATTATAAAAATAAAAAATTGAAAAGTGAAGCAATGTTTTTATAGCATCTTTGAAAGAAATATTACGGAAATTCATTGGAATTTGTTGTAAAAATTGTGTGTAAAAATATCACAATATTATCGTGATATTCTGGGAAAAAATCGTGATATATCACGATACGAAATTTTAGGTGATACCCATCCCTATACAACAGTTAATTTGTGACCAAGCAGTTTTCTTGAATGAAATAACAAAGAAGACAAGTTCTGGTTAAAATGAAAATTGATTGGTAATTATTTGACACAATGTGAAGTAATAATAAATATTCATGCCTCACCGCACACAAAGTGGTATACAGTTACTCAAATAGTGAAAATACATCTTGTTCAAATGCAGCAATGTTTAAACTATCTCTTCTTTGGACTGCTTTTTTGAAAATCCATAGTATAAATATTAGAAGTTATATACTTGCGATTTTTTGTCTTTTATAAATAAAAAAGCGAAATTGTGAAAATTTGCATTGAAATAGCAAAAATAAGCTACCTTAGGTAGCTAAATAAAGCTACAGTAGGTAATTCTAGCTATGAAGCTAAATGAATACTAGCAACTTTATCAGGTTGGGCACAGTTCCTTTTTACAGTAACTGTTACGTTAAAAGGGAATTGTTCCTCTTTTCAGTAATAAAAAAACATTACTGTATACGGGAATTTTCACTTGTTTACCCTCTTTTCTCATGATTGCTTTGAATAAAAGATTAAGTGCAAGAATATTTTCATATCCTCTAAATATTTATAGTCTATTAAGTGTATATATGCTTAAAACTACAATATTTATCGCTGCAAAAAGCTGAAAAAGAGTGATGAAATATTTCTACAATATAGATTTCTTACAGAAACTCATCTGTGTTAAAATTATGAGATTGAATACGTTCAGCAATTGCTAACTTGTACATGAAATTATTCGTTCTAATTAAATTTTATAATCATTTCTTTCAAAGACATCGTAAAAATAATTTTTAATACCACTGCTTCTTTTACAGATGAAAATAATTAGATGAAATATTAAATTTTAAAAGATAGTCATTCAAAGATGGTTTGAGAATGAATGCCCTTGTAAGATTCCATACTTTTCGTATCATTTATCAACAGGGAAAATTTAAGTAGAAGTTGTGGATTACTGCTGCATGTGAATTTAAATTCCTATGCATGTTCAAAAGATGTCACCTCAAAGAAACCATGCTATGAAATTTTTCGTTTTTGAACTAGTAATAATATACTTATAAAGGAAATATTCACATCCGTTGGAAGAATACTCATGATGTCGTATGATTAAATCTCATCTTACTCCCGTCTGCAGCACTAAAGGATTAAAAAATTTTGTCAGGGAGGTTAGTTTAATAAAGTTTAAACACATCACATCATATTTTTCATACACTTTTTATTTAATACACGGATTTTGGGCATTACTTTAAAAATATGACGAAAATTCCCGAGTACAGTAATGTTTTTCATTACTGAAAAGAGGAACAATTCCCTTTTAGCGTAACAGTTACTGAAAAAAGGAACTGTGCCCAACCGTTAATTTCCATTTCTTACGAAAACATTTTTTTTTTAAAAATAATGTATATAAATATTCTGAATAGCCTAATGAAGCTATATAGCTAATGAAAGCTATATAGCTAAATCAAGAGGTGCTAGACCTGATAAATTTCGTTATAAAATCATATATTTACACTGATCAAAGGTATAAAACCGCAAGGACTGTACCTTTTGTTTGAGTCACAGTTTCTTGCTTAGATTCCGGTTCATCTTCATTACTTTGTACAACATGCTTGTCTTTAGATTTCACAAACTTTTTGAAAGAAAAGGGGTTATTTTCCTCTTCCCCACCTTCTGCCATTGGAGAAAAATAATTTTTTGTATAGCGATCTCGATGCATAAAACATAAAGCCCACTTCCTGGCCACTAAATTTCCGTACCATGAAAGATTTTCAAAAATTTTCTTTTTCTGTTCTCTCAAAAAAAATTGATAAATAAATAAAATATAAAATTTAAAAAAAAAAATTAAAAAAAAGGGGGGTATGAAACATTATCATTCTTATTTTACGACACACACCACCATGACCACCTCCAGGCAAGATCAATGTTCGGGAAAGTACAATGCCTTATTACTTATATCTAGTTTCCTATTCTCTCTTTTTGTTCTTCATCATAAAATGACCTAATTAATTAATTGAGAAATGTCGTATATGAACGTGCAGAAAATTACCTAGGAAATCGATAAATTTTGCTCAACTGCAGGTGCTTGGGGGCCGGATCTCCCCTCCACACCCATAGGGTTGTTTGGCTTATTGTTCAAGGTCATCAAAAGGGAGGGGAATACGTCGCACCCCTTTTATTAGCACTTGAAAATATAATGTTTGAAACAAAAAAGATTCATTATTTATCTCTTTAAAGGGGCTGGGCCACAGATTTGAAGCTCATATTTTCTAACAATTTTCTAAATAATATAATGTCTTATATGTTGCTAGAGCATTTCACACCAAAATATATTAAAAGCGTGTTTAGAAACTTCTTTTATCTTGAAATTATTAAAAATACGAGTTTCGGGACGCGTTAGATTGACACATATCCTTGCACTTTCACAGAGTAGACTTTACCCATAATACTTATGAGAAGTAGAAATTTTGTTGTGTATTAATGAAAAGTATGAAAACTATAATCCAGAAAGTTCAGAGTAGAAATGCCAGAAATTAAAACCAACTCACCAGTATTGTCAGTCCGTGCTAGTGATGTGTGCAGACTAAACAAATTGAACACACCTGGTAAAACGTAAACAATAATAGAGCTCGTGCCCTGTTTACAAACACAGGTATTTGACGTGATGTTATGAAGAATGTAGTTGTCATTGAATTCTTATAATATTCATGTAAGTTGAAATCAGTAAACTGAAGTAATTTTTGAATAAAAATAGAAATTTAATATTGTAAACAATGCAACTGTATCAAGGCCCCTTTAAAGTAATGCTGCTTTATTTTGACTTCAAGGATTTACCAGTATCAACCAAAATGGTACGCATTTGCAACAAAATTGCTGGCTCCGAGCGCCGGGACAACCCTCCCAGACCTCCCCCTTTTTCAGAAATCTAGCGATGGCCAAGCCCCTATTGTTTATAGATTATTTTCCTACAATAGATTTACGAAGAACATGATTAAAACACACACACACACCCTTGCATACAGACACACCCACACCCACACACCCCTCTCACACACACAAAATCTAAGACGGAACCAAATTCCAAGATTCCAACATTGGACTACATGTATTGTATGAAGAACGACTTCAATTCATGTACATGTAATTCTATATGAACGAAAATACCGATTTATTCCAATATTATTCCAAACTGCATTTCCATATTTATTAAAAGACGAATGACATTCCCTGCTCGAAAGGAGTGGGACAACTTGGGGAGGGGGGGGGGGTAATAGAAAAAGAACAAAATAGGTTTTTCCATTTGTGGCATCCTAGAGATCTGTCAGAACCTTATTAACAGTGACTTCTTGCATATGTATTTCAAATATTCAATAATTGGAAAATGATATAAACTAGAATTATAAACACAATTTTTTCATCAATCACAAGGAAATTATCAAAGTTTCGAAAGAAATTCACATAGATCTGCAATCAATTCAACTGCCCTAAATTTAGCAGCACCCTATACTGGATGGAATAGGCTCACCCTGTATCTTTAGGTAAACAAAACATTCGTAGAATCTGATAATGACATCGCGGAATCTGGAACAGAAAATTCTCAGAGTGAAGTGACGGTAAGGATTACTTCCTACATTTACGTGTCTTTAATATTTTGTACTGTACAACAAGTGATTTATTGTACATGCAGTTTGGAGAAGAATTGGATATATATGTACATATGTGTGAGTATTCGTGTGAGTATAGTTGAGCAATTCCATTTAAATTTTAAACCAAAAAAAAAAAAAAAAAAAAACTGGATAGGTTCACTAACTAGGTCAAGTGTTATTCGCTAAAGATTACCCTTCATAGCAGTTAATCAGCACGATAGGTAGTGCATGGAAATTTTGTTAAAGGATTTTGTGAAAATTCAAATGATGATTTTTTTTTATTGAAAATGATAGGTATGGAGAATAAAAAAAAGTATATTTTAAATTTTAATTTATATTTTTATTAAAATTTTATTTAAAATATATAAAGTGGATAATAATGTTATCAAATGAAATATGCATTAAGGTTCACCGACCCTCTGATAAGAGAGGTAACTCTCACTGTGATAAATGTTTATAATTTCTTAAAAAATTGTCAAGTTTAGGGGTATAGCGTAATTTCTGTCAAATTTTGCTGAAGATATGCTGAAATTGTGTGCACATTTTAAATTATAAATTAGATTTCTTTTGGAAAATCATTAGCGTTATTTAAAGCGAAATTTTATATGAATGAACAGGGGGATGATATACCGTAAAATGCTGAACTTAAGTATAATATATTTCTTTGTTTTTTCTTGTCATATTTGAACGGCTTAGTTGATACGTATCGTACATTTTGAAATTAAACATTTTCATTCCCACTGCACCCTGTTCGAGAGTTTGTGTATAACTCTATACCTGTGCATATATTCTCTCTTTCTCTCCCCCCTCTCTCTCTCGTGTACATTCAACTACTACAGTGTATATGAACATAAATCAAAGCATATCACTTATGATCTTTTCATCTCATACATGTCATACTTGCTAGGGGTGAGGTTGTCAGAGGAAGAAGCGTAAATATATGAATGGGTTTTTTTTTTAAACAAAATACAAGTTTATTTAAATTTCATCATTAGTTGAGATAAGATTTCAAGGAGGGGCTATATCTGGATGGTTTTAGTGGTTATAATTGACCAATCTCTCTGTAATCTGTTAGTTCAAGAACCCGCTAAGCCTTTTGAATGAGATGAAGCATAAACAAGGCCTTGTTTTCAGAATGATAGCAAATTAAACGTTAACTTTGATGTCTATGTTCATTATGGATAAAAACAGGGTTGGCTGTACAGAACATGCTGTAGAGTGTATCTACATGATCTAGAAAGTACAGACACAAAGGTTTACATAGGAAATTCCGCGAGCTTATTATGGGTTCTGCAAAGTCTACAAAGCCATGCTCACAAGACGGGAATCAAAAGTTGTAATTAATGATGACGCGAGGAGGAACTGCACGTGCAACGTGTTAAAGCGCGCTAATCTTTTTACGCAAACCTGCACGACACATACTATAAAGATAAGTTTTACTTGGCGTTGAACATTATCGTGGCAAGTCAGAGGTTCTATATTATATCTTCAGACATATTCACCATATTTCCTTCAAATTGATGTTCCCTGTTTCAATTTCCTTAGATAATAAAAAACAGAAATAGAAATTTGATGAATTACCTGCAAACTGCGGCACGAGAATTATACATAGAGAGAGAGAGAGAGAGAGAGAGGATATTCAATGTTTTGTTGTTGGATATGGAATTTATTTCACGAGTGGGACAGGGTTTTTTTTTTATTTTCACGAGTGCAGAGCACGAGAGAAAATGTTTTTTTTTTTAAATTCCATGCCCCTAAAGCTCATTTCACTTCAGTGACTTCAAAACTTCTTGCATGATGAAAAAACTCAATAATCGTTTTTAATCATATTTCTTATCGGTAAACAGGATTTATTTTAATTTATTACCCCTTAAGTTTTTGTTAAATTAAAAATGTCAGTGCAGTCTGGCACAGAGCGCAAACAATAAGAATGATTCGATGAATCAGGTCAAGTTTATTTACAGAGTTTGTGTGTCCTACCAAGACTCAATGTTACTGTCGCTGGAAAAAAGCAATCGAGACATATTTTCGAAAAAAATGATTCTTCAAATATTTGTATTTGTCTGACTGGTATGTCTTGTCCACCTGAGATCATATCTGAAATATGTCGGCATTACAAATATAAAACTATTGAATAAAGAGATAATAATAATAGATCCACATATATATTAAACCAATGTAGAGAATGATTTGATACAGTCAACAGTTATATCGAACTCGATGGGACCAAGATTAAACTTCGAGATATCCGAAGATTAGATATATCGAGGGCAAAAACAAAGAAAAGAGGTTGGGACTTCGATATAGCCCTGGTCGGTGTTTGTGTTGACAAGTATACACACTGGGTGCTTTTACAATTATAGTCTTGGTTCAAAGTCACATTGGAAATTCTTTAAAACATTTTGTTGGGTCAAAACACGAGAATGACTTGACAAAGAACATGCTTAGACACTGTGTTATTGATTCAAGGTCGTTTCTGAAAGATAATGATCATTGTAATCCCAATATAGTTGAAATGAATAAATGAATTTTATCTTGTTCGATATTGCTTATATTATAATGCACATAAAATAAACCACAAACTGTCCTTAAAAAAGACCTAAACAGGCCTTTAGCAACCGTTTTAAAAGAGGCGAGAGGCAATTAAAAAAAAAAATCTGACAAGCGAATTTTTTTAATATAAAAAAAAACTTCCAAACTGTCCAAACTCGAAAATCACATTTCTCAAACTTATTGGTACATTCTTTTTTTTTTTCAAATGCTGGAATTTGCCAGTGTTCGACCTTACATCAACAGAAAGTGGCGGAGGGGGCCAGCCAGCCAAAATGAAATTTAATTTACATATTAAAACCACATCAAAAGACTATATTCAGAATAAAAGAGGGCGGGCATCATCCCCCCCCCCTGATTTCTACGGATTTACTTAAATCCCGGCCTGTCCCTCCCTCTCCCCTTTAAAGAATCCTTGATCTGCCACTGAATTGGTCCAGGATTTTCAGAGGTTATGGTACAAAAATCCATATTTCTAAAAATGGGAAAAGTTAAAGCCTGAAAAAGAGAAGTACACATCAACTAGATACTGAATCAAAATACTAATAAGGAAGTAGTGATCTATCAGCTCATTAAAGTGATCATGAATGCCTAGTGACTTTTAACCACTATTTCACAAGACCAAGTTGTAGTTTTTTTTTAATCTTTTATGTTAGGTCTCCGTGGATTCTGTATGTAAGCAGAGAAAGGCATCAAAACATGAAGTGAATAAAGATGGAAAGAGGAGCGCGTGGAAAAGAGGTTGAGCCTAGACCAAAACGAGCACCTGTAAGTGTGAAATACTAAGGCAGCGTAAACAAGCCCAAATAAAACCTGAACAGATTATCTTGTACCTAAAGATGCACCTGTAAATTTGAATGATCTTACCACCGGAGTGGCGACCGTTGAGAGGTTACTGGCTGTTGCAAGATTTCTCAGCGATCTTTCAACGGTCGTCCAGTGATCGCCATGATCTCTCAGTAATCTCTCAGAGGTGTTTAGATGCCATAGTCTTAAAGTTTTGACTCTACCCAAGACAGTTTCTTAACGATTGCAAAGGTAAGCAGTCCCCCACCCCACCCCACCCCCACAAAAAACGCCCAAAAATTGCAGAAGGAGCACACTGAGATTGCTTACTGATCTCTTGGATTTCCCACTGATCTCTTAGATATCTTTCGAAGAACCAAAATGTTTAAACGCATTAAGGTAAGAGAAGTCTGGGAGATCGTAGAGAGTTTATTGAAGACTGCATCAGAGCTGCACCGGTCTGTGATAGATCAGCGTCTGTATGAGAGATCATTGAGAGATCTTTGAAAAATTTTGAAAAACAGATTTTGATGTGAGATCTCGGAGAGACTGCCCGGTAATATGCCCGATTTCACATCACACAACAAATGCATTATGGTCTTCCAAAACATTTACACAAATTTTTCTAGGCTTTCAGAGAAGGACAAATTTAAAATTGCCCAAAAGGTCTTCAATAATCTTCATGTGTTTTAAACGCCCTTAAAATCAAATTTGTCACTGTGAGAAGCGTTTGTAAATAATTTGAAGTTTTACGTGATGTCCATCATTTTTACAGTTTTGATATGATTTAAGTTAAGAATATGGTTCCATTTAGTTTACATAAAAAATATTTTGATTGGAAATTTAGCTGTGGTTTTTTTTTATTCTCTCCATGTCTGTGTGCATTTTAGTTCTTGTATGGGGAAATTGCAAAACGAAAGGCGTCCAAACATGACCTTACGAAGGAAAAGGTTCAAGGTTTGTTCTTTGTTTGTTTTTGTGTTGTTTTGTTTTTTGCAATGGCTTTATTTTTTATTGCATTTAAATCAAATTTCTCTATTAATTGGATCATCATTGCTGATTTTGTTGTCAGAGTTGTTCGATGCATTCACGATGTTCGATAAGAATGGAGACGGCATGATAACGGCAGATGAACTGGGTAGGGTTCTCTTCCAGATGGGAAAACGCCCAAGTGTTAGGGAGCTTCAGTCCTTCGTACGATCAGTGGACGCTGACAGTAGGTTTTTCTTGATTTTAGGTCACTTGAAACACTCAGGTGACCTACAATTACTATCTGCTTTTGTATGTCGTCGTGCGTTAACATTTGAACATTTTTAGATTTTTCTCTGAAACTGCGGAACCATTTCAACCATTTTGACAGATAGCGTCTAAGGATGAAGGTGAACAAAACTTATGAATAAAAAAAGTGAAGATAACGAACAGTCATCGATCTAAAAAAAAATCTACAAACAATACAAATCTGTGAATAGGACATAAAACATGTACCCAGAGGTGGGACCAGGTGCCTAGGAGGACTAAGCATCCCCTGTCGACCAGTCACACCCGCCGTGAGCCCTGTGTACTTAGTATTGCCAAGTAGACGGAAGATGCCATAGTCAAATTTAGTATAAAAACAAAGACCTAATTGGTATGAAACACGTCAGCCAAAATACGACCCAGTGTTAGGTTATATTCGCTAACAAGCTCATTACATGTATATTGACCATAGAATTTACGAAAATCCCTGTAACATCAACTTATCTGTCAGTAGCATGCCTCGGTTTAAAAATTGATCGTACTCACATACTCTAGAGTATCGAATAAGAACTATCACACAACTTTAATAGTTTGTTAATCAAATTAAAACAGCATATAGAATAAACTATGAAAATGTGTATTAAATCGGCTACTCTGCGAATGATGAGTCTTCGGGTAACAAGCAGTTTCACAAGATTCATCTTGAGTTGCAACTCTCTACATTAATTAATCTACATTAATTTATTGAAATGAAATACTTACGTGAGTTTTTTTATTCCAAGGAAGCGGAACCATTGACTTCGATGAATTTCTAAAGATTTTTGCTGGTAAACTCTCAATCGATCCTGAGAAGGAACTGCACGAGGTGTTTCAGGTCTTTGATGGGAACAAAGATGGATTTATCTCCCCGGACGAACTCTTCAGTATCCTCTCTAAACTGGGGGAACCCACAACAAAGGTAAAATAAAATACAAGAAACACTGCTTTTGCAAGCCGTAGCTCGACCCCAGTGGTGCAATATTGGAGATGAAATAGAGAGCAAATACTCTTTAAAAGTTTTGCAAAATTTCGAATTTTTAGAAATTGACCCATGGCAAGGAAATCCACTTTGAATATTTAAACCCCAGAAACTTGAGGGGCCGATTACACATCAATATTATGTAGTTTTGTGGTTTGAAATACCATTAGAGGAAAAAATCCACTTAAAATAAAATTCTTCCTTTTTTGTTTCAATTGCTACAATTAAAACAAGCATTCTGAGAGTATTGCATTAGCAATACTAGTCCCCTACCGGCAAGTGTAATCTGGCTCCCGTTAAGAATTGAAAATGCCATAATTCCGTCAAAAATCAATGAAGCGGGACGAAATGCAAACTTGATCTATAACTAATCAAGGTTAAGTCACATCCGAAAAATCAGCTCAATATCTGCAAGCGTTTAGAAGAAAATTGCGGAAAACCCCTAAAAATTGAAAAGGCCGTAATTCCGTCAAAAATCAATGAAGCGGAACGAAATGCAAACTTGATCTGTAACTCATCAAGATACACTCACATACCAAAAATCAGCTCAATATCTGCAAGCGTTCAGGAAAAAAGTGCGGAAAACCAAGTGGGACAGACTGACAGACAGACAGAGGGACAGACAGACAGAGGGACAGACAGACGGACGGACAGACTCAGAGGAAACCTATAGTCCCCTCCGGTTTCACCGGTAGGGGACTAATAATGTCCAACCAATTAATATAATGTCTTTGCAGAAACCAGTTTGACCAGATGAAAAGAATAAGATTAAAATGCTTCAAAAGCATTTACCGAGAGAAAACAAAAAGAGAATCAGGGTCACGCTTTTTTCATCGTCTTAATTTATAGTCAGCGCATCTATACTTATAAATTAATAAATTCTGCAAATAAACTCCGAAACGGGTGCACCAGAGTTCTTACTTACTCCTCTAACAATACACTAGATACAAGCTGATGTCCGTAAACTATATTTAGATTTCACTCGCATAGTAAGTATCGTACATTAAATTAAAAGTCTACTTTCATTTTCTATAAACAACCATGAAATAGCTAAAACGTGAGTACGGTGGCGTTTCCGGTTGGCGGATCTAAGTTACTGGCAATTTTTAATGAAACTGACAACAAGCAATCGTTTATTTATTACATAAAACGTCATCACTGAATTATTCAATTAAAACTCGATTTAAATGATATAAAAGAAATAAGTTGTGATAACCGATTAAAAAGGGAAATGTGCAAAATATTTTCGTCATTCACCGATCTTTATATTGACGGAAGCTTCTAGAACATCATATAGCATCGAGCCCGATGTTAAGAAAAAAAGGAGGCGATTATAGCTACATGACCATAAGAAAAGCTTTTTCGTGTAAATGGTCATAACTGAAATAATGGTAAATTACTGATAACACTATAAGTTGTGAATATAATTATATATCGAAAGACTATTACATTTACATGTATGTAGTAGGTTTTCCTAATAAATTTATCGGTAAAATTTGTATATATTCCTACTGAGCGCATCGTGACAACGAACCCGAAGTACAATTTGTACTTTGTAATAAACTTGCTTACATGAAAAGAGAAAATTAATGAATAAGGTATTGTTCAAATACAATTAAAGATGTAAAATTTTGCGCTTTAATCAATGCACATTTAATTTCTAAATACAATCTTTTATAGCTGCAATAGTGTAGCCCTCTCCTTTTTTGAGGGGGGGGGGGGGGGTGGAGGGGCAGTGAGAGAGAGGCCAGAAAATATCAGATCAAATTAAAAAAAAAATCGGAGAGGGCTACATTATTGCAGCTTAGTCTTTTGTATCAAATACTCAGCCTATTCATAGGGCGATAAAAGCTAATTTTTACACAGGTACTTGGTCCTTGGTTTATAAATATGTATGTACCTTATTGACAGGTAAAAAGTAAAGTACATTTTTACATATCAATAAGGTACAAACACATTTATAAACCAAGATCCAAGTACCTGTGAATTTTTACCCCCCTACCCCCCCCCCCCAAACAATTTATTAGTAAAATGTTCATATTCGTTGCTTTTATCCTTGACGGAAATGAAATAAGAGCATCTGAAGTACAATATCCATAACACAGTATAACAGGTTTCTCAATAAACGTCAATTAATGAAACTGCTATTTTTCAAGTTTAAAAATAAATAAATAAATAAATAAATAAATAATTTTTTAAAAAAAAAAAGGGGGGGGGGTTGTTTGGGGGGATTGGATAGGTAAATCTACTTCATGCGGGATTTTGAACAAAGTATTTGTTCCTGCATGCTGAACAAAGTATTTGTTCCTGCTATAAGCCGGTAGGCTGTCAATAGAGAACTACAATATATTTTCTGTCGGTAGTGGTATAAATTCAATTCCCTGCGCTTGCGCGGGATTTCATCTAGTTCTCTGGTATATTTAGGACATGCAAATATTTGTTTATGTTGGAAAATATATCTTTCGCACGAGATATTTAATCGCACGACTTGTTATGTTCGCACGAAATAATTATCTCGTTCGCACCACTTACCGGGTATTATGTCGTTCGCACCACTTATTATTAGGGATGGCAACGAATATTCGAACATTCGAATATTCATTCGATGAGTTGATATTCGAATATGAATTTAAGGTTCGAATATTCGGTGTTTTTCAGATTTCATAAAAAGAAGTACTGTGATTAATAAATTTTGATTAGAACAGTGCTGGAATTATTCCTGTTTAATTATGTTATTATCTCGTTCGCAAGACATATTCTGTCGTAGATAAGTATTTACTTTATTTATTTTTTTTTTTTTTTACATATTAATTTAATTGACCAAAGTCAAGGGTATTAAGAAGTAAGCTTCAGTGGATGTGGGAAAAGTAGGAAAATTCTATCGGAATAATATTTCGTGTGAACGGCAAGATATGTCTTGCGAACGACATAATATTTTCCAACATAAGTCTTGAGGGAAAAAATATTTGCATGTCCTAAATATACCACTGTAAGCGCATGTATGTCGGCTGGTCTTAAAAAAAATTTTAGTTGTATATTGAAAAAAATAACGTCATATTAAAAGGAGATGAGCCAATAAACGCGCGTTTATACTTAATTTTACAAAAAAAAAAAAAAAAAAAAAAAAAAAAAAAAAAAAAAAACATGTTCAGGACCGTAGCAACGGTTAAAAGTGGGGGGAGCCAACTACCCAAAAATCTGACGAAAAAGAAAAAAACCCTAATTCACTGTCCAAATCCTGTAATTTGCCAGTGCTCGATTTTACAGCAACAAAAGGGGGAGGGGGCAACAGACATACAAACTTGTCGCTTCCATTGTTATGGGTCGACCGCGTGGCGCAGTGGTTAGAGCGTTTGCTCTAGAGTCGCGCAGTAAGTAGTTGATCCTTACGTCGCAGGTTCGAATTCCACTGCGGGACGTGGAGATCGGTCCTTCAGATGAGACCGTATACAAACCGGGGTCCTGTGTCGCAGTAGGTGCTGGCACGAAAAAGATCCCTCACTACTCAATGGCCGTAAGTGCCGAGTATAGGTCAAAATTTGTAGCCCTCCACCGGCGAGTGGTTGCGTCTACATATGAGTGAAAAAATTCTCAAGACGGACGTTAAACAACAACCAGCAATCAATCAAATCCATTGTTATGACTCTGTTAACCTTGATATATTTACATTTGCTGTGTTTTTCTACTAAGCCAACTGTAAAATTGATTTTAAATGTCATTTTTGTGTATACTCACGCGTAGAAATATACACGATGAAACTCGCGCTAAAGTGACGTCAGAATGAGGCTACAAAGACGTTAATAAAAATGTAACGATATAGGACAGCAAGAAATTCAAATACTGAGTATATTATTGGTGCTTTTGAACTTGTAAAATGTAAATATAAGGAATGTTTTTAAGTTTAGTGTGAATTATTGGTGTGTAAATCACACAGACTTGTCACGTAGGCATATTTCATGAAGCGCGCTAACTCACACAAAACTTAAAAACATTCCTTAATTGACCTCGATTGATCTGTTGAATATTACGATTCAGATCACGTGGTGTCCAGCTGCGAGTGTAAACAAAACCTCGATTTAAGCGCGTTTGGTTGGTCTGCCTTTGACTTTTGCAGAATTTAGCAAATTAAATCTGTTGTTATATTTTTGCGTGTCCTCACAATCTTAAACAGAGAAATCTTTTAATTTGTTGAATGCACAACTAGAATTTTTAAGTATAATTTTTGTTCATTACGATTGTCTACTGCGAGAGCACCTGTGGAAAAAAATTATAGAACGAACAACTGTAACAAACCACCGTTCATATATAAGTACTTATATATAGGCATGATACTAGTACTCTAGAGCCCATATTTCCGGGGAGAAATCCTGTTTTGGAGATAGTTTTCCGAGGGAGAGATTTTTAAGTGGGAAAGCCTACTCTACAAGACCGATATTCTTTCAAAGATTTCTTACGCAGAATCTCTGTCTCTCTGTCTCTCTCTCTCTCTCGTATGCAAACTATTTATTTATTTATCTTGTACAGGAAGAAGCACAGGCAATGATTCGCGAGGCGGATCTCAATGGAGACGGCCTCGTGGACTATAAAGGTAAGATCCATCCCAGAGTTATCGATATTGAAAAAGTAACTTTTTAAAATCATTATTATTGTTTATAGTTTATGAAATTGCATTCTCTATTACATCTGTTCTCTTCTTTTATTTCAGAATTCAAAGCAATCCTGAATTTCCGATGATATAAAATAAATCTTACATATTTTCCTAAACCAGAAACAGTATAGTGGATATATATATATTTTAACAATTAAGCTGGGGAGTGCCTATGTCCTAAACGTAATTTTTTTTGTTGTAAACATGTAACCAAGCATATAACGTATCATATGATTCTTTTCTGTTATGATTCAAATCATTTCCTAGTTGATAATGGTTATCTTTTCGTCCTGAAATCATCATATATATCTTTGAAAAAGTGAATTTGAACTTTTCTAAAAATCTCTAGGGTGGCGGGGGGGGGGGGGGGGTATTGAGCTCACTTGGTTAAAACTTTTGCAGGTGGGACCACAAATACGGATAATTTACTTTGTCTTGTGTAGATCTGTTTGGCATGCACCTTTCTTAACTTAATCAAATGTAAACACGATTTACTTTTACTACTTTCCAATCTAAAACTGGAATTGATTACATATTAAGTATTAATAAATGAACTTGTGTATTCTAAATTGATATACAATGTATATAATTTTGAATATCAAACAACAATTTGGTTTCCCTACGTGACAGATCTCTTTTGCAAATTTTATACCTTAAGTGGGAAAGATTATATGACATAAGATGTGGGGGGGGGGGGGGGGTACTATGCATAACATTGTTCTACAGATGTATCAATCGGTGTATCTCAAGTCAAGTTCATGGCAGCCAAGGTTTTCCAATCTTTCCAGGTTCTACAAAAATCGTTAACTATTTACAAAATTTTACAATATTTTTTCAAGCGCTGGCTGTGGTATATGAATAAGTGACAGATTAGATCAAGTGGTTTGCAAACGGGATTTATGATGTGTATTAAATACAGGTGTATAATGCATTACGGACCTCTTGTGTAAAAAGATGTTCTGTATAATAATCTATGTTGTCACTTTTATCAATAAAGATTTTTAAATGATTTTGTTGAATATTTCCAGCACCGATAATTCATGGACTTTAAAGTTTTTTTTTCTTGGGAAAATAAAAGAACATGCAACAAATGCAGTGTGTTAAGCTACTTATTTATTTATTTATTTATTTTACATTTATCGTTACTTGTATACAAAATATGTTATTCTTTAATTAAGCAGGCCGTGAAACCTTAATTAGTGACAGACAAAATGATCGCTCTAATTAACTTTCTTTTAAACAAGAAGATATAAATATTGTTATTCGATTTTCTTATTAATTTTTCAAAGTAACCAGAAAATTTTAATTACTAGTGTCTTTCCGTAATATACAATTTTCAATTGTAATTTGTTAATGAATACATGACTTAATTATTGTCATGTTCAAGTTCAGTTTATTCGGTGTACTCATTAACAATCGAAAATTGTAAATTAGTGAAAGACACTGGTAATTAAAGTTGCTAGGTTTATAACTATACATGTAAATCTTTAGCTAATGTAAGAAAAAATACTTGGGCAATTATTATTCCCACAGACCGAATGTTATTAAATTCATGGAACTAATGTCAACTCAAAACGAAAGAATGCTGAAAAAACTATGTATGTTTATCTTAAAAAATTAATGATGCTGTCTGTCCTCCTTGATATATTTTCCCCTCTTTTATTTATTTATTTTTTCAATCTTCTGCCATGCCTTTTGTTTTGTATATGTACCTCTGACCAGTTTGTGTATAATGTATATATGTTATTAATATACCCCATGTACCAATATTTTGGTTTGGGTGAATAAACTAAACTTGAACTACATGTAATTTAATGCAGAAAAATACCCGGTGTACAAATTGGTGTTTTTTCCTTACAAACTGAAGTTTAATCTCATCAGAAAGGACAAATTAAAGGACATATGATACTCAAAAAATTATGTTATGGATTTTACAGGCTTTATTATTGCTAAAACATATATTCATTACGAAATTTCCTTACCAAGCCAGCATTATTTTTACATTTTCCTCAAATCTATACTTTTATGTCTAAATGTATATTGAAATTTAATCCAAAAACATGAAAAACAAGATGTGTTTGTGAAACACTGATGCCCCCGTATGGCAGCTTATGTCGAAGGTTAAAGTTTCTCAGATGCAAGTCAAAATCCAGGCCAAAAGATAAAAAATGTTGATACCCGCAGGGGTGTGCAATTAGCATCGCCCGACGCCCGGGACTACCATTTTTGAGGGTCGGGCTAGTAGTTTCCTGCACGGAGGTAGCCCCTTGGGCTAGTAAAAATTAAAACTACCGATGTAAGACATGAAAATCACTATCGGTCTTTTCACTCATTTTTTGCTATTAAATTCCCAACCAATGAAAAATTTCCAGGGAGCATGCTCCTATTGTTCATAAATCTCAATAATCTTATCCATTTTGCAGTACTTCCTGACTTATTTACTTCCAAAAACGATCGTTTTTTTTCTAATCCGAATTTCCTCTATTCCCCTGTTTATGGTAAATACTTGCAGATATCTCATTAAATTATTTACGATCACTCAATCAACTGAAAGATAAATGTTATGTGGTTTATATAAAATATATTTCCAGTGTATTTAATGATTTAAGATGAAAAAAAAAAGATTTTCACTTCATTTTACATGAACTAGTGCAATGCACAGAAAAAGGGAAGATAATTTATTTTAAATGCATTTTTATTTTCTATCTTAATTATTAATTTATACATGATTCAATTTTACTAGTGAGAATTGAACTTATTTCTTAAAAAGAATGACTTTAAAACCCTGACTTTTTCAACAATAAACTATTTTTTTCAATATATACCGCCCCCTTCCCACAATTGGGCTAGCAACTTTGTATTTGGGGCTAGTAACTTTATTGCTGTTACTAGCCCGTGGGCTAGTACTTATTTTTTTTAATTGCACACCCCTGTACCCAAAGAAAGATCTTGTCTCGAGAAAAACACCTGTGAAATTTGAAAGACCTAGATACAACTGTTCAAAAGTTATGGTGAAGGTTAAAGTTTTTTAAATAAAAGTCACACGTCAAGGTCAAGGTCAAAGTGGTTGGTATCCAAAGGAAGATCTTGTCACAAGGATTACATATGTGAAGTATGAAAGCCCTAGCACCAACCATTGAAAAGTAATGGCCAAGGTTAAAGTTTTACAAAAGTAGGTCAAAATCCTAGGTCAAGGTCAAAGGGTCAAAGTGGTTGGTATCCAAAGGAAGGTCTTGTCACAAGGATTACATATGTGAAGTATGAAAGCCCTAGCATCAACCATTCAAAAGTTATGGCCAAGGTTAAAGTTTTTCAAAAGTAGGTCAAACTCCTAGGTCAAGGTCAAAAGGTCAAAGTCGTTGGTATTCAAAGGAAGTTCTTGTCACAAGGATTACATATGTGAAGTATGAAAGCCCTAGCTCCAACCATTCAAAAGTTATGGCCAAGGTTAAAGTTTTTCAAAAGTAGGTCAAACTCCTAGGTCAAGGTCAAAAGGGTCAAAGTGGTTGATATCCAGAGGACGGTCTTGTCACAAGGAATACACATGTGAAGTTTGAAACCCTAAGCACCAACTGTTCAAAAGTTATGGCCAAGGTTAAAGTTTTTCAAAAGTAGGTCAAAGTCCAAGGTCAAAAGGTCAAAGTTGTTGGTATTTAAAAGAAGGCCTTGTCACAAAGAAAACACATGTGAAGTTTGAAACCCCAAGCTCCAACTGTTCAGAAGTTATGGCCAAGGTTAAAGTCTCATAAAATTTTGCAAAAGTGGGTCAAACTCCAAGGTCAAGGTCAAAAGGTCAAATATGATGGTACCCAAAGAAAGGTCTTGTCACAAGGAATACACATGTGAAATATGAAAGTCATAGCTCCAACCAATCAAAAGTTATGGGCAAGGTTAAAGTTGACAACAGACAGACAGACAAACAGACAAACAAACAGACAAACAGATAAACAGACAAACAGACAGACAGGACAAAAACAATATACCCCCCGGGATCTTTCGATCCGGGGGCATAAAAAATGGAAAACCCAAAAATAAATATAAATTTACCATAACGTTTTCATATAACAAATTAATTTGAATTTTAAAATGTTGAAAGACAAGAAGATATCATATTCAGTTTATTCTCTCAAAACCATGTAAATGGTTCATGTGGTACAAAAACAGAAGTGTCATTAGCTAGAGGGAGAATAGACCAATGTACACAGGTTTTATATGCCTCTGTAATCGAAGATTCGGAGGCATAAAGTTTTTGCCCTGTCTGTCTAGCTGTCTGTTTGGCCGCTAAAACTTTAACCTTGCCCATAACTTTTGATTGGTTAGAGCTATGGCTTCTTTCATATTTCACATGTGTATTCCTTTTGACTAGACCTTTCTTTGGGTACCATCATATTTGACCTTGAGGTTTGACCCAGTTTTGCAAAATTTTACCCAACTTTAATCTTGGCTATAACAGTTGGTGCTATGGCTTTTACACTTCACATTTGCAGTCCTTGTGACAAGACCTTCTTTTGGATATCAACAGATTTGACCCTTTGACCTTGACCTAGAAGTTTGCCCTACTCTTGAAAACCTTGGTCATAACTTTTGAACAGTTGGTGCTAGGGCTTTCATACTTCACAGGTGTATTTCTTGTGACAAGAGCTTTCTTTGGATACCAACAACTTTAACCCTGGTAATAACTTTTGAACGATTGGTGCTAGGGCTTTCATGCTTCACATGTAAAATCCTTATGAAAAGACCTCTATTTGGATACCAACAACTTTGACCCTTTGACCTTGACCTAGGAGTTTGACCTACCTTTGGAAAACTTTCACCTTGGCAATCACTTTTGAACAGTTGGTGCTTGGACTTTCATACTTCATATGTTTATTCCTTGTGACAAGACCTTTCTTTGGATACCAGCAACTTTGACCCTTTGACCTTGGAGTTTGACCTACTTTTGGAAAACTTTAACTTTGGCCATAACTTTTGAACGGTTGGTGCTAGGACTTTCATATTTCACATGTGTATTCCATGTGAGAAGGCCTTTCCTTGGACATCATCAATTTTGACAATTTGATCTTGACTTTGATGTTTGACTTACTTTGGAAAACATTAACCATTTCCATATCTTTTCAATGGTTGCTGCTAGGGCTTTCATATTTAACAGGTATATTCCTCGAGACAAGACCTTACTTTGGGTCACAACGTATTCGATTTGCATCTGAGAAAGTTTCGCTTTAAGTTGCCATACGGGGGCATCAGTATTTCACAAACACATCTTGTTTTTCAAGTATGTTGTTATCCCCCACCCCCACTTCAATACTACGTACGTGCATAGATTAATAAGTTCCAAATTATGCTTACTTTTACCATGCTAATTTCTCATTGTGTTTGGCTTCAGTATACTATCGGGTTCCGTAAATAGTGTACTTCTCAGATGGCGAAATCATCGCATTGACATCAAAAACAGCAATAATTGTACAAAGTATAATATATTCCTGTGTAATGTTGTCAAAGATATTAAACTCTTGTTCATTATCGCATTATCACAGATTCTAAAGTTTGAATAGTCCCACATGTTGTTTGATAGCTTACTTACAATAACAGGCTTTTGTTAATCAACCCACTGTGCGACTTTATTTCTCCATATCTAAATCTTTCCGAATCTCCTTGTAGATGGTATGAATTATGTAATTGACTTGCATCATTGACTTCCTGTGAACATTTAGCTCAGGTTTCAGTTTTTACTTAATTGTTGACTTGAAGAAAAATCATTTAGCTGCCGAATTCTCTTAGAAAGTAAAGTTGTTTCAAAAGAATAATTCAATAAAATGTTATACCGACAGTGGCTTTTGATATGTACTTTATTTTGCAAAATTATCTATTTTCGTGTTGTGATCACAGGGGAGTGAAGGGAGGGGGTCATGTTTGGTTAAGATTTTAAAAAAAAAAAGAAGAAAATTATTTAAGACATTCCATATACATGACATACATGTATTATTGACTCTAGTGGGTAAAGTTATTGTCTTTGAAAGTTCAGATGTCCAGCAATGTGGGGGTCATACCGAAGTCATCTGTAATGAATTATAACATCGTCATGGATTGGGACGGGATTATTTCCCCCACTAGGTCCTACGCCCAGCAGGAGGAGGCAGATGACAACAGATAAGGTGAACTGTGAGAAAAAGGCTTAAAATTGAAACCACATTGCAGATCTACACTCTCTCTCTCTTTCTCTTATTTCTCTCGTATTTCTGTGACTTCAGTTTTCAAACCATGCATACTTTTATCCTTGTCCAAACATTGCCGTTTGCTAGATTTTTTCTCCGCAGAATTCTATCGAACGCCAAATTAACATATATTCAAATATTTGAACCTATCTTCAAATCTTCAAATAATTGAACCTATCTCCAAATAAATTGAAGATAGGTACAATTAAATTAAAGATAGGTCTAAATGAATTAAAGATAGGTGTAAATAATTATACCTATCTCTAAATAATTGAACCTAGGTTTAAATAAATTACACCTATCTTTAATGGAATTACACCTATCTTCAATTCAATTAAAGATAGGTTCAACTGAATTATACCTATCTTCAATTCATTTAAAGATAGGTTCAATTGATTTAAAGATAGGTACAATTGAAACATACCCACAACGGATTTGAAGATAGGTACAATTCAATTATACCTAGGTTCAATTCGTTTTGTGGTATTGAAAATAATGGAAGCTCCCTCTAACGGCGTCTTGAACATGGAGGAAACCGCACAGAGCATTTTTATTGGGAGTAGTTGTTATTGTCAGTATCTTTATAATTAAAGATAGGTTCAATTCAATTGCACCTATCTTTAAATCAATTATACCTGTCTTTAATTCATGGCATTTGTACAAATTTGTACAAGTTCAAATCAATTGTCCCTATCTTCAAATAAATTGTACCTATCTTCTCAATGCAGACAGAGGGTGATTGACACAGATTAGACCAGTGTACTGAAGTCCTTAGCTTACTTGTTCTTCATCTCTCATCGGTTATATACATTTAACTATAATGGTCTAGAACATCTATAGATGACCATATTGTCCTTTGTCATAGACAATACACATGTCATTAATGAAAGTCACTGTTTCAGAAGCTTAAACATCAATTATTCTATGTTTCCATTGAGACAAAAACAAACAGGTGATGAATTTTTTTTTCTTGGTATTTTATTGAGATTTTCATTCCTTGAAGCAGTTATTAACTGTTCACCATATTTTATATTCACAACATAAATTACCCTGACACTGGATGACAAAGTTTCAACATAATACAGAGGAGATCTTTTAGTACAGAGTTTGTTTGTTAGTTTGTTTGTTTGTTTGTTTGTTTTTTTATATATAAAAATGAACACATATTTGTTTTTTTAAATATATCATAAATTGCTGGGGAAAAAATTTGTTCTATACACCTATGAAAAAAATAACTGAACTTCATAAATATAGTATTAAAATAACTTACAAATGCATGATGTAATATGCTAAAAACAATGAAGACCATCACCTTAACAAAGTAAAAGCAAGGGTGATGGTTAACTTTCAGTAAGTTGACCTACTAAGTGTAAGCTCATATTCATTCACAGCAGAACAAAAGAATCAAACAATAGATCACCATTCAATCATTCAAGACAAAAAAGCAACAAACACTACGATGCATCTCTGATGCAATAATACATAAATGCATGATAATTAAAGCATATTTAAAATACAATTCATTTGATTAAAATCAAATACATCTAAATACTTTCTTAATAAACTAATATCATAAACTATCAAGCTATGGCTTGATAACAGGAAGAAAAAAAGGAATGGTTTTTTGAAAAGGGGAGGAAATGTATATGTGAACACATGGAATAAATAAAGCTGCTCTGTGTTAATCCAAGGTATTGGACATTACATGAAATCATTTTAATTTGAAAGGATCACTGTTCATGGGCAAATAAATTTTACTGGTTCACAGGCACGTTAATTTAGTGGTTAACTTTTACATACAGAAGACTCAATCAATAGATAGGCTGACAGATATACAGAAGAATCATCAATCAATATACTGACAAAGTTATCTCTTGAGGGAACTTAATATAACCCCCAAAAAATTCCATGAACAGTGGTCCACCTCAAACAATGAGGATTTCACAGTAGTCCACAGTCTTTTGTTATTTTGTTCATGTTCTAATGTACAATCTGCTCAAACTTGTATAGTTTCTAGTCGAAAAAAAAAAAATCCTGTGGACATAAGAACAATTTGACAGCAGTGAACACTGGTGTATATTCCCAATATCGACTGTATCATAAAAATCTCTAAAAATCACTGCTGAACACAGATGTATATTTCCAATATTGACTGTATCATAAAAATCTCTAAAAATCAAAGACATGGAACTGGAGACACAAATAAATTGCATATATAAATGCTAGAAAAATAAACAATAAGTAAGATGTTTATGGACAACTTTAGCACACATCTACATTGTATCTCTCTGTAACAGATACTTCATTCTTGTCTTGTACACATCAGATTCTCAGGTAAATAACTGTATGAGGTAATTATAATGCCCTCTTGAATTTTACTGTGGGTCTTTTGTAATAATGACATTTTTATGCAATATTGACTGATAATTTGTAGAATAAATATTAAAGTACATATAACAAATGCATCATAAATGCAAATATTAAGTTTGCTTATTCTAGTATAGTACACAACCATGATGATTCAGAGCAAAATATTTTAAACATTATCTCATACTGTCTACACATTGAAAAAAGCAAAAATGCATGGATCTAGAGGCAACATCCATGACCCTAATGACATGGTAAGGCTGAATGGAGAAAACTTGATAAAACCCAGCCAAAGCATGATTTTGATGAGTATTCCCTATAAAGCAGTAAAATATTCCTATAGTGAATGCATAACAAAAATAAGAAAATAAGAACAACATCTACCTAACAATCTACAGGGTATATCTATATATATATCTATATAATATATATATATATATATATATATATATATATATATATATATATGGGGAAAAAATCTAATTTACTTCTTGTGTCATGACCTTATTTTAAGATCTGGCAGAATTGAGGAAACATGTCAAGTTTCTATCTCACATAATATATAATTATTCCTCTGTTTCACCAAGGCTAAACTGGAATAGGCGATCAACCACTACTTGCAAATGCAAACATACACATGATTTCTTAAATGTAAGTCTTGTGTGATTTTTTCATCAATAAATAATGATAAAATGCTGACATCAACTACAGTAAAATCATACAAGCAACACCCATACACATTTAAACACAACTCTGATAAAATCAACTTCCTCGTGGAATCACGACTCCTTCTCGGGAACAACACTGCACACTTTCTGTCCCAATATGGTAAGCTTGGCTGAAAGGAAAGGAATCACAATTAGGAACCAATACAGAAAACAAAATAAAACTGATGTACAGTGTTCTCCTGCCTTTATGTCTTCATTATACTGCCATCCCTACTTACTGCCAACAAAAATCCAAGTCCCAATTACCCCAATGTATAAAACCCTATTTTACAACCATTCCCCTGCCTATCTCCATCCATCAATGTATTTCTAGTACAAATCTGTCTTTATCAATTTTAAACCCCCCCCCCCCCCCCAATTAATTATTGCCAATTATGCTTTTTATTATTAAATATATTCTGTTTAAAAACATCCATAATGTTTCTTTGAGTTGTTATCCAAATCAACAACAGATTTGTTTTTCAATTAATAGATTCGCATTTTTTCAAAGTACATGTATTACCAGAAATAAATATTTTTAAGGAAGAAAGGTTATGAAAATTAACTCATTTTCAGTTTAACATACCAAAGAATTGTCTCCAGGACTTAGGTTTCTTTGTCCATTTGACAAAGATCACATAAACTGGTAACCCCACCAGAATCATGACTAGTGCCATCCCTGTTGATTCTGGTTCCACTGTCAGTGGGAGAACCAGTAAAAATAACACACATAAGAGGAAGAAAATGGGGATGATCAGTGGGAACTGAAATACAAAACACAAATGGTGAAAAACTGTCATAAACATCACTACCAAAATACCTATTACTTGTAAGAACTAGAATTTAAAACAGTTTTGCATTATAATGGCTTAGACATTTGGCATAACAAGGATCAATATAAACAATACAAGTCAATTAAGCATAAAAATCTTTGGTTTCATACAAAAATGTGGAAAGAATATTAATTTTTTAAAAAAGAAAAAAATTGCTATTGAGTTTCTCGTAATGTATATGAGTTAATTACTTTGATAGGCCTCTCCAACTCTGGCTTTGTCACCCTTAAGTAGATAAGGGCCAGAATGGACATTCCGACTGACCACCACTGGACAAAACTCATATAGTTGATGAGAATAAAAATGTCATCAGATATCAGGTAGACCAAGGACATTCCTCCCTAAAAATTGAAAGAAATCACTTACTTATTTTTTCAGTACATTTGTAATTGCAAATTTAAATGTACTGTAAATCAACTATTATTCACGTACGAGAAATATCCATGAGTTTCGCGACCTACTTTAACTCGCGAATATTGATCGCCACAAACCATTTATTTTGCTTTGTATTGGTAGAGAATGTTTCCTCAGCCGCGAAAATTAAACGTCGCGGACTGATTGCAAACTGACGAATCGCGAATAAAAGATGACTCGAATAATAGTTGGTTTACAGTATTATCTAATGCTGATTAGGCTGTGAGAATGAAGAAAATGACTTACTGTGAACAACATAGCTGGGAGGGGAGTGTATTTCTTGGTATGAATCATGGAGAAAAATTCTGGAAGATGTCCTTCTCTGGCTCCAACAAAAAACAATCTGAAAACATGCACAAATGTAACTTAATTCGTAGGTGACAAAAAAGGTAAATAAAGTAACAAAGGTTAGGAGTAAAATATATGGTCAATTAACAGAAACCATGCTTTTGGCATGGGAATGCATAAAATAATAAAAAAAGTGGCGCTGTAAAATGAAGGTTTTTGCAATGCTTGCATCTGTAGCTCTCTGGTTTCTCTGTCCGAATTTTCTCAACCAGAGAGTCGTAGTTCTGCAGCTAGGCCAGTCTGTGTATAGTTTGATTATCAAGTACAGGATTCTTGGGATATTGATTTGAAATTTGATGAGGGTCAAGCTAAAATCAAGTGACCTTTGACCTTTTGATCTGACAATTAAGAGAAGTAGCCATTTTTTCATGGTCAACTGATATTCAAAGCTTGAAGAACACGTGAAAAGAGTAGTCAGAGTAGTCGTGTCAGAATTTGATGCAAATATAGCAGACAACCACATGACCCTTGAATACTTCACTAAAACTCAACCCTTATACAAGGTTTCATGATTATCAATGTTTCTCAAGATATTGGAAACTTTTAATCTCTGGCAGACAGACAGGTGTAAATTTATGCACTTTGTTCAAAGGAGGGCATAATGTAGTCCATCTTTTAAACTTTGATATCAATACAAGAAGTAACCCTCAGATGCAAAGCAAATGTAGGCCAATGGGAGAGCATGCTGGAGTAGGTCATAATATTTTTTTCAATAAACATATGTGAATTAATACAAACCTTCCAGAAGTGAAGAGCAGGCCATTGACACCTCCAAATGTGGAGAGAGATACAAACACGGGTACAATCCAGTTCATAACTCCAAACACCTTATCACCAAAGGTCTAGAGAGAAAAAAATCAACAAATTTCAAACAGTTTTCAATGAAACCACAAATACAAGTGTATATGGTGTCATTTTGTTTTGTTTGTTTGGTTGGTTGTTTTTTTTTTTTTTGTTTTTTTTTTTTGCATTACACAAACAAGCATTTTACTATTAATTTCCAGAATTAATGAAACAGAATATGACTAATCTGGCACATATGTATAAACATAATTAATCTGTTAACCATCAAAATGAATGCCCTTTGATTATTTTTTTTTTTTATACATCAAAGAGTAGATGATTAATTAAATAGTCTTACGACAGCCACTGCCTCCGATGCCAGCATTTCTGATGGGGAGATGATAGTTAAATAAGCAACATTGGCAAACACATAAACAAGAGTGACAATAGGAATGGAGATGTAGATGGCTCGCGGCAGGTTCCTAAAGACAGATATTTATCAACAATTTAGTATAAGTACTTAGAAACTCTTTATATCAATGCCAAAATTTAGAGAATTTCTGAGTGCAAAAAACTTGCTTTCAAACTTACTTGAAAGGATCAATCATTTCTTCTGTAACAAAGTTCAAAAAGTTCCTGGAAAAAAAAAAGTTTACATGAGGTACAAAAAAAGAAAGTATTTACAAAGCATTATAAATTTAAAATTGGTCAGAGTATGGAAAATAATACATATATAAATGTTTGTAAAATACTGCAGCACATTGTAAGAAGAACAGAATACAGAAAAAAATCTCTCTCTAAATCTGGACTATGAAATTTACATTTCCAATCCAGACAATGAATTATTATTTTTTTCATACATATACTGTTTTAAAGTTTAAAATATAGACTGTGACAAAATCTTACATTGTATAATATGTGAAAATAAATACATGAAGTCCAACAGAAAAGACAAAATATTCCTCTTCTAACTCACCATCCAGCATAAGCAAACAAGCCAGAATAGAAGGCCAGAGATATCTGTCCAACATCTGTATTTGTATTCTGAAATGCATCTTGGAAATATTCCACTTCCCCTGTAAAATTGAATAATTTTTAGATTTTAATTAAAGAACTGTGTCAAAGTCTTTAAATATACATTTTTAAAAATGTTCAAACCTCTTTGGGTATTTGTAAATAGTTGTAGAAAGTAATATTTAATGATGCAAAGATCATTAAAAATACATTAATATTCAATATAAATCTTATTGCTTCCCTTCATGAATTTTAACTAAAAGTCAACATCTTTTATAGTCTTTGGAGTAGACATTAATACATGTAAAGCAATTTTTTGTAACTCAACATAATACACAGCAATGGTTATAAAATCAAGATGTTTCCTTCTGAAAGCCAGAAGATTTTCTCTTTTTGAATACCAGATAATTGTATTTGAATAAATCAAATCTATAGGCTAAAATTCAAAAATGGAAATTCTTCTACTCCAAATCAGATGAAGACATTAAATGCTTATATTAACCTTGTCCAATGAGAACGAAGCCTGTGATGGTGATGATGATGAGGGCGAGGATTTTAGCGATGGTGAAGAGATCTTGGATTCTTGTTGCTGCTCTCACACTGATCAAGTTCACAAAGGTCAATATACCTAAGTGCATAAAGGTCAACAATTCATAAATTTTTACAACTATATGAGGGATACAGATGTTTTTAATTACCTACAAGAACAAATATACAGTAAATAAACAGTTTATATGCAGATGATAAAATGAACTGTTTTTGTAACCAAACTCTGACAAGCTTAAACAATGTTCTGTCTATATATAATGTGAACATCCTGATTATTATGCACACAGTGCAAAAATGTCTTGATGTTGAAAAAAGTACACATCAAAGTAAAGTGCATTCTGCATACAGTCTGTCTTATATATTAAACACAGATACATGTTTGTATTGTTATAAGAGATCTTACTGATGCACAGCGCAGCAAACAGCTTCTTAGCCATGACTGGAGACTCGCAGTAAGGGAAAATAGGTTGAAGGACATAGTTGGCAAATGTGAGGGCAACAACAGCTTGAGCAGTGGGACGGATTATAATTAAGTTACCCTGGAAGAAGATTAATTATTTTTTTATTATATACAGACTAGTGTCTTCAGACTTCATTTCCATTCATATTCCATAAATCAAAATAAGATTCACAAACTATGCATAGTTTTCTACTCTTGTGGCAAATTATATATACAGATTTACATGTATAAGCTAACTTATTTCCTTCAATGATTAAATTAATATGCAATCTTTGTTTTCTTCCAAATTCGATAAAATTCAGAAAGCATAAATAAAGTGTGTCTAATGCTTAGATATCAAAAACTATTATGATTTCAACATTATGATCACTAGGCTGCAGAAGATAGCTGCACGAGAAGGAAACAGTATTACAATAGTTTGTCTGTGTACATACATTTTACATTAGTATTGTGTTCTACCATTTTGAATCCGATTTGGAATAGTAGATTTTCATTACAAATTTCAGATTTGATTTGATCAGGAGGCATAAAATTAAGAAATTCATACCCACAGCTGAAGAAAGGCCATACATGGACCAAACGCCTCGAGGATGTAGATATAGTCACCACCTGATCGAGTGATGGTGGTCCCCAATTCAGCATAACATACCGCTCCAACTAATGACAAGAAACCACACCCTGTCCATACCACCAGGGACAAGCCCACCTGTAATTAGGTAAGATATTGATTGTTAGTATGTCATAAATAATTTTAAAAAAAAACACTTCAAGTCAACACACTGTGGGAGAATTTGTAAAGAAACATAAATAAAGCTCAACTGTTTAATTGTCTAAAAACAATCTATTCTCAAAAGGAAAAACTTAATTATTTACTCGGATGGTGTTCCTGCAATATTAAAATGTAAAAGTAGTTTTGCAGCTTCGTTTTTATAACAGGATTTATAAGGTAAAATATAAAAAACACACATAACACTGATTCGGTTAAAACATGGATGGATCAGATATCTTTTATTTTTAGTACTATGATTGAATTACCCGATACAAGACCCCCTGTCTTCCATCTTTGTAAGAACCCTGGATGCTTACAGAAGTAAAGGTGGTACTCAGAGGACAAGCCTAGTCTGTTACGACTTGTTACCAAAAGGGGCTAATAATATCCTCAATGAGCAAAGACAATCTCTCACCAAAACCATAATGCTAACACTATTGAAATATGTCTATGAACTATAAATGTACTCGGCTTGATTCATTTAAAATAAAAGCCACTTATCATGCCTTTAAAAAAAAAGGTAATTATTTATTTGAATAAATATGCTGGTTCTACATGTGTGGTATTCTGCTCAGATAGTCAATTTGAATTATAGTTACTAAGCATTATAATCATGTGACTATTTACAGAAATATTGTTAATAATCCTGTGTGGTCACAAGACATATTCTCTAAATTTATTGCCAATAAATTACATATTATGTTCTTAAAATTCAAATTCAACCAGTCAATTAGTATTAATAAAGAGAAAAAGAAACAATATAGCACCACAATATGTAAATTTACAAATAGTTATCATTTCTTATACATTACAGGTATTTTCTATCAATTAATTATCATTTAATTCATATTTTATTGAACATTAAAATGACATTTAAACCCAAATGAGTCTTTTTAAATAAATGTCATGCATTATCTCATATCACAGTCTGTAAATGTTCTGATAATCATGCCTGATTCTGGGGCTAAGTGACCTATAAAAGCTATGACCTTTTGTGAAAACATGGAAATGTTCTTTGGTGTTATGACAGCACGATGTCAAATTGCATTAGTTGTCAAATCAAAACAGCTAAAATTTAAAGCATTGCTTAAGTTTGCAGGCATGTCATTTTCTCAAGATTGTCAAGTTTTGACAGAAAACCCATGGATATAAACATGACAGTATTTTCTTGTATTTTCTTGAATCATACGGTCAAAAATAAAATAATAAATAAAAACTGGAAGAAACTGAAGATCTTCAAAATTCATATAACCTCAAATACATGGTAGAAATATGTGAAACTGAAGATCCTCAAAGCTTGTACAAAACCTTGAAACATGGGTGAAAATAAATGTATTTATTTGAATAACGAGGCAACTTTCATCTACCAAAGAAAGCTCATGGATGAGTTTTTCTTGAGGTTTTCATGTCATAATCATTTGGATATTGATCTTCTCAATTTCATCATGGACATTTGATCTAAAAACAATCTTGAAGTTTATTTAACCACATTCAGAAGGGCCACCATTCTAAAACATTTCTCATACTATTTTCCCCAACACTTCATTTGGCATTCAATTCTGAAAACGTCTTGTTTGTCTAGAACATGAGACTGTTCAAGCCCTTTGCATTTACATTAGTTTCTGTAAACATGCAAATGACATAGATGTAAGTCGAGATCAATGGCATGTACAACGAGTGGGGACAGAACCTATTACGCATTACGGACATTGGCCCCGAATTGGACGGTCCTATCCAGTCGTGATTAATTGTAGCAGTGGAAAATCTCAGCAGATACAAGATGCCAGGTCTAGAAATTTGAATATATTGCATTCCTTCACCTGCAGAGGTGGCAAAACCAGTTAATAAAAAACTGTCATGCAGAGATTGTCCTATATGCAATGATGACCCTTTGTACTTTTAATTTGTGTATTTTTAACTAATAGGTGTCTGAGAAATGGATATGGAATACAGAATGAACTGAATGTAGGACAAATATTCTATGGGTTTAGCTATTAACATTGTAAACTTTGATGTTATAATGTAAGAGAAGTTGAGGAGGAAGATATTGTGATGGATCTGAAAAATGTACCTGAATAACAACAATGTACCTGAACTTTCTTATAGAAAGTGCATGTATCAAAGTGGTCTGAGGCCAGGTATTGCCTTTATTTTTATTATACTGCTATACTATCAAAACACTTGAGATAATACGTACCATATGAACATTTATAAAGAAAAGTTATTTTAGCGATCGTATGTCTTTTTTTGTGATACCCTTACTGGACATATCTATGTTTTTGGACACTGCTGTGTGTGTCATTAATTGATCAAAACATTTATAATAATCACACATCTAGTTTTTTTATGCTGTGTATAAATATGATTGCTGTAGGGCACACTGTTTGAAAACAAACTGTCCGAATACTGGAGCATGTCAGTATAAATTTTTCAGTCCAAATTGTTGGCATTTACGTTATATTAATCCACAACTTATTATAATCCCTGCTAATCCATAACCTTTATTAGTAAATACAGTCTTTTACAACTACATAAAATCACAGTTTCACCAATTAATCAGGATTTATCATAGGATAGAATACTGAACATTTTATATTCACTAGCTGTAGTAAACATTTTGATAGGATGTAATAAACATTTACATTACCTACAAAGACAAAATCAATAATTATTTGATGGAACGATGCAAAAGATAAAAGCAAATCAATACGAATTCTAATGCAATTATTCAATACGACCAAGACACAACATTGAGTGCTTCAACTCCTAATGCCCAAAACAGAAATTGGGGATTGTCTGATTCAATAAAGAATCACAATCACCTATTGAAATTAATGGGTTTTTCTTTATAAAGTCTTTTATTAAAATGGTATGCAAGTGAAATATGAGCCAAAATGATAGGTTTTCAAAAACTTGACCAGAAAATTATATTAGGATGACACTAAAATTGATAGTGATAGTTTTTCAAGTTACATTGTTGATCTGTTTAAAGTTCATTCATATGTGAACTTTCTGTATGCCTGGGTGGTCAGTCCCAGCTGCAGCTGACAGGTAAAGTATAATGTGTGAAATCATGTAGCCCCTACTTAGTTATTATAACAAAAGTTCACTGGCAAGACATTGCCTTATCCCTGGGGCTTATATTATTCTGGGGTGAAGTTAGGTACAGGAAACTCAAGATAAGAAGCAGATTACTAAAATATGGTATTATAATAAGAAAGACGGACAAGGTTTATCCTAGAAACAGACTTTCCTTTGTTAAATCTGCCTTTTTTTGTTCACCAGTAATGCCTGACACAACACCTCTGAAGAGGAAAACAAACAAAACTGCCCTTAGGTGCCGATATTAAACAGACCTCATTGACAGTGTTCAAAGCATTCTTTGGAATGGGGTAAAACCTGACAAAAGCTATATACACCTTCAAGGGCAAGGTATAAGAAACCTATTAAACACAAGAAGTGTATGCAAGTCACATGAAAACTGCACAGCAATGTTTATAAATATAAATTTGTGTACAAGGTAACTTTAAATTACATTAGGCAAACAAAATGTGACACCAGAGACATTAATAAATTATTTATGTCTTTGGTGACATTAATAATCACATATAAATTAAGAAATGAAATCAGTTTAAATATTTCTCTATCTAATGCCATATGGTCCCTACAATGAAATATGCATTGTACGTGTTAATTCAGGGCGGAAACATACATCAACTATAACACCGTATAATTCAATCATGTGAAACGATCGATCTCAAAAAGATAATAAAGAATAAAACCATCTTTTGAACACATCTTTCTGTCTCTCATAGCTTCACTGCCTTTAAAATTTACTTACTTAAAAACCAAACATATCATAAATGTTTGCACACGTGCTGACGATGCGCAAAGTGAAACTTACCGACCCTGCGCTTTCCAAAACACCTTTTGGAGTCACAAAAATTCCTGATCCCACGATTGAACCAACAATAATTGCGACACCATTGAAAAGGGTGATCCTTCTCTTGAGTTGTACTCCATCGTCAGAATCTCTCTCTATTGATACACTATCCTCTTTCGCCATCTCTCCACACAACCGGAGCACTCACGCTTCTGAACAGAGCCTCCTTGCCACCGGATGTAAATAACAAGGACGAAACCACTATTTAAAAAAGGGGTGTTCTTAAATATCGACTCGTAATAAATGTAAACATTTTGTTACATATAACGAATTTGTTGTAACATTTGTATCAGAAAATAAATGAATAAATAAATATAGCCAAAATTAAGATCAAATTTGTCAAGATTAATATCAAATAGATGACCACCGAAATGAACACCCCTTAAATCGGCCTACAGATTGCATCACCTAGTGTTGCATCATTTTTGTGCCTTTCTTGGAGAAAAAAAAATGAGGAAACCGTTATTAGGGATTAGCAACCAATCAAATTCTGACATATCTATGAATGCCATGTAATTTATTTTTTTTAAAATAGGGATATTCTGCAGTGATTTTGCAGATTTATTTCTTTCAATCATTTATATATAAGTTATACATTTACTCAGTAATAATTAGATCAATGTATATACACTGTATACCGTTTTTTCAACTGAATCAGTTAATAGAAAGGCAACATTTAGTTTAATTCAATTTGTATTTTAAAAAAAATCAGATACTAAAAGGACTTTATTCTGTCAGGCCTAGGGACTTTCCCAAACAAAAGAAAATTATCACCAAAACTATTGATTTTTCAAAATGAAAGGAATCGGGAGCACGGTGAGATGTGCCTCCCCCCCTCCCCCCCCTCCCTCCAGTAATGCTTACTATAGCTAATAGAGCTTATTTTCCGGGTTGTTGTTGTTGTTGTTTTATTTTTATTTATTTATTTTTTTTTTTTTGTTTTTTAACATATTTTATTGTGTAAGTAATGCAAAGGAATTGGGTAAAAGTTCCAACAACTTAGAAAAAAACCTTTCCCTGTAATGATTATAATGACTGTTGAGCAAAGTAATTACAGTTTGTGATGAATATGTGAATTTTTTTTTAGTACATGTTGTATATACAAAGTATAATTTCAAGTGCAGTTGTGCCCGCTCAATAATTTTACGAGTATATATACTAATACTCTGCATTAGAAAAGTATAGCGGTTGTGTCCCTCAAAAAATGTCTTCTTTTTTTAAGGTTGTGCCCCCCCCCCTCCAAAACTGAAATTGCTTTCTATGCGCCTGATTAAAGTCATCCAAACTCTCGATTATTTCTTAATGTATGAAGTAATCAAATAAGATTAGTATGACTTACATATGGTAAGTCGTCTTCTTCATCCTCCCCTTTACTTCTAATCAGATAATTATCTTTGATAATAACAAGTGTTTTGTTCGATTCATTTTTAAAGAGAACAAAAATAAATAAATAAATAAATAAATAAATAAATAAATAAATAAATAAATAAATAAATAAATAAATAAATATGCTCTGTCTCCCGTAGAAAATTTGAAAAACAAAAATCAGTCATGACGAGGATCGAGGCCTTTATTTAACGCACATTCGTTAATGCAACATGAAATGAAAAATCAATCTTTTTGTATTCTGACCTGAATTTTGTCCACATATGATATTCCGGTAACTTCGCTCTGATAATTTATAATTGCTTACCACAGGTTAGTTATTAAAAACTCTCATGCTCCAGTTTGTGCAACTGAGGCGAAACTAGCCTATCAATCAGTCTGTATACATGTATATTATGAAATAATTCAGTTGTAGAAAATATCATAGTTAAAATAATCTTTGATGCATGTAAAGAAATAAGATACAACCTTATCAAGTTTAAGGATTTTTGATCCTTGTAACATCGTCCTCTGGCGAGGATCGAGTTCTATTCTTCATCCGGAGAACAAGACTCACTAGGGGCCTTATTTTCATCCTGTAAACTTCTTAAAAATTAAAACTTCCAATTTCAGTGGACAACAGGTTCTCGTGGTGACTATTGAAATTACATATCAACGTATATAGGTGAATTAAATTATATATATATATATATATATATATATATATATATATATATATATATATATATATATATATATATATATATATATATATATATATATATATATATATATATAGTGAAAAACTGTGATTTATTTATTGAATGAAAGTGATATTCTCTCACAGTGTGAAAGGATATCAAAGTAAGTAAAAAATAATTTCTGGCCTGTCATAAGATAGAGCTAGTAACTAACCATCTTGATAGAGCTAAACGGCAAATTTCTTCCCAAATATGTTGCTAAAATCCATGCTATGTAATGTTTTCAATCTCACAACTGCTAAGCTATAACGTCTCAACCGCTCAACTATGACGTCAAGCCTATCACACTGTGTTAAGAAAAGACAGAGGCAAAGGGAAAATCAAAGAAAATGTAATAAACAGAAAATTCAATGTTTTGTAGATGAATATGGAATTTATTTCACTCGTGAGACAGGATTTTTTTTCATATTTTCACTCGTGCTTCGCACTCGATAAAATATAAAAAAAATCCTGTCCCACTCGAGAAATAAATTCCATATTCATCTACAGTGAAAACATTGAATATCCTCTCTCTCTCTCTCTCTCTCTCTCTCTCTCTCTCTCTATTGGATAGTACAACTTATAGGATGTTCTCATCAAAGATAAGGAAGGCGGGCATATTTGGTTCAGATTAACAGAAAACTTTAATTTTCGGAGTATACCTACATGTAGCATTCGTAAGTATGACGTATGACGTACGTGCAACCATTATTTGTTGAAGTAAGCTCCCTCCTTTCGTGTTTTCCAAAGTCAAATGACCTTAATATATCCACTGTATAGATTTACAGGGAAAAATTACTTGAAATTTTTATTATTTTCTGTAAACGTTTGTTTCTGTTTGTAGATATTTAATTAATTTGTTTTTATTTAAGTTAGTATATGTTTTTATATGTTATTTATTTACCTATACCAAACAAGAAAAAAAAACACAAAAAGAAGTTATGATTTATTCATTTAATTTAAATTATAAATGATATCTTGTAAAATAATTTATTTTGTATACTCGACATAACGAAGGAAAAACATAGACGTGTCAAGTGAAATAACACAGCTGGCGTTTAAATTCTTTAAATTGTCACGAGTCTTATATTCAGTTACGATGGATTGCTGTTTCAGATGTGTACATAACATGTATTTTTATGAGCCTGTCACTAAATATACACCAACAAAAACCACATCCCCACTGTTTCTAATACCCCCCAAACCCAGTCCCCTGAGGATATCCAAATAGCACAGTAGGGTTACTCGACCACGTGGCTGACTGTGAATTGTCTTGGAGACACAGTTAAACCGTGTATTGTCAAAGTGTTCTATTCTTAATCTTTTCCTGTTTAAAAGTCGTGTTAATCACTGATCTTCTCGGTTAAACAGACATTTTCACGCACTTAACACATGTCGTTGCATCATTTTCCAACCAAAACATTGAAGCCAAAGAGACTGCGGTTCACTTGCTCTTTTCCAAAAGGAAAACACAACTTTTCTTTGATCACGAAGTTTATTGTCGTCATTGATAACAAAGATATCCGCCCCCAGTTCTATGCCTTTTTTCTATGCCTCTTTTCTGGTGAGCCAAAATTACAGTAAATAACCCACAGCCCTCACAGAAATGATAACGCAACAAAGACGGTCTGTGGGGTGGGGACGTTGTTAGGGGCGGATATAAAGGGGACCATAGAGTGCACTCACAATGCTTAATTACAGGTGTTTTGCTTTGTCAAAAATACTATAACCATTCTAAATGCTAATAATCATGACCATGCTCTACGATGAATTATTTTTAAGCATTATTAAAAGAAAGAACAAATACAAAAATGAATTCGATCCATAAAGTTTAACAACGATAAATGTGTGTTGGGGTGGGGGTTTCAACCCCCCCCCCCAAAAAAAAATAACAAGCACTAAAAAGCTGTATCTAAACGATAGAGATATATTATTTTCAACAAATAAAATATTTTTCTTTTATTTCATTTGATTTTTTCAGTTTATTTGCTATGTTTATTTGTCTATTTTTGTTATTGTGTTTCATTCAGATTTCATAAGTATATAAGATGTATAACTCTTGTGCACTTCATCTGTTTTGTTATGAATTTGCGATTTAATGGTACCAGTTCGTATCGAAGAATGAAAAAAAGAAGCTTGTAATACATACTGGCATCGAATTTGATCTCTTATCTTATGAATACTTAAATATTACCGGTTCAATGCGGTGAAAGGGAGTTGGCATGGTGTGTTAACTTTTATACTCTGTTCCCGCTCTATAGATAAAAATAAATATAAAATTGAAAAGGTATTAAATTGCTCGCCAGCAAAGGAAAATATTTCATACTTGTGCGGAGCATGCAAATACCTATATATCCTGGTAGGAATTAATCAAAGGGTTCAAGAATATCTATAACAACCACATATTGAACTTGATAACATAAGATTTTGGGTGATGAGGATTTTTATGATTATTTATCAAACATAAATTATATTTTAAATATTTATTTTTAAAAATATAATAAAAAGTTCATGTTCCTTAAGGGTGCTTTCTCAATAATAATGGGCTGAAAATATATCAAAACCGATATTTCTCAGTTCTGTAATGTTTTCATATTAACATCAAGGAAAATGAAGACACTAACTTTAAAGTTAAATTCAAGAGGCTAAACAAAGACCCCTGTACTAATTTACCATGCATATGCTACTCATATATAGTATACTACTATGAAGCTCAGAATATTTTATGCCAAAAATTCTTAAGGAAGCTCAAACACTGTTTACTGAAGAGTTCTAATTACCTGGTAGTTTTATGCAGTTAGAGTGATATGTGTTATCTGTGGAAATCCACAGTAATTCACACAATTTGAAATAGATTTAAGTATTCTTAACATTATATTAGACCAAGATAAAGTAATTAAAAATATTATACATGTATTTTCCTGATGTCAGTAAACAAATTAATTTCTGTTCACTTGTACTTCATTGTCTTTGAACATTTTTCCTGGAGAAATATAGCAGATACCCTATATTGAAAATGAACTAGATAAACTCAGTATGTCACTTTCATATGATAAACTTTTCTCAAAGTCCAAAAAACATTTTTCATTAGTGTTTAAAGCTTCCTTAAGTCATTTTCACTACGGATATTGTCATTTTATTTTTCCAAGAAATTCTTAAAATCATTCTTCCCTTTCTGATCCTTACGTCGCGGGTTCGAATCCCACTGCGGGACGTGGAGACCGGTCCTTCGGATCAGACCGTATAAATCGAGGTCCCATGTCGCAGTAGGTGCTAGCACGAAAAAGATCCCTCACTGTTCAATGGCCCTAATTGCCGAGTATAGGTCAAAATCTGTAGCCCTCCACCGGCAAGTGGTGGCGTCTCCATATGAGTGAAAAGTTCTCGAGAGGGACGTTAAACAACAATCAATCAATCTTCACTTTCCGAGGTAAATCTTTAGTAGGTTACTGACTTGAGAATTTTTGTGGGTATCGGCAGACCTGTATTGTTGAGACAGGTGATTAAGGAAATCATTTCTCCCATGATTTTTATAACATGTGTTACATTAAAGTTTTGCAATTTAAGAAATTCAAAACTATCTATAAAAAAACCCAGTGTGAAACATGTACTAGAAAAGTAAAATCCATGTAATATTGCTTTTGCAAGAAACAATTAAATGATGCGTTTCATAAATTCATCAATTTCATTTCTAAAACATATTTTAAATACACATGTATGCTCATTTTAATATCATAACAGTTTTCCTTTATTTGTATGCACGTATAATTTATGGGAATTAGGGTGGGGGGCGAGCCCTCCACGCCCCCTTTAAATCCGCCAGTGTTATTAGTCATATGTATCATTAATCAGTTAATTGTTAAGTGCGAAATAAAATGAAATAATGAAACGGTACAAACGATGATTTTTTTTTTTTGAATTACTTGAAAGTACAACTAAAAATACGAAGATTTATATGGTAAGAACGTACTGAGTGACGCAACCGTGGTAATTCCACGAAAATATTGTAAAATTTGCCGCCAATATTCACGAGCTGAGAACATTATCCATCCAATGAGCGTGAGGTGAGTAAGCACGTGACTATTTACTTCCACAAAACCGGAAGCATGCTGTCGTCGTAGTATTTGACAACATCCCTGCGATAGTGAATGGAAGTGGTGTTGTTCTGAAAATTGTTTCAATCTGTACAACGAAAACAGGACACTTTTAACTGATCTGTGAAACATTAGTCTTCTAATTGAATTGGTTTTGAAATTTTCACTCGGTAACAATTTTAACTCCTTCAGTGTGCAGATCCACGTGTTTACTGGACAAGATATAAACCATGTCAGGAAACGGTACCGTAAAAGTCCATCCAGACGACAAAGAAGTGGAAATAGAAGAAGATAGCGCAGTTAAACTAAAGAAAGAACTTCACCTACACAATGGTGTTGCCATTATCGTGGGGGTTATTGTGGGGAGCGGGATTTTTATTTCCCCGAAAGGCGTACTTATGGAGTCTGGGAGTGTCGGGATGTCCCTCATTGTGTGGGTGCTCTGTGGGGTCATCTCACTTATAGGGGCTATGTGTTATGCTGAGTTAGGGACAATGATTCTAAAATCTGGGGCTGACTATGCTTACATTATGGAATCTTTTGGTCACTTTCCAGCTTTCTTGTATCTGTGGGTTGCTATCATGATCATCATTCCTACGGGAAATGCCATCACAGCGCAGACTTTTGCATATTATGTACTAGAACCTTTGTTCCCTGATTGTGAGGCACCTGGAGAAGCAGTCAGTTTATTAGCAGCTGTCTGTATTAGTAAGTAGCTACCATGCTGGATTTGATGATGCAATGTTTAAAAAGACCACTGGATGGATGATGCAATAACATGTAGTAGTGGATACCATACCATTCTTCAATTTCCAATGAAATAGATACTTTAGGATAGAATAAAAAGCTAAAACATTTCATTTTCACATTGATTTACATTAACAAATTTAAAAAAAATAGAAACTATTTTAATATGTAGTTTTTTTAAAACATGACAAGTTTGCAATATATTTAGGCTGAGAATAATAGTGCATCACTTGTTTTTTGTGTTTCAGCACTTTTAACATTCGTAAATGCCTGGAATGTCAAAATGGCAGCACGAGTGCAAGATGTATTCACTGTAACCAAAGTCCTTGCATTAGTCATTATTATCATCGTTGGAATGATCTATCTAGTCATTGGTAAGTTTACAGCACTTTCAATGAGCATCAAATATGCATATATAGTACATACTTCCAGGGACCTATATACTAACGGGATAGGCAACTCTCGCAAGTCTCGCGATAGCTCTAGGTTGCGGGATTTCGTTAGTCACTTTTAATTAAATATATTTCTTTTGCTATCAAATATTTCAGAATAAAATCTTAATTTATCTATCAAAAAATTATTCAAGGTTTGTTATTAGTTTTTATTCCTTATCTTAATAGTAGTAATTACGTGTATTTAAAAATCAGTACATGCCCCTGATCGGCCGTATTTCTGAGAAATCGCTGATTTTGGTAGTTGTTTACTTAATATCTAATTTATTTTATAATATGTGCTTTAAAATTTATTAAATATCCATTCTGATACACAAAAATAACAGATTACATTAATCAGAAACAAGCTTTTTACTGCCAGTGGGAAAAAACGTAGTTTGAGAAACTTGCAATGTTGTTTGACGCCGTTTTGGGTAAATAAACATGGCGCTGAAGGAGTTGCCTATCCCGTTAGTATATAGGTCCCTGATATTTCTTAGTAATTGTGCAGTTTACTTTATTAAGGCTAATTAAACAGAGTCATTTATGTATTCTGATTTAAAATTTCTATTAAATGATCATTTAACTTGTTCTGTTATCCCCATGCCGCGAGATCTTTTTCATTCATATGAATTATAGAATGCAATGCTAATAACAAATGCATATTTTATCATTTAATGCAATATAGTATATGAAATAGGGATAGAAATAATTGCCTACTTGCAATAAGTTGTAGTTTTAATAAGCTAGCTGTCGAGTCAGTTCTAAGACACCTTAGTTGAAGTTTGTAAGAATTTGGAACCTCTGTCAACTTGCAGTCATATTTCTTAATTTTGAGAAACCCTCAGTAAGAAGTAGGAGTGAATGCTTTAATTGAAATATTATCTTGTAGAGAAACATCTAAAATTAGTTAATGTTTTGATTATTTTCTTCAGAATGGAATATTAATTCAGTTTTATTATTAATAAAATGATTTAAAAAAAAAGGTGTTACAGAGGGATTTAGGGAATTTATAGATTTAAAATTAAATATCAAAATTTACATTGCTATATCACTTTACTAGGAACATTATTTATATATTTTTAACTGACATCATTCATCAATTGACTTAATATTTTTTCCCTGACTATATCTATTTCCTATATTTTTTTCCCTTAAGGCTTCTGTTTTTTAATTCTGAAGCCATTTCACTATATTTATTCAGCATGATAATTTGAATTTTGTATGGAGAAGGGATTTATAGACTTTGTCTGTTGAATGAAATATTGTTTGAATTATAGATTTCCCAGTACAAGGGACCCAATGTCTCACAGGCTTCAAGTTTTAACTGTAGCTGGTAAACAAAATCCAAATTTAAATTACTCAGTGTTGCACTTAATAATAATAACAGTGATCATGATGTTCTGTTCACATCACATTCATTGAAAAAAAACTTTGGAATCACAGTTCGACTTTATTAATTAACCCCCACTCCCATCCCACCGTGAAACAAACCAAAAACCAACAAAAACAACAAACAAACAAAAAAAAAAAAATAACCAAAAGAACAACAGTAATATACCAAGAAAAACTTCTAATATTTTATATTAATTGGAAGTTTCTCAAGGATCAAAATCTATAATAAGATTAACAGAACAGTTATGTTTAAACTGTTTTGTAACATTTAATTGTGTGATGGTGAGAATTATTGATCGTGCAGTAGCTGGAGGTAACATAGCCATGATAACAGCTGTTGCCACAGTATAAGTATTAAAGAATTCTACATTTGACACTACAGAGCTGAAATTAATTTAAATAATTCTGAATTTTTTTTTTTTTTTTGCTTTTAATTATGCACTGTACAGAATATGAATTTCTAGTAATTTATTACAGTATTATACTAGCTACTAGGACATAAAGTATTTGACCGATGGAAAAAAAGACAGTAATTAAAATGTTTGATAAAGATGTGTTTAACTGTAAATATTTATGTACACAAGGGAAAAGAATTTATAGAAGAAAGAATTAAGCTACCTTATCATTCACTGAGGGTGTATTTTATTTAAAGCACATGTGCCGCGAATTTTGTGTAAAGAAGAAAAAACTATTACATCTTTAATCTTTGTTGATCCTTTTAACACAATATGGGTTAAGTAAATACACTTTGTTTAGGGAAGGAAATGGGAGTCCATTGTGAATGAAACTGACACTGAATAGTGTTGACTTAGAAACTTAATTGATAAGAGAGAATATTCACCCTGTAAACAGGGCAGGACTAACATATTATTCAGATTTATTTTCTCCTGTCTAAGGTAGCCCAGATGTCCTGGTGTTTTTATTTGCTAAAGATTGGCCCTATTTTCTCTGTATAAATTGACTGCAAATTCCTCATCAATTACTGGAGATGATGCCACTTTGCCCTATTTAGAACTAACAATTCTGTGTACACAATCAGATGTCATAAGACATGGCACAGGGCTTTAGGGCCAATTTTATGCTACCAGTCAGAATATTCCTTGTAATACTTCCTAGTTTAGTTATATGATAAATAAAAAACAAAGGTAAAAATGATGGAAGTCAATTTATATAAAATCTAGAAAATTCAGGAAATTTCTAGTTTGTGACTGTTTAATGAGGTTAGCTCTGGTATAAAATTGTAAATTGAATCCTTTTATTAAAATTTTATAATGGTAGTATGGTTTTTATACTTGGTAACTTTTAAGGTAGTATGGGATACCTCTACGTTATGACGTATTTCCGTTTGAAGTATTGTTTTGATTTTCATGAGTGCTTATTATCGGGTCAAAATTTGTAGATACACCGTTGAAAAGAACACTCTGAAGCCTATTTCAATGCAAGTTCTCACATCGGCATTTTAAGTAAAAACAGACAAAAAAATCACAAGTATATAAATTTACTTATAATTGTACAACGGACATTTAAAAAAGCAAACCCCTGTAAAAGGTAGTTTCAACATTGCTGCTTTTGAACACTTTTAAGCAAAAGCTGTATTTCAATTGTTTGAGTAACTGTACAGCACCTTGTGTGCGGTGAGGCATGGATAAGTGTGATTACTTCACATTGTGCTGAATTATCACCAATCAATTATCACGTTAACCAGAGCTGGACTTTTTTGTTATTTAATTCAAGAAGTAACTGTTTGGTCACAAATCAGCTAGCTGTTGTATATAGTCCCAAAACGTTCAGATGAATGCAATTGCTCTGAACAAGACACGTCCTGGAAAGCGATTGTCATGCATTGTTTTCAAAACCGCTCAAAGTTGAAAACTACGAAGTGCGATTTTTTTATGGTTGGGAAAAAATGCTCATCATTTCTAAAATAGCACCCAGGTTTTTTCAACCCTTGGAAAATAAAGAAGGATAACTCTTCCGCTCGGATCTTTTAATTCAAAAAATTTTAAATGCATTTTATATTTTCCATTTATACATATATTTTCAATTTGTTTATTTCACTTTGCTAACATATTAAGATACATTCTTATTGTAGACTTTCATGAAATGTTATCCGTCTGTTTTCAAGAAATAAAGTTTTCCCAGTTTTTTACGCTTATTTTTTGTTGAAAATTAAAAAAATACTAAGACATATTTCTTGTCATTTTTGTTTTTATAAACACTTTATATTAGCAAACGCCTGCCTATAATATTAAGCTTATGAAAAAAGAATTATGCAAGAAAAAAAATCGTTTTTGTATTTCTCATTAAAATAATAAAAAAATTATTAAAATTACACTTTAATATACTGAAAGGTGGGGGTATTTCAAATCCTTCTAATTTGGGTACATAAATATGTAGGAGAAGTTTCGTTTGGTATCCCATACCACCTTAAGATAAATTAAATAACTTTCATATACTCATGCGATTTCAAGTGAATGAAAGGTTGACGTATTTCAAACGTTGATACTAAACATAAAATTCAGTATTGTACATTGCTAGACATGCATATCGATAAGATGTTTTATACCTGCTTTGTGTGCAATATGCTATCCATTTTTTTTTTAAATCATAAGCATTGTATAATCGGTATACTAGTATATTTAATATTAAACTCAATGTGACATTCACTCATTAGTTAAGATTATAAAGCAGTTACTGTCAAAGGAACTTTTTCTAAGATCTTTTAATATGTACAGTTAATGGCACAATTCCTTAATTTAAATAAAGTGTAATATGCAATATTACATGTTACATTAGAACATTGAATCCTGTACTGTAGTCAGAAATGGTTGTAAATTTAATTTTTCTCAATTCTTATTTAGGTGACAGGGAGAGTTTTGAGGAACCATTTGAAAGCTCGGAAACAGAATTGGGAAGGATTGCCCTGTCATTTTACTCTGGACTCTTTTCTTATGCAGGATGGTAATGTCTATTGTCTCCCAGCTTCTGTAAAGTTAAAATATCTAACCAGTATTCTGTTTGAACCTTTAAGATATCTTGTATATGTGTTATGCTTCATTGTGATTTTTAAGCCCCTTTCCCTTCCACAGAAAGATAAAGGGGGAGCTAGGATAAATATTTTGACATGTAATAATTTTGTTTTCTAGCTGTCTTCCAACAAATACTGTTTGAAATTTTTAATTAAGTACTGGTATAGCCTAAACACTTACAGTAAATACACGCTTAAAAAAATAGTGTCTTGTTTTTTTTCAACATGTAATACAAAATCACAAAATATTTTTAAAGGTACAGATATAACTATGGAGTGTTTACTATTCATAAAGTTTACTATGACTAAGTTTAGCTGTATCTCTTATGGTCCACAGTCTTGTGACTACTAGGGAAAATACCAGTACGCATTTTATAATCATTTAATTTTTTTCACTTGGATAAGAACTTAGTTTTACAGTACATTTAATCACAATTTATGTCTTCTATTGGAGTGTGACACATTTAGTTTAATAGCGTTAAAATTTTTCTTTCATATTTTTTTTACAGGAATTATTTGAACTTTGTAACTGAAGAATTGAAAAATCCATACAAGTAAGAGTCTTGAAGATATTTTTGTTTGTATATTTAATAAGAAAACAGATTCATATTTATTGTTTGTGAACTTAATAACAGATGTATATTTTAATTAGATGCAATAATGTAGCCCTCTCCAATTTTTTTTTTTGGGGGGGGGGGTATTTTAATTGACACAGTTTTTTTAGTGCATTTATATTCATGATCTCTTCCAAATTTAAATGCTATACGTAGATTCCATATTTTACTTGGGTACTTACATCACAAAATGACTCTAAGACATCAAATTGTGAGAACATGAAATCACTAGCAATGTAAAAATGAAAGTGAATAATTTTATTCTGCAAGTTGTGCCAAATTTTAAAATCATTGCTTAAATTCAGAAATATTGCTAAATTATACTTTACTGGACTGGCATAAAAAAACAATGATATCCAGTTCATAAATTGACATGTATTTGAACTTTAAATTAAAGGTTGGATTAAATAAAGGTAACCATGAAATATTCAGGTACCCTAAAAATGAAAACAGTATTTCGATACAAATCTGTGAGACCAACTTCAGTTTATGCTTAGTAGGAAAATTTGTTGCCATTTGTAAGAGAAATAAGAGAAATGTCATTTGATAATGTTAAAAGATAAACTAGTTTGTATGAAAAAAATATTTTGAAAAAATGTAGCTCCTATCGATTTTAAAATTTGCTATCAATTATTGCCAATGTGCTATCTTCAGCAATGATTTTTTGATAGTCATAGACTATCATAACAACACTACCAAATAGTAAATGTTATATCAATAATTTTTGTTCTATTTTCTTTTTAAATTGGGTATATTCAGATTAAACACAAATCTATTTAAAAGGGCATTTTTGACAGGATATTAAGATTTATTTTTTTGGTTTGTTTTTTTTTCAGAAATCTACCTCGAGCCATTGGTATATCAATTCCATTAGTGACCGTGATTTATGTGCTGGCCAATGTAGCTTACTTTGCCGTCCTTACTCCTGCTGAAATGATTGCTTCTAAAGCCACTGCAGTGGTAAGTATCACAAAGAAATATTAAAAATAAACTTATTTCTATAACGTAGCCCACGTGGCGCAGTGGTTAGAGCATTTGCTCCTGAGATGCTGTGTAAGAAATTGATCCTTACGTCATGGGTTTGGAATTCACTGTGGGAGGTGGAGACCGGTCTTTCGGATGAGACCGCATAAACCGAAGTCCGGTGTTGCAGTGGGTTCTGGCACAAACAAAATCCCTCACTGCTCAAATGCCTAAGTGCTGAGTACAGGTCTTAATTTGCAGCCCTCCACCTGCAAGTGATGGCGTCTCCATATGAGTGAAAAATTCTCGAAAGGGACGTTAAACAACAAACAAAATACTAATGTGACAGTGGAGTCTTATTATTAAGATGTGTACAATGTCACGGTAAAATATCATAATACTGAGTCCAATGTAATAAAAGTTCTCATTAAAATCCATTAAAACATTTAATCCATTAAAACATGATTTTGAAAGCTTATGTTATCCATGGATTGGGTGTATTATTTCTTCTTCCATTCCACTTCAATGTGTGTAGATAATGCATTTGTAAAAATTTCACTGAGAAATGGTTTTGTATTTTAGCATATGTTCATTGCTTAATAACAACAAAAAACATGGTTTTTTTACCCCCGCTCCAAAGGAGAGAGGAGTATATACTGTTTTTATGCCCTCCTTTGAAGAAGGGGGGGGGGGGCATATTGCTTCGCTGTTGTCTGTCGGTCGGTCTGTCTGTCTATCGGTCCATCAACAGTTTCCGTTCATTTTCTTTGCAGAGGTAGCACATACTGAAATAAAATTTGGTATACAGATTTTTCATAAAAATATCTAGGTCAAGTTCTGTTTTAGGTACGATCGAGCAATTTTTGACAGAGTTACGTCCCTTGGACTTAGAAAAATTCCAATTATTTGCAGTTTCAGTTCATTTTCTTCGCAGAGGTTGCACATACTGAAATGAAATTTGGTATACAGGTTAGGTGTGGGACGATATACCGATACATACTGATATTTTCTGCTAAGATACGGTTTATGATACATGCATTAAAATATCGGTACGAAACGATACACGAACGACTTATCAAAAAATTTCATGTAGAGAAAAATTCCAATTATTTTGCAGTTTCTATTCATTTTCTTCACAGAGGTTGCACGTACTGAAATGAAATTTGGTATGCAGATTTATCATAAAAATATCAAGTTCTGTTTTGGGTACGATCAAGCAATTTTTAACAGAGTTATGTCCCTTGGACTTAGAAAAATTCCAATTGTTGGGGGGAGGTGGATAAGTGTTTCACAAACATCTCTTGTTTACTGTGTGTCTGTCTGTCCATATCAAATTTTCGTTGCAGTTTTCTCAGCAACTACTCTTTGCAGATGCTTGAAATTTTAATACACTCTTTGTTTTGGCATGCCATATGATGGGATTCATTTTTGTTTGAATCTGATGTCAACTCCATGTTTATCCATGCATCTGTCTGTACTAAAATTCTGTTTTCTCAGCAACTACTTAACAAAACAACATATAAATAAATATATCTATATATATTGCAACTGGAATATTTTCAGTTCAGCCATCATTGCTAGCCAAGGGTTTTCAATCCACTCTCTTTGTTGGAAGCAGTGGACTGAAAATCCATGGCCAGCTTAGATTAGGTAGAGCTTTCGTGGAATTGTAACAATAATAATGCTATAGACACAATAATAAACAATGTGGAAAAGAGTTCCACATCACTTTTTTGTATAAAGACATGTATAAGGACATGGTAGCGCATCCTATTTTCATTGATGTTAGGCTAAACAAAAAAAAAATATGTGTGGTTCCGGTTACACCTCCAAAAAAAATAGGGTAGGTAGGTTTTTTTTTTTTTTTTTTTTTTTTTTTTTTTAAACAAAATGATTTTCTTAATTTTTCTAAATAATACCTATCACTCCTTTGCAAGTGGCATTGTGATAATATACTAGTCAATATTGGTAGGGAACACCTACATGCTAGCTTGCTTTGGATTTAATACTATTAAACACTTACACTATGTTTTGCAAGGAGGCCGTCATTGCTGAAACTAAAACTTAAACCAGAGCCATTGATAGAAATCTGGGAAAATTCTGGAAAAAATATGAAAATTGCCAAAAAAAAAGTTTAGGGTCGGGGGTATAAAATAGGGATGGTCGGGTAACCGGAACCACACATATTTTTTTATTTGGCCTTAGTAAATTATGTTGACACGTAATTTTAGTCTGACATCAGCTCAAAGAGCAGATATACTGACAAAATCTGATTGACATGATACTAATTCTAAAAGTAAATGTGACAGTTTGTTAACAATCTGGAATAGTGCTGCCTCTACCTAGATTTTAAAGAATTTGGAGTTTCTGAACTTCTTGCGGGTGCTTATGTCCCATTTATTTTGGGCAGCAAAGATGCATGCTTAGATGATGGCCTTGTAATGCTATCGTTGTGACAGCATGGTAAATCAGGAATGTCTGCAGATTTACCTACTTGCCTTTTACCTCAAGTGAAGGCCCTTGTGAATTTCAGCAGTATTATCTTGTATGATGTCTTTTATCCCCCCAAATTATATTTGCATTGACCTGTCACCTGAAAAAAAAAATGAAGCAGTGAGCCACATTGCATTTCATATGATGGTTAGGTTAAGAATTAATTTGAAAATTTGAGTCCCTTAAATGAACAGTTATATTGTTAATGTTGGTTCTTGATATTATATTTGCATATATATTCAGGGCTCAACATTAACTTAAATATCCACTTGTCCATGTGTTACTTGTCTGAATTCTTGTTTAAAGGTGCTTAGACGCAGATTTGAAGTTTATATTTTCTCAAATTTTCTGTATAATATCACAACTTATATGTTGCTAGAGCATTTCACACGAAAATAAAATTAAAAACTTATTTGATCTGGAAAGTATTGAAAATACGAATTTTGGAACGCGTTTGATTAACACATCCTTGCACTTTCACAATTTTTAACTCTATCCTGTGTCTAAGCACCTTTAACTCTAGACAGATATAATGAAATTTGTGTAGAACTTCATCTTCAAGAACAAAGTAGATATTGATAATTATTGATAATGTTGACTAATAATGATTCATTTAATCATAAAAATCAAAACATTACCCAGTAAAATAAAGTATCTCTGTTTAAAC